TTTCCGGCCCCTCTTCCCAGCGAACCTTGTATGGTCAGTTTTTCATCTTTTTTTGAGCTGAATCATTTTCCGTCTTTTTGTACATAGTCACTTTCTTGTCTAGAACATAATGTACATAATTAGCGTGATCAGTGCCATGCCGTTCATTCTCAATCCAAATTTTTTCAGATATTTGTATGAATTATACAAAGCCATTTGACTCAAAGTATGAGTCATCCCAACCTCTCCAATTTTTGAAAGAACATGTAGAATTTGAGCTAATTGCACATCCGGCGCATTCTAAAACACAAGTTATTTCTTGGCGGATAAAAAACGTACTCCTCGAGAGACATCAAGTTATAGACTTGTAAATTGAGAACGAATACACGTCCGGTCCGACAAGACATGAAATGAGGATAAATTGGAAATTACACTATAAAAAAGTAGTAAAATCTTCTAACTTCTTGACTTCCTATGGTATGGAGACGAATTGTGGATATGCTCATGAGATAGCGGGGATCGATCGGTTGAATTTTTTGGTCCAAGCCGTGATAGTGTAAACGTCATTGAGTTGCGTTTCGAAACGAACAATATACTCACTCATGTGTGGTAGTACGTGCCATGTAAAGCAGACGTCTGTGATCTAGAACATTAATGAGAAGTTTCATAAGCAAAAAACAAAGTTTTTACGTGGCGAGCCGGGCCCATGAGCTAATTTTTCTCATCGTTTTTATCATGACCCTGGACAATCGGGACAACCATGGCCCTGGATGTGCCAAGTCTGATGAAGAATGCTAACTATTTAGCCAAAACTGTTGAACAGTAGCTTCCGTCAAAAGTGATTGTTTTCGTCTTTGTTTTTGGCTCCCACACTACCCAATCTACTGCAAATCAGGACGATAATGCTATTCTTACCACATAAGAACAAAAATTCCCAATCTCAGCCCAGTCGTTATAAAAGATTTGTGAAGAGTGATCCTATTCGTTCTAGAACTGGCCTGTCTTAGACTAATTACAACAACGTCCTTGTTTAAACCATTCTCGATGCTTGATTTGGTTGGTTTTTTTCAGAGTTTTAGTGTTATGCAAATAAGGCGGTTGCAAAGTGTCTTTTTGGTTTCGAGAAACCAGGGTTCAAAACAGCCTGGTTAATTTTAATTGGAACTTTGGACACTGCTCAAACCTCAATTTATGATTTTTGATGCCTTCCACTTATGTTAGAAGTTTTGGATTTTGCAAGTATCTAATTGAATTATGAACAAGTTTTGTTGACAGTTGCAAGATGTCCTTCAGTTGTGAACCGCCGAGATCCAATGATATTGGGATGTTCTGACGATGTTAATGAACCGAAGGCTCTGTTTTTCTTTTTCACATGTGAGACACCCCCGAAAGAGCCCCGAGAAAAAATCATGAAGAGCAGCAGCGGCGGCGAGAATGAAAAATGCGTCGGTTGCCATCATCATCATCATCTTCATTCGCATGTTGGTGTTGAGAAAAAGGAGAAGAAGAAGGGATACATAATTGCTGGTAGACAGAGCCAAAACGGCGCAAGAAGGTGGTGGAAAGACACTCAGTCAGTCGGCGCCTTCCGTCGCCACGCGATTTGCCGGTTTTTCCTCATATATTCACGCTGTCACCGCCGCCACTGCCCCGCCGACCGACCGACCGACCTGCAATTTTCCATACATTCGCTAGCTGTGCTCTAGACCTTTCTGTGGAGCTCCGCCGCAGTCGTAGTCAAGAAGAACAAGAGGCAGCGGCAAAGACGTCTCTTTTGTTCCAAAAACCCGTCGTATTTGGTCTCAGGACGTTTTGTAGTCATTCCTATTCACTTCTATTCTACCTGATTTTTGTGCGATCGTATGGTAAAATGCTGAAATTCGTGCGGAAAGCGCCAAGAACTCGAGGATGCTCGGTGAGATTTTTTGGCTGAATGCTTGAGAAACACAGTTGCTACCTTCAACTAAATCTTATCAAAATGGAGCTTCTAGTGCCGCGTCAGCCAAATTCAACTTGAACAAAGGCTGTTGTGTGTCAAAAATAGGAAAGTTTCCGTGCTTTCTTGTGTTTAGTGTGCGAACAGACAATCGCCGTGACTGTGGCCGAGTGTCCACGTGTTTTTCATAAGTACTCCGATATGCGAGACAAAAAAATTGAATTTCTTGCAAAACTCTGAATAAATGACTCAATCGTAAAATTCCGTCCAGATTTGAGTAATTTATGCCTCATTTTCAAGTATTACTCAATATTTTGACTTTTGGCACCAGCTGACTGCGTATATTCACCTGTTTACTTCTATTAGTGATTCGAAAGTTTAAAAGTGTACTCAAAACCTATTTTTATGTTTAAAAACGTTAGTATAAGACTTTGAAATTCAGTTTTGATTTCGCAATACTTCATCCTCATCAATTCTGTTGCTTGTTTGTGGTTTCGTCAAATTATCCGGCGCACATCCCATTCCATTCCATCCACTCCCACGCCAAAACGCCTTTCAACTATTCTGCCCGGAATTAGTTGATGGTAAACATCCTAGAAGTCAAAAACTGTTCTTCTCTTGTTTTTCAAGTGTCTAAACATATAATATTGGTAGTAGTGCAAACTAAATTGGTGGTCATAGAAGAGGGGGGAAGATGGAGAGTAAGGGAAAAGAAGAAGAGCTGCTCCGGCCCGCTCTCCCGCCTTTTGTTTTTCCACGCGGCAGCAGCCACCATTTTGCATCCCTCTTCCTTTCGCCCCTCTCCGGGCCACACCCTCTCCGCGCTCCTTCTTCCCATGCCGGCTTTAGGGTGCTCCGGGTGCTGTGTGAGAAGGCCTTTTCCATTATTTTTCGCAAAAAGTGTTTTTCTAGTGTCAGACAAGTTTCGAATTGGCCAGGTTGCGAAACGATTGATTGAAAACTTTCCCAATTGTGAAACAATTTACATTTCTAAAAGTTTCATTTAAAAAACTACATTGATCAGTTGCAAAGTGTCTGTGAGAATCCCCTCTTTTAATTTTTCTTCACTTTCACTATTAATATCAACACTTTTCCAGGAAGTACTCGGCGAGATAAATAGCAAGCTGGCGGCTGTTAATAATGAGCTGAACTCGAAAATCATGTCCGAAAATATTGTGTCGACGCGCCCAGTGGCGCAGGCTCAATATTGCGGTCCATACAAACTTGAGAAAACACTCGGCAAAGGTCAAACTGGTGAGTCGGTTCTCTTTGTTTTGCAATGTGACACCCGTGAGAGTTGGCTTGGTTTTTTGTGCAGATCTGGGAGAGTTATAAAGACAAATTTGCATTATAATAATGATGAAAATTATGTTGCAAACAAAGTACTACGAATTTTGTCGCTTCTTATCCCAATTTCTATAATTTTTTCCCATGGGGCATGGCCTAACCCTCAAAGCCAGTAGGAAAACGGAAAAGAGAAAATGTTTGGTAGCGTCGAAAATATGCAAATGACTGTTATGGCAATGGCCTCTTTCTTAGTCAGATCCCCTCTTATTTATATGCAAAAATTGGCAAGCGGATTGCGTTGCCATTTTCAGAAGGCTAAGAAAATAATTTTAATGACTTAGCCAGACATGCACTTTTGGCTAAAGTTAGACTAAATTTCCAACGCGATTTATCATCCAGTCTTTAGAAGTTTGAAAAGCTGTCGCAGCTGATTCAATCAGAAAAGAACGTTCACTCTGAAAATTTCATACCGAATTTGATAATAGGCCCAATTATTGTTTTGCCCCCAAATTGTTCCGAATGACTCAAAAATATTCCTCCAGTGCTCAAACAGACAAAAACATTTTCATTACAGGGTTGGTGAAAACGGGCACACATTGCATTACGGGCCGCAAAGTGGCAATCAAGATCGTGAACAAGGAAAAGCTGAGCGAATCGGTTCTTCAGAAGGTGAGCAAAAAAGTCTTGATTACGTAACACTAATAACCCACAACTGGTTTTCTTCCCTGAAACATTCTTTCCAAGAAACTTCATAATGTCGTGCCTGCTGCGTCATCATCAATGTGTCACTTCTGATTCCGCCGCTAATCCTTTTCCGGCCCGTTTCTTGCTGTATCTTGAGACATAAAAAAGCAAACGGCGAGAAGGAGAGGGGGGAGTAAAAAAGAACGAGCTCCCCCCCTCATTCTTCAATGACCAAGAGAAGGGCCTCTTCTATGTGTCTTACGGATGCTGTCATTTTTCAACCAATCGCATTCTCTTCCCTCTACATCTGTCTTTTTCCTCTTTTTGCCGGTTTTGTGGCGGCGTTTTCTGAAAAAAAAAGAGCCCAAGAGAAAGATGGAGAGGAAAGAAAAGATAGGGAGCTCATTTCCATATTAAGAGAAAGTGAGAGGAAATTTATTAAATTTACATTTACAGGTCGAAAGAGAAATCGCTATTATGAAACTGATTGAACATCCGCACGTGCTTCACTTGTATGACGTCTACGAAAATAAGAAATATTTGTGAGTCACTGGACAATGCTAATTTCATTTTTGTGGTTGAATTTGACGTTGAATCCAACAATCCTTGAGTTGATTGGAAAAGTGGATTGATGAATCAGACACGCCCGAAGAAAACCTGAAAAAAACAAACAATTTTTCATAAGGGACCAGAGTTTAGCACTAGTATAAGAGTACTTTTTAGGCTCTGAATTTTCTATAAATACAACAGAAATTATTGAAATTTTCAGATATCTCCTCTTGGAACATGTCAGCGGCGGCGAATTGTTTGATTATTTGGTTAGGAAAGGCCGACTGATGTCAAAAGAAGCGCGCAAGTTCTTCCGACAAATTATATCGGCTCTCGATTTCTGCCATGCACACAATATTTGGTACGTCTCCTCTGCTTCTTTGTTGAGCAATACATAGTAGTAGTACTACTACTGCTATGCGGACGGGGGGAGGGGGGAATAAGGAGAAATGAGATCAAATGAAATACGAGTTATTTTTCACATTCTCTCTTTAGCCATCGCGATTTGAAACCGGAGAATTTGCTGCTGGATGAGAGGAATAATATCAAAGTGGCCGATTTTGGAATGGCCAGTCTTCAAGTGGAGGGGTCAATGTTGGAGACGAGTTGTGGAAGTCCACATTACGCGTGTCCGGAAGTCATTCGGGTAAGAGCCGTAGCACTAAATGTAGACTTGAAGATTTTCAAGAAAAATTGAGCATTTCTGAGCATTCTTGTTGTCAATTGAGCTTGTCCAATTTGAAATACTACCTCAATCTGAAATTACAGGGTGAAAAGTATGATGGTCGGAAAGCGGACGTGTGGAGTTGTGGAGTTATCCTGTACGCCTTGCTAGTTGGTGCCCTGCCTTTTGACGACGACAATCTGCGGAACCTTCTCGAAAAAGTCAAGCGTGGAGTCTTCCACATTCCACACTTTGTACCAGCCGATGTGCAAAGTTTGTTGCGTGCGATGATTGAAGTGGACCCGGGAAAGCGGTACTCGTTGGCTGATGTATTCAAGCATCCATGGGTGTCCGGCGCGACAAAGACTGATCCAGAGCTAGAACTTCCAATGTCCCAGGTGGTACAGACTCATATCATTCCTGGAGAAGATTCGATTGACCCGGATGTCCTACGTCATATGAACTGTTTGGGATGCTTTAAGGATAAGCAGAAATTGGTTGCTGAACTGCTCTCACCTAGGTAAGCTTGAACAAAGCCACATTCACAGAATTATTTTCAGGCACAACACGGAGAAAATGGTGTATTTTTTGTTGCTCGATAGAAAACGCCGACGACCAGCGCAGGAGGACGACACTGAAATTGTTCTCCGCGGCGCTGCACAAAACAACGACCCTCCAAAAAAGCGGACGGATACGGCGAGGACCACTAGATATCCGATGGGAAGTATCGCGGATGGAAGTCCGATCAACCCGAGGAAAACATATGGAAGGAATAGCAAATCAGCAAGACATTCCAGTTTGGGCGGATCACCCACGGAGTCGCCTAGAAGTTCGACAAGAGATTTGTTCAGTTCACCGTCTAGTGGATCTTATTCGGCAAGAACAGGAGAAGATCGGGAGAGAGGAAGGTCCGCTTCTCGGTCAACTAACAGTTATCACTATTACACTCAACCTGTGGACCCACAAACACTTGCGGAGGCGGCCAGACATGTCCGGGAAGCGAGGGAGCAGGAGAGACGGGAAAGTAGGGATAGTGGAAGAGGATCTTCACGGAAAGAAAGCAAGGATAGAGGTGACAAGACCGCGAGTAGTTCCAGCAGTAGCAGCAAGAATGATACGACTTCGGCGTCCGCTGTTCCGCACAAGTACAGCCCGCCATCTGCCATGTCGGAAAGTGTTGTGGTTCCAAGCAGCGCCATCAATTCCACGACTTCCTCTACAAACAGTCTGATTGCTGGTAACAGTCAGACAAGCATCGGATCCACGAGTGGACCATGGAGATCCAAGCTGAACAACATCAAGAACTCGTTCTTGGGCACTCCGCGATTCCACCGACGGAAAATGTCAAATGGAGCGGCAGAGAGTGACAGTGAGGACAACCAGATGATTGATACGACAGAGTAAGGACATTTCTTAAAATAGAATCACAGAAATCTGTTATTTTTCTCTTTTTTGCAGCTTGGTCAAGAAATCGTGGTTCGGATCTTTGGCGTCCAGTATGAGCGTGGAAAGGGACGACACGCATTGTGTGCCAGTTCAGGGGAAAACGCTGAATGGCATCAAGGCAGAGCTGATCAGAGCTTTCCTACAGGTTTTTTTCAATAGGGAGCTATTTGTTCTGAAAAAAACCGTTTTTCTTTAGATTCACGAACTCAGCCACTCGGTTGTTGGTCAGAATTGCTTCAGAGTAGAGTACAAACGTGGTCCAACCGTTGGTGGTAGCGTATTCAGTCGCGGAATCAAGATGAATGTAAGCACAAAATAATTGTAACAGTTCTGAAAAGCATAATCAACTTTCAGGTGGACATAATTCCATCACCACAACAAGTAGTGATGGCCGGTGAGACTCCGACCTATGTGGTTCAGTTTGTGTTGCTGGCAGGGCCTGTGAGGAGGTTCAAGAGATTAGTGGAGCATTTATCAGCGATTTTGCAAAATTCTACTCAACAAAGGTGAAATTTAGCCTTCAATTTGTTCAGTTTGAGACAAACTACAGCATATCCGAACTATAAATAGCTATAGTTATCCTTACAGAGCCGACCGGCAACAACAAGCGGCACTTATGGTTCGACCGAGACGTCTAAGTGACTCAAGTGTTGGAAGTGCATGTTCGGATAGCGAAAGCAATGCGAGCAGCATCAATATGATTGCAAGACATGCGGTACGTAGCTAGTGTACTAAGTGGGGCATGTTGAGAAACATTTCGGGCTCGTTTTCTATTGAAATTCAACTTGCCAAACTGTCATAATAATAATAAACCCTGAAATAGATCATTTCAGGATAAAACCGAGCAAGTAACCACTGTACCCTCCGACTCTTACGGTCCATCGCCGTCAATGCGATCCGTTGGCAGTAGCACAGGTAATTCGACAAACTGATTTCATGTTCCTCTAACCTGTATGGTTGTGTAGTGAGTTGACTACTACTGGTACTATGACTCTTTTCTATCGCTTAACTTTTAGTTCTTACCATGAATTAATCACTTTACACCCAAAACCGTTAACCCTAATCCGAATTCAGGACTTCCATCGTAGTTGTTCAAAGAAATGCGAGTGGAAAGGTAAACTCACACAACAATGCTCTATCCGCTATTATATTTTTCTCATCATTAGTTCAACTTTTTTTCCAATACCCCCCCGTGGTTTCTTTTGCACGCTTTTTCTTCTAAAAACCGTTGATTTCCGGCACCGTTTCTCCACCAATCCTTTATTATTATTATTATTGTAGAGAGTTTTGTTAGTGAGTGCAAAAATGTTTTGCTAAAAGAAAAAAGTAAACGAACGTCATAACTAATAATTGCTTCTTTTCTTCCTGATTTGCGCTTCAATTGGTACATGTTTTGGTCAAAGGTGAACGCGTGAAAACTGTACTAATCGCAAAAAAAAAACAAGTTTGTTCGTACGATAGGCACGATAGAATTTTTGTGATATGAGATTGGATTGAATCTTCTTCTAACACATTTGTTTAAAAAACGTTTTTAAACCAGCTGTTAGCTTCAACATTGTTCCCATGCCGTCCACCCAAGTTCTAACTCTTCAGCTAACTCCTACAAGTCGCCAACACCTCACCGCCGTAACACCACAGCCGTCACCGCTATTTCCGCCTCCACAACCTCTCGATATGCTCCGAGTACTTCCACTAACAGCTATTCCAACGCTCACGACTATTCTTATCATCCGGAGTACTCGCAGAGAAATAATGGGTAAATTGTTTGTCTAGTCTTTTTGAGTATACCTTCAGAGTGATCGGCCAAAAAAATTATTTTGGGCCGGACGGGGCAGAATAGAAATGTTTACCGTCCCGGCTCGGCGTAAAAATTTCGTTGATACCACTGGTATTGATTAATAATCTTAAAAATCGATAGAAACTCCAAAATGTTTTTGTTTTATGAAAAACGTTTCAATTTTCAGCACATCTGCTCCGAAGAACCAATACTCGCCCGGATCGCAGCGTAGTTTTGCTTTTTCCATGTTCAACAAAGCCGATAAGGTCTAGATTATCATTTTCCTAACTATCCTTCAATTATTATTATTATTGATTGATTGATTTCTCCATCCCCAGTGCTTTGGTGTCAGCTTTAACTTGTCTATGGTTTGGTAACGTTACCATCCAAATGTAATACATACAGTAACTTAATGTAAGTGCATTAATTATACCCTCCCCCTCCCCACTCTCTTCTCCCCAGACTATTTCTCCCCTAATTGCCAAAAATTATGTTTCTTTTTTGCAGCCTTTTATACATTCCTTCCTCCCTCTCTTTTCTAGTCTGATGTGAATCTGATTAATGTTTGCGTTTTTTTGCCACTTCCCTTCCTTGCTTTTTTGTTTGTTTTACCAGTTTTTAAAGTGATATCCGACTGAAAACAACCTTATCTTCTTCTGCAACTTCTGATTCTCTCCTCCCCACTCCTTTTTCTGTAAACGGACTGTTCTGGTTTTTTCCTCGGTTCTTCGTAACAACTAACGTTTTTCGTTTTTATTTGATTATATTACTTTTTTGAATGAAAAACGTTTTAGTAAATAAACATTTGACGTAGGAACACGCACACACACACACACACACACACACCTTTCCCGTTTCTATAATGAATTTATCGAGAAAAAGTCAGAATCAAAGATTTTGAAGGGAAAATAGAACCATTTATCGAGTGCAGACCAGGGTAGCAACGGGAAAATGATATTATAGACCCGGCGGTTGCATTTCACTGCAGTTGCATGGCGGTCAGTTTCGCTACAAACAACTCACTATGTAATTCATTTCGGCTTCTGTTTTTTGCTTTTAAAACAGTGATCCTCTTCACTGGTGAGCAGTCTTGTCGCGGGCCGGGCCATGCAAATATCGTTTCTGGCTCGTAGGATGAAAAAAACTTAATCTCCATGTTCAGAAATCAAATTATCCTCTCTATTTTTCAAAAAACACTTTCCCGATTCATTCGCTTGTCATCTGTATATTGCTCAGGACGCAAGGGGTTTTATTCACCTGGAACAGATATACATAGAACAAGAGAGATACAAATACAATCAGAGAAACAAAGTCATTCCACATTTAAACAAAACTGCAAAGCTTGAATGAAGTGAGCAGCTTGTTTCAAGCGGTGAAATTTTTGTTCCACAATTTCGGGGCTGGGCCACGCAGTTTAACAAACAGTCTATAAAAGTCAAAGTTGAAACAGGTAAAATAAACTGTTTTAGCTTCAAAGTTATGTGTGTTTCAAAGAGTGTGCTGTCTGTGGAAGCTATAGAATCTTCCAACCTAGAGATACAGTATACTTGAAAAACTGAATTTAGATGCTTATGCTGCTCTGTGCGGAAACGATTTTTCACTCGTTCAATAGTCGAGTGTTCAGAAGATTCGGTTAGTTGTCAGCCCGTGATCAACTATTATACCGGGTTTAGTGAAGTTTGTCCGTATACAAACATGCAGATAAAATAATTTTTTTCTCCAACCTTCAGTCCAATGTTCGAAAATGACTAATCCCGAGATGACAGGTGGAAAACTTCCGAATGTTAGCCTATTTTTTATTTCTGTTCTCTCCCTAGTCTTTCACATTTCTAGAAAGTAAAAGCAATGTGTGAAGCGAGGCGTGACAAGTCGAGACATGAGAAAGTACTCACTAACTTCAAATGTCACAAGTTTTTCTCCCCGTTTTCGAAGACATCTTTTTTCAAAATTCGTTGATCTCATAAAAAGTCGACATATCACGTACCCCCTCAACTCCAGCAACACTTGCATTCGTTTTTCATAATAATATCTGAGAAATTGGATTCCGACCAATGTATCAGGAATGAAAGTAACAAGAATCAGTAGACTTTGGTAAAGCAAAGACTGATCGAACTCTGAGAAGCTATTGAACAATTCCAGGGAAGCAAATTTTGTTAAATTGTAACGAGAATTGAGTTTTCACGAAGCCGGAAACTCACTTCCCCCATTTCAGTTTCCTCATAGGAATCCGCTCACTTTTGTTTGCTTTGACCTTAACTCAGAAAATCCTCCTGATGAAATTGAAATGACGCCTCCGCGCCTTTATTTGATGCTTTCTGATAATTTTTGTGTGTGAACATTTCATTTGATCTTTTCAGAATGCTGCCCGAGGAGAATAAGCTCCAAGTTTTTCTCAGTGTGTATTACTCGTTCAGTGTAGTGCTCGCACTTCTCTCTAACATTCTGCTTCTTTTCATTATGAAAACCACAAAATCGGCGATGCTCAAGGATATGAAATATTATCTGTTCAATACGACTATTTTTGAGATTGTTGTTACGCTTTCCACTTATTTTGCGCAATGCAGGTGAGAATTTGACTTTTAGTACCTCATGTCTAGACGGGATATCTTGAAAATAATACGCTTGGGTCGGGTTCATTCGGAAACACTTTCAGGTTCAAAAGATCATGCCGATAATTTTTCAAATTTATTCTCCAGGATGTCCTAAAAACATATATCATTTTAGTATATATCATTTGATCCATGATCCTGTAGATCCCTTACTCTCTCGAAAACGTCACTCTAAATGACTCATTTCATGACTCTGTCTTGCCTTTGAATTCATGGAACCTTTGATTGATGAGTTTTCCGAGTTAGTAGGGGGTGAAGAGCAACGCTTGGCTCTATTCGAACACTTTGACACTGTCGTGAGAGACGATTGAAGAAAACAATTTATATGTTACAACCAAATTGAACGAACAAACTAAACTATTAAAATAAATACATACTGATTCAGGATTATGAGGGCGATTTCGTTGAAACTGAGAAATGTTATCTTTTCAGGGCAGTTCCCAATGAATCGACCGTTGCGGTCTTCTGTTACGGACCTTGCAAACATTTCGGCCCGAATAGCTGTTTCATCACTTTTGCAGTGGTTCAATGCTCAGTCGTCGCTGCCAGTTTCTCAATTCTATTATCATTTTATTATCGTTACCGCCTACTCATAGTGGAAGTGAACAAGAATTACCGACATGCCCAGATTTTTGCCATCTTCTTTATATTCCCAATTTCGATGCTGGTGAGTGGGTGTCACTCACCGCGTTAAACTTGCTCAGCAAACCATCATTTAACTCAATGTTTTTGCAGCTTTTCCAACTTTCGGCGGATGCAGACTTTTCTATCGTGGAGGCCGAAACCAGGCGATTGCATCCTCATTACGACTATGATTTCAATTCGTTAATTGGATTTTCGAATGCGAAAAGCATTGGTTCGATCATTGCGCAATCGATGATATCATTGGGCGTCTATGTGGCACCGCTTATTGCTTTTCATTATCGGAGGTCCGTTTGAAGTCAGAAACTTGTCCGAGAACTATTTGAAAAAAGTGTTCCTTTGTGGTTAACAGGGATAGGAACACTCTGACATAAAGTTGTTTAAAAACATGATGCATCGACCAAGGTTTAATCATTTCTCTCAACGTTTTGGTGGTGGTACCGATGTGGAAAATTCTATCACATTACTCTCATGCACATAAACTATAATTTAACAACCCGAAAATAGCTTGTTACCTCTAGTCTCTTTCAGTTTTTGAACTTAACAACCGAATTCGTCACTTACAGAAAAATCTTCAAGATACTATCGATGAATACCAATCAGAGAATACCAGTGGCTTACTTTAAACAGCTTGTGAACGTATGACTTCAACTTTTAAGGACATTTCTTATAGAAGCACTTGTTTTCAGGGTCTTCTCATCCAAACATTAATTCCATTCTGGGTTTACATGCCGCCGTTGTCCTATTTATTGTGGTCACAGCTCTCTGGTACAGTACATAAACCTGGCAGAATTTTATTAAAATTGCAAGAACAACCCCTTCAGGTCACTCTAACATCTACTTGGAGTATGTGCTAAACATCTTCGGATCGTTCACCGCGTTCCTAAACCCAATGCTCACATTTTACTTCGTGCTACCGTATCGCCGAGCTCTTTGTCGAAAAGTGTTCCGGTACTTGCCATCTTCCTCGGAAGATGGAACTGATATTCCAAACGTTGCGACAACCAATTTTCATCGGCGGAGCACTCAATTCAATATGAAAATTATAGGAACGACGACTACTTGAAAATGTGATGATTTCTCTGATCTCTGTGTTCTAATAAAGTTGTCCAGATCTAATTTCACTAAATTTGATTGAGTTTGATGTATAACACGCACGTTTTTTTTCATGATTTGTGACCACAACGCTGTTTTTCTGAATCACTTCCCAGACTAAAGCCAGGTGATTATGCAGTAGTTTTTCTCTTGTTTGTTAGTCACGTACAACAGGATGATCTGAATATAGATGTCAAAATTCTGCTGCTTGGGTAGAGTGTGATGAAAATCATTCAGCCGGGACCACCGCAACACACATGTTTCACTAAGCAAACTTCTCGAATTTCGGTTTCTTCGTACTTTTGCACCATATCATTATGAGCACAACTTTACATCACCACCCTCCCCTCATATTCTTTTGATATCAACACATTTTTTCCCAGAAAGCATGATGTCAACGATGGAAAGCCGGATGATTCTGATATTAACTATATTTTACAATTTGTACTTTTTATTATCAATCACGGCGCAAGGACTTTTGCTCTATTTAATGAAGAGATGTGCGGTTAGGTCACTTCATGATATGCGGATTTACCTGTTCAATATTTTGGTGCTTCAGTTCATATCAACTGTTTGTGCGTATGTTTTGCAGTGCAGGTGAGCTAACAACGTGGATTTTAGTATCTAGGATAGTCATATCGAGATCAGAAAGATGAAATGAATGAGAAATGAGAATAAATGGATGTAAACTGATTTTTTTGCAGAGTGGTTCCTAGCTCAGAGACATTGGCAATGTTGTGTTACGGTCCTTGCAAGTATTTCGGTATTATTCCATGTCAAGTTGTTTTTCATACTCTTCAGGTATTTTCTAAATAAAAACCGATTATATACGTTGTGTAATCAGACGGCTGGAAAAATTCTAGTATAGGCTTTTCAACACCTGCCGAACCTGGTCTTCTGATCAATTTGCAATAATTCGATCGGAACCAAACTTTGCAGGCTTTTTATACTTGACTTGATTTATACTTGATTTTTGCAACAAAAAAAAACGCGACCTTTCTGGCCTCTGATCCACTAGAGTAACGCATCTGATCGGCCCAAAACTTAGACCCATAGTACCCGCATCCAATTCTAAAAAGCCAGCAAAGTTCGGACCTAATAGGACTAATGAAAGTGGGTCAAGTGCAGGTCTCAACAGCCTTTGCCCAGCTTCGAATCAAACACATCTGAACGCGACTAGACAATAAATTGAAAGCAAAACTTGCAAAATGCCCACTGTCCGCAAGCATATTTCGCACACATGGGTTTCCAGGCCTCCCTGATCGCCTGCGCTACGTCTCTTATCATCACTTTTTATTATCGCTACGAAATGTTAACCACCAACAGTTTCACGAGAAACGGCCATTACAGACAACTCGTTCTCAGCTATCTTGTCCCATTGCTGTTTTCAGTAAGTCCACTTAAATCTTTTCTGTTCAATTTTCAATACAAGAATGTTGCAGGTCTTCGAGGTGCTGTCACCAAGTGACCTGGTCAAAGTGAACGCCGAATTGAAAACATTACACCCGAGTTATGATACTGACAATTATGTGGTGCTAGGATTTTCCGAGGCACAAAGTGTGATTGCAAGTGTGCAAACGATCATGATGATATTGGGAGTTTATGGAACACCGTTCATCGCGCTGTTTTTCAGAAGGTAAATACAAAACCTAGTATAGAGAATCAACAAGTCTGAAAACGTCTTCAAAACATTGACAGAAAGCTTTTTAAATCTGTTTTTTTCTGTGCTGCTGTCGTGTTTTTGCTCCCTCCTACCACCACGTTTTTTCAGGAAAATAATGAAAATCCTCAACGCATCCACTCAATCCCATCACAAAGAGAAAATAGAACAAACAAAGAGTATGGTTCTGGTCAGTTTCCCCCCTCCCTTTCCCTCTTATCATTTTTTTCGATATCTCAGGGGCTGACGATCCAAACGCTCCTGCCGCTGGTCTGTTATTGTCCAAGTTTAACCTATTACATTTATGCTCAGTACACCCGCGTCGGCAGTCAAGTCGCTGAATTTGCAACGAGTCCTTTTGGGTTTTTGTACACGTTTTTTGATCCGTTACTCACAATTTATTTTGTACTCCCTTACCGGAGAACTTTCAAGGCGTTGTTTTCTAGCAATACCTTAACCACCGCTACAAATGTGGCTATTTTCCATTCGGACACGCATACTTCTCGACGTAATATGTTATGAATTTATGAAAAATATGTAAAAACTGAAAATTGAGTGGTGTTACTGATAAATACGAAAATGTGCTTTGTTATCAGTGTCTTGCGTGCGCAAATGTGTTAATGTGATGAATTTGGCAGACAACCAGAACATTTTTCCCTCTTTCCTTTGTTGTCTGCTTAACCGCACCTGAGACGTACGTCTTTTCCTTCATCTTCTGTTATTTTGTTAATAATCCATCTTGAAAACTGTGAAAAACGTTTGAAAGACTTCCTCATACATTTTGAAAGTGATTCAAACCAACAAATCATCTGGAGAGTCGGATTTCTTTGACAACATTTTCAAACAATTGTATTTTATAAGTTTCGCGTCCCAGCTTGGTTAGTTTTTCTTTCAAACCACCACTACTTCCTCGAAGTAATACTGTTCTCCCCCACTTTGCACTTTAGACCCGGTGAGCAGATATTCGATAATGATGATGTCATAGCTTATTCATCCATAGGGTGCTCTCTAATCTTTCTGTACTCTCTCCTCTGCCGCGAGCTCCCTTCTCGTCGCAGAAAGTCCATAGTGCAAGTGCACAGACAGACACCACCGTCCCCTCCCCACTCCTCCCATCCCCTCTTTTTGTTGTTTTTGGACCCACAGTCAGTTGCACTCTTCTTCCCGTCTTCTGTTTCTTTTCTTCTTCTTCTTTCTTTCACCCAAATTGTGGGATTTTCGCAGGTTTTTTGAAATGTGGAACTTATAATTATTTTGAGACGGAGGATGTGCACTGCACATGTCCTCACTTTCAAACAAAGTTCAATTTATGTTGGCTGCTTTACGTTTTGCAACTTTTTTATCGGATCAGCAAAAATTTTATCTCGTTTTGCACAGGTGATAACTAAAAATGAAGAAAAAACAGTTTTCCGCTCTTCTCGTTCTGAGCGCCTTCGTAGTTGGAATCGGTGCCGTTCGTCAGTTCCACGAGATCATCTGGAATGCCAAATCGTAAGTATTAGAGGGAAGGAGCAATTAGGGGGTGTGGGCTGTAGGAAATCGGATTTCCGACGTGAAAAAACAAAACCCTATTTATTTTTTTTAGATTCTCGGATGACCTGCAAATTCACCCACTCAAAGTCCGTTTCGACGATCAGCTCATCATCAATTGCCCAAAACAGGAGAAAGAAAAGGACTACACGTTTTCTAAACTCTATATGGTCGATTCCTCTTCACTTTATATTGATGACCTCGGGAAATTGCAGGTTTCTCGCGATGGATGGAAGCATTGCTTGTTGCACAAGCCGAAATGGGTTGGAGTTTGCAACAATTCCAGTGTCGATGTAAGGAAAAGAGTTCTTAGCTATTGTATTATGATTTTTTCTGTTCAGACCACTGTCAAGATCACGATCCGTGAACACACCCCTACTCCAAACGGATTCGAGTTTCAATTAGGTGAAGAGTACTACCTCATCTGTAAGTATATACGCATTTCTTCCGTTAGCATAGAGACGTGTTCATTTCCAGCGACCTCATCCGGCTACAAGGACGATCTGGACGGACAAGTGGGAGGAATCTGTCACTACAATCATATGCGCCTCAGAATCCTGGTCCTTCAGCGTGAATTCTACCAGCCGACCACCAAGGACTACTACTCCAATTTCGATGAATACAGACCGTACAGGAACATCATTATCTATCAGATTCACGATGTTGGAGCGCTTGGTGAGTGGATTGGGATTACTGTAACAGGCTGGTTGGCAGGTGGGCGCCTCTACAACTTTTTTTTGGTAAAAAACGGAATATTGAGAGATGGCACTCCCAAGGCATATGTTTATTGGGAGTGGTAGGGAGAAGGGAGAAGAGCAGAAGACAGTTCAGGAGCAAAAATATCTAAAGAGATCTAAGAATTGAAATATACAGTCCGTTTCAAAAGTATAGGGCCACCCCTAAAATTGAATATATCGTCTTTCCCAAACAAAATACCACTCCAAGACCTTGAAACGCTTGCAGTTGCAACATTTTCAGATATTTCAGCACCCTATCCCACCTATCCTATACACTGCACTTAAAGTTGTTTCCCGAGGGTTATTTGTGATGCTGACTTCGATTTTCAAGGTCTTGGAGTGGTATTTTGTTTGGGAAAGACGATATATTCAATTTTAGGGGTGACCCTATACTTTTGAAACGGACTGTATTGCAAAAATGTTTTACAGTATCCGATGACACCTCCAGCAACATCAACATCTTGGCTCTGACTGCTGTCGTTCTGCTCTTCCTGGCCGGATAATTGTGCGCGGAATTGCTTACGCTCATTTTTTGTATCTAGTGTGTCCCCCTTTTTTATTATTAAGTATTATTAAGTATCAGTCATCGGTGATTAGGTCTTATTACCATGCTCAAAGTTTTTTGTGTGCATACTGTAGCCTATGATATTTCCGGCTTTCCGAGCAGCGTCAAGCCAACAGTATGCAAACGAAAAACTCATAATATCTGGCTTTAACTTGTGTTAAGTACAAACGTTCTATGCATGCCCACTTTTGTCCTGTTTCCGTGTCATTTCCGGTCTTTAGTTTCTATTATAAAATGCAATACAACCACAAAATTTGATAGAGATTTTTGAAATTGAAAATCTGGGATGAAATCATCTTTGAACGACCAAAGACAACCAAAACAGCGTTTTTCTTGCACCCATGATTTCTAGATTGTTTTCCCTATTATTATAAATTTGTCATAATTTGTTTTCCAAGAAAAGCTCAAAAGGCCCACGTGGTATCAGCCTGAGAATTTTTTGGATAGAAAACTGCATTTCGGAAAAACGATGTCAATTCTTGAAACTCGTTTGAACTCGATTCTCACGATTTTCTACAATCTCTATCTGTTTTTGTCAATTTTCTCTCAAATTTTATTATTTTATCTGATGAAGACTTGCACCGCCAAATCAATCCAACACATGAAAGTGTACATACTACACATTCTGGCGATTCAGATAATAACCATGATATGCTCATATGCCACACAGTGCAGGTAAGATAAATTAACAGGTCTACTAACGAAATCAGGCTAGCAACCGGCTCGCTTGGCTTGAACATGAATACAAGTTTTTTTTTTAATTGATCTTTGTCATTTTCACAAAAATAGATATTCAGACAAGTTCCAAGCACTGAAACCTCGGCTGTGTTGTGTTCAGGGCCGTTCAAGTACTTCCCAATGATCGTTTGTCATTTCATCTATTATATCCTACATGTAACGGGTTACTGTTTGTACACACCTGATTAATGTAGTTTTTAAGACGTCTCTGATCGCATGTGCTTCTTTACTTATCAGTGCATTTTACTATCGTTATAATATACTAACTAATAGAAGTTTCACTAAAACTGGTCACTATAAACCACTGATTATTAGTTATTCAGTTCCGTTACTCATGATGGTAGGGTATTCACTTGACTTTATTTGAAAACATTCTAAGATTGATCTGGTTGCAGATAATATTCACTATTTCCCCAAGAGATATGGGAAAAGTACAAGCAGAACTGGAACTCTCTCATCCAACCTACGATTTCGATAGCTACGTAGTACTTGGCTTTTCTGAAGTTAACAGTGTTTTGGGCAGCTTTACAACACTTTTTCTGTTCTCTGCGGTGTATGGTACGCCTATTATTGCATTGGTTTTCAGAAGGTACGTTAAGGCAACTCTAAAATGAGATTCTAGGACAAAAATTCAGAAAAATTATTAATCACCTAACCTCGACGAACTTCAGAAATTTTGATCGGATTGCACACACCAATAGTATGATTCTGGTAAAATTTACTGTAATTTTACACGAATATCGTTTAATTTCAGGGCTTGACATTCCAAGCCCTATTACCAATGGTCTGTGAATGTCCAGCTTTTACCTATTGGCTATACGCGCAGCACACTCATACAAGCAGTTTAATTGCGGAGTTTGTGACTGGTCCCATAGGTTTCTTGTATACTCTGTTTGATCCGTTACTCACAATTTATTTTGTGCTGCCTTATCGCAAAAACTTTATTATGTTATTTTCGAAACATAATATTCGTAACGTTACTGCTAGAATTAACGTGTTTAATGTCAAAAACTCTTCAGTCCGGAATGCGGATGGTTCTAACAATAACGTGCTTGTATTGTGAATGGGACAGCAATTTAGTAAACATTTTTATTTCGATTAATGTTTTGTGCGAGTCTAGACCCGAAAGTCGACTCAAGCAGCAGCAACAATATACATTTTCTAACGGCGACGACGAGTTCCGTCCTCGAAGAAGATTCCTCCGTCGATGGCGCAGTACTTGGGGCAGATTCCCTTCTCTCCTTGACCTCCTGAATTTCCTGGTGGTCCCGGTGGTCCTGGGTTTCCATCGGATCCTGGCAATCCTCCTGGTCCTGGTGGTCCCTTTGGTCCTGGTGCTCCAGCACCTCCAGCAGGGCTCTGTCCGTCCGATCCCGGTGGTCCGGCAGGTCCTGGTGGTCCAACGGGTCCTGGAGAAGCGTCTCCGCTGACTCCTCCAATTCCTGGTGCTCCTGGTCCTCCGGGTTGTCCTGGCTGTCCATCATTTCCTGGAGCTCCTGGTGGTCCTGGTGGTCCTGGTGGACCTGGCGGTGAAGGTCCGGCTGGGAATCCTGCTGGTCCTGGTCCTCCTGGCTCTCCTGGCTGCCCGTCTGGTCCTGGTGGTCCTGGTGGTCCGGCTGGGCAAGGTTGGCATGGTGGTGGGGTCGATGGCTCGCATGGGGCGGAAGCTCCTTTTCCTGGGGCTCCTGGGGATCCTGGTGCTCCTGGCTTTCCTGGCTTTCCGGGCTTTCCTGGGGATCCTCCGGATCCTGGTGGTCCAGGGTTGCAGCATCCAGAGCATCCTCCAGCGTCTCCTCCACCACCTCCGGCAGCCGTGGCGTATCCACCACCACCTCCTCCTGCTCCTCCTCCAGAAGAATATGCCTGTCTGGCAGTTCTGTTGCGTGGCAGCACCATCTCATTGATCTCAGACCACATGTCGTGCACGGATCCCTACAAAAATAATATTTCTAGAAGGGAAAAGTAAACATTGTTTACCTTGCAATATATAGTCTCCTTACTCATCTGAATCTTGGTATTCTGCACATAATTGTACAGAAGAGGAAGGGTAAAGCAAAGGGAAACGGCAGCAATGACCGAAAATCCGACAGCCGAGTAGGCGATGAAACGGTAGGTGCGCAGCTTCAGATCCACGTGAGACTCCATGGTTGACTGGGTTGCTGTTGCTGAATGCAAACCAGTGATGTGATGATTATGCTCCACCGCTGCGCCTTTTTATATTCATTGTCGGAACCAGTTATGAACAGCTAGAAAAACATGTGTACTGAGGAAAAGACACGTCTTTGCTTACATTGGTTCCACATCGTTTATTGTCTTCTGTGGTTTTTGTAATTGTTACCAGTTGGTTGGGTCGGTTATGTATAATTTTGTTGTTTGGCGATGGAATTCTCGAAAACAAACTTGACTCTATTTCTAGTTTTACAGAAAAATATTATTTTGGAAGTTTCTCAAATGGAAAACAAGTCGAACTAATCCATTCAAGTTTTCAAATGGAATAGTCTAAATTTAGAGCATTTTTCGTTCATTGGTATTTGCTCAGTCATTTTCTGAATTCTTAGACTTTAAAACCCGATCCGATTGGTCAGAATTGAGTGTTCTTCACTAACTACTAAAAATTCTTCTCTGTGTAAGCCATGTGACCAGTCGTCTATTTCTCTTTTCGTAATCTGTAAATTGAAAATTCTATTGCTCATTTTTTTCAATCAATGCTCCAAACAATTTATGTCCAGTAGCCCATTTCGCGCCTTTCTTGTTCAAGAACCCCGATTAGGACAAAATCAAATTGAAAATTGAAAGTTGCGCAACACGAGAAGGATGGGTTTGATTTGTCCATGAAAGAAAGAAAGACGACACAAACAGAAGTTACTGCGGCGCGCCTCTCTTCTTCTCTTTCTCTCTCTCCCTCTGTTCGCATCTTCATCATCAAGGATTCGCTATCACTTTTTTTCAGATCCTCTCATTTTCCGTTATCTTTTCGGTTCTAGAAACAAGGAACTGATAGTGTTGCGCAGTAACAATTCGCTGTACATTTCTCCAACTTTTTTTTTGGTGCGCTGTTCTCAAATTGATAAGACGAGTGTGACCAAACTTCGACGGCGCGCGCCAAAAACTGCTATAAAAGCGGTTGCCATGAGACGGTTTTCTTGTCGACCGATCGGTTTACTCTTAACGAGGTTAGTTGCGTGTTTCTAGAAACCGTACAAACGTTATTGATTTTCAGATGTCGTACGCCGTCGCAGTGACTAGTGCTGCATCGATTGTTGCCACTGGCATGCTTCTCATCTCCGTCGGAAACATCATTTCCGATCTGAACAATCTCCAACTTGAGATCACCGATGGAATGAATGATTTCAAGGTTTCTTAATCATTTTTCAGACTAAATAAAACTCGAAAGTTTCAGATGAAGTCCGATGAGACCTGGTCTCGCATTCTCTCTCTTCACGTGAACCCAACTGGCGAGACCGCTGCCCCACCAAACTTCAAGACCCTCTTCGGACGTCATAAGCGTGACAACAGCCAATGCCACTGCGGACTTCAATCCCAGGGATGCCCAGACGGACCACAAGGAGCACGCGGACCACCAGGAGCTCCAGGACTCAACGGATCCCCAGGAGTTGACGGAAAGCCAGGATTGAACGGAAAGTCATTGAACTACGTTCATGCCGCCGATGGAGATTGCATTCCATGCCCAGCTGGAGAGGCCGGACCAGCAGGACCAGACGGAGAGCCAGGAGTCAGGGGACCAAACGGGCCACCAGGACCAAATGGAGGACCAGGACAGCCAGGAACTCCAGGACCACCAGGACCAGCCGGACCAGCCGGAAAGCCAGGACCAGTGGGACCAGCTGGAGCACGCGGAGAAGCCGGACCACGCGGAGTTCGCTACTCTGCCGGAGTTCCAGGAAAGCCGGGAGATGTCGGACCATGCGGACCAGAGGGACCAAAGGGAGCTCCAGGAGTGCCAGGAAAGAACGGAGCACCAGGAGATCGAGGATTCGGAGGACAGCCAGGAGTGCCAGGAGCTCAAGGAGAAGACGGAACTCCAGGACAGCCAGGAGCCGACGGAGCTCCAGGAGACGATGCCGGATACTGCGCCTGCCCGGGAAGAACCGTTTTCGAAGCCTAAAATGGTCCCCATGACAATAAACCGTTTCATCATGCATTTCATCCTGTTGTTTTGTTCAGATTTTTAAAAACAGATTGGGTGAAAAATGTAAAGTACTGAGGATTAACTTTCCGAATTACTTTTGAATCCTCTACTTCTGATTTTTTGAACTGGTTACCAGAATCAAACTTACTCAGAGACACTTTCTTGTTTCTGCAGAATCCAACTGTTTTCGAATGGTTCTTTGTTCCGTTAAAAGTTCGATGTCACCGAACATTCTTTCAACAAAAGATTGCTGCCAATAAACAACCCGCGTTCTTTCACGCTAATGATGACGCATCCGCTCCCCCTTCTCCCGTTGACGAACAAAACTGGTTTCAGGTCATCTGACCAAACGAGGCAGAAACAGAAACCAAAACTTTTGTTTGAAACCAAACGAAGAGATGTGATGTGATAAGGGAACGTAGAATGGAAGTGAAGTGTAAACTAATTTGTTTTATTTTGGCTGACAATTGGATGTGAAGATAGGAAAAGGAAGTTTAACGAATTAATTAATTGTTGATGGATGAAATTGAAGTGAAATGACATCAGATAACATGGAATAAGAGAGCAAACATACTGATAAGGAACATTTTCGCTTTTGTGCATGTGATAACGAAATTCTGAAATGTATATTTTCAAAATTTAGGTAAATTTTACGCAGTTTGTGAAAAAATTGACAAAAAAAAGTTTTGCTACCACTTGACAGGCGTACAAACATTGGTTTTGTTAGGTTTTTGCGTTTGGCAAACCTTTTATTTACTCAATTGTCCGTCCGATTATTGATCTCTTGTATGCATCGAAATAAAAATGACGTATTGGAGATGAAATGGGCGATTCACATAATTCTATGCTTCCGATTCAACTTTTTGGTAAATGCCGACGAAAATGAAGGAAAACGTGAGATCACTTTGGAGCAAAATCATGTAATTCACGAACATTGAGAAAAATTACAATTTTTACGAATTTACAGCCAATTTTCCGGATCTCAGCTTCACTAAAGGTCCCATGTAATGAATCAATGTGCACCGGACCATTAGCCGAAATTTATTGCCACGGACCCATTCTGATGAACGCGTGGCAATTTGGCCTACAGAAAACGTGTCCTGGAGACAGGTTATTGATTCCAGCTGAGGATGTGTACGCGAATTTTAAAAAGTCGGTTGATTTTACTTGAACAAATGTATAGAAAGACGATTTTTCAGATTGAAGTATCCAATTTTGAGAGATGATTTTGAAGCATTTTGTAAAGAAAATTTTGAGGAGAGGGGTTATTTACAAATTGCCGATTTGAAAGATTGGACGGCCGACCCAAAATTTCTTGAGCAAATAGCGAACGTGAATCACCGGCAAGTTTAATCGATCAATATCATGTTTTGTTTCTAAATCAGGCTTCAGAAAGTTGTCGAAGGAGCTTCACGACCGATGGAAGAGATTGGCACGTGTATTCACGCAAGATGTGCTACAAAACCCCGACATGTACCCACTAATACCAGTTGACAAGCCGTTTATCGTGCCCGGCGGACGATTTGATGTTTATTTCTATTGGGACACGTATTGGATAGTCAAAGGATTACTGGTCTCGGAAATGTTCGACACTGTCAGAGGGATCATTGATAATTTTTCGAGTTTGGTGGATAAACTCGGGTACATTCCGAATTCCGGAAATATTCAGTGAGTGTTTTAGTTTTGTCGTGAAAACATGATCTTATGAGCTCTTTGAAACTCAAAATTGCACGCTATGTTCTGAAAAACACACTATGAACACATGCTTCATAGAAACACACATAATATATGTTTTGTAGACTTACCCGCCGCTCACAACCACCTCTGTTTGGTCATATGATTTGGGAATATACTAAATCTACCAGGAAATACAATGCTGAATGGTTGCCAAGAATGAAGAAAGAAGTTGAGTTCTGGGAGAAGAATCGGACGATATCGATAGGTAACTACAACATGTTTGTGTACAAAGTAGGAGCTTTTTTCTGCCATTTACATACGTTTTTCCATTAGTAGACAGCTACAAACTGTCCCAGACCGGAAAACTTTCTGGCTGATTACAACCTCGGAATCCAGACATCAGACCCCGCTACAGTTTGGCGGTCAATCTCATCTGCATGTGAAAGTGGTTGGGATTTCAGTTCTCGGTGGATGCATCATGATAATTCTTCCGGTTAGTTTGACTTTTTTTTTAATTCCAATGTTTGAGACGTTTAATATTTCAGCTGATCTATCAAGTTTGCATACTGACAAAATTGTGCCAGTTGATTTGAATGTGATAATTGCTAACAACTATCGGTACTTGGCGGCTTATTACGATTACTTTGGCCGTTTTGAGTATGATTCACACTGTTCCTTCAAAATGTTATAGTCAATTTCAGTGAATCAGCAATATACAGGGAAAAGTTTGAGAAACTCTCCGAAGCAATTGGTTCTGTACTATGGGATGAACAACAAGGTGCTTGGTTTGACTATGATTTACTGGCCAAGAGAAAAAAGTGAGTTTGAACTTGAATACCGATCACAAAAACATCATTTTCCAGTCTGAATTTCTACCCATCCAATCTCTACCCCTTGATGATACCTGGATTTGAGAAGTACTCCTCAAAAGTGGAAAACTACGTGAGAAACTGTGGAGCACTGGATTTTCACGGAGGCATTCCATCAAGTCTCCCCGCTCAGTCGACTCAACAGTGGGATTTTCCGAATGTTTGGGCTCCAAACCAACATTTCGTTGTGAACAGTTTCTTATCCTCTAATAGCAGTTATTTGCAACAAGTGAGTTGTTATTCGGAAGATCTATATTAGTAAAATAATTATTTTTAGAAAGCCCGTGAGCAAGCTCTTATGTTTATCGAATCCGTTTTCAATGGATTATACAATCCCATAGATGGAAATGAAGGAGGAATTTGGGAGAAATATGATGCCAGAACTACAGCCGGTCGGCCTGGATCTGGAGGAGAATACTCGGTATACTGTTCTCGTGGAACTATTGCTGAAAAGTGCAATTATTTCAGGTGCAAGAAGGGTTTGGCTGGACCAATGGAGCTGTTCTAGACCTCATCTGGGCGTTTAGAACTCATGGCCGTAACGATAACAGTGGAACGGAAGAATTGACGCTGAATAACAGTCAACACGCTACAATTGTCTACGTCGCCATCTCATTTTGTGCTCTTGTTGCTATTATAGTTCTACTGAAGGGAATAATCTGTTCAACTCGAAGATATGAAGAGTTGATTGACGATAGGGATGCAGAGGAAAGGTTGATTGAAAGTAATAATGATTATGACGTGTGACTTTTCTTTTTTTACTTGTTGAGACTGATGTATATTGCTATTAAGATTGTATGAGTGAAAATTATTAAAACGTGACATACTTGCCAATGTTTCCAATCAATTCCAGCTCAGATCAATGTTACCGCAAAATTAGGAGTTTCGTCGCAACCAATAGTCTTTTTTCAAGATTACAGATGTTATAACGTTCTTCGAAAATCAACTGTAAATTCCGACATTACCCATTCTTTGTGCACTGTTAATACATCGATTTAATACAGTTTGTTTAGACATGGTGAAAATGTGAAGAACTCTTAAATAGAAGGAGATCGAGCAAAACAGTCAACTGCAATTTTTGAAAACATAAAATTATCACCAATCTGGAAGTTGGCAACATTTCGACATATCTGCTGGCTAAGGAGATACAGGCCAGAAAAACACTTTAGCGACATCATAACTGTCGATCACAAATATTCAAAGTCCCGCTATATCCTCGTTTACAGACCACCAGATACCTTGCCCGAACAAACTAGCTTCCTCGTCCAGAACATTATCGAACTCATTAGCTCTCGAGCCAAGGACACTTTCGTAATCGGCGATTTCAGTATGGCAGGGGTACATTGGAATTCGACCGATAACCGAGGAATCCATCCAGACTTTGCTAGAGACTCAAATTGTGAATTTCCCCACGCGAACTGCCGCATCCGGTAAATCCAATTTTCTAGATATTTTACTGACCGATTCGCCCGACATCTGTCTTCACTGCGAGAAAAGAAGGCCTTCGACTACAACTCTTTCAGTCGAATAAGAGAAGTTTGCAGGAATCTCGGCAAAAGCAAATATGCTGCATTGCACAAATTCAGGGTTATTCGGCAAAATGGACAGCTTGCGATCAGTGTCCGGGCTACTCGAGAGTCAAGAGCGAATGTTGTAAGGGATCAGGAGATCCAGAAACCACAGGTAACCGACCCGTCTCCCAGAGATCAATTTTCAATCGAGAGGGATCGTACCTCGCCCTCTCTCACCCAGCAAGCCTTTCTCGGGCACGGACTTGGCCCTTTCACCCTTCGATCTCATCCCCTACAATCTGATCACATTCCAGAGCGCCTTCGACTTCTAACTCGCCCACAGCGCCGCATTCCGATCCAGCAGCACCCTCAGAGCAACAGTTTCATGAGAACTGGAGGAAAAGTAAGTTTGTCGTGTGTTTCATTGACGATTTATTACTGTACTTGTTGTGTCCATTCAATTAGGATCAACTGGTTGCCTTCCGTTTAGGTCAAACTTTGTACAAAACTGTACGACTGCTGCATGTAGAGTAATGTCGACGGGATTGCAAGAAGAAAAAGAAGTTGTGAGATGTCCACACTGACTGAAGGTGGCGAATGTGAGTTTATTTATTCTCTCAAAAAGAGTGATTCATCTATCAAGTATTGTGACGTTTGCATTCCAGCTCTAGTTAGTCCCGAAAAACACATCGCCACATTTTTATTTCGTGTCCAGGTGCATTCCTCGAAAAAATAGCGCATGAAACTAAAAATCAATAACCGTTCGGGCGCCGCGACCGCTAAAAACAGGGCGCTAACGACACTCCGTTCCCCCTTCCTCAGTTAGTCAGCCCGCACCATTTCACATATTTTACTGCTTCTTGACGCAATTTCTCAGTTTACTTCTTCGAATATGGTAATTTCCATTCATATTTTTTCAGAAACCATAAAAGTACATTTTTACCGACCTGTGACACCGTGTTACAAAAGTTTCTTCTCAAATCGAATTTGGCTGTCTGTGTTCTTTCGTAAGTACCATTTTTGTTGGTGGTGATCGGCGAAAGCAGTGGACGCAGACAGTCAAAACATAATAAGGCCCGCTTGTTTATAGTAGCCCGCTTCGGGTTTTTACACAAGAGTTTCAAAAAAAGTGAAAAAATTGTTTGTTTACAGGATCTCAATATCGAATTGGATCGTGCGAAAGAGCAGATCGAGGAAATGATGAATACGCTCACAAAGAAAAAACAAGAGTTGAGCAGCAGCGAGCGCGAAGCTACGTCTTTGAGATTTGCGTTGAATAACACGGAGCGGCAGCTTGGACAAATGCAGGACAACTTCCGGACGGAAAAAAACTCGACCATGAGATACATCTACGAACTCCGCCGATTGAACAATGAAATGAAGGTTCTTCAAAAAGAGCGAGATGACGCGGTGCTTCTCGTAGACCAGACCAAGAAAGCTGGAGATGGAGAGAAGATCATCAAACTCACTCAGCAAGTGGAACAACTGGCTGCTCAGCTGGAAAACCAGAGAATTCACACGTTTTTCCAAGCTCAAGAGATCGAGAAGAAGAAGGCTGACGCAGTTGAGATGGAGAAAGAGCTTGGAATGTTCCAGGGCAGAGCTCTAACAGCGGAGTATGCCTATACCACGGCCGTGGCTCAGATTGCTCAACACCAAGGACAACTTTCCATGCTCCGCCAGCAGCTCGAAAACAGCCACCACCACGCTATTGGCAACCAGCTGGAGATACAGCAGAAGAACGCTCTGATTGATGCTGCGGCCAAGGAGCGAGAAAGCGCAAGAACTAATTGTGATGAGCTGACGCTGTACAAGCTCGAGTCCGAGCACCTCCGAAGCGAGCTCGAAGAGGCAAGACGACAAAAGGAGGAGATGAGCCGGGCAATGTTGATGCTCGAAGCGGACCGAGCGCGGCTGGTCTCTCAGCTCAATTGCAGAAAGGAGACAAAGAAGACGACGAAGAACAGCAAAGAGGGATCGCAGTGGGACGAAGGAGAAGAAGAAGACGATGATTCGATGATGGCTTCGGAGAATAACGTGAGTCTACCTTTTCATTGCCTGCGGGCGTCGTTATCAGACTGAAGCCGACTTATTTTGATTATCACTTGACAGTTGTTGTACCTGAAACTGTGTTTTTCAAGTTAACAAGTTCTCTCGAAGCTTCTGAGCAGAAACATGGAAAAAAATAACTTTTCTGATACACTATTGGTTTGATAAATGAAAGTTTAAGACGTGTGCCCCTGAACACGCTACAAATTACTATTTTCATTGCAGACTGAGAGCGCTTTCGGGAGACAAATTTGGCACTCCTGATTCTCTGCTGTCCTGATTCTTTTTCTGTCACCTTCCCTCGATACTGCTCTCCTGATTCTTTCTCTGTCACTTTCCCTGAATACTGCTCTCCTGTTGCTTCGCGGCATGGTCAAACTTTGATGTAAATAGTCAAACTTTGATGTTCTGACAATAAGCAAAATTATATTTTATCTTTTCTGCATTCTGCATTTTCTGCATTTCTGCATTGTATCTTTTCTGCATTTTCTGCATTGCATCTGTAAATCTATCTCACCAAAAACCTGTCTTCAAATTCTCCATGTCTACCATCTTCTGTAATTTATTTTCTCATCTCGAACTCCTTTTCTTTCTTCACTTGATTTTTCTTCACTCTTCACTTTCTTCACTCTGCATTTTCTGCATTGCTTTTCTGCATTTCTGCATTCTGCATTTTCTGCATTTCTGCATTGTATCTTTTCTGCATTTTCTGCATTGCATCTGTAAATCTATCTCACCAAAAACCTGTCTTCAAATTCTCCATGTCTACCATCTTCTGTAATTTATTTTCTCTTCTCGAACTCCTTTTCTTTCTTCACTTGATTCTTGACTTGCTCATCGATTGCCATTCTTTGTAGTTCACTCTTACTCTGATTCTCGTCCAAATTCACTTCTTCCATGCACGTTTTAATCGTTTACTAGTCTTTGAACGGCACACCACATTTTTGAGATTCAATAAATACAACGAAAACTTTGAACATTCATGTATTTTTAAACCGATCTGCAGCAGAAGCAGCTATTCTGTTATGAACCCTTTTTAACTTTTGATCGCCGTACTAATTTTATGAATAACCAACTTGAAAAAAGAAAACGTTTATTATACGAGTACAGGATAATCTACGGGAATTGTGCATTTATCAATAGCGTCGTGAATCAAAAAAGTTTTTGTCCTTTTCAGCAGTTCAGAGCTTTTTTCACGTTGGCCAAAGTCTGAAATATGAAATGGTGGTTTATACGAGATACACTCTAACCGTTTCAAATTGCTCTGAGCCTCCATTTCCACAGTTTCGAGAGACGTCCGTTCTCGCAGCGTTGACAATGTCAGAATTCAGAAGGCGACATTTGAGCATTGTTGAAATCTGAAAAAAGTTTAATAAAATCTAGAAGAAGAGCATTAGAACCTCATAGGGTGGGTTAATGACATCCAAAATGATCTTCACATTTGTGCTACTTCCGTTGTTTTGCAGTGTGTTTTGACATTCATCACTAACAACCTTCGGAGGGCTAGCAGTTTGAGCAGCGGTAGTCGTGGGAGGAATCGTTGGTGAAGGGGATGCAGAAGTTGAAGTATTTAGAGTTGTCCCAAGAGTTGTAGGGCTCGGAGTAGTAGATGCAACAGCGGTAGGACTTGTAGTAGTAGATGTTGCGGTTGTAGACCCTATTGTAGTAGATGCTGTAGTAGGTGATGTAGTTGTAGTAGATGTTGCAGTCGTAGGCCCTGTTGTAGTGGGTGATGGAGCTGTAGTAGATGTTGTAGTAGATGTTCCAGTCGTAAACCCTGCTGTAGTTGGTGATGTAGTTGTAGTAGATGTCAAAGTAGATGTTTCAGTCGTAGACCCTGTTGTAGTGGGTGGTGTAGTTGTAGTAGATGTTGTAGTAGACGTTCCAGTCGTAGACCCTGCTGTAGTAGGTGCTGGAGCTGTAGTAGATGTTGTAGTAGACGTTCCAGTCGTAGACCCTGCTGTAGTAGGTGCTGGAGCTGTAGTAGATGGCAAAGTAGATGTGGCATCCGTAGACCATGTTGTAGCAGGTGATGCAGTTGTAGTGGATGTTGTATTAGAGGATGTAATTCCGAAGTTTACAGTAATAAAATTTCTAGTCAGAGTAGTAGGAGCAGAGCCTTTTTTAACAAATTTATTTCCAGTTGAAACATCCGCCGTGCTCACAAATACAATGAGCACAGCAATGGCGGTGAAAATTTTCCAGAACATTTTAATATTGTTGATGAATTTCCAATGACTCTCCGTATATTTATACTGTAAAAACCCAATATCAAACAGAAGAGACGTGAACATTCTTTTGTATTCTGTAATTATTGCGGTTTTAATGAAATTGTTATGAAGGGAACAATCAATGATTCACCTTCTTTGTGTGCGCTTCAAAAAAATTCGTTTGTTTCAATTGTTTCATCGAAAATAGCGGCAGCAAAAATAAACTGAACTTGTGGTTCTGAAAATTCTGTTGTAGCTCAATTTTCTGTTGTAAAATCTGGCATTTAGAAACTCCGAGCAATTTGGACGACGGGGAGCATTCACACATTTGATTTGCTGATGATTGACGATATATTTTGTTAAATCGGTTCAACTCTTTAATTTTCAAATGAATTCGGCTTGTTCTAATTTCTGTGTTAAGAAAAGGTCTGTCTTTTTTCCAAATTTCGGGGTTTCAAATTCTGTTTTCGCTCAACATACATACTAGTACTGTCTCAGCGAGGGCCGTACTGGTCAGGGCCCTCGCAGCTCCCTCGACGACAGTGGTCTTGCAGAGAACTAGTCAGTGATGTGATTTGTTCTCCTTTCATCTATATTCATTTTATCTGAAACCCAGGCTTTCGTGAATCCGCTCAACACTGGTACTATCTCAGCGAGTGACGTGGCTACGGCGGACAGGGGTTGGCCCAGAATTAACCAGAGACAGGTTAATGGCGAGTGAGGCTCCCCCTATCATATGCGCAATACACTCTCCACAGCCCTTCTGCGACCGACCAACAGCAGTAGTAAACACATTAGGAAGAAGAATGGGAAAAAGAGACGGTGGTACTGTAAACAAAGGGGACAACACACTCTTTTTGGCAACACTTAAACTTTGCCAAAGATCCGGAAAAAAAGCTGAATACTCCTCAATAGGTTTTTATATCTATGTACTAGTCGGTTTGCTGCGAAACTTTTGTTGCCAATCCCCGGCCGCCGCGACTTCGTCCCTCGCTGACTAGCGAGACAGTAAACATGCGTGAGTATGGGAGAAGAGGAGGGGGAGGAGCGCGCTTCCCTCATTCGTCACTCACTTCACTCTCAAGACAGTTCGATTTGGGCATTGTGATAACTCCTTTGATGACGTGCACATGAATAAGTATAAGAAAAAAAGAAGAGCTGAGAGGGCAGCCTTCACTCGTCCCTCACTCCGCTTTCAAGTCAGTTCGCTGTGAGACCACTACTCTTCCACTTTTTCTCTCTACATTTCTTAGCGGACATTTTCAGAATTATCTTTTCTGGTGATTTTTCTTTTCAGGTATCAGCTCCGTCGAATATGGTCGTCAGGTGCCCCCTCTAAATAATTTTTCATTAAGAAAATGGAATATTTCAGAACGTGATAGTTCGCCATCGACTTGTTCAATTCCCTTATTTCTTCTTTATCCCTCGTATGTTTTTTGCGAAAATATCCCATTCCGAGGCCCGGTGACCTTTCTCTCGATTCCGCGAGAAAGGTCACCGGTCGTTTGCGCCCAACGAAACACGATCAGCAGTCTTTCCATTGCGACAACGCTTGGGGGGAGGGAGGAGAGATAGAAGGAATGCAAACGCGCTCTACGGATATTGCGCGGATCCGATTGGTTGCGCTTTCTCGCCGACTACCGTAGCCCTCAGAAATAAGAGTTCTGGCAAAAACAAACATACTGTTGGGGCGAACAGTATTGAATCCGTTTTTTCTTCCAGAAACCCTCTCATTTGCTATCCTCGGAGTCTGGTTTTTTAGCAGCGGAGCAAATTTCAGGTTACATCATCCGAATATTGCTGTTGGCAAAACGTTCTCTATTTTTACTTGGTACCGGTTGGAAATCATTGTTTCATGGATTTTGAAGTAGGTAAATTGTTTTCGATTCACCATTTTTCTTTGTTTGCAGGGCTCGTTCTAAATTCTCATAAACTACCGTAATCCTTCCATAATGGAAATATATCCATTATGTTTTTGAAATGTGACTTTTGCGCGCGCTCTCGCAACATTTGAAAGTAATGGGCAGGAAAAATGAAAGTGAGTCAACAGTGTTCCTCACTCGTTCGGCCTTCCCCCTCTCCCTTGCTTCTTCTTCGTGTTCTGTTTTCCGTTTTCCTGTCCAGAGGCCCAGACGTTTCGCAACTGCGACTTTTCGATACCCATGAACTTCAACAGCTCATATGCACGCTAAACAGTTCACGTTAGTTGCGAAACGTCCACTTTTCACAAATTTTGGAAAAAGTGCTTGACTGGCTTTTTTGCTTCTTTGTGAGCATTTGTTGCTTCCTCAGATCTGTGTAAGATTGTGTTCTTAGTCAAACAAACCAGTCCCTAGATCACGCAGCTATCAGATATGTATAAGTGATTCATTTGTTCCACGAGTCGGCGACGAGGTGCAGACTTTGACGCTTTCGCCTGCTCCCCCTTTCATAACTCTCGGTCGACGCGCTAATAAAAACATTCGAGTGAGACGGGTCAAATGTGAGTCAACCGTTCTCGATTTCCTCACTCGTCCGGCCTTCCCTGTTTTTGTCCTTATGTTTTGATTCCTGATTTCCTGTGCAGTCATTTTCCCACTCGTTTTTTGCCCTTTCTCCCCCTTTTTCATGTTCGGAATGCCGGAAAGGAACTCTTCTACCGCCCAAAATTCAATTTCGCATCGATCGTTTGCGGTTAAAGTACTTTTTGTTAACCTATGACTCTTGAATTTGAAGAAATTTTGAATTTCAGAGCGGAATCTATTCCTTCATCACGTTTTTGCCGTTAGGTTTATTTCGACCAGTCCGGAAAACCCATGCGGCTCACTTGCATTCCAGACTCTACCACTTTCCGGTGGATTTTTAAGTGCTAATGATAAAATACAAAAATGACTGTAACTTGGAAAGCGCCGAACATTTTTCTAAGAAAAACATTGGGACCGAACTAATATGAAAGTGGGGAACACTTTTCGACAATCTGCGTTACCTGATTATGAAATCTAAGAAACACTCTGCGGTCCTTAAACTTATGATAGTTTTCTAATGTAATATTTTTCCAGAAGCTCTCCACATCTGATATTGCAATGTCGAACTCTCCGTTGCCGACCAAGCCGAAGGTCACCCAGGTTAGTTTTCTTATTCCTTACCAGTCTAGCAAAAGTACCAAATATGTAAACTGTGTAAGCTCTAAGTATTAAAACTTCAGTTTATTCTGCTCTTTTCGCATTCATATCTCTTTTTTTTTCAGAAGGAGCTCAAAGCTCTCATTGCGGTTCTCGATCGAAACGATCCGTCCATTGCCCACACCCATCGCATCAGCGAGCGTGTTTATAACAAAGCGGTTCAGCGTGGAATGCAAATGCTGTCGCAGAATGAGCGCTTCCTTCGTGCGTGGGCCGCCGCTCGCAACCCGGTACATCACAAATTCAGAAGTCTCGATATATTTCTGGTTTTTAGCCACTCCGTCGCTCCAAGCGCCGCTCTGCTCCCCCAATCCGTTATCAGGCCGGCCAGCAGAAGTAGTACACACGAGACCTCACTATACCAGTTCGTCTGTAAATTTCCCGTTTCTGATCCCCCATCCTGTCCTGTCCGTTTCTATCATTCGTTAATTGTTTATTGCATTTTTTTTCTGAAAATCTGTAATACACGACGTTTTTGAAAGTCCTCTATTTTTTCTTCGAACTTTATGATAATCGCGGTATCTTCCGTGCCAATTTCTTGGCTCAACAATTCTCAGAATCGTCTTTCATTCTTAATAACATTTTTAAATTTGTTTCAAGAGAAGGCCAAGTCGACGTAGGACATGCTCATTTTACAGGGAATCAAAGTGCAGACTGGAATGTAAATACCGAGTCTCACCGCTTCAAATTTCCTTGTTTTCACCCCAGACGGTGACAAGCTCGCCGCGCGCGTTCTGTATGAAAGTCAGAGAATGCTGACACTTTTCTCACGAAGAAATGTGCATATTGAGCAGGACAAACAATAAAAAATCTCAGCTTTCTGATAAAAAAATTCCAGTCTCATTTCCAGACAAATAAACTTCAGGTGTATGCTTAAATTATGTACTGAACTTCAAAATCATTTATGTTATTATGTTGGGCATGGGACCAGCTTGTATTCCGACAAGAAGCTGAAGAACTGAAATGAAAAGACGGTTAAGAAAATGAACGATTGAAGATTCGAATCACCGAAATAACTGGGCAGAATCTGTACTTTACATTATGGTAACGTGAGTTTGCCGGTTCGGAAATGCCGTTATCCGCTAGATACACTCCCGCATTCGAACCTGGATTGCATTCGATTTTGTACACACCACTTGCCAATTGCACGCACTTCTAAAATGAAATGATTGTCTGATGGAATCTTCAAGAAAAGATAACTAACGTCCTCTTCTCCAGTGCAAAACGGTAACAAAAACTTGTTTGTTGACTTTTTAGCGGCAATGAAATCAAAGCAGGATTTGAGAAGGAAATCGCATCCAAAGTCTTTTCCGTAATTGTATTTACTGGCTTCCGGGTGGATAAAAGTGCGGTTGACTTGGTACCAACGTCTGGAAACTTTCAGATTTTAAGAAACTAGCCGAGATTCGTATAAAACTCACTTGGACGTCCACGTGTTTTCAAGCACATTTGCGGAGATGTGGCTGAAGAAGTTTTCCTTTCGTTCGAGTTCCGGTGTCATCAACTCATTCTGAACACAAACACATTTCTACCATTTCTATAAATGCCGTACTTACTCCGAAAATGTACTCATTGAGGTGATGTCCGTTATATTCCGCTTCAACGCCCTCCAAATGTTGATCACATCCGAAATGCTTTTTCACTTCTTCCACAGCTGTTGACCCGTATTTCAAAAACGTTCTTGTCGCCATTTCCATTTTTCCATCCTCAAATCTCCAATCATAATATTGAGACTTAGGAGCCTCCTCTCGACCAAATAATGGCGAATTCATAGTACCGTAACCCAGTCCATGAAAGATTTCATGACGGAAAAGATCAAAGTAATTGAAGTCCTTTTCATAACCCTTATCACAGTATTCCATTGTCGACATGTGAGGCCGGTCCCCAGAAATGACAAACTTTGGTTCAACTGCCGCTAGGAAGCTATCATCACTACATTTTTCATCGTCTCCTTTGATGATAACCACGGTATGATCGGCCTTGGCAAGAAAAGATCCGACGTCCTCATCATTGAACTTCAATTGGAGCGCTTTGTTGGGAGTCTGTACGGTGACAGAATCTAAGTTTCCTTTGTAGTCATCCACTTTCTCCTTCACAATGGCCACTGTCAATATCGTTTCAAGAGGTTCCACGTAAATCGCCTGTTCGAACCATTTGAGAGCTGATTGAAGTTGCATTTGAATTTCCGGTTTGAGCAGTCCGTGCTGGGAGATCACCTGGATCTTCATAGGCACCCAATTGTGACCAGAAGTCAGGGTAGCCAAAGAGGTGAAAAGAAGAAGAAGAAGAAAACAGAGTGAACAACAGGAAAGTGCTCGCATCTCTCGAAAACGAATGATTCGGAAAAAGAGTGGAAAGCAAGATATAGAGGAAATTGATTCGATTAGCGGAATAGGCGGGATGGAGGAAATATGGGAACAATCCTCCATGGGAAATTTTAGAAAAAGATTGTGCACAATGATCAAAGAACCAAGCACTTGCAGTAATCTGGATGTTCGAAGTGCAGATTGACAAGTTGTTGGGCTACTATGTATACTGACTAGACAAGCGTTCTACTGGCGACTCGCCATATATGTACATAGTCTATGTCAATTTTCAAAAAATGTCTTCGACCCGTGACCGTTTGACACTTTGAGTCTGAAACAGACGTAATTGTTCTAGCGAGCATTCAATATAAATATAACTCAATAAAGACTTTCCCGTAATCAACTGTTTTGCCTTCATTTGCGGCAGAGACAGCTACTGAATGGTTTTTCTACTGCAAAAACCACCACAGATACTGCCACTGGCTCAAATGAGCATTCTTTTGCAATTCCAGATGCGATACAATTCGTTGGAAGAGGACGTCAGTCGAGTGGGCAGGTTTGCAGCAGAATCCTCCAACATGAATGAAGATGTGCCTTTATCAGACAGCGCTAATCAATTGTTTCTGAAACAGAGATTATTTTAACATTTCTAGTAATTCGAAAATTCGTGTCGACGATAACTCCGATGACTCCGATGGTCCGATTGATTCAGCGTTACATTGGTCGTATTCAAGTATTTTCCCTCACAAACAAAAGATCCGAGGAAACGTCTCTCCGTTCTTCTTTTGCTATTACTTTTATTATTCGTTCTTTTGCGATTGGGCACTTGATATATGTCATCATTCGGCTCTTGTACTGGATGAGTTGGGAATCTGAAAAAATTACTTTCTATAAAAATAAGGTTTTTCCAGAACGAACTGCCGTTATGCGGCTTTCATCGCCGTCTCTTGTTCGTATCCAACATTTTCTTGTTTTTCTCCTCGTCAATAACAACTCAATTATTTCCTCGACTGTTCTGGCGCCTTTACACTGAAGTTTGACCAGTCGCATAGGTTGAAAGTCTCCGAATTCGTTGTTGAGAACGACCCGTCCATAAAATCAGAATGAAAAGTCAAATGGAGTCAAAACAATCCTCGGCGACAAATGGATCAACTGATTCGAACAGCGTTTCATAACTGCGATACTCGAGCGGAAAATGAAGAGACCGTCGCGTTTCCAGTTCTGTAAAATATTCTGGTTTAAAGCGCAAAACAAAGGAAACAATTCACAAGAGGAAGGAGGAAAACTAACAATTCTGGCCCAAAGGTGTCGCAAACTGAGTCGAGGATTGATTCGTTGCGGTCAACTGAAGAAAATAGAATATTAGGGACAAAGAGCCGTTTCAAACTCACGACCATGATGATGACGCTCAGGCATTTTTTCATGAACAGCGACTCACCGATTCTCTGACTGTTTATCTGCTTTTCCTCATAGTGTTAGCGTCGGCAATGTCGAAAAGGCGGCGAGCGTATCGAGTGCATATTGGCGACGTACTTTGACGTGTGTTGTTGCGGCATATCCTTCCGTTGTTTAGTCGTACAGATTTAAATGGAAGTTTTCTTTGTCCTGGCTGTTGCGGTGCAGGTAGAAAATCTGATTGGGAAATAGTTGTCGAGCAGGGGCCGAGTTAGTTAATTTCGGATGGCAGATTAGTGGCGTGTGCTTCCGTCTTTATCTGTTAAGTTTTTGGTCGATGAAGCGCAACTAAACAGAAAAAACAAAAAAAGAAACAAACCAGAATGAACGATGCCTGAGGGTACAATATCGATGATGCGTGCGTTGTGGTTTCGCAGCGTGTCTCGTCTCTCGTATCGTCAAAGTCGTCTTCTTCGCAGCTCAGCGCATTTTTCGATTTGTCCGATATGTTTTGGACAATCGGAACATCATCTTTCGTTGTGAAAGCTTACACGATGTCTGGCACACGGGCCATTCACTCTGCTCAACTGGATTTATAATCGTTCAAAATGTTTATTCAGCAGTTTAAAGTTTTGGAAAAAAAAGGAATAGAATTTTTAAAAATGAGAGCAGAAAGAAGGAAACAATAAGGGATGATCTGGTCATCATGTTCCTATCTTGACAGACAACAATGCTGATTTTTCAGTTAGGAGGGAATGGATAGTTCGGCCAATAGAATTCGGGGTTTCCAACGTTAACTGGAGCTGGTGGCATCTGATCTTCTCTCGCTGGCATCGGATTGAGTGCAAGGACATGAACATGTGGGTGATTCACTCCATCAAAAACGGCTTGCGGTGCTGCCCCATTCAGTCTTGGCCTGAGATTGTGAAGAATGTGTTCATGCGCATTGATGTTCGGATGTTGAAGTGGAGGATGCATCGGACCCAGCTGGTGGGGGACTGGGATGGGAATCATCATTGCTGGCATTACATGTGGAAGGTTCATTCCAGCGTGGAAAAATGGCGGTGCTGCTAATGGTATGAACTGTAGTTGCATGTGCTGTTGGTTTGGGACGGGAATGTTCTGAATGTTTTCAGCACGACGCTCATTTCCTGGATGGTGAACTGGAAGCTGCATTGGATTCAGCTGAGGCGGGACTGGGATGGGAGCAGGCTCATTTGCCAAGTTGTCATCAACATCCATATCCTCATCCATCTCCTCATCCGTATCATTATCCATATCAAGCACAGGAGCTGGTCCGTTTCCGTTGTCGGCAACGTTCTGATGGTTTCCAGCGTGACCTTCTACGTTCGCACCGTTTTCCAGATGGTCCTGGGCAGGCCGATTTACTGTCGGACCCAATCTCAACAAAACTGCATTCAGAACATCCAATTGTTCTTTGAAGGCTTCCATCGCACTAGCTTGATCGGTAAAATGATCCAACAAAGCGTCCAGGGTTTTGGCCAACTTTTCTGCTTCTTCCCTTCTGTTGGTAGTTGCTGGAACTTGTTTCGACATTTTGTTCACTGCTTTTATCGCGTTCTGAATACTTTGTTATTAAAAGTGTACGGAATGTGCCGCACTTACTTGCAAAACCCTATTGAGCTGGGCCTTCATCGATTCCGCATCTTCTTCGTAATCCAACAAGCTAACTCCAATCGACTCAAGAGTTGGATAAATCCGTCCCGAAGTTTCCTGAAAGGATACAACCCGTTTGATAAAAGTTAGTATGCATGAACTCACTCTGTTATTATTCCTCATCATATTATTTTCATTCGCATGTTTCCTTCTATCGTGAGCGTCGAAACATCCTTTGCAAAGCAATGCATCAATATCGCACAAACATGTGAATAATCTGTAAATCACATGCATTTCCAGTTTCACAGTCCGTAAGGCCTTACTCTCTCTTGGGAAATTCTCTCTTGCAGTCCTTGCACAAACGCTCCCAATTTTTGTTTTGAGCCTTCCATTGAACAGTTTCATCCATTTCGTTGAAGCCCCTGATCATGTCGAGAATTGCATAGTTTGGACGAGCATTTTCAGGTGTAACGGGACCACGGCAAGTGAAGCACTTTTTCACTGGCACATCATTGACTATCATGAACCAGCAACGTTTACAAGCAGTGTGTCCGCACGGTTGGCTGAGCGGAGCAAAGTCTTCTTCGTCTGAAACAAAATTCAATTGCAGTGTATATTACGAGAGGGGACTTACCGTAATTTGCAAAGCATATCGTGCATGAAAACATGTTTTTGATAACTTTAGCGGTGTAAGCCATTCTGAATAAGCGACCAGAGAATCGACACTCAGTCTATGAGTCGAACAGAAAGAAATGAGGAACTGAGAAGTGGATGAGAGAGTTCTGAGCTCAGCGACCAGATTGGAATGAATGGAGAATCCTCAGAACGTCTCTGTTATTCCATATTCACATCGGAAACGCAACGCTTTCAATGCGCTACCGATGCGCCAGCACCACAGTTCGCACCTCGAGTAGTACCTCTGATCGTCACCCCCCCACGGCTCGGCTCGCACCCACGTAGAAGACAGGTTGTAAATGAAAATCGCAAACCATGTTTCCAACAAGGTTTGCTGTTCAAGCCATTGGAAAGATATTTGTGCAGCACTTTATGTCAGAAAAAAAAATTATCAGTTATCAATGTCGCAACACCTCTCCAACTGGATTCTGATTGCTGGACTTCTTTTCTCGGTGGATAGCGTCGGTATAAAGCGTTCCGGAGCGGAGGTGTCGTGGGAATCTGCTGATAAAAAGGTGATGTTAATATCTGTTGGAGAGTCGGCTCAGAACAAGTAAACTTCGACAGTGATATAATTCTTACTATCATTAGTGCTGTGCAGGTAGAAAATCTGAAAGAAACCCTTCAGTTGTCGGTTACGGTGGTCTTCCGCCTCGAATTACCGTTTTCAGTTGCATCTTCTTCGATGGAGTGGCCAGCGTTTCGTTGGTCCCCTGATAATGATCTGCATGTTCCGCATGTCCTTCTACTCATCGATACTATCCGGAAAATGCAGGACGGAGATTTGTCCGGAAGCAAACTTCCAGTAAAGATAAAATGTTGATGTGAACACAAACAACAACAAAATGATATTCAGAAAAACGATTTCATTCAACAGTCAGACTGTTTCTTGGAAAAGTACTTGTACGGCAGTCAGCATTCCCGTTTTTCTATTGCAAAAACCACCACAGATACTTCCAGATGCGAAATGGGTTTAAAATTCCAGATGCGATACAATTCGTTGGAAGAGGACGTCAGTAGAGTGGGCAGGTTTGAAGCAGAATCCTCTAACATGCATGAAGATGTGCCTACATCAGACAGCGCTAATCAATTGTTTCTGAAATAGAGATTATTTTAACATTTCTAGTAATTCGAGAATTCGTGTGGACGATCTCTTGTACTGGATGAGTTGGGAATCTGAAAAAATAACATTCTATAAAAATAAGGTTTTTCAAGAACGAACTGCCGTTATGCGGCTTTCATCGCCGTCTCTTTTTCGTATCCAACATTTTCTTGTTTTTCTCCTCGTCAAGAAAAACTCAATTATTTCCTCGACTGTTCTGGCGCCTTTACACTGAAGTTTGACCAATCGCATAGGTTGAAAGTCTTTGAATTCGTCGTTGAGAACGACACGTCCACTAAAGTCATTTCAAACTCACATCCACAATTGACGACAATGTCGATGACAAGGAGAGTGACGCGGCACGGATTGTCAACGAGCGTCCGATCTCTCGTTCTCCTTCTGCCAAATTTCGGCAGCAGATGCGTCTTGTTGGAGTCAAAACAATCCTCGGCGACAAATGGATCAACTGATTCGAACAGCATTTCATAACTGGCGATACTCAAGCGGAAAGTGAAGAGACCGTCGCATTTCCAGTTCTGTAACATATTTTGGTTCAAAACACATAAAAAGAAAACAATTCACAAAAGGAAGGAGCAAAACTAACAATTCTGGCTCAAAGGTGTCGCAAACTGAGTCGATGATTGATGCGTTGCAGTCAACTGAAGAAAATAGAATATTAGGGACAAAGAGCCGTTTCAAACTCACGACCATGATGACGATGCTCAGGCATTTTTTCATGATCAACGACCCATCGATTCTCTGACTGTTTATCTGCTTTTCCTCATAGTGTTAGCGTCGCCATTGTCGAAAAGGCGGCGAGCGTATCGAGTGCATATTGGCGACGTTACAGATAAGGATGGTGATAATATTTAGATTGTCGCTGTACTGGAGAATGTAGATCGTCCGAACGATCCTCATGGTCTTTTTCTTCTCTCTGTGCACGTCGGCTGAAATGACCACAAAACTCTCAAAGCAACGGCTTCTTCGACCAGATCCGTGCTCTGAAAAGTGCAAAGTACAATGAAAATGAAAAGATGATGGAGAGAGAAATTCGACCAATTCCTCTCTGTGACTGCAAATTTATCAGCAGTCTTTAGAATCACAAGGGGCAGTCCTCGAAGAGGCTTGTGACGACAGTCGGCCCGTTTGAATTGCCACAAGTTCTCCGCACATTCCATCAATATCTCGACGAAGGAGAGTCGCTCATCGATATCCTCGTCAAATGAGTCGATCCTCCAGGAGTTCACACGATTCTTGGCGTTAACGACAGCTACATCATCGATGAGCTCGTTGGAAAGGATCGCAAACAATCAGATCGATTGCACTTTGGAGCCGCTGCCATCCACACTCATGGATCAAGAGAAGAAGCTGAAAGAAAGCAGTATTGAGGTCGAGCATTATTAGATGCGAGTCGATGATTTATCAAGACTTAATCGTTGTTTCGGAAGCGTACGTGATGCAAGACTTCATCTGCTCCTAATCATCCAGAAACTGACCTGCGGGAGGTTCCTGGTTTCCTCTTGGATAGTATAGCCAAGTTCACAGAATAAGTATTATGTTAATTGTCCACATCATATTGGGGAAAACCTGAAAAAATTCATCGGCGAAGAAAATAACTGTTCTTTTTCATTCTAACCGCAGCTCCATCCGCCTCAAGCGTTTCCATATTTACGGCAGTTTCCAACGACTCCTAAAAACAAAATTTTATTTTTTTTGTTGCAAAAAACTGTCGCGAAAAATAGCGACTCAGTGCCAAGTAACACACTCATCTGTCGACTATTCCTCCAAGCCGGACGACTGAAGGAGAATACGATGGCAACTCCACACCTCCTTTACTTCTTTTACTTCTCCTCCTCGTCTTTTCTTTTATCGGAATATCGTCTGTTGAACCGTGGGCTCGTCTCAATGGTCCCATCGCAATTACCTCTCCTTCTGTGTTCCGTCGCAATTACCTCTCCTTCTGTATTCCGTCTCACTCATACGTCCACAGCATCCACGACGAGCCGTGTCGACGCACAACGTCGCGGCCTCGCAGCGCGCGCACTCTCGTTTTCTTACACTCTTCTGCATACTCCGATGGGGCATCGGCCTTTGCTGCGCGCAGAATCGATGGTTGTTGCCTGCACACTTTCACCGTCTGGACATTCTCTCTTTCTCGCACTATTTCCCGCACTCTCCTCCTTCTCCTACCCGTCCACCTTCCCCCTCCTCCTCCTCCTCTGCCACAGTTGCGTGCCAACCGAGCGCACAAAACAGATCATTCCTCTCGGTTGCCTCGCATCATTTTCCGTTTTTTACTTCTTTTATATCACGTTCTTGTGCTCAAATCTAAGCGTCGGTCGAATAGAGTTCTTAAGCTTATCCGATTTTTCAGAGCACCATGCATAGAATCAAGAAAAAGCATGTTGTCATGAACAGTTACAACATTCATGATCTAATCAACAATCCGGAGGAATCGGAATCAGACGACTACGAGGACTACGAGGATGACTATATGATGGAGATGGAGCAGGAGCAGGAGACTGGAAATGGACGTGTCCGCAGCTCCAGCGCTCAACGTAAGTAGAAGGCAACAAGAAACTTTCAGGTTGAACTGTGTTTGATATGTTAAAAGGCGTCGGAGGACTGGTGCTTGGCTGGCTTATCTAGAACTAGGTTCTTTTCCATGTGGCGCGGAGTCACGTTAGGTTACAGAGTTCAAGTTCCCACAAAAACTCGGTTCTTTTCCATGTGGCGCGGAGTCACGTTAGGTTACAGAGTTCAAGTTCCCACAAAAACTCCGTGGATTTGTTTTTTACTGCCTTGGTACCATGCCGCTTGTTGAGCAATTTTCGTAACAGACCAGGGCTGGGCAATTGGCCGGCACGGGCTTTTCGTTGGCCGGCCCTTGACCTGTACTCTTGAACCACTTGCAATATTCCGATTGGATCCAAACTTTGCAGGATTGTTGGACTTGGATTGAGGGCCATTGGGTCCAAGTTTCAGCCCGATCGGATCGTCGGGTCCCGAGATATGTGGATCATTGGCCGATTTTTTCCAAAAAGCCCGGGCTTCCGGCCAATTTCGGCCCATGATCTACATTTCTCGGGACCAGATGATCCGATCGGGCTGAAACTTGGTCCCAATATGCTTCAACCCATGTCCAAGAAACCTGCAAAGTTTGGGTCCGATCGGAATATTGCACGTGGTTCAAAAGTCCAGGTCAAGGGCCGGCCAACGAAAAGCCCGTGCCGGCCGATTGCCCAGCCCTGTAACAGACTAATCTCAAAAAGGTTCCGATCCTACCTAGTGATCTTTCTTGTCGGGCAAAATGAGAAAAACTATAATACATATGGTACGAGGTTCGAATTGTATCGATTTCACCAGACTTGAAACAAAGCTAAAAACCAGTTATTTTCCCGAATTTTCTCTCAAGTAACAATATAACATTTTCAGCCGTCAAGGAGTCCAACGGCGGATCTGAGGAGGTTGAGCCGATCAAGCTACGCAAGCTTCAAGAATTCTTTACGGTGAAGGAGACTCGCTCCATCTTCCACTTCCTTCTCGGAGAAATCCGAAGCCAGAACAAGCACCGTTTGGGACGTGTCGCAAAACGACGCATCGAGATTGGATCTATCGACTTGTGGACAAAATTCAAGAAGTGGAGTAAGGGGCGAAGAGAGCCAGCCGTGTACCGAGGACAGTAAGTGCATATTTATCTGTACAGAATCATGACAATTATGAAACGTTTTCAGCTACCGCATGAACGCCAACAAGCTTCACACGTTGTCCGGTCTCAGCATGATGGACAAACTCGACTTGTATTACGCTCTTGATATCAAAGTGAACAAGCTTGTCCGGCGGCAACTCACTGAGGAGTACGGATTGGAGATGACTGACGAGGGTGTTATCACTGGTAGTTCCGTTCTCAAACACTGGGACCTTGTTCATCCGGACTCTGACCAGGAGACCGAGGGACCGCTCAAGATAAATAAAAGAAAAGGATGGCTTAGATTCACCGAGAAGGATGACGGTTTAATGTGGCAGTTTGTGCTCGACTATGTTCAACAGTACCCGGATCGCAAAATCTGCGGGACTAAAGTTTGGGTTGAATTCATGGATGAGTACAAGTACCGAGGAATCGCTGGTAAGAGAACGCCCGAAACTTACCGTGGGAGATATCATCGCATACTGGAACCAAATCTCTACTTGATGCCAATCGATATCGAAACGAAGGCTGCTCTCTATCAGAGCCTGAATGTCGAGGTGCCGCTAGAGTTTCGAAGAAAGTATGCGCTTAGTCTGAAAAATGGTCAAAAATATTGATTATCATTGCAGATTGATTAACGAAACCGGTGTTAGACTGGCCAAAGACGGAAAAGTCATCGAATATGCGAATCGTCCAGAACACCCGGTTCTGCAATCACGCGTCTACGAGGATCTCATTGGCATTCATTCCGCCAACCGCACTTCTACTCTCAAAAAGCCTGGAACTGGCGTCAATGATCGTGTTCCGTACACAGCAGAAGAGGACCACGATATTTGGGAATTCATCATAAACAGTATGCGGAATAAGCACGGAAAGCCACTGCGAAACAAGAAAAAGATGACAGGATGGGTGTTGTGGCGCGCCTGCAAAGAAAGTATGGGCTCTGAACGGCAATGGCAGAGTCTCAGCCAACAGTAAGTTTACGATTTGACGTTTACAATATCAATTCTGCCATTTTACAACATTGCGGCGAACAACTCCTTCTGTCTCATTCTTCTGTTCTTGTCACGTTAAACATTATTTTTGCAGTTTTATCGAACACCTCATGGACAATGTGATGGCGACGGAGTATGATTTGAAGACAAAGATAGAATTGTACTTCTTCCTCGATCTTCCTGTTGATGAGGAAGTATTGCGAGTGTAAGAAATTCCGACTCAGACGCTTCTCCTCAAACAAACTGTTTTTCTTTTAGGTTTGAGACCGAGGCTATCATTCTTCTCAACCGAAAACGTGTTATCAGACATGCAATGGGAAAACATTCTTACTGGGGAATAGGCCGAAAAGACATTATTGGGAAAGAAGGAGGATACGCCGTCGACAATTCACCAGAAGACGAAGATGGTGATGATGAAGACGACGACGACGAGTACGACGGCGTCGAACACGAATACAGCTATGAAAATCTTGCTGATTTCATTGAACGTGAAGAACAAGAAGCAAAAGCAAGTGATTTGTTGGATTCCGTTGTCAAAGTCGAAAATGCACCGAAGACTGCGGCCAAGACCGATCAACAGTATCAACCTGAGCCGCATGCTGTTGCCGCTCCTGTCAAATACCCTGTGCACGGCGGGCAAAGGCGCGGTGAAGTCCCAAATCTGCCGAACAAAGATCGCTATCCATATATGTAAGTTTCTGAACTACTTTGTTCTCAGTTTAATGAAAAATATCATTCCAGCCCACAATATGCCCGCCCGAGAGTATTCCGTGATCCGGCTTCATTTCCTGACATGCCCCCAAAGAAACGTGGACGGCCGCGCAAAGTGAACCCGACGGAAGGACCGGCAGCAAAGAGAGCTCGGATCAAGAGAACTTTCAAGTATGTTTTTCCGGAGTATCTTCTGTTCAGATAATTTACAAACTTATGAATTTTAAGGCGGTTCTTCAACACACCATACGAAGATGGATTCTCGAGTCAAGGCCCTAGCACGTCGTCCCAAATTTTGAGCTTTGAGAATTTGACGGATAACGGATTCGAAGCGAATAACGTTACGGAGAAGAAACCAGAGTTTCTTATCCAAGACAGCTCGAAAGACGTCAAGCAGGAACCAATTGATGACTGCGAACCTGTTCGTGGTGTTCAACGAGCTCTTCCGAACTCTCGCCCGATTGCCGTTTTCAACCAGACAGCGAAATTCGATCCTCGCCTCCTCGACTCCTGCAGCAGAGCTCTTCCTTTCAGACCAAGACGACACGTGCGACTTATGCCGGCTCCCGTTGCACAAGCACAAAAACCGGGCAATCGAATGCCGAAGAAGAAGCCGTTGCCTTATGAGACTGTCACCGCCACCGTCACCGCCCACAACCAACGTGCGTCATCGTCGATGCTCCAGAATGGAACCTCTCAATCTTTGTCAAGCAACGTATTTGGGCAGCAGGTCGAAGCTGTCGAGAAGAAGCCGGATTGTTTACTGCCTGTGGAACCGCAGGAAGTGAAGCAAGAACCCATCGACGACTATGAGCCTGTGACCAAGGCGAATGGACTCTCTTCATCTTGGAGGAAAGACGATCCAAAAGACGAACAGAAGCCGAACCCACTCCATTTAATTAAGCCGAATGCCGTTGACGCGAATCATGCTTTGGGCAACCTTCATGTCGTCAAGCGCTCAAATGCGGACGAATGCAGCAGAACTCTTCCGTTTGCACCAAGCCCCCACAAGAAGGTTCCCGTTGGACAGACTCCGGATGTCGCCACCGCGACCCCAAGTAATCGTCCACAACGGCTTCGCGTTGTGAAGGTGATCAGGAAGGTTGGACCACCAAGCAACACGCCGTCGACCGGTATCGACGCAAACGATGAGACCAAGTTCACCCCAATTCCGTCTTCGATTGTCGGAGCGGGAATCGGAGTGAATGCCGGTGCCGGATTGAGGATGCTTGGAGGTGAAAACGATCGTGTGTGTGCCGCTCCAACCACTACCACAACATCAGAACGAGTCCGGTCGCTTTCCCCGATTCCCCCGGAAGTGGAAATCAAGCAGGAGCTGGATTTTGCTGCAGAGGAACAGTGAGTGTTGCTTGAAACTATACAAGAGGCATCATATTCTCTCTGTGATTCTTTTTGAGGGTGACGTAGAACATTCTAGTCCATTTGGCCCAAGACCACGGTTTCCGCCAAGTCCGCCGGCTGAACAAGAAATACTAGGCCACTCCATTTAGGTCAGCGGGCCGAGAAACGGAAAACGCGAAAAAAAGAGTCCACTTTTAGAACTTTGCTATTTTGCCGGATTTAAAACATCAACCAGAGAGTGGTATTCCAAATATTTATCAAATTTTGTGAACCCTAGCATTCATTTACTCATTTCAGAAACGTCGAATACGCTCCACAGCATTACGACAATCCACGGCTTATGGTAGAGCCAATTCCCGACATTGAGAAGGCGTTCAACGATTTGACCGTTCAACTTCATCAATTTACGGAGAGAATCGAGGACAACGCCGAGGGACTGGCATTGAAAGATCGTTTCACATACTCGACTCGCATTAACGTAAGAGATCAACAAAAAGGGAAAAAAGACAATAATTTACTTTTTTTCAGACGATGCACAAGCATTTTAAAACAACCACCCGTACCATCTTCGCCGACAGTAAGAAGGAGGACAAGTAATGAATGCCAATGACTCCATTTCCTCCATTTTCTTTGATTTTGAACGCTTCATTTTTTCGTTCTTCAATTACCCGCTATATTTTTATTGGTTGTTTATTCAAGGTCTCGCCCCTCCCAATTTATTCAAATGAAAGTGTAAAAATGAAGTGGTGGCAAGTGATAAAGTCAAAAAATGTGACACTGTTGAAAATTACACTAGCTGGTTCCATTGGGAGGGTCATCGTCTCAAAAAAAGTCAAAATAGCGAAAATTTTACGACGAATTTTCAAGAAGTTTCCAGAAATATTTTGCCGAATCTCAAAGTCGGAAAATGTTCTCCATATCTTATAGTACCACCCCTTTTTCAGAAAAAATCATGTTTCTGTTCATTAATTTCGACCCAGAAATGACACCAGAAGACTTGGTTGACTTGTTGACAGCGGACCTTCTCACGAACAGTTCTCTTTATGCCTTCCCAAGTGGACCTTTCTTTCCAGGACCGCCGCAAAGGACTCATGGGTGTCAATAAGACGTGCCTTCAACACCTGCTTTAAAATGGTTCTCTAACTTAATTAAATCCGAAAACAAGATGAAAACAGAAAGGTTATTATTTTATTCATTTATAAGCAATCGACTAAAGCGTCTTTCCGGAGCATCGTTGTACAGAACTTTCTAACGCGTTCCTTTTCAATTTTCGACCCTTTTTTGGCTGACTTTCAAAGGAAGTCGGGTGTAAAACGCCAAAAAATCGAAAATTTTTTAACAAAACAGATCTGTTTATTGGAATAAATTACAGTAGCATTTTCATGTTGTTTCGAATATTTTTGCAAAGATTACATCACATTGAATGTGTTGCCATACTTTTGGCGCACCCTGTATATTGGGTCCACGTTACAGACCGATCGGACAACTTCAATCCTTCAATTCCTTATCACTTTTTTCCGAATCCTCTTGGCACGGTGCCATGATGCTTCGAAATCCTAATCGTTCTTTCCCATCAGAGCCCTTTATCGGAGTCCTTATTACTAATCTCCGTCTGTGATTAAGTAGGTTTCTTTGAAACTTGCCGCAAATCCGCTGCAAGCTCACATTCCCACACCTGCGGTCTTAATTACCGGCGGAGATTAGTGATAAGATTGATAATTGCTGCTTTTGAATTCCTGTGGCTTCGAGAATGGCGTCGTCCGTTCTCCTAAGCCTGATGACGTCGTGTGAGTGATGGTGGTGCAGGTCTCGCAGGTTTGCCCGTGACATTCAATATCACTTATTCCCATTTCAACCCTTAACTAGAACGTATTGTTGTCAAATCGGTGGTTGTGTGTGTAAACACGGTCACGTCCGTTGGTACTGCTTCGAAAAAGGGGGGTGGCAAATCGATTCACTCACTCTCCTTTCCTTTCCTCGGCTCTCGCCATTCAGCCCCCCGTTTACCTTATTTTCGTTAATTTCTCGCATTTTCCTCTCTCTCTCTCGATTACTTGTGAATTAGTTATGAATCGAATTGAATTGTTTTGACGTAAAAAATGTCCAATTACAACAATTTTGAATTAGGAAAAAAAAGAATTAGGAAAATATACATTTTTCAATCCTTTGAATTATTCTGAAAAAATGTAAAAAAAATACAGAAGAGCCGATGAACCAAGAGGAAAAAGACGAAGAGCTCAAGGAGCTGAAACCCGCCGAAAATAAGGGTTTGTACTTGAAGATTTGTTCTCGTCTTATGACTGTACTTTTCAGCCGAGGCGCCTATGCCCACTGAACAATTCCTAAAAGAATGCAAAAACGAAATGGGAATCTGTAAGTAGTCACTTCAACACGCCTTCACAGAATTGGAACCAATTTCAGCAGAAAATATGAATCCCCAATCTGACGAAAGTCTCGAGGAGATTCTAAGACAGATCGATTGGCTGCGTCAACTCAACGCGCCGGAAAGAGAAATGGAGGCAAGGTTGGAAAAGGAAAGAAAGGAAGTTGCGGAGCTGGAGAAACTGAAAATGGAGCGCGACGCAGAGATGGCGATGGAAAAGGAAAAACTTCTCGCCGAGCTCGCCGCTATTCAACGTGAGTAGTGGAAGCTTCTTTTCCTCACTCAACTGGAACACTTTCAGAATATGGAAAGTACCTGGAAAGTTTGTTGCCGCATCCGGTGCCTCAACAACCAACCACGAGTTCCGAACCGTCGCCGTCCGGAGAGGATCAGGATGCGGGACAACAATAAAATGCCGTTTAATTGATTTTGATATGAGCAAACAATAAACATGTTAACATGAAACATTTCATACATACAAAATTTTGACGTTTTTTATCACTAGATAAAAACACAAAACTTTATTTTCCCTGTTTTTTTGCGGTGCAACGACTTTATAATGGATGTGACTGGCACTAAAAAGATTCTCTAACCCATCTTTTATTTGAATTTGCACTCGTACCCCTTGATGTTTCTGTGTTTTATTGAAGGATTCTAATTTTTGAACGCCACGCCCACTGATCAGAATGGCCACGCCCACTGATCAGAATGGCCACGCCCACTGATCAGAATGGCCACGCCCACTTATCAGAATGGCCACGTCCACTGATCAGAATGACCACGCCCACTGATCAGAATGGCCACGCCCACTTATCAGAATGGTCACGCCCGCTGATCAGAATGGCCACGCCCACTGATCAGAATGACTACGCCCACTGATCAGAATGGCCACGCCCACTGATCAGAATGGCCACGCCCACTGATCAGAATGGGCACGCCCACTGATCAGAATGGTCACGCCCGCTGATCAGAATGGCCACGCCCACTGATCAGAATGGCCACACCCACTGATCAGAATGGCCACGCCCACTGATCAGAATGGCCACGCCCACTTATCAGAATGGCCACACCCGCTGATCAGAATGGCCACGCCCACTGATCAGAATGGTCACGCCCACTGATCAGAATGGCCACGCCCACTGATAACAATGGCCACGCCCACTTATCAGAATGGCCACGCCCGCTGATCAGAATGGCCACGCCCGCTGATCAGAATGGACACGCCCACTGATCAGAATGGACACGCCCACTGATCAGAATGGCCACGCCAGAGTTGAGCGGAAATGGAATTTTGAAAACCGGAAGACGGAAGACGGAAGAAAATTTTTCTTACGGAACACGGAAAACGGAAGACGGAAGAAAATTTTTCTCACGGAAGACGGCAGACGGAAGACGGAAGAAAACTTTTTTCCCGGAAAACGGCAGACGGAATACGGAACAAAAAATCGTCAATTCAGAGCCTTTTTTTCCGGTTTTTTTTTGAAAAAAATAACTAAAGCAACAAAACTTTTGGATCTGGGTACTGCCCGTGGAAATTCGCGTTCTTCGGGACTAGTAAATGGCTTTTGAAAAGCTATTACTCTTTTACGGTAAGAAAAAAAATCCCGGAAGACGGCAGACGGCAGACGGAAGAAACATTCTTTTACGGAAGACGGCAGACGGAAGACGGAAGAAAACTTTTCTCACGGAAGACGGCAGACGGAAGACGGAACAAAAAAAACCACGGAAGACGGAAGACGGCAGACGGAATTCCGCTCAACACTGGGCCACGCCCGCTGATCAGAATGGCCACGCCCACTGATCAGAATGGCCACGCCCGCTGATCAGAATGGCCACGCCCACTGATCAGAATGGTCACGCCCACTGATCAGAATGGCCACGCCCACTGATCAGAATGGCCACACCCACTGATCAGAATGACCACGCCCACTGATCAGAATGGCCACGCCCACTGATCAGAATGGCCACGCCCACTTATCAGAATGGCCACGCCCGCTGATCAGAATGGCCACGCCCACTGATCAGAATGGCCACGCCCACTGATCAGAATGGCCACGCCTACTGATCAGAATGGCCACGCCCGCTGATCAGAATGGCCACGCCCACTGATCAGAATGGCCACGCCCGCTGATCAGAATGGCCACGCCCACTGATCAGAATGGTCACGCCCACTGATCAGAATGGCCACGCCCACTGATCAGAATGGCCACACCCACTGATCAGAATGACCACGCCCACTGATCAGAATGGCCACGCCCACTGATCAGAATGGTCACGCCCACTGATCAGAATGGCCACGCCCACTGATCAGAATGGCCACACCCACTGATCAGAATGACCACGCCCACTGATCAGAATGGCCACGCCCACTGATCAGAATGGCCACGCCCACTTATCAGAATGGCCACGCCCGCTGATCAGAATGGCCACGCCCACTGATCAGAATGGTCACGCCCACTGATCAGAATGGCCACCCCCACTGATCAGAATGGCCACCCCCACTGATCAGAATGGCCACGCCCACAGGGGTATACAAAGGTAGTTATTGCCATGCAAGAAGTCAGCTCTCTCTCTCTCTTCCTTCCTCTGACGTTATTGCTATGCAAGAAGTCAGCTCTCGAGAAAATTGGTAATCTGGTGAGCTTGTACATTTTCAAGAATTTATGTTGAACTTTTTTGTGTACTATCTGAATTCCTTCATATGATCATAATCATTCCGTTTTCACTCAATTGGTCCTAAAGAACCTGGTACGTGCACTAGTGTCGCTAATGTCTAGATTGCAGGGCCCAGAAAGCAGGGCGCTGAAATCTGCTTATTTCTGACTTTACCACGACTGTCGAAAACAATATCGCAATATGGGTTATACTCCAGTGCTCCAGTGCAGCATTTCAGTAAGATTCACCCTACCCTAAAGACTAACATATGTAAAAAAAAAGAATAGAATAAATACACGTTTATTCTATACAGACAATGTCAAAAAGTACAAACAAAGTGTAAAAAGAGAGTGGCCACAGTCAACTTCTCAAGAAAACATATATATTTAGTTGAGGAAACCGTACAAACTTGCTGACTGGGGTGATGATTTGGTTAGACATGGTGGCGAAGAAAATTGCGGTGAATTCTAGATTTTTGTGTACAAGACAACATGGTTTTGTTAAGTAGATTGAAAAAAAAATGAGTTGAACTACTATCAAAAAAGTTTGTCGATATCATAACCGTATTCAAGTTGATGAAATGTGAAAGAGTGCGCAGAAAGAGAAAAAGATAAGGGAAAAATCAGCATTCAGTGACATGCATGTTTCCAGAGATGGTGTAGATAGGCGGAGAAGTGGAAGTGCTTGGCGCAGCGGCGTTCGAAGTTGAAAGGACCGGAGATGCATGAGTTCTGGGCACCGGGGAGAGCATCGCCTCGTGACGGACCGAACTCTCGTAGCTCGGCGGCAAAATTATTGTTGGGATGGAGCCAGGACGGTCCGGAGCAATTCTGGAATAGACTTTGTTGTTTCACCGAACTTTGACAATCAGACTGTTCAGACAATCACAAAATTAGAAGAACGAAGACGAAAAAGAGCTGATTTATCAAAGAGAGAACACTTGGTACGAGCACAAGAGTCGGAAGTGTTCAGATTGCTGGAATGTCCCTAAGGGGCAGCAATCTGGACATTTCCGACTTTAGCTTTTTCAGAACAAAATAGTGACAAAACTTGGCTGTCATACGAAATTCGCGTTCTTCCTGGTTTACAGTATACACAAATACACACGCTCACACACAGATGTTAGCAGAGCAAAGAGGATTAGAGAGAGCATTTTTTTCGTTTTCCCCTACCTGAGCACTCGGCCAGTTTTTCCAGACCGTGGCTTGTACGGCGGTACGCTGGAATTGAGATGGATTAGTTTCGAGGTATTTCGTGGTGATGGTGATCATTTTGAGGATGTGAAGGTATATGATGAAGCTAATGTTAGGTTTTTAATAGTTATTCATAGTGGAATTTCATGAAATCGAAAACGTACCGATCACGGATTGTGGAAGGTGGAACCGGATTGGGACTCGGAGTGCAACTCATTGAAAGTGCTTGTTCATAGGTTGGCAACTCTTCTTCCCTCGCTCCAAAGACCTGAACAAATGCGATTTTGTAACATGTTTAGTCGAGAGAGAATGGGGACATACATTCAGCTCATGGGCTAAAGTCGTGATGTAAATCGGAAGCACATTATGACGGTCCGCTTCATTTGTCGAAGCTGCACGGTTGATTGCTGCTGTTATTAGCGCCTGAAAACATTTGTACAGTTTCACGGAGCATTTGTTCTGTTTATTCAGCAGTTCTCTTTTTCTGAATATAAGAAAGCCCCTTCTTCCACAAAAGAACAAGTAACTAAAATCCCGATTATATAAAGTCTCCTCCCCCCGTACTTTTCCGCTTACAAGTAGAGCGTAACGGATCAGCTAACACTACATACATACGAATTGACGAACAAGAACCATAATCCAAAATTCCGAACTCTCTTGTACGAACCTGTCTTCTTCTCTGCCTTTTCAGTTCAATGAATTTGCGTGCCGTTTTGCGGACGGCCACACAGAATGCGACCCAGATGACGACAGAGAGCAGCATGAGCAAAACGACCATTACCATCATCAGCACATCTTCCTTCTCATCCTGCCAGTCGTGCTGGAACTGGAATCATAATGTTTCGGGGAGAGAAGGGGCAGTGGTAAAGCTCGAAAGCTAAAAGAAACGTCTAAAGGTTTAGACATGCTCCTGCTCTCGCGGTTATGTACGCAACTTTAGTTTTTCAGACTCACTCCCGAAAGAACGCATTTCATTAGCATTTTCAGTCAACGCAGAGAATCCGCGACCCATTTATGCAAAACTGAAATATTTGAACGGAAATAACTCACTTCATCGCTGGATGAGTCGGCCGCAGACTCCGGCATACTGTCTTTGTAGAATGGTATAATGGTTGCCCTGAAAAATGGTAAAAATGAGAAGCTTATGCAAATGTATTAATGCGGAACGTGAAAAAAGCGATAGAACGGGAAGAATAGGGAGGGGGAAACATAACACGAGAACCGCGTGAAAAAGAGTTCACACGTAGGCAATGGAAACGTCAAAAACTTGACTTGACACCTGCGCCTCCCCCCTCCCGGCCAACCAAATTGAATATTTCGGGAGAGAGACGGGAAGAGAAAGGTAGTGCGGGTGAGTGAGAACGAAATAAGTGGAACAGACAAGTTGCCGCGAAACAATTTTTTATTCCTCTTCCCCTTCTTTCTCACTTTTCGCGCCCTCAACCCTTCCCCCCTTCATCCCAGATACAAAAAGATAAAATCTTTTCTCCATTCAATTTGGATCCTTTAAAAGGTCCTTTATTTGTCTGCCCTTGATGGGCGGTGAGCAAGCACAAGTGGGAATAGATTGGATGGAGATGGAAAAAAAACTGTGGTATGAGATTGGGGGCTAGGCTACAACAAAAAAAAACACGGCTTGACAAGACCAAAATGAAATTTAGCCTCGGGGAAAGAACATGAGACGCCTCTGCGCTTCCTCTTCGGAAGCCTTGTATCCCTTTTTGTGACGCCACGATAAAAGATGAACTTTTTTTACTTTTAGGCCCCGCGGCGTTTCCTTCTAATGAATAATTCAAACGGAGAAGGGGGTCCGAGCACAAAAGGTCATTGGGGCCAAACTCTTTGGTCATATACAAGGACGCTGGGAACAGAAATAACAATTTATTAGATTTCCTTATCGGAATCTGTGTGCCTTTGCTTCTAATCCTCATATATTCGAGACATTCGAGCCGAGAGCAAATGGCGAATAGCAAAGAGCGAATAAAAGTCCCTAGGGTCCCAAGACCGAGGGAAGGGGGAGAGGGAGCGACCAAAAAGAAGGGACTTGCTTTGGGATAGAAGGCCGAGTTCATATTTCTTTCGAAAAAGATCGCAAAAACTGGGGAAGGACAACACGAATCTTATCAAAAATTGAATTTTTCCCTTTTTGGGAGAAAAATCTTTTCTTGGGACGGAAAAAAGACACGAAACAAGTGAAAAATGACAAATGTGCGGGAATTTCGGAATAAAAACAACGGTTTGCCGCCGGGAGTGACAAGTGAATGTGTTCGCTTCTTTATATATGTTGTGTGTTTGACAGCGTGGGCGAAATTTGAATTCGAATCAAAACGTTGGCGGTTATGCTCCAGAAAAGATGAGAAAATGCGTAGGAATTCAATTGAATAGTGTTGGAGCATGGGAATAGCTACATTTTGGTTAAAATGATGTGTATGTGTGTGCTTGTGTGTGGGATGGTTTTCTGGTGTAGTTTGGCACAGTCTTTGGTTGAATTATAGACATTATAGAATTATGGACGTATTTAAACTGAAAATCTCAAACTTAAATGACACTGGAAAAGATCAAAGTATTAACAAAAATAGGAAAGTTAGTAGTTTATTTTTCCCAAGAAAAGGTTGAAAATAACCCGGTAGGTTGAATTTCCCGATGGTCAAAATTGATGGTTGGCAACTTGAAACTCAACAATTTTTCCGGCCATTGAACTAATTATTGTTCCTCAACCTCTAACACCACCAATTTGAAAGTTGAAAGAGAAGAGAGTAAAACTGAACGAGACAAAAACCAGTCAGCGCCGAGTTGGTTTTCAATAAGAACTTGACGACAGAAATAAATAGATACGGAGGGGGAGGGGGAATAAATGAATGGCTCAAGTACTGTTCAGCTAATGTTCTTTTCCGTTTCTCTAGAGCTTCCATCCTCCCGCGCGCATGAGGGTGCGCGGAAAAGACACAAAGACTAGTTGATTACTGTCAGGTGTGAAGAGGGCGCCCTCCGGCCCTGTGAGGGAGGGAGGGGGACGTACAATAGATTAACCACTCAATTATGATGATGAGGAGGATGATGCTAACGGCGTTTAACCGTATAATTATTACAAGTTCATCATGTGGAAGGAAGAGAAGAAGAAAAGCGAGACTCTTTTGCGAAACGGGATTGGAAACAATAACGGTGAAGATGAGAGCGAGAGAAGAAAAGGGAAAAGATGATGGCGTGGCACTTGTATAATAATAATACTAATATTTTGTGTGGGGAAGTGAGGAGGGGGGACGAAAAAAACTATAGCGCACAGTCTTTTTTTGTACTATTCTCAATTTCGGCAAGAAAATTAAGACAGTTTTGAGTGGGGTTTCAACTGGAATACGTAATGAACAATATTGCAGAATTCTTTGTCAAATTCTGTTAGCAATAAACAAGGCATTTGGAAGATGTACTATGCAAATAGGCTCAAAAATTCTAACCAACAGCGCCCTGCCCAATGATGTGTTGGTGGTCAAATGAAATAGATGCATGTCTGGTTAAATATTCGGAAAAAGGAATCAACCTCCTAGCACATACACACACACACACACATTGGCGAAACGCGTACCCCACAAAGAGCTATTTGTTAAGAACCCCCTTCACATTCCGGAGGGCACATCTTTTCCCATTTTTCATCAGATCCTTTCCCTTTAACACATGTTAGTACACAAAGAAGTGCTAGGGGGAGAGTGATAAATAGGAGAAGAGAAGAGAAAGTTTTAGAGGTTTTCTGAAAGAAAAACGTGAAGACCGTGTGTTCTTTCTCTGAATAAACATGAAGATAAAGAAGTGTGACCAGATCAAACTACTTTTTACTTGAAAAAGAGAAGGGTGAAAGAGAGAGCGAAGAACAATATGTAGTTAAACCAAATGTGTTCAGCTGTCTGGAGATGATTTGGAAAAGTCAGAGTAATGTTCCGATTGTGCAGTTTGCGCCATGACTTGTCTAGCATTTCTCAAACCAAAAACCGTCGAACTTTCAAGCTCGGTGGGCAATTCTCGGCAAAATCGAACAAATTAAGAGTAGAACAGAAGGCGGAGGACAAGGAAAAGTAGGAAGTAGGAACCTAATTACACCTCCTCCCCTCTTCCTACTGCCCAACATGTCGCTCTCGAAACTACTTCTCTTCTCGACACCTTCTGTGTTCCTCCGCTGACCCCCTCCCCTCGCCTCGGAAGAAGGGACAAAAATTAATAAACCCTCGAATCCTAGTGGCATTCGAAGGTCGAGTGGATTGGTTTTGTGCCAAAAAAAAGCAAAAAAGTATCGTCCGGTTCACAACACAAAAACATGGAAATACACGCCTTTGTGAGAACATTTTTTCAAAAAGAATACTTGGGACTTGTCTTTTTCTCGGAATAGGAACAAAAAAGAACAAAGGAAAGCTGAAGACTGACTGGCTGGGACCAAGAGCTGCAATTTTCATGACGTTCTGCCCCTAGGTTAAAGAATATCTCCAATTTTCAAAATCGCGAAGGGGGGGGGGTCTGTGGACCTGAACGACAACAATGCGTCAATTTGTTTGCTTATGAAAAGGAAAAAGTGGAAAGAAAAGTGGGAGGGGTTAGATTTGTTGGTAAATAAACAGCCAACCAAAGTTTATGGATGAAAAGGGGATTTAGAGGAAAAATCTTGACTAGTTATTAAGAAACTTAGTTCAACTCCCTGAAATTCGTCAAAACGTTCGGAACTAAACCACTTTCCATAATATTTACGTACTTGTTCTATCAAAACAATTTCAGAACCATTTCAAATGTTCACTCATTTTCCGTTTCATTCTCGTTTCTACCGCCCATTCATTAAACTCTCTGTCGGCAATAATTCATGGCTCTTTAGAGTGCGCGTTTGGGAACCGCATCGCGTGAAACAATTACGTGTCCGTTAACCAATCTCCTTTTTCTTTTAAAGGTTGAAGAAGAAGAAGAACGTTACAAAGAGAAAGCGGGGAATGAATGAATAAATGAGTGGGCGAGTGAGCAATTCCAATTCCATTTTGCACTATAGAGCCTATTCCATTTGCCGCCGCACTCCAAGCTGAGCGCTTCAGGTTAAGCTGTTAGGTTTGGTGGACTCGGCTCATACATAATGTTTGACTATTCTATGTGTCATCTTTAGGAAAATTCGGGAGGGGTGGATACAAAGCGTTCGTAGAGTGAAGAGGATGACTGTCTGGTGATGTGTTTGAGAGAATTTTCAGAAAATGTTTTCAGACAGCTTCAAAAAAGTTCATGTTTTTCAAAAACCAAAGCCGTCTTGATACAAATCTAGATTAACATGTAAACACATATCTATAATTAATTACAGTACAGTAACCTGAAGCTGTAAAACCATAACTTACTAGTAACAAGAAAAGTAACAAATGAATAACGGGAGGTGCTTTTTTGCCCTTTACCACCTTGAAAAGATAAAAGCGGTGTGACAAGTGGGAAAGAAGCGACTTATTTCACGTGGCGGTGATCCCACCCCGTCCGTGGGGGGCAAGCCGGTTGTCTACAATGACAGGATGATGGCAAAAACTGTGTGCAAACAATGCGCGGCGGCAAAGGGATGTGCTTCCACGCTCGGGGTCATGGAACTTGCCTGATGAACTCTCTCTCTCTCCCTCTCTCTCATGGAAAAAAGAAAAAAGGAGCACACGGAGACTACAAACAACTTGACTCCTGCCCCCTATTCTTGTTTGTATGATGATTGTTTGGCGGTAACTAATATTGGATTAATACGCCTTGTCTCTTCCTCTTCCCGAACATTCAGAGGGCAAATAATAAGTTGAGGTGCTGCTAATTCTGAACTTTCCATACCAGTTTTGAGAACTAGTTTTTTTGAAGAGCGTTTGAGTCAGTTTTAGAAATTTGAGAGGGGGGGGGTTGAGAGCAAAGTTGAATTTAGAAATGAAATTGAGACGTTTTCGTTTTTAGGCCTTTTCCTCTAAAAAATGGAAGAAACTAAACGTTCTGCCGTACTTTTGCGGTCCATTGTACAAATGCCGTTTCTGAAATCAAAGAGGTACGTAAAAAGTCGGAGAATGAGAAAACAAACACACAAAATATATACTGCTCTCTTTTTCTTTCTCATTTTCTACACGCAGGTATTACCGCATGTTGAAATATGAGACATGCTTGTGCAAATGGGTGCTTGGGTGGCAATTGTGAAGAAACGAGAAGAAAAGTATTATCGGATTTGGATTAACTTTCGAGAAATCTAATGGGATTGTGATGTAACGGGTTATACGTGACGTAGAGAGTCATGATATGAGAAAAGAGTGAGTAGAAATGCAAGTAAACAGAACTTTAGGACTAAAAGTTCCATGTTCGATAATGAGGTAATGAATTTATAAGTTGACAGTAAATGAAAGTTGCCATAATTGTTTAGTTCGTTTAAGAAAATTGACCGTACAATAGAGGTTAGAGAAAGTGAAATGTACGATTCTTGTGAAACCTTAATAAAATTAGGGAAAGTTTAATCTACCGTAACTACTTTGAACTCGAAAGCAGTGCAAGAAAGGTCATATTATTCGTATATGCCATTATGGTAATACATGCCACCAACTCTGAGCAAAAATGAGATGCACGTCTGACAGAAAATGTGAGAATAAAATGTATGCACACATTACCCTACCCACGCGCGTGTCCGAGAGAAATGTGAGTGCCACAAGCTCCAAGAAATCAGACCGATCATCTCCACCTCGATCATCATTCAATGAAATTGACACCCAAACAAATGAGAAGAAACATGTAGGACCTATAAAAAACGTGTGTCCGTGGCATGGAATTAAATGGCATTCTTTTCACTAGTCTGCCATTCGATCCCCTATTCCGAGGTGTGATGATGGGTGAGCACAAAAGAACGTGCCGTGAAAACGAGGAGAATCGCCACGCGCATAACAAATAGTATCGAAAAGAGGGAGAGAAAGATGGGCATTGAGCAAGAAAAGAAAAGCGCGGATGGAATGAAATGAAGCAAAATGTGTGAGAACCAGAACACAGAGGACACGTGGCGGGGGAGACGACAGATGTGATGTGCACTCTCTTTCTTTCACTATTATATAATGTTAAAAGAACGAGTTGAATAGCTTGATCTGTCTTTATCGGTGGTAAAACTCTAAATTTAGTTCTTGGGTACTTGGAAATTATTTTTCAGGAATTGTTTTTTAAAACAGTTTGTGTGTTCCATTCAACATCGTTTTTACAACAAGCTAATGAACTCGTTTAAAAAGTACGAAAACGATGCAAAAAAGACATACATGAAGATTCATAAATAAATATACAAAATGTTGGTTTTCAGAGGGATTTCTTCATAGTCATGGGTCCATGAAGATCTAACGGATCGGGCCAGTAGTCATGGATCCATTAAGATGACCCGGATTTGGCTCGAGACGAAATGATCAGGTGACGGAAAAACGAGGACAATGAGTTCCTGCTCGGAGCAATCCCCAAGAGCCAGCATGCTCAGACTTCTCCGCGGAGCAACAATTGCATCAATGGAAAGTGAGACTACAACAGTGTCAGGCATATTCTGAAATCGTGCACGAGCAGTTCGGTCAATGAGAAGAGGTTTTCATCCCGGGCTCATCGATCGGCGCCAGCGTCTCAATTTTCTCGTCGCAAAACCGAAGTCGGCGATTCGGAAGAACTCGACGGCGTCCGCATTATCATGATGCACATCGGCGTCGGTGACATAGTAGCGGACAAGGCGATCCAGACGCGCTACCCAAAATGCGAGATGTGAATGCGTCATACCCTTTCGAATGAAAACGATTACGTGGCATTCCTGTCTCTTACCAAACATGTTCATATGGGAGGATTCACGATTGACCCGCTGAACAGTCTGAATCTGGATGAGGATTACAATAACGTTCTAAAGCTGAGGGAATCGACAGTACTCATTTCATTCGGATCGGTCATTCAATCTGCTGACATGCCACTCAGTTTCAAGTGAGTCGAAGAAGGTTGAATAATCGTCACATGAATCACTTTAGAAACGGAATCATCGAGATGTTTCACAAGTTACCGGATATTACGTTCATCTGCAAGTACGAGGTAGATGACGAGAGCATTCTGAAGAGGTTCCCGGAGGATGTGATCCTCAAGAAATGGGTTTCTCAGCCGGAATTTTTAGCTGACAAGCGTCTGAAGCTATTCATAACTCACGGAGGACTGCAATTTTTAATTAACTTTTCCACCTGGATACCTACCGTATTATAATCTTTTACCTTTTTTCCATTTTTAGCTCCGAGGCCAGCACCTGTGAGGCATGCCATAACATCAAACATCTCGGAGTCTTCAGCCAATCCTGAGAAAGTTTGCGGTTAAGCGAGGCGGAGCCAGTATCAGAGCATCTAAACTTGTTCAGAAGTAACGAAAAACACTTCCGAGCGCAATCCATCTCAAAGAATGTCTTCGAAAAACCTCTTCCTCGCTTTTTTTGTCGGAGCTTTTCTTACTTCAACAATTGGAACTTATCCATTTGTTGACATGTACTTTCTTGAAAGCCTGCGTACAACTCCACCTTATGTTGAAGATCGAGCTTGCGGTCTAAAGATCCGCGAAAGAATGAGGGACCTGTGCGGACATTGCACACGAGGCGATTCAGGTAAGAGTTTCTGTTGTCTTTTGTAGTCAATGTATCTGTTTTATTTCAGATCTGGCAGTTCGAAAATGCTCACTGAACGTATCCGATGAGGAATTGATGGACGGATGCTGTCCTGATAATATAAAGACCACTACTGCTATGCCGCTGCCGCTCACCGGTCCAGTGTTCCCTTCACTCCAGAACTCGAAGTCTACTCGTGAACCAGAGAAGTCCTTGATCACTACTGACGGACAGTGACCGCGCCTGTACAATTTTTTGAATTAGTCTTCTAACCTCTTGTATTGCATTCCTATCTGAAAATAAAAACGATTACTCAAAAACAAAACTACTTATTAGTGGTGTTGGCAATGGTATAAACTTGCAACCAATTCCGTACTCGGTCTGAAGCATATGTACTCTCTTCCTTTCACTGTTTATTAAGGTAGGACAAGAGAAGTGGAAAGGAATTTCTGGAACGTTTATTAATTCCCGGTGACTACGCATTGGCAAACGTCTTCAAGTCGTCGCGGAGCAAGCAGAGAGATCTGATGTACAATTGTTCGCGGGTCTGAAAAAAAGAGATGGAACCCGATAAGCCGGAAAATTTGAGAAATTTTTACCTTAAAATATTCTTGGCAATCAGAGATGAGAAACTTGTTGATCATCCCGTAGATCTCCACAGCTTTCTCGTGAACTTTCATGACCATAGGGAGGCTGGGGTTGAGCTGCTTCTGAAACAAATGTGACGAGTATGTTTAATTGGTGACAGTTTTTTCAGTGAGATTTTGTTATTCAACAAGAGTAGTACACGATCTGCGAAACGGGGTTTGAGTCGATCACGTTTCCATAGTTCCGTCGTTTACCTGAGATTACGTCCGCCCGTTCCGGCTCCAGCACGTTCATTAGAAATCTAAATCTTGTATATTTCTGCTAAGCGATGATAGGATGATCCGAGATCAAATGATGTCTCTATGGGCTATAAAACTATTTCGAGCATACGGTTCGCCACACCGTAATTCGAATATGTACTGACTGCAAATCGTCAGTTAAATTTACTCGTACTGCATGTCAAAGTCAATGACGATTGTGCTCTATGCGTTCACAATAGTAACCGAATTGCGAGCATACGGTTCGTCACACCGCAATTCAACCGCTCGTAGTTGCAACGAATGATGCAGTCAGCAACCGCCGAGCGCAGCGGACAGCAATCAATAAGAGGACCACGAAGAGGACCGATCGTCCCGTCAATAACACAAATGTGCCGCCTCTATTCTTCTGTTTTCAAAACCGACATAGGATTTTCGAAAAAAGGTACCGTGTTTGCACATTTTTTTAAATCAGAACTCGGCTAGAACCCAAATAGGATATGAAACCCGGACCTTTCATTCCTCCCTAGTCCCAACTCAAACCCCATGTCGCAGAACGGGTACTTTCCTTGTAAGAATTAGGTAATTAAAACTGAATTCAGCCACGAAAAAATCCCAGAAATGCGCTGAAAATCGAACTTGCCGAAATTGTTTTAGTATTAGTCTCTGGTTCACCCTCAAGAGCTTACCATTCGAGCAATGACATTGTGAAGTGAGATTCTAGCTTTCTTGAGTGACAGCTGAAAGTTAATAATTGTTTGAAAAGTGAGAGAATAGCTAAACTAAACCTTTTGATCAGAAGTCAAAGCTCGATAACCACTAGCTGTAGTAGAACTGTTCTGAAAACTGTTTGTTAATTCAATCATTTCTAGAATCAACCTTTGTCGGAGAGTTCACCAATCCAACTGACGGAGGCATGTTAAAGTTGAAGAAAGCCGCTGGAAGACAGAAAGATTAAATCTGTACGGAGAAATGGAAAAACGGGAGAATTGGAAAGCATAAAACTGTTTATAGGCCCGTCGTGTTGAATGCAAGGATGTCCGATCTCGTTCGTGTCATTAAATTATTTGTGCCAGATGTTACACAAATGCTGATTTTCTACAAAAAACTGTACCAGGTGCAACAGCCGGATAACGGAGCAAACGCCATCGAAAGCAAACGTTTGATCGAGGTTTGGTACAAAAACTCAGCGGGACAAATACATATGTTTCAGAAAATGCTAATAGAATCGCAGAAAACAATCATTGTCTTGACCGTCTTGCCTCTATTGACTTACACTTTTCTTTCCGTCAAAGAAAATGACTGGTTCTCATGATCCAAGAAAAAGAAAGTGTCGATAATCGCTGGGAACGTTTGACTTTTCTTCACAATGTTTTCCAATTTTCCGAATACTGTTCTCACGGTGTTCTAAAAGAAATTTCTGTTCTGAAATTAATCTTTCCAGTTCCGATAAGATCCAACCAATCCAATACACAGTCTTCCAGAAATACCCGCTCTTCAAAAGTTTTGTGTTGTGCTTGTGCTATGTTTGATGAAACATCATTTAATGATGCTCTTCAGACCCTGCACGTTGGTCCCATCACCACTCTATCCCATTCATCATCCACTTACAAATAGAGAGGGATGTATACACTTGAATGTTGAAACAATCATGGAGGTACACCCCATCGAATCCAATCAAAACAAGTACTTCTCCGCTCAATTTGTTCTCATTTGATGAGAAGAAGTTCCTTCAGTTCTTCGCTCGGAAAAAGGAGAAGAGGAAAACGGGAGAAACGGGGGAAAGGGGACATCGTTTGGTCCACGCCCACTATGAAAGAAATGATGATGGGGTGCGCGTGTGTCTGCAGAGCCCGGCAAACTCCCAGCGGAGCATTTCCACAAAGAGTCCGTCCGTCGCACCACATTGACCACTGCTCCGCCAAAGGTTTGTTCGGGTCGCCCGTTCTTGAGAGCATGTGCTCATGATTTCGCCGGTGTTAAGGCTTACAGTAAGTTCTTCCACGTTATTGTATTGTCAGTTCTTATTCATGATTTAGGCACTACAATGCGTGCTCTTCCATCTGTTCAATGAAGTTCAAAGTAGTGCAGATGAATACCGACTGCTAGCAGATCTTCGGCACAATTACGATCCTTATGAGCGACCCGTTGCGAATGCCTCCGAACCTTTGGTGGTTTCTGTCAAAATATACCTCCAGCAGATTCTAGATGTGGTAATTCACCTGAAATGATGCGGAAACCTAACTTTACTTATTTAAGGATGAAAAAAATCAGGTGATCACTTTAGTAGCCTGGATTGAATATCAATGGACCGATTACAAGTTGAAGTGGGATCCGAGTGAGTACGGTGGAATCAAAGACATTCGGATACCCGGAAATGCGAATGCCATCTGGAAACCTGATGTTCTTTTGTACAACAGGTATGAACTTGAAAACATTTTACAAATTGTCTATTGCCGAGTTCAAAATGTTGATCACCTTGTCAAAGTCGCTCTTCGTTCTCATATCTGTCAACTCATCTTTCTCTCTTTTTGAAGCTACTAAAATTTTGAAACGTGCAGAAAGCAATCATTTTTCAATGTTATGTTTTGTGGCAAACGTCGTACTTGTCAACAGACCAAACAAATGTAGGTTGCAAAACGACCAACTCGCGTTTTGAAGTGTCAAAAAATTGCAGAACGTCCTAACATCCTAATTTCCAGCGCGGACGAGAACTTCGACTCCACCTACCCAGTGAATTACGTGGTGAGCTACACCGGCGACGTGCTGCAAGTTCCTCCGGGAATTCTCAAATTGTCCTGCAAAATTGATATCACTTATTTTCCATTCGATGATCAAATATGCCATCTGAAGGTTTGTCTGGCTCCGAAAAACGTTGTTTGTTATATAATATTTCTATTCCTATTTCACATCATCTCAAGTGAGAAAGAGGTCGGGTCTCCCTAATCCAGGGGGGTGAGTAAACGTTTTATCGCAAAACTACATCTACTAATCTTGGGCGCGGCAGCGGAAAAACCGACAACTTCTCTCCTTGGTCTTCTTCTTCTTCTTTTTCCATTCCTCAGAAGTTATTGTTTACCAAACATATAATGAATGATGTGAAGCGGGTTCTTGGTTCAGTGTCCTAATCTTTTTCGGCCGTTTGCAGTTTGGCTCATGGACATACAGCGGAAACTTCATAGATTTGAGAATAAATGGTCCCGAAGGAAAAAACATATCTGAGGAGGGAATTGACGTGCAGTATTATGTGCAAAATGGAGAGTGGAACTTGTTAGGTACGAACTTCAAGAAACATTTTGAGGGACTCGGAAAAAGTATGTTTTTCAGCGGTGCCTGCTCGTCACGAAACGAATATATTCGATGAACAACCATATCCATCATTATTTTTCTATCTTGTCATTCAAAGACGTACTCTCTACTACGGTATTTAGAGGAGTCAAAGTTCATTTTTCGAAAGTCTTTTTTTTTCAGGACTCAACCTTATCATTCCATCATTTCTCATATCACTCATGACTGTTCTAGGATTCACTTTACCGCCAGATGCTGGCGAGAAGATCACATTGGGTACATTTTTTACTTAATTCTAAACAATGTAATGGTCTTCAAGATGTCTGGAACACTTTTTCTTACAGAACATATCGGCGGGCATTCGTTATTGAAAATCTCTCAAAATTTTTTCAGAAATCACAATTCTCCTCTCTGTCTGCTTCTTCTTAAGTATGGTAGCAGATATGACGCCTCCGACTTCTGAAGCAGTTCCCCTTATTGGTAAAAACGACAGTACTCCTCAATAATCTACACATTTCTGGTACCTTTCAGGCGCATTTTTCTCCTGTTGTATGCTTGTAGTCTCTGCATCCGTTGTTTTCACAGTTTTGGTGCTGAACCTTCACAATCGCAAGCCTGAGACTCATGAAATGAGCCCATTTGTAAGTGAACAAATTCTATCGTAATCCTTCTCAATTCGAATCTTGTTACAGCTCCGAGAACTGCTTCTGATCTGGCTTCCATGGCTGCTGCTCATGAGACGTCCAGGGAAAACGGTTTTCAACTGCGCTTTAATTAAGGTTCGTTTTTTTTGCCTAGAACTAACTTAACAATATATGGAAAATACCTGTTCCTCAATAATATCATGTATTTAGGCTGAAAAGGCGGAAGAAAAGGCGCGTCAAAACTCTGTTCGGAACGGAAAAGGACCTGCAAAACCTACAGATTCTGTTCACCCTTCTGATGGATTATCTCTGATGAAAAATATCAAACTAGGAAAACGACAGCACGCGGTTGATATTGATAATGGTAACCTTCTCCTACTTCACGCATTCTATGACATCCTACTCAACGTTTACTTTTGTTCAGAATTCCATGTCCAACATAATCACTTGATGCCAGTGACTCCGTCCGAAACCCCGCGCGTCACTTACTCCAAAGTAATGGGAGAGTCTTATGTCGAAGACGGTAATACAGATAATACCCTAATAAATTCTCAAAAAAATACTTTAGTAGTCATGACGGAGCTGAACAAGTACATGCAAAAAGCGTGTCTGGAGCTTAAGAACATTTCGTCGCAGACGAAAGCAATGAGAAAAAAGATGGAGGAAGATGAGAGGGTATGTACTAAAAAGGAAGAGTTGAACTAAACTTAACTAATCTTCAGGACGAACAAGCTGCGAATGACTGGAAATTTGCAGCAATGGTTGTGGATCGATGTTGTTTGATAACTTTTTCAGTTTTTATTGTTGTAAGCACTTGCGGAATCATGTTCAGCTCACCGCATCTTATTGCTTGAAGTGTTTTTCGTGTGTTTTAGTTGCTCACAGGCTGCTCAGTCATATTTTTTAAAATTTCCCAAAACATTTATATAACTCGTCACAATAAAACAAGTCTTTCTCATAGTCAGAACACGTTTATTTTATAGATACAATATCCCTGCCATTAGAAACTGTGCAAACAGTGTTACGCTTCATCAAAACGGCCCGTGACAGTACTCGCACAAGTTAGAACAACATTTTTCAGAACAGTTATGATTTAGACAGTTCCCATCGATAACACAATTTTTTCAAGCGACTTGAGCCCATCAAACAAGGAAAATGAACAATTCGACGCATAAAAAGTTCAGTGAAAGTGAAACTATTTGAAAATCCCGTAATACATTCTAAACTAATAAAGTTCCAAATTCACCAAATGCGATATATTTGCAGTTGGCCGTCGTGTTAATGAGAATCGATGTCGATGGCGTCGAGGTTTGAAACATCCACAACACAACGTTTCGATACCACTTTGAATGCTTCTTCTGAAAAATGAAATAAGTTTGTAAAGTTATGAGTTCACAGTTTTTGCCCAAACACGAACTTCGTAGATCTCCGTCGGATTTTGATATCTCCTTCAGCATTGGGAACTATAGAAAACTGAAAAGTGAACAACAGTACATTGACTAGTGATGGTCGATGGAAACGTACCAATCTACGTGGTCTTCCAGGCAATACTCCAACTGTGCTGTGTTTTTGAATATTGAACAACTGAGATTCTACCAACGAGTTTCTGGCAAATCTCTCTAAAACTATGGCGCTCGGCGGTTCTCGTTGCGCTGCCGTGACTTCATCCGCATTCGCTGCCATGAATCTAAAAATTCCGAGAATTTTTTAGGTGCTTCTAGAAAAATTGTCCTTACCCAAGTACTAAAAGATTCACGCAGGCTGAAAAGACGGCAAGTCCTACTAGAATGAACATGAGTGTGGCGAACACGTAGATTGGCTGTTCTTGAAGGGCATTTGACTGTTGCAACGGGACCAGGTCACCAAATCCTATTGTAGAGACTGAAAAAAACATTTGGTAGAGCGCAAATCTACCCGAAACTGATAAAAATACGCTTTATTGTATCAGGGTTTGTAAAATTTTTTAAAACATGCCATCTAAAAATCATATACACTTACAAGTGATGATACAGAAGTAATAGGCGTCGAATACCGACCACTTCTCCATTTTGTGAAACATTAATGTTCCTGAAAAGTTTTTTCTGTAAAAATTAAGTTTCCCTTACTGCTCACCCGATGCGATAACCATAAAACCAATTGTGAGTGAGACCATGAGAAGATGAGTTGGTGTAACCTTAAATTATTTACATAGGAACTGTTTTTCGCTTCACCTACCTCTTGTAGACACGTAAATCCTTGTTGATGCAGGCCATCACGGAACTGGAATTGAATTCGGGTTTTTAAGACATTTATTTTAATTACAATTAGACTCACTTTATGTAAACTGTACGCTATGAATGTGTTCACACGTTCACCAATAGATTGAAACATGACCAGTCCCATTGGGATTCCGAAAAGTGCAAACACCATGCAAAAAAGCTTTCCCGAACTTGTAGAAGGTGCCGAGTGACCGTAACCTGACAAATGCCGCAAAATTGTGCAAACATTTTCAAAAAGTCTTCACATACCCACAGTAGTTATGACAACAGTTGCGAAATAAAAGGCTCCAGCAAACTGCCATTGGAATCCTGCTTGTTGTGGAATACTTTTTATTGCAATTGCTTCAAATAAGTGCATATCTCTGAAAAATATATTTAGATGTACGCTGTTAATAACTTTCACATGCCTATCACTAAAGTTATACTTGTTTTTGAGTCGTTCAGTGATATGTTCTATTTCGTCTCGAATCCGAGTGTCTTCCTCGCCTCAAATATACAATTTTAAAAGAAAATATAAGTAGCAAAGTTTGTGCCAAAAGTTGGGCTGGGCACGAACTTTTTTAGTAATAAAATTTTACTCACTTTCAAGTTTATCGAAAATCATTGCTCCGAACAGAAGATATGTGAAAGTTGATAATATAAGAAGCAAAGCTCTTGCGGATTTCCCGTCGATTTGATGCATTCTTGTTCCAAGAAACTACCACTAGCCAATCTGAAATTGTCGAATATAAAAGTTGGATAATATCGGACAGCAAACAAAAACAAACAACCGGATCAAGAACATAACTCTTGGCGGCCCTTACTATAAGAAGGAGGACACAACGCAAAAAAGCAAATTCAGTTATATTTCTGGCTGTCACCCACTAATGAACTTTATGTGGGAAGAGAGAGCGGGAGATGCTCCTAGCCAAGTGAACCCAGCTACTTCTTTTTTAGGGGAAGAAGAGGGAGAAAAGTGAAAGTGATACACTAGAGTTAGGAGTTGAAGTTCGTCAAAGAGCCCAAAAATTTGGTGAGCGGAAGCATTCCGGTTTCCGCTTCTCTTTCTTTTTTTCTCCAGTTTTGTCAATTCATGATCTGTCTAGTTTCATGAGTAGACTCTAGACTTTGAAAGAATGCTTGGTAAAGATGAGAAAATTTGATGATAAGGCCAAATGAATATTGCTAAGGTAATAGGTGAGCCAAGAAAACGCATTTATTTTATTTCCCATACTAACCTCAGGTATCCAAATGGCTTGGGACGGGGTGGTCCTTTCTTGTGGTACCAAAAGAAGTTTGAAGCTCTTTTTCGAAAGCTGGTTCGGTTACGAAACATTGGAGCCAGGTTGCAAAGTGTTTTGGCTAGGACAAAAACAAGAACATCTGAACTGCTCCTCCCCCCCCCCCTCTTCTAAGTTTCCAAATTACCCGAAAGACACATTTCAATTAGACCCAATTATTTACGTGATTGATCTTTTTTCGGGTCAAAACATGAGTTTCCATTCTCTCTCCCCCATCACCGCCGCAAACGTGCATCATAAGTGTGAGGCCCCTCCATCTCTCCCCTTCTCTTGCCCCCCTTCACAAAAAAACAGTTGTTGTTCCGCTCGCCTCACTTTTTTCTGTTTCGTCCTTCTCTGATTACGTCAATCCGCCCGTGTTATCATCAATTTTACAAGACGTGCCCAATGTATTTTTGAGTGGAAGGAATGATTCGGTGGTGGCGGTGGAAGATGGGAAGGAAGGAACAGTTGTGTTTTACACACTTTGGCGGTCCTCCGAAATGTGACGCATTCGATTGGTTTATTCACACAAAGAAGATGGGGGTGTGGAAATGAATGTTGGCAATGTTTCTGATGGGATGTTACAAATACAGTCATTTTATGAAAGGGTCTCAAGAGGTATTAAAAAACTATGAAACGGTTGGAACATTATATCCGTCAAAGGCCTTCGTGGAACTCAAAAGTTTTCCTGGTAACTGGTAAACGTTCACAGTTTCAAAAAGTGTTTAGCAGGATATTTCAAACAAACTCGATTTGCAGCATCTTTTTTTCCCGTCATGTTAACACAGAAACACTTGAAAGGTCAAACTCATCGATCTTCCGTCCGAACTCCCTTCCCTTCCCTTCTTCAAACTTTGATTTCATAACTCGGAGCAACAGCGGTTTCATGTATCTATATTATCCCTCTCCGATCAGTAGTACAGCCCGGCAAGAGGAAAGAGATCAGGAGACGCAAACTGAGAAAGAAAGAGAGAGAGATTGGGAGGGAAGGGGCTCAAGTGGGGCGACAAGGCTCCCGTGCGGAAGGATCTGACTCGCCCGTATCTCTCTTGATTCGTCTCCTGCGGCCTGTCATGTACACTTCTCTCTCTCTCTCTCTCTTCTCGTCCGTGAGCACGCAGTTCCCGCGCTTGTAACTCAAAATCACTTTGTACATGTATATTTTTGTTCTCACTCATTGTTATCACATGTCACAGATTTGCCGTTTGAGAAATATCAAGTTATTTAGTTTTTCTGAAACTTGATAGGAAATTTTGCTCATCTGGATTGTCATAACATGATTTTCTTGAAAACAAGCGCTTTGTCATCACAGTGTGTAGCCCAATCGAGTAGTTTCCCGCTCACTTTCTGACAACTGCTCTTTTTAACGACGTGACGCCTTAACGACGTTGGAAGTTCTCAAAAGTGCACGGGCCCAGGTTGACGTGTTCTCTTCAATCCGTTTCACTTCATTGCAACCATCAAATTTCCGTCTCAGTGCGAGCCCCCCAAATCTCAAGCAATAAAACGTTTGTGCCCACATGAACACCTGGAGGGTTTTCGGGTCGTTTCTCCTGGAAAAGCGCAAGTGGAAGGAGGAGAGGAGAAAAAGAGCAAAAAAAGAAGAAAATCGTCAAATTTTATTGGCCATGAAGTCAAGATGAATCCGATATTTCGAAGCGCATACCCCTCCCTCTACCTTGCTCTTTTCTCCGAATTTCGGGTGATTTCAGCTGGAAAATAAGAGCAGCAAGAGCAAAATAGAAAGAAAAAGGATACACTTGTCAGTGTCCACTCACTTTCGAGACAATGTGGTGACGACGACTATGATGCCATGTCCAGAAATGAGCAAGAATCTGTTTTGTGCTTCGTTTGGTGTTTGCGTGTGAGTTTAAAATGTTTGTCAACCTCTTTGACTATCTTAGCCCATTAGAACTCTTAGTGGTTCTAAAAAATACCAGTTTTTTCTCAAATTATGTCGGAATTATGATTTATTCTCTTGTTCTCCAAAATATAAATCCGCTGTAAAAGCGTTGCTCTTCTCGTCTCTTCTTGAAAAGTTAACTCGAGACAAGACAAAATTTCAATTCCGGATCAGACTCTTCGAAAAAGCTGTTCAAGTTGGACATCTCGTAAACAAGCACACAAAAATTTGCATTTCTTCTCCGTTTCCGACACTCTTCTCCTTCTTTTTTCTTTTCATTCCGTCCGTTCCTCCAATAATTTCTACTCTTCTCACACTTTCTGGAACGGACCTCTTGGGATTCGGAAATGTTCGCGCTGCTCAATGAGCTGGATAAAGATGGACAGATAAAAGATGGAAAGATGTTGCCAACAAATTTTTAACATCTTCTTTTCATTCTTATGCTCTTGCTTCTGCTTTTGCTTCCCCCAACTCCATTATTGTCTGCGCTTGACACATTTTGATTTGAACTTCCCCTCCCACTTTTCCATCCTTATTCTCTCCTCTAGCGTTCATTCCGCCTTGGAGATTGGAGTGACTCGGCCTCCGGAAATGGAAATGAAAAAAGGAATGAAGGAGGTAAGGAGAATAGCGAAATGAAGCGAAATTTAATTTTGGGAAAGAAATGCTGCAGGCTGGTTCGAATGGGGCAAGTTGATTGAATCTTCATCTCGTCTTCTTCTCTAAAACTCCAAACCAAAATGGAATTTCACAAAAAAGTGCAAGTGGACAATGTGTGGCCAGTTTTCTAGTATTCGCCTAAAAAGAAGTTTACTTGATTGCTGTACTCATTCCGATACACCAGCGGAACATCATGTCATGAAGATCAGGACTTGTCCTGACCAATTTTGAGAATTGTATATTGACAAGTCTTTACCTGTACCTTTTTTGTTGATAAGAAGACACTGATAGCAAAGACACGTATTGTTCGAAGTGTTGGGTCAAGTTACTCACACCTAGGTCTTGGAAAGTATCAAAGGTTGCTGAAATCGAAACCGCCGGAGTACGGGGTAGTTGAGAGAAAATAGTTAAGAGAAAAACATGAAAAAAACCTTTTACCCCTCATCTTTTCATACAATTAGCATGCGTTCCTTAACTTTTTTCAAACGTTTTCCACTTCTCTTCCGCGTTTTTAGCTCATTTCCCTCTTCTTTTTGTGTCTTTTTTCTCATTTCCAACCGATCAAAGTTCGGCGTACGTTCCCAAAAAAACAGAAAAAGACGTACTAGGAGGAGCATAAGGTCGTGTGTCAAAGAATAGCTTAACCTCTGCGCTCTTCTCTTCACTTACTCCTCCTACTTCCAAAAATTTGATTACAATGGCTATTGAAAAGCCGCCGCCGTCACCGTCAAGAAAGAGAGAGAGAGAGAGAGAAGGAAAAAGAGGGAGTCAAGAGGTCCCTCTTTCGTTTTCAACTTTTACGTACTTTTTAAATGTTGCATTCTTCTTTCTCTCGCCTCGTTTTTTTCTGTCGTTTGCATATTCTATTTTATCACATCACATGTGTTCTTATTTCCTGCCCGAACTTTGTTTCTGAACTTTTGACGTCATGCACCTGTGAGAAACAGAAACGACTTGAGCTCTTTCGAGAAGACGGCGTATCATGAGATGTGAGAGTGGGAAAAAGAGCTTGAGAGAGAGAGAGAGAGAGAGAGACAGGTATTCTTTTGTCTTTTCTCTGCTTTTCTCTCACTTTCATCTGGTTTTTATTGCTTTTATTTTTATTTCCCATGATCTTGTTGGGTTTGGGGTGGGCTAGTTGGAATTTTTGAAAGTGAGTGCACAAAACTTCCTCAAAACTCGGTTCCGATTCTCGGATACGACGACTACAGTAAGCATGTTTCATAGTGACGTTGAGAGTTTCTGACTCTTTTGGCAACTAATTCAGCAAAAATCTATCTATGACCTGCCTCAACACAATGAGAACACTGTATGCAGTTTAGAAGAACAATTGGTTGCGAAAGTTTAGGTTTCGCTCTATCATTCAGCTCATTTTCGGGTTTTCAACGTTTTTATGAAAAAATTGTGATTGGGTTACTGTAATGCGTCTTCACACATGGTACCTTTTCGCTTTCGCATAACGAAACTATCATCATTCACAGTGCGGGCGTCACTCCAAATCCTGAGCAAAATGTACGAGTTCTAGTCCCAATCGTGTCAATTGTAGAAAAAGGAGCCTAGCCTACAAAGCAATTCTTTGCCAAATGAGCCAATAAATCTGTGCACTCTGACTGCTAATTTCCGCTGCTCTTGCTCTTCTTCCAACACGTTTGCCGTTCGACAATCTCATTTGCTGCCGGTTCTGCTCACTTAAGAGCTGTACACTTTCATTTTTGGTGTTTTGTTTTGCAGAAAACTTCTGAAACTTGACTCCTTAGTAACGGAGCAAAATCTTCCCCTTCTTCTTTGAAGCGATTCCTTTTGGAAGTGGGGGGACACTCATTCATTATTTGCCCCCCCCCCCCCTCCTATGTCCTATCCTCAGTGATGTCGAAACCCCGGGGGATACATTTTATCGCCCACTAACTGCATTGTCAAGTGAGAAAAGAGTGATTCCCAGCTTCTCTTGTCCCCTCTTCCTCTCTTTCTTTCTTTCGGTAACACTTGTCCCAACATCTTAATCACATTGTGGAGGGGGGTACCTACCTTCCAGTACATTAGTAGACACTTCGTCTTACAGAAAGCTTTTTAGGTGTCTGGCCCCCGAGCCTTGTCTTCGTTGAGAGAATTTGGACAAACGTAAAGTGGGCGGAGCCATCTTTTCCATTCTAAATCCAAAGCAAGGCAAGGCCCATCAGATTTTAAAAGATGGGGAAGGCTTGTGCGGAATTTGCATAATCTTAGGTGCTTCTAAGGAGCGGAAGAGAAAAAGTCATGTGGACTTTTCAAACTTGGACAATTGTGTTTATTGAATTAGTAGTCAAATTCAGAGAAAACCAAATATTTGAAATCTCTGTCGAACACTTGAAAACCTTAAAAAAAATTTGTAAAGTTCTGTTAGGACGTTCCCCACTCCCCTACCAATTGCAACTCAAAATATCTCCTCTCCTCATCTTCCATCCATCTTTTATGCACAACGCAGCCAACAGATTGAGACAATTGACCGGACAGCAACTTCCTTCTGCTGGTCCCTGTTGCCCAATGATGACATTACCTCCCCTTCTTTCTTGTCCCCCTTCCTCCCTTTGCCTTCACCCCTCCCCCGCCCTCACCCCCTTCCTTGTCTTTTCACAACTATCATCATCTCCTTTTCGCTACTTTTTTTTGTTGCTTTTTCTGCTCATAACAAACCCAATTTAACTCGTTTCTGCCGAGATTCCTATTTTCTATTCCTCTCCGAGCAAAAATCGTGACTAGGATTTTTATGAGCTTCATTTCATAATCGTGCCAATTTTGAGTAATCTTCTTGTTTGCCTTTGGCTTTCTTCTTCGTTTTTCATGTCCTAATCGTGCATTATTTTTTGCAGAAGAAAAGAAGGCAAAACGTGTGATCGAGGTGCAGAGATGAGAATTCGAAAGTGAAAATAATGGAACTCATTCATCTTCTCCTCCTTTTTCTCCCTGGCATACGGTAATTAGGTCTTTTGAAATAATTTGGAAGAAACGTTTGGCGATCTATTAATTTCAGAAAACAATTCTCTTTTGTACAATTATTTTTCAGTACCTATGACGTGAGATCGGTCAGTACGTCCTGGGGAATGGTGCGAGGAGAGGTGGTCAACCCAGAAGGAGATGATCTTCCACCCGTTGCTCAGTATCTTGGAATTCCATATGGTGTAGCTCCTACTGGTCAGGTCAGTCAGTTTCTTTTTTTCAAAAACTGCCTACAACTTGGTACACTTCATCCCAAGGGTATAATGCTTTGATGTAATGATTGAGAGTGTTTTGACGAGGAAAACCAACCAAACAAAAAATGTTGCACTTTAGTACCGCTTCAACATGGCCATCTCAGCTGCCAAATGGACACACATGCCGAAAGATTCGCGGAAAGTTTCGTCAGTATGCATTCAAACTGACATGCCCGAATTAAGTGAAACCAAGTGAGGAAGCGAGGATTTCGCCGAGTTTTGAACGTTTTCAGACGTTTCAGAGCGTTCAAACACACGTCTGCTCAACGTTTCGACTTCACCCACCGGCTACTGCCGAATCTGAAACAACAATCGGAAGACTGTCTCTACATGAACATTTATGTGCCGGAAAGGCTGGAGAGTTCGAGGGACAACTATCTCCCGGTTATGGTAGTGGTTCACGGTGATGATTACGGCTGGGGCACTGGAAATGCGTTCAATGGTACCACTTTGGCGGCGTATGGACATATTATCGTAGTCACTTTGAACTACAGACTGGGTGTTTATGGTAAAAACGCTTCGAAATGGCATATATAAAGAAAATTAATTTTTAGGGTTCTTGGGACGGTGTGAATCATCGTCTTGTTCTGGTAATAGTGGAATTTCCGATTTGGTGTCTGCGCTCACTATGCTCAATGTTATCCTGCCATCGTTTGGCGGTGATTCAAAATCGGTCACACTTGCTGGTAAGCCTACCATCTCCAAACACTTCTAAACTTTTCTTTTTCTTCAGGCTGGGGCTCCGGAGCATCTCTGGTCTCGCTCCTAATGGCCTCCCCATTAACCCAACCCGGTAGACGCCTTTTCCGACGCGCAATCCTCCTCGATGGAAGTGCGTTATCGCCTTGGGCAATTTCCCAAAATCCTCAACAGTATTTCATGCAACTCGCCGAGGAACTTGCGGTAAGCTTCTTGCATAATTTGCACAGCAAAGTGGCACGAAAAGGCCAGGGAATCTGAAATGTACATTACATTTTTTCAGTGTGTTCCGAAGAACCGAACATCATCGTTCAATGACAACATCGACACAATAGTTCGGTGTATGCAAGTGCACTCTTCGGAGAACATCACAAAAGCCGTACTTAAGATTGATGTACCAACGTTTTTGTCGGGTTTCGCTCCGATTGTTGATGGACAGGTTCGTCAGGCAGGATGTGCGCACCACTGAGCAGCTAATTAGTCGCCTGTTGACACATTGCACTTAATTAAGTGGAAAAAAACGCGACATTTGTATTACAGCTCATTCCAAACAAGCCTGAAGTATCGTTTTCTACACAATATGGATCTTTGTTTCGAGAAATTGATCTTCTCGTTGGAATAAGCTCGAATCCATCACATCACATGATTTCTAATGAGGACTTGAAAATGGGAATATCGAAAGAAAAAAGAATGCGGATTTTCCGGTCATTGGTCCGAAATCTCTACGATTTTCACAGGGAAGAGATCCTCGCTGCCATCATCAATGAATACACCGATTGGGAGAATCCTAGGGTATGTTCAACGATTTTATGACATTATACAATCTCCTCGTATTGTAGGATCACCCAAAATCGATCAGAAATGGAGTTCTCAGCGCTCTCAGCGATGTTCTTTACACCGCGCCCCTGATCGAAACGTTGAGGAGTCATAGTGCTGACGAAGTTCGCAAGGAGGCAAACACATTCATGTCGGTCCCATCAAAAATAACTTTGAGAAACGTTGACAAAAAGTATTTTGTTTTATTTTCAGGTTCGCGTTTGCCCACGAGACACGTGCTTGGACGCAGGAACAACCGAATAGCGGAATTCGGGGCTCGCTTTCCGGGGATATTGTGCCTTACATCTTCGGATATCCCTTAGCTCAAGGCGACAGCGAAGAAAGGCTGTATTCTGGGTTCAATAGTGATGACAAGGGCATTTCAAAAGTGATGATGCATTACATCTCCAACTTTGTAAAGTCTGGTGACCCATCAAAGCCGAGTCCGTTGTCCAAGAACTTTCCGATGGGCGACGTGTTCCACTCAACTGCCTGGCCACAATTCGATCAGCCGAACAGAGAGGCGTATTTGGAAATTAGTAAGTTATCTGCGTGTCAGAATACTCTCGAGGTGTTCAGATATTGTATTTTATGACTTCACTCAGCCTATCCGACCCTAAATTTTTTACTTCAATGAGAATTTTGAACCCAACGTATCTAACAAATTAAAATATAACTTCTTGTTTTCAGCTGACCGCCCACGTGTCAAAAACTACTACCGTAACGCTCAAGTCGGCTTCTGGAGCAGTTTCATCCCACAACTTCACAAGAAAGGCAAAGAAACTGAGCCAGTCGGAGAAGAACACCATCTCTTGCCGGATCACTTTAGAAAAGACTCCTATTTCGGAAAGACCCGCCACTTTTCCTCATTTGCCAATATCCCGTTCCCCCCACCACCAATGCCACCGTCTCCACCGCCGGAGTTGACTACAAAACCAAAACCAACTGATTGTGAGTCACTAACAGTATTGTTTTGTGAAAAAAATTATAACATTTCAGCGCCCACCACACTGCAAACAACGACTGAAGGTGATAAAGTGGCAACGGCAAGCTACACCGGAAAAGCTCTCGCTGTTATCATTTTGGTTGGATGTGCGTTCTTGATTCTCAATATTTGCCTTCTTCTGGCAGTGAGAAGAGAGGTGAGTACTTTTTTTTGGAAAAATGTTCGAACCTAAGTTTGAATGGAACGAAATTGACATGGAATGGTATACGCTGGTGGAGTTGTCATAATCCTTTAAGTTCAAAAACTATCTTCTATTAAGTGGGGACGGAAGCGACGGACCGAGAAGAAGTTCCAACTACAGTACCAGACGTACAATTCCAATCATGGAGGAGGCGCCGAGCAGTATAACAGTTTGAACTCGCCGGTATGAAACGCTTTCTTTTCTTCTGTTTTTTCTTACCCTTTCAGACATTTGACCCTTTTTTGAAACTAAACAAAAGTAGAAGTATGTAGCATGGCATGGCTCCTTCCCCCCTAATCCTAATTTGGTTATCAGTTATCCCTAATGCCGCCACCGCCGCCTCCGCTCACTTCATCACTCGGCGCCGTTCACGACGACGTCTTCGATCATCGCATCCCGCATTTCAGGAACGGATCTGCCTGCCATACACTTCCCAGGCAGTCTTTCCAGGAACAGGCACGTGTATAACCCTTTTGACCTCTCGCTTCTCAATTTGAAAATCGTGTTTTCTTCGGAATTTTTGATCTGAAAATCCTAACCTCGGAATGATATCCTCCTTATTTTGGAAATGAATTGAAATGGCTTCTCATAATCAAATAAATGTTTGTCCCTTGTCCCAATTGTGATTGGTTATTTGGTTGGTGCATTTGTGATATTGTCCATTCCTAGAAGTCAGTCTGTTCAAGCTTTTCAAAAATTTGCAAGTTCGAAAAGGTTTCTGCACATTTTTTTGACAAAATGCGATGTTACTGCGAATTTTTCACGTCGATTAGAAAAATTCTGATTTTTTGAACTACATACTATTAGAAAACTGTAGTATCTGAACAGAACAACTATCACGTCACTAGGAAATGGACAATATTCTCTGCAACAACCCCCGTATGAAATTCCTTTAAAAACGTGTGTGCTTTTAGGAACCCCTACTAGCCGCCTCGCACAAAAACTCAAACTCGATGCGTCCGCCGGGAATCTCGCCGACGTGTCCACGTCACGGACGTGCCGCGCTTGCCCTTCAGAATAGCCGGTAAGAGAATACGAACAGTAACCCGATCATACTGAAATGTTCAAGAGGTAACAGTTTGACTGCTGCTCAAGCACCGACATTGGAAGAGATACAGGTCTAATTGCATTGCATCAACTGTCGAAAATCATCAATCATTTTCTTTTTTTTCGAACAAAAATCAAGTTTTTTGTTGTCAACCATCTTATGATCTCTATTTTTTAAAAGCAAATGTTCACAATCACAATTTAGCTCTCAATTCTTCTCCACTCCTTTTTTTCAACTTCTATGTACACATCCAATGTCTCGCGGTGCTTTGTACATATACAAAAGTGTTCCCCCCTCCTCCTCTTTTTTTCATTCTTCACACCTTTCCATTCTTCTTTTTTCCCTTTCCCGTTTCCTTGTCCGCTTCAACTTTTTTGTAAAACTATTTTGCTTGAGATAATCATGTCTAATAAAAAGGTTTGTCTATGTTAGAGAATGGCGACCAACAAAAGCGAATGAGAATGTTCGGTCGCTGTTTGAATGGAAGATTACCTCTTTTCCGCAACTGTGTTTGTGTGCGTTTGGTGAGAAGAGAGAGAGAGAGAGAGAGAGAGAGAGAGAGAGAGAGAGAGAGAGAGCGAAAGAGAGAGAAAAAAGTGAAAACACGGGTCGGAAAAGTTCAGTTTTTGTGAGGTTTATGAGTCAAACGTCCTGTTTTCAAGTTGGAATAGTCACTTTAAAGGCGGAAAGTTGTGCTACAGTTTTGATAGTTTTACGTCTTAACATCTGTAAAATCTAGGTGATTTTTCTGTTTTCGGACGCCAATAAAGTCTAATTCGCATTAATTCTCTAAATTAATCTGTAGTTTCACGCCTAGTGTTCCTTTTTTTGGGCGAACAGTAGAGTTTTTGAATGATAGCCGGAAAATGTGAATCCTAACGTGAAAGGTTGGTTACTTGTGGTTCGTATAAGCTAGCAATATGATTTTTTGACACACCGCGGACAAAATCGATATTTGAGAATTTTTTGTTCTTCACTTTAAAATTGGTTGAAAACTTGTACATATAGTAGTTTTCCTGGAACTCGAATACCTTGACTTCCTAAACAAAATTTGGCATAACGGTCATGTTATAGAGCTGCACTGTACATCTTTGATAAATTTTTTACAGAAATAGAGGAGGATACCGTATCATACCCTAGTACGAGTAAAACTTCTTCTTTTTCGTGATGTTTCATAGAACGCAAGCTTTGATATCATCTTAGTCAGTCCATATACGCACAAAATGAGAGATAAAAATATCTATCTCTTTCTCACCCAGTTATCATTATCAAATTGGTCAAGGTTACCTAGGATGTTGTTTACTTCTTTTCTCGTCTTCCATTATTGTCAATTCCTATCTGATTTCTTCATTTTTGATTCTGAAGGTTTTTTCTCCGTTTCTTCTCTCGTTGCCGTAAACTAACATGATACCAGCAAAGAAAACAGTTTCTCTTTGTCACACTAAACTTTACACTGTACAAAACGTATTTGGAAGGTCACTCGTCCCCAATGTTTCTACCCAACTGTTTGTCCGGTCCAGAGCCACTTCGAAAGAAGGGGCTGGTCATGGATAGTCTGTGAGCACACTTTTTGTGTAAGCGCACAATAGTTGTCCATTCACACCATGTTTACACAACACGCGTCAGTTTTTTTCCCATAATGTCATGTGGCATGTCTCAAAATTTCTAGTATACGTATAGGTTGAAAATATTATCAATCTGTGTTCTCTTCTTCTCTTTTTTGACCTCCGCACTCGCCGCCAAACGATGATGATAAGTCTCTTGTTTTGTTCTGTTTTTGTTTCGACTCAATATTTGCCCGTTCGTCCTTTTCATTCGTTTGACTTTCTCTACCCCCGTATTTAAAAAATGTCACTATTCATTTCAGAAATGATAACACTTTACACGCTCCTCTTCTCCATCACAGTTTCCGTCGTGTTCTGTGCGACTGGCGATTTCACAGTTGACACGTATCCAAACCCGAGAAGAGGCGGATTCAAGGAGTGCGGTCTGCGGAGCGCTGGAAGTGTTTGCGATCCATATGAGGTACGTTCTGAGTCGGTCAGTTGAACTTTTGTTTGGACTCAGTTCCGAGCGAGAATGAGATGAAGTGCTAGGAAAACAAGAAATCGGATGAGACCAAGAGTCAGTTTTCAAAGGTCGGACGGTTTATTAGTGTGTTCAACAATGAGTTTTGAGTTGATCAAAAACATATTCAGAAAATTTTAGTGGTAAACTGTTACTTCTCAATGAAAACCTCTAAATTTGCATATGAATTTGACAATACTCCACTTCACACTTTCAAACTGACATTGCTAGAGAAAAATAGTTGATCAATTGAAAAAGTTAAAATTTTAGTTTGAAATTCCAGATTTGTGAAAGTATTCTGACAAAATGCAATGTTTCAGACCCTGAGCGAATCGGAGCGATATCGCATTAACACTGCGCTTGTCAGTTTCCGAACGAAAACGGAATTGAGTGGAAATGACTTTTGCACCAGAAAAGGAACAGATGCAATGTTTGTCATCGTCAACCAGGTAAGTTAGGGTTCTATATTGATGTCAACGTCTAAAAATATCACTTTTTGCAAAATGAATACAAAATGAACATTTCTTCAGGCATCACAACAATTTACTGACGATCTTCGTAAACACTGGAACGACATAGACACGCAGTGCGGTCGCTTTGGTCTTCTTCTTCTCTCGTTCGAAGACCGACGCATTTATGGGTCGTTTGATGAACGATCACCAATTAGTAAGCGATTGAACCTTTCAAAGTTACTAGAGAATCAAATAGATGCGTTTGATTTATTGTGATCTGGTCACGATGATGAAATTTTTAGTTTTAAAATCAGTTTAGTGCTGGTAAAAGAAAAACAGCTGCATTCTAAGAAAACTGAATTGTACACTCGAAAATTGTGTAAACTTGGAAATGATCACTGTTCACTCATTAACCCGAAATGAATAGTTTCACAAGAGAGAATGTCACTCAAACAGGTTTATATAAAACAAGAAGACATTTCTACCGATGGAATAATATTCTCTGAGATTGTGTTGAAGTGAGGCGTGTGAAACTCTACTAGGGATATTTCAAAGGTCGGATGAGCTAGTTTTTTTGCGTTGCCAACAAAAATGCATTCAAAATATTCAAATCCTTTTATTCAGTCACGCATTTTTACGTAATATATTTTCAGAAATGTCTCAACTCCAGGCGATTATTGCCACGGAAGACGCTCACATTCAAACCGGAAGTTTCACCACTGCTGTCACCAACATCCTCAAGGAAGTCGCAGCCTCCATGACCCCATTGTCGGGATCCACAACTCAACCACCAACTACAACCATGTCAGCTTCTACTCAATTTACCATTGCTTCTGTATTTTTGACTTTTCTGCTATCATATCTTCTCTAGATATTCTTGAGTATTATTCACATACTTCCCTGCAAACTTATGGGTGCCTCTTTTTTCTTTTTTTTTTCTTGTTAACGACCGAATGAACAACACAAAATGAGATGTGATTTGGGCAATTTTCCAAGAATCTTCACATTTCTTCCGTATCTCTTTCTCAAGCATTTTTTTTGTCAACTTTCAAAACTTTATGAGAGTTCCGCTATCTAAAAGATGTATACATCATGAGAGATGGGAGTTGGCACATTTTCACACATGAAACACACATCTTGTACGGAAGAGTAACAAGTTTTTGAGAAAAATGAGTGGGAGCGAGAGGAAAAAGAGGAGAAGGGCGTGGGCTTGCGGATGGGTTCTTCTTGTTAAAAGTTTGCGGAGATTGTTCGATGGTGGCGATGGGGGAGGATCGACAAATGACATATACAAAAAATGAGATCGAATGGATCGAAAGTGGAATAAGTTTTGGAAAAAAGTGAGAGAGAGAGACAGAGAGAGAGAGAGAGAGAGAGAGAATTGAGATTTGTCGTGGGAGCCAATTGATCATCCGTACCGCAGCATGGGAAGCGATGCCAGTGAGTCAAGACTCACAGAGCCAGCACCCTGGAAAAGAATAGAAATTGAATTGAGCTAAAAGAGTTCGATTGCGGTACCTGGTTTCGATTCACTCTCATGAACCCGACCTCTTCCTGTGGATAGTACGAGTTCTCGTGGTTTCTCGCCGCTGAAATTGAAAAGTACTTGTTTTCTAGATATCAGGCAACTTCTAATCACTTCAGATTCATCAGTTTTATGTAATAAACACAGCTTCCTAATAAAGTGACTAGCTATGTTGGTTACTGTTCCGACAGCCCGTCACCGTTCAATAGTAAAATCACGTTCGATTATTTTAGCACGTAAGAACTTTCAACCTTGACTTTTCACCTGCTGAACTTACATTGAATCAAGAATCGGACATAGTCTGATGGAAGCGCCGACGTCGAGACGACAAGGACGATGAAGAAGACGAAAAGGATTCGCAACCAACTGCTCATACTCTACCCTGCAATACCAAGAATAGCTGAGAACATTTTGAGGACAGAACAGAGATTAGTCGCACGGACGGACGCACGGAATGTGATGAAATGTAATTTAGAGCGTGGAGCGTTGAGCGTTGGGCAGAAGCGAGCACGAGCATAAAAAGATTTGATTGGTTTCGGACGATGCTGGCTCGGAACGGAATGAGAGAAGGAGCGTAGCGCCCTAGTTCCAAACCGCGACCTAATAGGCTTGATCAGCGGAGAAAAAACGAGATTAGGTGCAAAAAAAGCGGCAGACTAAGTGAGTCAGGATGCAAAACGTGGAAAGAAAACGTCATTTAGAATTTGGCAAGGGGGGAGCTCGTCCTTCCTTACGTGGGATGTAGAAAATGAGGGTGGAAATGTGGAAACGCAAAAGTAGAAAGGCCGAGTATTGCACTCAAATAGTGATTGACAGGTGATGTTCTACTCTTACGTAAAAGAAGAGGGTGGAAAAGTAGATCGTGAAATTATTTCAGACAGTTGAATGATCAAAAAACATATTCTCATGATTCTAACGACGATGATGAGGATGTGATGACGAGAATGTTAATGGGAATATCAATTTTGCCTGGTTGGCGAGTATGTAATCTAATTTGATCGGAAATCGGTCTGATCTTGAAGAACATTGGCCCAGGACCCTTTTTTTCAATGTTTTAAAAAAGAGGCACTGAATGAAACGCGCACTTCTCATCCCAAGCTTCTGAGAAGCTCTTTAAAATTCATTGGCCTCTCCCCCACATTACAACATTTTTTTTTTAGAAAAGTCACTACCAGCTCCTCCTTTTCCTCGTTTGAATTCTGAGAATTGCAGCCACAGACAACAAACAAGTGCAGGAAAAATTTAGAGAATGACGCCACGTAGCTCGAACGTGGTGTTTATCGGGACCCTGGCAGCACATTAGTTATTAAATGAGGACTTGGATTTTTGTTTTGTTTTCGCCGCCTCTCACTTGTGGGGAACGGAAAACGGGGGAACGTGTCCGAGGATCGCACAAAAAACACTCAAAATGTATATTAAATGATATATTCGTTTGTGCGAAATGATGAAGAAGTGGTCAGAATTTACATAAATTACAATAATTTATTTATGGGCAAAGGGGGTGGAGGAAAGGTTTCCAGGTAAATGTCGCAGGTGATTTTTCGAAGGAGTAAAAACACGATTAGGTAAAGGTTCGTCGACAAGGTGAACCATAAATGCTTTTGTCTGGAAGAATATAGCGTTCTCGGAAAAAATTGTGCATTTCACACTACCATTGAAAAATGAACAATTCCTTCTCAGAAACACTTCAGACTGCTTTCGAATGCATCAAAATTTTGTGAAGTGAATGAATTGATGGGTCTTTTGTTTCATTCTTCTTTTTTTGTTGTTAAAAACATTCACCCCACCAACTCTAAACAAAAAGCTTTAATGATTTGCGAAAGGTCAAGCGCAAGAGCATGAGCACGTTGAATGTCCGTGGGCTCACTGAAGAGTTGAGAGGTCGGTGAGGCGTGAGCGTAAGAGTTGAAAGAAGAAGAGAAATTATTATTTTTATTCTATTCTCAAACTAGCGTTTCTCATACGGTTGGCTGACAAGTTGGGTGACGTGCCACGACTAAAGTCTGACACAAGAAAAGGAAAAGTTAGAAGAGTCATCCCACATCTCATGTGTTTAATTTGAAAGTTCCCCTCCGAGAGGAGTGACCGACAATAAAACTTCTCAATTACACATCTGCAAGTAAAGGGAGGTGGGGAGGATGGAACCCGACTCGAAAATATATTACGTCGTCTAGACCCCGGGCAAGGGTATACGATTACTTTCCCATTTTCTTGTCTTCTTACGCGCCAGCCCAACACTGTGGCACCTATAAGTTGTGTAAATAGGGACGGAGAGGGAATTATGAGTACTTGCACAGATTTGAGTTGACGGGGAGTATACGTGGACTAGAGACTTTCCAACTACAAAAAAACCTGAACCTGCTCCTTTTTTTTCCAAATTTACGTTCCTACGTAACGACATTCCTTCCTTTTCACAACTACTGACCAACCCCATTCCCCATGTTCCAAAATGTGTTAAAAACAGAAAAAAAAGAGGATAGGGAAAAGTTTTTCAGCTGAAAAGCAGGGGACACAAACCTAAAACAGAAGGCACGGCCAGCGATGCGTGATAAACTGCGAGAGAGGAGCGGACGCTACTCACCCACCACCTCATTTTTTTCAAATTATGTACATGGAACACCAACAAAAAGCACAGTATGCTGTAATTGTTTCGCTAAAGAACAGAAAAACGACCAGTGATCCACTACAGTGCGACGGCGGAAGAGAAAGGATAACGAGATGGTCAAAAAGCACAAAACAAACGGAGGCGGATGATACATTTGCTGGGGGAGGGGGCACATGTCCACATGTCATCAGTGTCAAGACACAGACCTAATCAGGTTAGGTGGGGGGCTTCGTCATCTCATCGATCAGTCCGGACACCCCACGGCGAGTTTCAGAGTGCGGCAGCGGCGGCGGAAATAAGAAAGAGAAGGGGAGAAGCGTGTGTTCTTTTTGTGGATTTCGGATATCGTGGTACTGAATGAAAGTTGGCTCAATTTGTGTTCATTTTTTTCTAATAAGGAACAGAAAATGTGTAGAATTACTGTAAATTTAATTCGAAAAAGGAAACCTGGAAAAAATTCACGGAAATTCTAGACTGGCAGAGATGGATATTTACCATGACGTTCCCCTCCCCCGCCATTAGAATGGTAATGAATTTGTCGGCAAAGGTGCATTTCTCTTTTTCGTGTCAACATCAACACATGGTGCGAATAACGAACGTGCAAAAGTCGGCAGAAAAGTTGTCTGCTTATTTACATCAGCACCACCCTCCTGCCTATCAGTGATAGCGAGACTAATACAGAATTGATAATGAGATCATTTTTCTCTTTTTGTGGAAGAATATTAGTTGGTATGATATCATTACTAATGATCACAAATTAATCAATTATTGATGGTGACACAGTCTTTTGGAAAAGCTAGGAAGGAGTAAAGAGCCAAGATTCACATTTATACTGTGTTCAACACAATTTCACTTGGCGTAGGAAGAAGCGAACAACTAAATGAATTTAGGTTAACTACGTATGTCTCATCTAACTTTTCTTCTAGACACAACCACAAATATCCTCAAAATGATGCGCTAGCGCTAAAAATAGTAGCAAAGTGGCTATTTTTAACTGCCTCCCTCTTTGCCTGCTCCTAAACCTCACCGCGATTACGTCATGTTCAAGAAGCAATCTAGACATTTCCGGTCACCGGGTTTCTCACTTGTTTTTCAACTTTACGTAAAAGGTAGAAAGGAAAGGGGGGGGGTCTAATTTTTGCATTCTCCATCCACTTTCGTCATCGCCGCACCACGGCAATGAAGGTGGTGGTGCACATCCGGTGCGGTGTGTACTTCCGGACAATGTCCGAGTCACTTGGAATATACCTGAATGGCCAGTGACGACATGAAATATGGGGTGGGAGAGCAAAAATCGGTACTGTTTCCTTATACATATATAGTCACAACGGCATAGGACAAAAGATTTCTGAAACAAAATACATTTTGCAACTGAAAATCCCTATCGTGAAATAGTTAATTTGTATAGTTCTATCTAGTAAACCTGATCAATGAACAACATTACCGTCTCGCTAATAGAGTGTGAAAATTGAGAATTCAAGAATCATGCCGAGAAGAACAAAACTATGAATTAATAGATGAGATGAGATGAGTCAGTGAGAGACATGGAGAAAGTTTCATTATACATATGTACAGCATAATAGTGACTGACTTTTTCTGCATTCTTAGCATTTCTAGGAAAGGCAGCGGCAACAAGAAGTGCCGCTTATTCATCTTTTCTTCCTTCGAAGTCTCATTCTCGGAAGTCGGAAAAGAAGATGTGCAGGAGAGGACGAAATTGAATCACAAGGTGAAACGGAGAAAACCCAAATTAAATCTTTTGGCCGCCAAAATTGGATCTTTACAATCGGCGCTGGCCTGCTCGATCAACGCTTTTGTTTGGGACCGAGGACGTGAATTGAAAAGGGTTTTGGTTTCGTTTTCGTTTTCGTCTTTCACTTTTCGCTTTTAGCGTTTCTTTTCTTCACCTTTTCACATCAGGTTCCTTTTCTATTTCAGATGCATGTCAAAATCTGAAAATAGGTGAAAATAGAGTCAAATTGAGCAGAAACAAAGGAAAGTGGACATGGAGGGAAAACGAGGAAAAAAGGAGGGGGAACTGAGAGAAAGGGAAGGAAAAAGATGAGAACATGACAAATTACTGTAATCGCTATCTGCTTCGGGTCCCCAGAGTCCGAAAGAATGATTAATAGGGATGTGCTGAGGAGGGTGGGGGAGGGTGAAGGGGTCAAAACACATATAATGTCTCATCCCTTCGTCTGTTACGCAATGACTTGGAATTCGCACCATTGCACATAAAATCTTTGATGTATTTTCTAGAATAACATGACGCAATTGCGCGTTTTAGATATAATCAAATCATGAAATCACTCTGACACTATGTGTTGGGGAGTCTAAGTTTGAGAAGTTGCCTCTGGGATAATCTGATTTTTGGAAATATTCAAGACAATTGTTTGTTTGAAGCAAATCTGAATGGGAAATCTTTGTCTCAGAAGAGTTTCTGTAAATAACACGCTCGACATCTGTTTTTGCAAAAAACCAATCTATCTCTTTTCAATAAGAGCACTCAGTAGTAAACTCTACAATATTTATAAGCGCAATCCAAGTTCTTAACAACGGAGCAGACCTTTTGCTATTATTCATCTGAAAATCTTGACATACACTTGTTTTTCTCACCAACTCTCATTCATTTTCCTGCAATAATATTTTTCACACAGGTAACACACTAAACAGCAGGTGAAATCAAATTTTGCCTCCATTAATCACTAATAGACGTCATTCATTCCTTGTCGTAACACCAGGCCTCCCACGGAAATGTTCAAACACATTCTTTCTCGCCTCCTCACAGAGATCCCACACATGTTTGATGTTTGGAGGATGAAAGCTCAAGAGTGAAATGCAAATGTAATCAGTTGGAATGGCAAGAATGTTTAGAGGGCTGACGTGAGACAAGTTTTCCGTTTCCGTTTTTTTTTTCTGATGAAAACGTATGGGGAGGGATGGAATTGACACTCTTTCTGAAAATGTTTGAAATGAAATTGAACTCCTCCGTCTACGTGATGACGCTTTCTCTTTTTCTTGCTAAAACATCTCGACAATTTACCGCTGATGGGGGCTGAAAAAAAGGGAAAAACTAGAAACTGAAAACAGAAAAACACTCAAAGATTTATTTTACAATCGACAATCCTAATTGTTTAATGTATGTCAGATCTAATAAGAGGTAAGAATGACCAGCAAAATTTTTTTAGTGTTTTAAAAAATGGATTTCGATAGAGACGATCTGAATCTGTTAGCAATAACTTCATCCAGATTAACATTTCTTAATGTTCTCGAGACTGCGACAAGCCTCTTGCTTCTATCGGTTGGCTCCATGGCCTCGAGACTCTCGTACTCTGTGTGGATGTCCTTCACGTCTTCTCCATTCTGACTCACCTGAAAAATTCAAGCACAAAAGTGAAAATGTTCTCTTGTTGGCTTACGATCAGATTTTTTACTGAGTCGGTTCCATTCACGTGAAAAAGAGGAGTGGACGGTGCGTCAATTACATCAACTGAAATAAGTTAACTAGCTCAAATCTTAGCTGCTCTTCTGATATCATTTTCAGGACAATTCTAGATGCTGTACCTCCAGCTTCTCCATCGCGGAAGGAGTAGGTGACGTTATCACCTGTATCCAGGATGACTCTCGGGAAAGTGAACATGTACGCTCCGTTGTTCTCGTTGATAATGTCCATTATGGTGTTCTGCTTCTTTGTGAGGGAATGCAACTTGCCTGGCGGCTCAATTCCGAAGAAACATTTGTCAGTTCCAGAGAAACAAACGAAAATGTCATTGCGAGGGAGACCCTTCAAAAAGCTCATGGGAAAACGATAAAAATTAGCTCGCGTTACTGTTTTATCAATGTACAGAAGCATGAAATGATAGTCCTTGATATCGTTCATGTAGATCTGGGTTTCATTGTCGGTGAACTAAAAGCAGGAAATAGAACAAGTGGGATAAAGAGGTGAAAATACCGAAATGACGACGTCACAATCTTCGGTCTCACATCCTTTTGGCGACGAGAAACACACTTTGTCCGGGGTGCACAGGTTCTATTTTCATCGTTTTTTTCCCATTTTTTTTGCATGAATTTTGCAAGTTACCTCGATCAAATCCAGCGGCTCTGCTCTCCCGGCGATCAAAATGACGGCGAACAAAAATAGCAGCGATAGTTTCATTTTAATAGCAAACGAATCGAAAAGAGCACGTCTGACGAGTTTGTTTCTGACGGAAAACTGAGCTATCCGTGACGATAGTATTCAGGAACTGACGAACTAAGGTGCCTGTTGTAACAGAGCTCTCTGCAGGAGAAAGAGCTCAAAAACCCCGGAAGTTGGTTGACGTGCAAACGTATCACCTGCTACCAACAAAAACGTTGATTCGGCGACGAGCGTGACCTTTCTGCCCTTTCGAAGTGCATCATCACATGACACCGACTTGTGTCCTTCTCAAATGTGATCTGAATTGGATTGTGTCCGTTCATTCATACCCTTTCGTCACTGGTTTATTGAGTTTGAGTTTGAAAGTTTTTCCTGGGCCTCCGTGATTTTTGAGAATTACACAAGTGGGAAATTTGAGAGACTCACGGCCGCCTACTTGTTTGCGTCAGCGACTTCGCGTTTTGTTTCGAAAACGTAGTAGAGTGGTGCAATGCAAAAAGTTACAACCTCACGGAAACGTTTCGAGAGTGACAACTCGGCCGTGTGGCAGGAAAACGAAACGTTAGGAGCAGGGAGGGCTACGTCGATACGGAGCAACTGTCGTAAACGAGTGATAGGAGTTTCACGGGAACAATTTCGGATATCATCTTTTTCCTCGAGGTCGGACAAATAATATGTGGGGGTTTGAGAGTCTTGAATGGCTTTTAAAGTGGAAGTAAACGTTCACACCTGAGTGTGTACAAAACGAAAAGAGTCAGGGGCAGGGTCAGGAATCGTTGCGATTTGAGGATAGTAAATTTTTTCAAGTTGCTACGTATGTGATGTGGAGTACTATTGTTCGAGTTCACGTGTTCTTCATTGACGAATTGTTGAGCAATCTCGTGATACTCTTTGCCACAAACAATTGTGCTTATGTCAGCAACTGTGCTATGAGTAGCTTTTCGCGGAGAAGCTTTAGCTCGATCTTAGTGGCTCAATCAAACCAGTATGCCAACGGCAATGACCAGAAAGACCTGTTAGATATTATATATGCTTTGCTGGTGACTCACCGATCTTTTCCACTTCATCAGTTTCAGTGTCGTCGCGATGTAGTAACGGCTGGTGCAGAGGATTCCGGAACTGGTCAAACAGACTTATTTGACAACATATGTACATGATATCTGATTTATTCTGTCGCCAGTGGAAACTGTCGTTTCAGTGAAAACGCTTGGCTGCGAAACGTTAGAAATGCGACAGCAAACTTAGTATTGAAACATCAGAGTTGCCAAACGTCGTGCCACAAAAAGAGGGCGGCCGCTGCTCTTTTTGTTACAAACATTTGTGCTGCTGATCACAATACACTTTTTTCGCCGAATCGACTGCTCAATAACGGATATCTGAGAGTCGGGCTATCTCACATTGAGAAAAGATGAATGTGACAAGAGCTTTTGAAACAAATACTCACTTGAAACGCTTGGTTTCCGTTGTTTTCAGCGAAGTAATTTCAAAGTACACACTGTAGAAAAAAGTCACGTTATTTGGATCGATCGTTTCAGGCAAATGCGGACCACGTCGTTTTTGCGACAAACATACAGAATCTCCTCCTACCGATGACTACTCTTCCAATCTTACCAGCTCGTCAGAGAAGATTTTCAGACTCGTTGTCTCTCCATTTTTTGTTTGGTCTTTCATAAATTCTCCTTTTGTTCCTTTGCTGGAAAGTCTGCAACATTGGATTCTCCGCTCTGTGCACACCGCCGAAAACCTGTCTCAAACATCAGAGGTGCCATACTCCCTGCCACTAAAGAGAGGGCCACCGCTGCTCTTCTTGTCACAAACATTTGTGCTGATCGCAATACATTCTTTTTCTCCGAAATGACTACTCAATTCCGGATATCTGAGAGTCGGGCTATCTCAAATTGCGAAAAGGTATTTGTGACAAGAGCTTTGACTCTTTGAAACAAAAGATTACACTGATCGGATACGATGACTGAGCCAGTTTGTTGATGAGGAGTCGGTTTGGGTTTTACTGATGGGAAAAAGACGAATAACCTATTCAATGAATACATAGTCAGGAAGATCTTGAGAGGTCTGTTACGTTTCAATTACCTTTTGTCTATTCCCAGAAAAAAAATAATAACTGTGATGGGATGAGAGCGAAATATTTGATCCGTTTAAATGAACCAGATAGTTGCAAGAAACTGGGAAAAAAAGGAGAAGTGTAATATTGAATTGCAACATTTAGTCTGTGAGTTCGATAAGTGTAACAACTCGATCGGGCGGTTGAGTCTTCATTACTAACAGGAAGAACAGCATCATCTTCCACTTTTTGAAAGTATTTATGTAAAAGCTAAACTGTTTTTGCCATCTACGACACCTCATCCTCTCTCGCTCTGGTCAGCGCAATTTCTTGGCGGAAAGAAGGACCACCATCTTCCTCACTCATTCCTGCTTTCGCCATCAATTGCTCGATTGCCGTTGCGGGCTCACGTTTTCTCTCTTATTTTTACTTCAGAAGTTTAACAATGAGGACTTGCTTCAATGACTGCAACGGAATTCTCATGATCAGCACAATTTGTATGTATTCATTTCGCTAACTAGCTAACCCTCAAGTCCGTACTCACAAAATTACATGATGACGCTCAGGTAGTTTCTGTTCTTGTTGAGAGATGACAAACTAGACGGGATCTTTGTAAGCACACTTGGCATTCGGTATCTTAAATCTGAGAATGACGGCACTGCCGACATCATTGCATATTATTTGAATCAGGTGAAAGAAAGGAAATTTTACAGAATTGCTCCCATTAAGAAATATTTTCCAGTTAACGAATTTTCAACTTTTCTATAACAGTGAACCAGATCTCTCTAAAACATTTCCTTTTTTTTCAACGTTTGACCAGCCAAAGTTGCTGTTTTCCCAATTGAGCAGCCAAACAAAGTTCAAAGATAGAAAAGTTTTTTCCCCCCCATTATGATCAACATCTCTATGATTCACATGATCGCGCTCAATTAGCTTCTCAACACTTTGCGACATCCCCATTCCTTTTCCGGGTCAAACTTTTGCAACAGTTGTACAAACAGGACATGGATATTTATAAAAGTGTCTGGGTGGCCAGAGGAAAGATCATAGCGAGCATCCATTTGACCATCATCATGAATACCCACTTCCTTCTCCTTGCTGTTCTCTTTTCCGGAGCTGAAATGTGCTCTGATGCCGGCTCGAAGTGAGTTTATTGTCTAAAAACTTTGCTATAATGTAACTTTATTTTCAGCTGTAAGAACTGGGTCGCTAATGGCTTCTGTACCAACAGCGCTTACACATCCGCTCAAATTCTGTATTACTGTGGAGAATCATGTGGTCTCTGCTCGTCTTCATCTTCCTCGTCTTCTTCCACCACCACTGCTTCTTCCTCTTCGTCGTGTACTGATTCCGTGTCGACATGCGCTTCCTGGGCTGCCAACGGATTCTGTACTTCATCCTTCTACACAACTGCCATCAAAACTCAATACTGTGCTTCTACCTGCTCACTGTGTTCATCTTCTTCGTCGTCTTCATCTTCGTCTTCATCTACTTCTGCTGCTACGACGACTGCTTCCACTTCCACTGCTGCCACTACCACTGCCAGTACCGACACCACGACGGCCAACACGGAGTCCACCACTTCTTCTGACTCCTCTTCCACCACTGATTCGTCATCGTCCTCTTCTTCTTCAGCTACCACTTCTGCTTCTTCTTCATCTTCTTCTTCCACTGCAGCCACCACCACGGCTACCTGTGCCGATTCTGTTTCCACGTAAGTTGCTGCTTTCCTCTCATCCAGCCAATCCTTGCCTTCAGATGTACTTCCTGGGCGGCTAACGGCTTCTGCACGTCTTCATTCTACACCACTGCTATCAAGACTCAATATTGTGCCAGTACCTGCTCTTTGTGCTCTTCTTCTTCCTCTTCATCCAGCACAACTTCATCTTCTTCGTGCTCTGACTCGGCTTCTGCGTAAGTTCAAGATAGTGTTTATGACGAAAATGCGACGAAAATTACAGTTGCTCTTCCTGGGCTGCCAATGGATACTGTACCAACAGCTTCTACACTGACACTCAACGCAAAGCCTACTGTGCCAAGACTTGCGGACTGTGCTAACCTGTTTCGCATTTTTTTTTCCAGCTTGTAGTTACATTAGTCGAATAAACGCAACTCTATTTGAAAAAACATATCATTCGTGAGCTAGTGAGCGTTTGAAGAAAGGCGTTTACGCTTCTCTTCGATAGACGTTTTAGGTTAAGAACGTTAATGAACATCTTATCTTCCACAGGGAAAATGAGACATGCTTCACTGATTGTCTTAGTTATTGCAACTAGGACTATCGCTTTGCTTACCTCCTATCAATACTCAGCAATTCTGTCTTTTGCTCCAGGAAAATTAACGTTCTCCTCCTACCATGGAAGACATTCTGCGACGATTATCGCATTTTCCTGGAGAAATTTGTAGCCTAAACAACCTGAATGTACAAGTCCTGGCTCTAGAGTGTCCCGTTAGTTCGATAGCCCTCTTTTATTTGACATTAGAACAGTACACGTAAACAGCCAACCGTCAGGTACGGGTTCTTATCAGTTGCCCTCACAATTTGAGCCAAAAGTCAAATAAAACCTATCTAATGAAGACGAAAACATTGAAAACGGCACACCATAGAACAAAAGTCTACCGTTGTTTTGATTGTATCCAGAGAACGAAAGCGGAACTAGTTCTGTTTCGATGATCATCAAACGTGTCTTCAGAGTTATTTTTGAATGCCAAAAGGTCAATCGTCAAGTTTATTTATTCACATTCAGAAGAATACATTAAACGTTTTGAAATTTATACACAAGTACTGAGTACAGACAGAAATAATGAGGAAAAGAAGAAGGTAGCGGGAAGTGCTCTGCACGATTGCCGGGTTACTTTAAGGGGTTAGTAGAAACGTGGCAACACTTCTTACGTAAAGTTTAGAAGAAGTGGATGGCACTAACTACGTGTTCAGTTAGTGGGTTAGTTACTTGGAACCCGTGAAGAAGAAAAGTTAGATTTTGCCAGTCTTCTGCTCGGAAGCATTCTTGTGCTTTCTCAGAGAACGGCTGCGAACCCATTCGTTGATAAGTCTCAGAACGCTCTTCTTCTTCTTAGAACTGGTCGACGACAAGGTGGCATCCGAGACGACAACAGTAGGGGCATGGGTCGGGCGCTCTTCCTCGAAGTTTTCATGGATGAGCTATAAATAACGCCAATGAATGATGATATGATAAAACTAATCGCATTGAGCTTTCAATCAAATTAGTCGGTCACATGTGTGTACTCACCGGGGTCATACGGGGACAAAACGGCTGATAAGTAACTAAACATTCTTTCGGAATGGCAGCGGCGTCAGTGTCCTCTTCATTCTCCTCTTCCTCGTCGGTTTCCGTGATGGCCGGGCATCGCGACGCAAGATACGTGTAACTGCGGCGTTTGCATCTGAAATATGTTGACTTGAGGGAGCAGCCGAAAAAATGAGGGAAAAGAGTGCGAAACAACTCGTGGCATGTTCCAGGACGCTGCAAAATCGGAACAAACGACTTTAATCTGGAGATCATCGCTCACAGAACCCTAAACCGCTCTGGTAAGGCACGTACACACACGTACATGGACGATTCACATGTGAGAGAAGAAATTGGGAGACCTGTCACACAGAATGAGTAGATCCTTACCTTGATTCTTGTCTGCGATTACGCAACATCAACATTCTTTGGTGTTTGTCCAGAAGAGAATCGAGCGAAGTTCCTTCCTTGCCTGGAATGTCATTGATGTTGAAATAGTGCTCGGGAAGGGTACTATACAATACTGTTTCAAGTCTATATGTAAGTGTAGGGCAAGTTAGTCATGTTCTTCACCGTACCTCATTACAGGGTACCTAAAATGACCCCTATGATCCCATTAGAGTTATGACTTGTTTGATAGCACCATAAATCAGCTGAGTTTTGACTCCTTTCCCCCACATACCTGGAGCCACCTTTGGAGCCAACTGCACAGCTGAAGACCTGGTCCGTGGTCTTGGTTGAGGACGCTTTCTTTCGTAAAGATTGAATTCCGGACGGATGACGGGCGAGAAAAGAGCCATTGGTTCTGAAATGATACCATATTGCAACAAGCACAAAAACAGATGAAGTAATGCGTTTTGCAGAACAGAGTGAATCGAAATGTCTGATAACTGATAACCAGTTTAGTTTCTTCGTTTTTGCCCTGATTTTTATAGAATCAACCGGGCAGCTGATAGCATGGCAAATACGGAGTCGAATAGAGATTAAAGTCGTGCAGAGGCAATAAAGATTTTCGGAGGGAAACAAAAAAAAGTTATGACCACTAAAATTATCAAAACTGATTAATGATAAGCGAAAATAAAAGTCAAACAGGGCTCTATCTCCGGTTCGTTTGCAACTTCACATGTGAATAAGGAATTTTCTAGAAGAAGAGTTACATTTGTAGCCCAGCCCGCCCCGCAAAATAAACGTCTTTCGGTGTTTCGAAAGAAAATGTGAACACTAATTTGTGGGCGGAGTACTGCAGCAGAATAAAGAGGAGCGGCTGACTCATGCCCGTAAAAGGAGACGAGAAGGGAATAATACCCCATGACAGAATGGTCTGGAATGGTAGTCCTTTTTATTGGTCGGAATGTCAAGCGAACCGCGGTACCAGCAACATCAAGGACCAGGTGGGAAGAACTGATTCTGAATACCACGGAAACTACTGAAAAACTAGACAGTTCCCGCCAGAGTATCAAAAATGAACAATCGCCGCCCGACGCCTATGTATTTATTTGCATTCTCGGTGTGTGGACTGCCAACTGAAACTAGTTCCGTCGTTTGGCAATCATATGATAATATTGTTTTAGGAAGAACCATGTGGTTGCACCTAATTCCACCTAAAAACAACTCAATTGACGATTCCTGGGGAACTTTGATCGCTAATTGACTTCTCGGCTACAGTAACGTGGAATAACATAAAAACGATCCGTTATCAGTTGGAGAGCAGTCTGATCTCCCGTTATTATGACCGGTAAGCCGCTTTTCAGATGTGACGTGAAGCGACTGGAGCACAAAGGGGTTTCCCTCTTCGCAAAGCAAGGGAACACGCTGTACTGTTTGTTGGAAGTGTCTAGAAGGAGTGGAGACATTGAGATTAGTTGGTATCAAAAAGTTGCGGCGGATCACACGATGATTCTCTAATTTTAAGAGGTTTTGGGAAAAACCTCTTTGTTCTTTTTTTCCTAAATTTCTAAGCGCCGTGGAAGTGAAGGAGACAGTCTTTTGTTCTTTGACCCTTAAAACTGTCCCTCTTGTACCGGGAAGTGAACATCTTTGTGGACTGGCATCTACGGTACCTACAAAGTCATAAACAGTAAAATACCGTAATCATTTATCATTATGGTTACAGTACATAGTCACATAAAGTATGTATCAGTACACTAGTTGACTGTTCTAATAAGGAAATAACTTTATTGGCTTGTCGAAGTTAAACGTCACGTTGAAATACATTTCACCATTTGAGAGGGGCTGGAACTCGTATTTCTACTTTTCTGGTTTGTAGGCCTTTCCTAAATGGAAAATCTGATCTCATTTCACAATACCAAGGGAAAAGTCATGCTCTCGTGGAAATCGTATCTAATGAACTTTCTGATCCTGATACTAATGTTATAATGGGGAATTTTCTTCGAATTACTGGTATCAACACAACCACTAATTTCCAAACTCTTCTCTTCTAATTGGTTTCACTTATAGAAGAATGAATCCGATTTGGTTCAAATCCGATTGAAATCAATCCAAATAACGGGCAATGTTTGATCTTAATTCGAGGGGAATCCTTTTCCTTATCTTATCGAACTATCAAATGAATGAGGACAAGATTGTCAGCCGATAAGCTAATAAATAAAATGTACCCGCTTCCGGTCGGATCTGTTGCTATTTTTAGAGGGATTGTCTACCACTCCCTGATATAGACCCATTTATCCTTTCTATCTCTCCCACGGCGGCCGACTATTGATGTTCATTTTCTCACTTCTTCTTCCACTCCATTTCTTTTTAATTGCCCTCTCATTTCTCAGCCAACCTTCCGATCGGAAAGAGAAAACATTGTCAATAGAGAAATGCGATTTGCCACGACCACGACTAGCCCCTGGGGGAGGGGGCTCTAAAGCAAAACTGTTATCAGTATGCATGATATTACATATTTACCGAAGGAGCAAAAAGCACTTACGTGACATAGCATGCGAGATATCCATCCTGATAACTGTTTGGCGAATTGTTACTTCTAACAGATAATGGTTTCAGAGTTTCAATATGAGTTGACCTGAAACGTTTTAATTTGCATACTCCGGTTTCACGAGCATATGACTGTTTGCAGACTGAAATTGCGTTAAAAATAGAAGCGGTTTATAGCATGGAAGTTGGACAACATGAGTCAAAAACACAATAGTTTGAATCACAGTCAAAATAACAGAAAAAGAGGAGCGGGTGGATTTTAATGTATTCATTTAGTATTGTTCATAAAGCATGAGTCACTTCAAAGGATCATAGTGGCAAATCACTACTTCAGAGTTTTATTTACAGAACGGGAATGTGTTAAAAGGAGAGTGAACTTGATTTTGTCTAAAATCTTGCGAATCATGACGCGAAACCAGTAAAGTTTTGTCCTTCTGATTACTAGAACTTTTCATAGACTGATCATTTTCTTTTTGCTCAGTATTTCCGGTAAGACATTGCATTTCACTCAACTAAACATTCTCGGGAAGTACTGTTAAGGTTGGCAAGAATAATCTTCACCCTTCTTAGTATTTGTCAACGAAAATTGCCTTTCGTGGACTGATAACACAATAATTTCTCATTGAGACCAGATCCTAAAAGTTTGGGACAAAAAATGAAGACTTTGTCAGTAGTTTGACCCTCATAAATGTTGTAAAGAAAATATGTAAAACCGAACAGATTACAGAACAAATCCTATTTTTTTAAACGGTCAAAGAGCAGGAAAGAATCACGCGGGAAATGTAAATGAGAATAGTCCGAGTGACAAGGAACAAACCAGAGGATTGATGTTTGAAATTTTAGAGCAAAGACAACAACGATTCAATTAGAAAATGTCACAGGACGTCCTGTGATGCAGCCACGCAAGCAAGTAAGTGAACTAAACAAATTGTTTCATATTCTTCTTATCTGTTCACTTTCCGACTTACGCCCACATTTGTAGACAGAAAGCGAATAAAAAGTGAACCGTCCAGTCAGGTCACATGAACAAATGCAGTTATCAGCTTCAACTCTGAATGGCAGTTGCTTCAAATTCGCTCAAGATATCACTCAAAGCTGATCGAACGTCATTTGACAAGCATGGATTAGGAGCACTTTTTTTTTAAATATTGGTGATGGTGCCAGGAAAAAGTTAAATTGAACCGAAATATATCCTAAAGAAACAGATAAGATTAGCAGCAATCTATATATTGTCGAATAGTTACAATTTCTCAGACAGAAGCAGAGAATGTTTCATGAATATTACACGGAACCAGGGCTGGGCAATTGGCCGGCACGGGCTTTTCGTTGGCTGAAAATTGACCTGGACATTTGAACCACTTGCAATATTCCGATCGATCCCAAACTTTGCAGGCTTCTTGGACATGGGTTGAAGCATACTGGGACCAAGTTTCAGCCCGATCGGATTATCTGGTCCCGGGATATGTGGATCATTGGCCGAAATTGGCCGGAAGCCTGGGCTTTTTGGAAAAAATCGGCCAATGATCCACATATCTCGGGACCCGACGATCCGATCGGGCTGAAATTTGGTCCCAATGGCCCTCAATCCAAGTCCAACAATCCTGGAATATTTGGGTCCGATCGGAATATTGCAAGTGGTTCAAATGTCCAGGTCAATGTTCGGCCAACGAAAAGCCCGGGCCGGCCAATTGCCCAGCCCTGCACACAACATTTCCGTTTCACGTCAGTAAATTTCTTCCTTGGGTTCAGGGGACAGAAAAACATGCCAAGCGACTGATTCATCCTAAATCTAAATGTTGCGGCGTGGGATAAATGTTATTGAGTCCAAATATACACAAACTGTTTTATTTCTGCAGCCAATAGTCCGAACAGCCTGTAAGAATGAAAGATTAGATTGCTTGTGCTTGCTTGCTTGTGCTTGTGCTTGTGCGTGTGCTTGTGCAATGTGCAATGTGCAATTTTTGACCTCAACTTCATAGCGCAGTTTTCTGAGCCCAATGCGAAAACTGAAAAACTCGTTCGCATATCCCCGAAACGCATATTCAAAAGACGTGAAGAGGAAGGCTCAAGTATTCAAAAAACCCGGAAGAAGGCCGGATGCTGTCCTCCTCTTCTCTTTTCGCTATCTTCTTCTTCTCTTCTCATTTTTTCATTGTGTGTTCTGTCCTTGAAGAACCAATTTTCGCACGAGCAGCACAAAGAAGAAGAAGAGAAAGAAGAAGAAGAAGATAGATGCCACTCTCCCTGCTTCATTTTTTTCCGTTCTCTCCGCGGCTCTTGAATGCTCATTTCATCATGTTGTGTGTGGGCCGATGTGCTGCACTGCAAGTCATTTGAAATTTGGTCTTTGAGAAATCTCACAGACCACGCCCCCGAGACCCCGCCTGCTCAGCATTCACTTCTAGGTGTATGCGTTCGTGCGAGCACAAACACCATTTTTTCCAGTTCACACGCAATCCGTGCTCAAATATCACTTCTGAGAGCGTTAATCAGATCTTTTCGGACTTATCATAAATTTTAGCGCTCTGGATTAATTATAATCTTACGTTATGAACAACGTTTTTTATGTCTCTGAAAAAATTGTATTTTTCCGTTTCAGGATGTTTTCCGCAAAGAATTTCGTCCTTGTCTTCCTGCTCGTCGCTGTTGTGATGGCGACGGAGCCGTCGGCTCAAGTAATCCGTCGCCTGTGCGGCAAGAAGTTGTTCAAAAAGGTCGTCGAGGTCTGCGGAGTCCGGCTCTGTACATCTACAGGTGAACAAAACTTGGTCTACGTAGTAGCATAACCCTTTTTACTTTTAGACGAGCATATCGCAGTCAAGGCCTGCACTTACGGATTTTCGGACGACGGCCTGCGCACCAAATGCTGCCCCTAATTTATTAGGATGACTTGGATAATTGATGTTGCCCCGGAAGTATTTCTTGCGTGGTGTTAAAATAAAAGTTGATTAATGTATCCAAAAGTCTGTTATCGTTTGGGGCAAAGTGTCGATGTTACCTTAGACGCTACATTATTTATACTTTGGCTTTGTCTTTCTTATCGAATATGTTTTAAAGTTTGCTCCCCACTTTCTGATTGATGGGCTGTCACTGAGGTCCGCTCAGAGGAAAATGATCTGGAGAACAAGAGTTCAGTTTGCAGAAACACGATACGATGTTGACGATGAAACTTTTCGGAATTCAACCCCCGGATGTTGACTTTTAGACGTTTTTCTTTTTCTTGAAATAAAAATGAGATGTGCTCAATGTGCGGGGACAATACTACGGTAGCAACGTTTCTCAGTTTTCTCTATTTCCTATTCTGAAAGAGTGCGCGAAGCACGAAGCAATCCATCAAGATGAAAGCTTTCCTTTTTCCCTATTCAAATATTCAGCTCTCGCATTCTCCTTCAAAAAGCATTGGAGCAAAAAGGATTTTAAAAGAATTTTCTTTGGAGTTCCTTCCCCTTTGAAAAGCGGATTAGCAAACGGGCAATGCAAAAGGAAGTGTTTCCCGCGTTCTTTACATAATTGAGCCCTTGCACGTTTCCAGAGCTTTTCTTTCTCTTCTTTTCTCTAAAGCCTTTCTCCGATTTTAGAAAAAGAGACCAAGAAGTCAAAAATGCATACATGCGCATCTGCTCTCCGCCCGAAAGAATAGTAATCGCGAGCAACATTGGAGAACTAACAAGTACAGAGTAAAAGTTCTCGTTAAAAAGCAGTCCAGAAGTTGTGTTCTTCGAATGTATCAACGGAAACTGAAACAATATGTCAATTATTCACAGGAAACATGGAAAGAGAACTGGAACAATGGGGGGAAATCGGATCAGTTGTAAAATGATTGAAAAAAGAGTAGAGGAACACAGGGAAGCGGGGAAGGGACACAGGGTGTCAAGAAATGGTATCCGTGTAGAATTTGAGTTCAAAAGTTCAGTGAAGTCCAGCGTGTTCGCATCAGGAGTCATGAAAAGCCGCTGTTTGTGACAAAGATGGTGTGAGAACATCTGGAGATGTGAATGACGGTGAACCTGAAAAATATTGTAGTTTTACTACTTTGGATGTTTCAATAAGATTGATGCTCACCTTTATCAGATAGTATTCCACGGAGTTGGTTGAATAGATGAGCGGTTGTGAACTTGCCTGCTATTGTTCATGTCTCAACGAGATAGGAAGGAATCTGCATGGAAGTTGTTGTTTCTGATGTTCATTTGTTTATTTTTTTACCTTCATAAATGTTAGTCTCCAGCAATGTATCCAGAAGAGAAGAAAAAACATCTGTTTGGGTCCCATTGAGTTGATCCAATTTCCCTGAAGACATTAGTGTAATGTATGGACGTTTTGAATCACTCTGCACTTACCTTCGATTTATGCCAGAAGATGTGAACGAATGACAGTTGATTGCCAGAACGGCAGGCGAGAACAAAGCAACGAAATGTAGGAGAAATGATTCAAACAGAATGGATAACCAGAACAAGAGAAAATCATTAACGCAGATGACGATAGAGGGGGGGGGGGTTGTAAAATAAACAAGAACTGCTATCAGGCCAGGCACAGGCTAGGGTTTGAACATAAGCAGCACTCAAATCCACGCCTGGATGTTCAATACCTCATTCTGTCTTCTAAACGAATAGGAACGCGCACGCCGGTACAGAATGAGAAATTTGAGCGCATTTTCTCCAAAAAGTTGCTTGAAAAAATGAAAAAGCGTGAAACATACCTTCAAAGAACGTTTGAAGCTGCAGACGCAAAAGATTGGCTGAAAATTGTATTTCAGTCGTACACACACACACACACACACTGACGTGAAACGTAGTGGAGTTTTTTTGTAGAGATGTTTTGAAAATTGAAGAAGACGATGTTCTAGGGAGGGTAAATGCTAAGACGTAACTGTGCAATTACAGAATACGGAAAACAATTTTCAAAAGACAGTTCTTCATGTTGTTACAGAACTGCATAAACCTTGATGGGTTCCCACATACACATTTGAGCATTGCGGAAGAACATATGTTCTTTTCAAAATTAAACTGAATGAAATGTGTCTGTGTTCTACCAACGGAGGCTTTTCTAATGGGCTTTTGAAAATTGAAGAAGACGATGTTCTAGGGATGGGCTGGGCGGCTGTCAAAAAGACATTCGCAAACTAAAAGGTAAATAGTCAAGTTTGAAGAAACAATTCCTGGTATTGTGCTGGAACTGGATTAGTGCAAACTCAAAAATTGAAGATGTACTAGTAACTAGGTTTTTTTAAGATTAAATTGAATGAAATGTGTCTGTGTTAGACACAATAGTAAACGCCCAGCGGCATAAATATTAGTTTGCAACAAGTCAAAAGATTGCATAATTGTCAATCTCATGCTTGTTTGATAATGGCTTCCGATATCAGATCCCTGAAATCGGGATAACGTTCTACCAAAAGTTGGATATTCGGTCCCATCGACTAAGTCGCGAGGGAGGGCAGATACGTTTGGCTTCTTAGCAAGCTCAGGTCAACTCAAAACATGTTAAAGGACCAGGGAACCCAAAAATTTTTTGATTTTTTTGTGAAATTTTTTTGTGACTGTTTGAATTGTCTCTTATTGCCTCATACACTCGTGAAATGCTGTCCCTCAAAAATGCCAATGAACGAAACGGCATGCAGTTGAAGTTGTGGCCGTGGCCTAGCGCCAATGACCGAAAAATATATAAAAAAATATATGCGCTTCTCGGCCATTTTATTTTTTTCCGCTTTTTTTACCGGTTTTTTCCAAAAAATTCAGGGTTTCTCCCATTTTTCAGTTGATTGACATTTGTTCGGCACTTACTTATTTTTTTCACTGCTAAAAGATTGTTTTCATTCAGTCGATATGAAGTGCCAAAATGGGAGAAACCGTGAATTTTTGGAAAAAAACCGGTAAAAAAGCGGAAAAAATAAAATTGCCGAGAAGCGCATATATTTTTATATATTTTTCGGCCATTGGCGCTAGGCCACGGCCGCAACTTCAACTGCATGCCGTTTCGTTCATTGGCATTTTCGAGAGGCAGCATTTCACCAGTGTATGAGACAATAAGAGACAATTCAAACAGTCACAAAAACATTTCACAAAAAAATCAAAAAATTTTTGGGTTCCCTGGTCCTTTAAGATATATTTTTCATCGTAGGACCTGAGCCAGGTCCCGTCCTACACCTGGTCAAAAGACTCGGAGGTGAAGCCATGTAGGACATATAAACACGGAAAGTTACGTGAAGAAAACAAAGATACTATATTGTTTCGAACCCTACAGCAGTAATTTCCTATGCGTTCAATGCAAAAGCGAACTGGAGACAAGAACTGACTCGAAATGCAAAAGCGAACTGGAGACAAGAACTGACTCACATTCCTCAACAGAAGCAGCACTACAACTGATGTGAGCTCTTTTTGTTGGCATTGACTGGGCAGCGCTATTGTACATACTTTGAACATAAAATGCCTTCGTCAGCTAAATTACGTCCGCTAGCGCCAGATGTGCGTGGTGAGAGGTAAAGCCGAGACAAAAAGATCGTGTGATAGAGAAGAAAAGTGAACCAGAAGAAGAGCATTCAAACGGTCAACATCGAATGCACACTAATTTTTACATTAAATCTACTCCCTCGTTGTGCAACTCACGCCGCACATCAAACACTGTTACGATTATCTTTTTTCTTATCATTGCGTCATCACTCTGAAGTGGAGTGATCGCTGCTGAACAGACTCGGGTATTAGGGAAGTAAATTCTCCGTCAATTGCAATGAGAATGGGGTGATCGCGGGGAAGCAAAGTCAAAAGAAGGTTATGATCTTGCATCGCGCTGGCATGCCAATCCGTTTCTTTCCCAAGGATAAAGTCTACTATCATTGCGTTGAAATTCATCAGTTCGTCGTCGAAAATGGCTGGACGTGCGTGCAAAGCGACAAATCTTGCGGCGGTCAGTACGGCTGTGATATCGAAAGACGGACCGTGGATTGCAGAATTCCCGTTGCTGGCGTTGACGGTGACAAAAGACAGAAGGTCTTGAACGTCAATTGGCAATTTAGCGAGCTTCTCTTTATCCAATAGTGGTTTAAATCCTTCATCGGTGCCATTTTTCTGCTCAATCGAAGGCTTGTAGCCTTGAGTGTTCACATCGATCACTGCAAAAAACGAATAGTCACTTTGATAATTTCTCACTATCATAGCTTCTATTTACCATGCCAATCTTTGCCACATTGAGGCCTAATTCATTCCTTCCGATTTTTACTTTTTTCCTGAAAAACAACAGTAAACAAAAACCATGTGAAATTCATTGACCCACCGGCCTGAATGCGTCGTGGAGCACATGTAGTTCCAGGTAAATGCTCTTCCTATTCATCACGACCCAGGTTATTTTCCTGGGATTGCGTGCTGCTCACTTGGATGTCTGGAAAAGCAGATAAAAACAAGCAAAGCAAACATGATAGAGTGAAAAGAGTATTTCATGTCGAAAACAACAATTAGACGGGGTCAACAAAATGCTGGAGAAAAACGATTCAGATGTGTTTATTTCAGTTTATTATTGTGTATTATTACATTTAAATAATGTTAACGACTAAGGCGTGGATTTCAATTCAGGGTGCGTTCTGTAAATGTGAAGCTCTCAAGTTGTTTTCGAAAAATGAATGAAGAATTTTGGAAAAACCACACGAGGCGTGTTGATTGATGTTAAATAGTTGCTTGCGAATGAGTTCGATTTTGAGGAGACGGGGATTGGGATAAAATAAAGTGCATGTAATGGGAAGATGGAAGGCACACGTAGCAAATGAAATAGTAACCTCTTTTTTTGTTTTGTTCTTGAAAAAGGAAACTTGGCTAGCACACTATATCTAAAGACGCTCAAGTGTATGTGTGTACGCTCAGCGCTCGAAAATTGCCTTAATCAACTGGAAAACAGAAAAAAGGTGGCTAGTTGGACGGTTCATTTACTCGCGAGGCTTCGTCGGCACACGCGTGCGTTTCGAACTGATGATCAGCGCCGGATTAATCGGAGATCCACGAGCGGCAACTGGCGCCGGAGCGGGGGCTCGGGCTGAGGCTCTCGCCGGAGCAGTGGCACGGACTGGGGCGGTGGCAGGGGCTGGAGCCGGAGCAGCGGTAGTGGGAGACGGTCGAGCAGCCGAGGTGGCCGTAATGGGCGAGGCGGTTGACGAGGTGGCGGCGGCGGTGGACGAAACGGCAGCGGTAGCGGTGCTCGGACCGACTTTCTTTGCAGGGGAGCCATTTTTCTGAAAGTCAATCAATTTGGCCTGATCAGAGAAGTGTTTCAGGTTGTCTCTCTCTCTCTCTCTCTCTCGCTCTTTCTTTTGTTAAAGAAGTGTCAAGATACACCATTCCCATTCTCATACGCACCTTATTAGATTCCTCCATCATGCGGAAAACAACCGATTTTGTCTTTGCGTCTCTTGCCGGTCTTCCCAACGCAACCGCAGTTGAACTCGATGCGCCGGCCATGGAGGTGTCCGATTGCGGAGCAGCGGCTTTCTTGGTGGAAGCCTTCTTCGGCGCCGTTTTCTTCGATTTCTTCGATTTAGCGGACGAGGAGCTCGTTGAGGGACGGGACGAGGTCATGGGCGACGCTCTCTTTTTCGAAGGCTTCGAAACGTTGGAAGCCACAGGAGCAGCAGTCTTCTGAAAATCATACATTGTCTGCAGAAGTTCTATTTTGTATGAATGGCACTGCGTCGCTTATTCTCTCTAAACCAAACAAAATTAGCTCTAAAATTATTAAGGCAATCTATCCATTCGTCTCACATCTACAAGAACTTACTTTTTTGCCGATCTTGGCAACGGCTGCGGAGGCAGCGGCGGTTCCGGACTTTCTCGCCATTTTTTTTTTAGCTTTTTCAAAACCTGTAAATCAATATTAGGTGTAAAAAAACAACAAATTAGAAAAGGTATTCAACGCTGTACAAGACAGTTATTAAGGTAAAGAAAGATTTGTGCCATGCATGAAAAAAACGAATATTTATCATTGAATTATTAAAATAAAGAAAGATCTGTGCCATGCATGAAAAAAAAACGAATACTTATGATTGACATCAAAAAGTGGAGGATCGGAGAGGGATCGGAGAGGAATCGGAGAGGGATCGGAGAGGAATAGGAGAGGAATAGGAGAGGGATCGGAGAGGAATCGGAGAGGAATCGGAGAGGAATCGGAGAGGAATCGGAGAGGGATCGGAGAGGAATCGGAGAGGGATCGAGGAGGAATCGAAGAGGGATCGAGGAGGGATTGAAGATGAGACAGGGACAAACAAGGAGAGACAGGTAGAGCGAGAAAATCAATATTCTTTCCAGTGGTTTCGGGTCAGCTCCGCTCTTTTTCTTCTAATGAGGTGCGCTTTGATCCGATTGAAAGAGAGGTCTGGGAGGCCGACCACGTGCTCTCGGTACAATACCAGCAGTGTCTTGGTTGGCATATCCAGCTCCATGTGCTGTCTTTCGTACATGTTTTCGTAAAAGAACGGCGCATCGATCCACTCGGGTCCATTGTCTATTCTTCTCGGAACGTTGTAGATGCTCCGACCTTGGCGTCCCATCCACTTCATCTCATTCAAGACCCAGGACACGAGAACATTGGCCGGGTGGTTCACTCCGAGACTCTCCAGAAGCGTCTTCACGTGGCGCATGTGTCCAAAGTGCGCGGCAGGGTACTTGATTCTCGCCAGCACAAAGATCAACGGGCCCATGATCTCGGCGTCCATCTTTCTCAGATATTTGAACTCGCTTCCGAAACCCAACATCGGCGTCTTATGGACGAACAACGAAGCGAGCAGATAGACAGCTCTTGAAAATGTGCGGTAACCATGTTCAGTAGCCTCATAATCAGATTCGGCCATTTTCAGACAAATCTGTACGTCTGGTGTTAGCTGCCGAATCTCTTCTGGCTTCAGACATACACTGTCGAAGAGACGAAGGTAAGCCGTGATTCCGTTGTTGAAATCTTCTTCAACCGGCTCGGCGTACAACTCCTCCAACCCTGCAATTTAGACAAAAAATGAACCCAATTTTCCAGAAACATCCACATGCTTCAGTGATTTCAGAAAATGCTACTCCCACTATGAATTTGCTAGTCGGACACGTCGCTTTACGTTCACTCTTTACCGCTGCTGCGAAATACCGAAAATCTCTTGCAAATTATAAGTATACATAGTCGAAAAACGAAAACTGCCGCCCCTCAACTAACAATTTTGGAAAGCAACGAGGATGGCGCTAACTTTCAAATTTTTCACATTTTGGCAGTACATGAAAGTACATCGTGCCCATTCCACACTTTGAGTAAGCAACAGATGGGCCAGGAAACTAGAGGAAAGTAGAAAAAATCTCACAATCTTCGTCGGCTGGCTTTTCTTCCGTGTCCACATCCATGGGTGCTGTCTGGGCTGCTGAGGCCTCCTCATTGTTCTCCGTATTCATGTTCTGTGTCGTTTCCTCTGTTTGCATGGGCATGTAGAAAGGCTCATCGCAAAACCGTCTTTTCCGTGGTTTCGCCTGAGCTTCTCCGCTTTCCATGACTCTCGGCTGGTTTACAAGTTCCTTCGGCTTATTGTTGACTCGGGTGTAGCTGGTGGGCACGGGTCTTTCCTGATTATTCTGCAGCTTGACCATCTGTGAATAACATAACTTAAAATAGAATATCAATTTTTATATTTCGCGCATTAGTCCGTCATTCCTAATAGCAGTTTAATAATCACGGAAACTACGGGCTGGTCCACCGATATCTGTACAAAAGTTTGGGGCTACGTTCGGATGTACTGACGCTGTTTTGGTGCGGCCCTAATTCAAATTGTTGTTTATCATCATGTTCTTAACTATTTTCCGAGTTTCAGACCAAACTCTTTTGTTTTAGGCAAATTGCACCAACTACTCTGCATCACCTGCCCATCAGGCAGTTGTTCGCTGGCTGAGCGAACCAACACACGATCATGAAACGGCTCGGTATCCCAAGTAAACCCTATTTTGTTAGACTATTCGTTATTGGGATCTTACAGAACAATATAAAGGTTCAACCACACAGAAGTGTGAAAATGCTCAAGAAGATCCTTATCGGGTAATGGACCGCTCTGTCCGTGGGCTACCTGCGTGCCGCGGCGAACGCCTACTTCGGAAGTCGAAAGGAGGTCGGATGGATGACACACGATCATTTTATAAACATTGTGCATCATCTAAACAAACTTTTTGTTTTGTCTCATGTCTTTCTGACTTCTAGTTTTCGAGTTAGACTATTTTAATTTTGTACGGGTAACGGTGGGCCACCCCGCTGGTGCTGAGAAATCAATCTGCAAGACGTCCGTTCGAGACACCAGCTGGTCTCCTCCTCCCTTGGGCGAACCTCGGGCAAGAAGACCTCGTTATGCGCAACAGCATCGCGGTCGGGGGTCGCGCAGTTGATTTTCCCAGTCCGCGACGTGGAGACTACATCAGAAGTGTTGCTAATGTTCTCAAATTACTACTATGTAGTAATTCGTCTCCATTCAGTTCCGCGCAACGCATCTCAAAGCGAGAGATTGACCAGCATCTGTTCGTTTATTGACCTATTGCTTGAAGCTGTAAGTAATCACCTTTTCCGATGACGCTGAAAATCCTTCAGCGGCGGAGGTTTCTTCGTGTTTCTGGACACTCTTGCTCATTTTCGTTGTGTGTGTGGGTTGCACTAAAAACTAACAAATTTGGTTTGGGCGGACAAAATAACAAGACGGAGAGCGGAAAAGAACGATAAAGAACGAACACGCAAGATCAGGATGAGCGCGTTCACATGTCAGAGAGCAAGAGAGAGAGAGAGAGAGGAAGAGAGAAACTAGTGGAAGAAGACAAGGACCACCGTGAGGAGAGGAGGCGTACAGTGAGCAGACTGACTCACCTACAACATCGGGGATAGAATGTGAGGACTAGAGATGGGGACGGTTAGACAGATGACCCAGATGAGCCAGTTAGCGAGAGTGGACCACAAGATCCGTCGTCCGAGAGAGAAATGACGATTACATCAACTGACGCAATGGTATAATATCGTCTCGATTTACGTTATAATTTGAAAAGGTGATATATAGTGGTAGCAATCGGAAATCAAGATTTCAAGAAGTAAAATGCTGGAAACAGTGTCTGGCGGCCCGGTAGTCAAACCGTTAACCGACAATAGAAGTCCGGTTCATTTCGGTAATACAAATGTTCCGTCCTGCAGTGCTTCACATACCCGCGAAGATACCGCAATAACTGCCGTTAACACAAATATGCTAGCCGATCGAGTAAGAATAGATGAGCCCATCGCCTGTACTCGTACTAACAGAGAAGGGAGGAAAGAGGAGACTGAATAGCTGAGAGTGAGACTGAGGTCCTCCGCGCACGCGGTGGCATTCCGCATCAATGGCACGTGAGAGTCGAGAAGAATGGAGATGGAGAGAGGGTGAGAGAAGAAGGAGGAGAAGGATGGGTGTCTTGCAACATGTGGCACACAACCTGCCTTCTTTGGGCAAAACGAGAGGTAAGCGATACAGACGAGGAAACATTGAGTTTGAATGACGAGAAGGGCAATAATGTAAATCTCACACAGGAAGCAAAGTAATCACGTATGTAGAAGAGAAAACGAACGAGAGAGAGAGAGAGAGAGAGAGAGAGAACCCGGAGAAGCCCATTAGTCATCTCGCTTTTACACCGGCTGATTGAAAAATGAAGTACGGAAATCAGTTGAATAATCTGGAAAAAACGCGAGAAAAATGGAGTGAAGGCGTGGGGAGGCGAACGAGAATCTGTAAATACGAAAAAATCGGGCGGTGCGCTATAGTGTCATCATTGCAGTTTCATCACACCATCTTCTGCAATATCATCTGATTTCACATGCGATCGTTAGCCCGTACTGCTCCGCATTGTTCCGTTAATCCGCCATCAGGTTGATTCTCAGAAACCAGTAATTATAGTGTGCCCTGAAAAGAGAGAAGATTAGGATGAACAACTAATTTGTCGGCGCTAATAACTCACAGGTTTGAGTTGTCAACAAGTACAGATAAAGGTCATGGTGTTTGTTGTCGCGCCATTTCTAATTTGTCTCCCTCGCGTAAACAATATGCACATAAGAGCTGCACTACATACGGGCAGACAGACAGATGTCATCAGATGACGTAAATGTCGCGTTGACTACAGTGTCCCCTCCGGGCTGTGTGGGGCCGTGCAAGTCCAATATAATTGAAAAGAGGCCGTCAGCCGGTGAGGGATATTGTAGCTCTTTGATGTTGAGAAAGAGGACGGTAAAGACAGACAGGGAGCGGCGTGCAATCTTTTATGTTTCGACACAGTATTGTACTGGTGACTAATCAAGGAGGTACAATCCATAACATTTCGGCGTGTCTGTGAGTATAGTGACAAGGACCTGACCAAAAGAACCCACTAAAGAAGAGGAGAAATGATGAAAGTTGGCATCTTCAATGAACCTAAGTTGATGGAGATAATCAGAATCACGTCATCCAGATTACCATCATCATAAATCGTTTTCCAGCTGTTCTGCTCCCGCGTTACAGTCCACCCTCACTACATTATCAAGAAAAGTCCTCGTGTGTTCAAGTACCTAATTTCTTGATCAAAATAACGGAATCACACCACTTTTATAGACGCAAAAGTACAGCGATCAAATCGTAATCATTTTATCTACCTGCACTCGCACTCATTCCCCTCTCACAACCTCCTCACTCTCCATCTCCAAAACCTTTCGCGGGCTGGTTTATTGCTGCAAACAATAAAGATAACACCATCAACGTGCACTGTCGTCTACATGTTTCGTTTTTTCTCCTAAACTTCGTTGAAATTTGCAGGAAAATGAGTTTTCTGGGTCGCTTCATACCCACTGTCACCGCTCGTACCGTCATCAGATTCGCCTCTACTGGACGATTGTACACCAAGAAGCACGAGTGGATTCAGGTGGAGAAAGGACATGGTTTGGTTGGAATCACGGATTTTGCTGCGGTGGGTAACGGTAGACCACGATTCAGTTCTAGGACAATGGTTTCAGGAGCAACTAGGAGATATTGTGTTCGTTGAGCTGCCGGAGCCAGAAAATGCTATCGAGAAGGGACAGTCTACGGGTGCCGTTGAAAGTGTGAAGGTACATACAATTCAAGAATTTGCACCAATCGGTCCTACTGTCTTAGGCAACCTAGGATATTTCTCCAATAATCTCTACTTGCAGGCAGCCTCGGATATCTACGCCCCGGTCAGTGGAACCGTCCTCGACAAGAACAGCAAACTTGAAGACGAGCCCGGACTCATTAATAAGAGCCCATTCGAAAAAGGATGGCTGTACAAGATCCAACTTCTAAACGAAGCCGAACTGAAGGAACTTCTCACGGAAGCTCAGTACACCGAATTTAAGGAATCCGAGGAGGCGGCTCACTGAACACCCTCAATTAGTCCCCGTTTCCTAGTCGCATGTAGGCAACACTCTCATGAACATTTTATCGTTCTTTCTCCTTCCTTCGCATTGCGTGTATCCAACACGTACACTGTCTGTCTTTCAGCTCGATAAGAAAGATACGGGTACACTCCGTGGATAGCGGCAAGCGACGTGTTTCGCGTCGGTCCGGCAACCACGTGACGAAAGCTATCGATCGATTCTTGCGCCTACCTCGTTTTCGTCAGCGGTTGATTAAAATGCGTCGTAAAATTGATATGGCAACATTGAAGAATAGTCGAAGAACACACCAACTTCTAATTTCTGAACAAAAATCCTTCACTTTGCAGCAAAATCGTAGAAAGAAAAAAATTTACATTAACGCTGATTTCACCAGTTGAATCAATTGATTCCAGTTAAAAATCCAGCGCAAATCTTGTAACAATTTTACGATAGAAGAATACAATCTGAAAACGCACATAATTTTGGGATTAACCGCGTCCACGTAAAATATTAGGCTCAAAATTTAGGAAAATATTGAGGCCGCAAACACCACCACGGACAATTGCGTACTAAACACCATCTTGTGATCTGCGACGGATTGTGCCAAAATGGTGGAAGATCCAGTGCTAATCTTTAAGAAACTTGACCATAGAAGAGCACGATCCATAATTTCACATATTTTTGGGATTCTAAACACTTTGATGACATCTACGCAAAATTATAGGCTCAAATGTTGGAAATATTGAGGGGGCCGCAAACACCACCACGCAAAAATGCGTACGAAACGCGATTTTGCGAGCGGCGACGGATTGTGACGAAATAATGTAAAAATGGATTCTTCAGTTGTAAACGTCGGATTTGGCGAAGAATACAAGGAAGTAATCGACAGATGAAAGAAAATGCATAACCGAATGATATTTCCACATGTTGCGTTGATTTCTAGCAAATTTGAGGAGCACTAAAGAGTTTTGGGTATATTTTCAGGCACATTGTGGAAAATGGAGAGATAGTCGTGTCAGCGATCTATAATTCAACGAAAAATAACTTTTTCATCTGGAATTTCACATTCGGTATCCACTTGATCGACGTGCGATACTTTTCCGACAAGTTGATGGCTGAAAATCATCACGACAAACGCAACATCTTCAGAATCCATTCGAAATTGCTGTGTGTGGGATGGTGAAGAATTAGTCCTGGAAATAGTGAACTTTATGGACAAAAATACCGTTTTCGAACAGACCATGAGAAAACTGTAGACTGATTTTGCGGTTCAGCATCGAAGGTGTTCCGAATTCAATTAATATCCAGTTGTTTGAAGGAGATCAAGACCTTGATTTTAAATTTTGAAAAAGCAAAGTTTGTCGAAGATATTAAGGTAAATTAGACCTGAATAGTCTCCCACGCCTCATTGGGTTCCAGCGGTCGACATGGATGAGAACACTGTCGACAAGGGTCCGATCGGTCTGAGCGCATTTTATGAGGAGACATCTAAAATTGATGGGTGTGACATAAAAAAAACGTCTAGAAAATACCTTGAGGGAATGTTCAGCGTCGTCACAACGTGTGTTTTGAAGCTCAATTGGCTCAAAGCTCGATCGAAATTCTCCATTTTGCAATGAAAGTTGCCGTGTCGAATCGCTGCGTGTACACGATGTGTTCAGATTTCCAGAAAGTGTTTTTTGATTTTTCACCCGCAGGTTACTGACGTACCATGGAGACGTGACCGGTCCATTTTTGACGGCTCCGTGGAATTTTTCCAGGGTTCTATTGACAGCAGGGCTGGGCAATTGGCCGGCACGGGCTTTCGTTGGCCGGCCCTTGACCTGGACTTTTGAACCACTTGCAATATTCCGATCAGACCCAAACTTTGCAGGATTGTTGGACTTGGATTGAGGGCCATTGGGTCCAAGTTTCAGCCCGATCGGATCGTCGGGTCCCGAGATATGTGGATCATTGGCCGATTTTTTCCAAAAAGCCCGGGCTTCCGGCCAATTTCGGCCAATGATCCACATTTCTCGGGACCAAATAATCCGATCGGGCTGAAACTTGGTCCCAATATGCTTCAACCCATGCCCAAGAAGCCTGCAAAGTTTGGGTCCGATCGGAATATTGCATGTGGTTCAAAAGTCCAGGTCAAGGGCCGGCCAACGAAAAGCCCGTGCCGGCCAATTGCAAAGCCTTGATTGACAGGAAGCTCCGTGGTTGCTCTGATAAACAAGAATGATCCGAGTGGTGAGTGTCTGATGCAGCAGTTCTAAAAAAAAGTGACGATATGGGTAGAAATGAGTACACAGCTTACCTGAATCACATTCCAAGCCTCATCCGCATGCAGAACTCTCGTATTGGTCCAGAATGCTTTCGCGTGGAAAAAAGTACTGATGAGAAGAGCATTTTCATTTTCCAACGCCATAGATCTCAAGTGTTCCAACTGCTTCATCTCTAATTGAATTAATTGACCTTCAAACTCAGTTTTCATCTGCAAATCTTTCAAGAAGTCTTCATTGAACGCCTCCAAAATCTTCAGGAATTGCTTGCCGGGCGATTCCAACTCATAATTCATCCAATTTGCTCGGATTTTATCTCCGTGTTTCAGGAATTCTTGCGATCCGCGTAAAATCCTGTTCGCGAACTTCCGAAAGTCCGTTTTCCGTGCTTCACTTCAGAATTCGTAAGCAGTAGCAAAAATCGTGAGCTGCCAGGTCGAGTTCCGTGGATTTTGTCTGTGACACTAGCAAAAAGTTGGATCGCCAGGACGTTCGGTGGTTTCAATTCTTTACGCTTCATCGTTAATTCTGCAAAAATATTCGATTTTCTATTTGATTATTTGAAACGCAATCGATGAGAATACCCAATCCAAATTGTGCGGAGAGCTATCCACAAGGTATGGCTCATCTCGGGAACAGTTCCGAAGCTGACATCTGCAGAAAATTCTAACTTTCACAACACCTGGTTTTGTAGTACAGATTCGAAACCACAATCTGCTTGAATTCGCCCGGTAACTCCTGCCAACGCTCCATCTTCTTTTAGTCGTGAGTGTTCTGCAAACAATACTTTAAGAATCAAAGTTATCATTTAGTTTTTACCTAGAAGAGAAACTGATAGTATACATGTGTTCAAAGAAGGAAACACAGGAAAACAAAGAATTATTAGACGTCCGACAACACTGTTTTAATTTTTGCACAGTTAAATTACATAAAACCACTCAGAAATGCTCAAACCCAGATGGTTTTTATATCAAAAGGACTGGAAAAATATGTCGAGTTTGACCGTTCCACTTTTATTTCTTGAATTTTAGTTATACAGTATGAAAAACCCAAATCGCGAAGAGCGCAAACAACTGTCGCGCGTCAGTCCTCCCTCTTTTGCGCATTAGGCCGATGTGGCCTCCTTCTGTCAGTAGCAGGTCATGCGAGAGAAGGAGGTTGTCGATGAATTCCAGCGTGCGAGCCAATTAGAGAAGACTATGTAGATTCTTCCAATTAAAAGTGATGGATATGAGGAATGAAAGAAGATTTCCGATCTGAAAGCTACGAATTTCTAAGAAAAACAATTTTATTTTCAGAATTACTGTGGCATGCCATCGTTATGTTAAAAGTTCAGGATTCAGAGCTTGATTATCATACTTGTACTTTTAGGTACCGGGTCATTTGACGTCCCGGCCCGCATCTTGCCTGGTACCGTAATTTTTGGAAGTCGGAGCTTTTCCCAGGCAATGTGACATTACTAGATGACTTCTCAAAAAATACTGATCGTGTTTCAACGAATCATCCAGTCAGAGACTTAAGTTTACGGTATCTGTCATTTCATCTCAAAAAGTAAAGAATAATGTAGAACCTAGACTCTCTTAGAGTTTAGCTTCGGACTCTTGTGATATCATCTCTCTCCAAAAATCGTTTTTCTCGGGAAGCCTATCAGAACGAACTTTGCTGTCTTGTTTTCTGCAGAAATTTTTGCAACGCTGCTGTTCCCGAGACGAAGAGAAGAAAACATCAGCAAGGAATTCGCAATTCTCAATGCGTAGGCGTTCAGGCATGGGAATCGAATCTTCCACGACACTTTTTCCTGGTCTCTATGACATCCAATTTCGTTCCAGGTCATTGACGCTTTGAGCATTATGCAACGTGTAAGTACAGCAACAGGACAATAGACCTTTATTTCTATTCATACTATATATTGCTGTGCTCTTTTGTGGCGGGCGGTTTACTGTTGCAAACGTGAATAAATGACCCGACCCACGCCCTTACAATGCAACAAATCTCCCCCTGCGATCCGCGTACACGAGTTGCCTGTCCGGTCCGATCCGTTTCATTTATCTCGCTACACCCCCTGCAGTTCCATCCATCTCCATATCTCTTCGGTCCAACCCGACGGTGTCCGAACACAAAATGACAAGCATTTATTATTACTCTTCCACACTCTTCTCACCCAATCGTCTTCTTTTCGACGACGGGACGGGCTATCCGTTTGGTTTGCTTGCATCTTTATCTCTTCTTCATATCACTTTTATCAATTGAGAAAAACGGATCTGATAGGCTGGGCCAGTCAAAGATAACGAGAAGAAGACGTGTCCTAGATTTTTTGAAAAAAGAAGGACGCGCCAAGATTGTTTTATGACCATTTTTTGTGTTGCTTTTAAGGCCATGAATCAATCAGACGGTGTCTATCACCGATGTTCGTAATGTCAATTTACATGACATATAGGGCTTCGAAAAGGACACCGCCGCGCTATTCCATTTTGAGTAAAGAAGCGAGGAGGAGGAGGAGGAGGACTGGGGGTGACGGTGACGAGCGGCAGCATTATTGTAGAAAGGAAAAACCGGTTCGGAGGTGCCCATACCAAAGAAAAGAGAAAATAGCAAGGGACAGCGCGGAGACAGGTGATGCCCTTTTCCTTTTGAGATGTCTAGGTCTAGGTGTGTGTGTGTGCGCAAAATCAGCAGACAGACAATACAACACGCCACACCAAGACAGACAAAAAGTGGGAGACAGACGGGAGGGAGGGCATCGAGAAGGAAGAGATAGATGAGAGAAAAGTTGAAAAAGTGATAAACGCTGAGGCTTTTTCTTCACGGACGACCAGTTTTTACCTTTTGCTACTGGTTGAGGTAGGTAGAGTTCTTTTCTCAAGATGTTGTACTGTCTACTTTTTCTCAAGGGGAAACCGTTCCGCTTGTTCTCTTCTACTACTCATGATTTTCACCCCTCTACCGTATCCATTCTCCTTGTCCAATTTAAAAAAAACAAAACGTACGCTACCGTAACCCCTATGACTGTAATGAACCTTCTTATGACTCCATTTCCCTCTAATTCCCTATTGTTTTGTCCCGTACCAGCCCCCGTAGTACAAATTGCCATCAATTCTGCCTTATTCGAGCCCTTCTTATACGGTTTTTTTGTTTTACACTCCAGTTTTTTCGTCGCGTCCGACATCAAATATTGCGTCGTCGTTCCCGTTCTGTCGCCATTGCTATCATATCCAATCAGTCACGTACACTCCATCATCCCTCTTAACGCAACAAAACATAACGCCAGATAGGTTAGGGGTGATTGCCGACCGAAAAAATGAGAACAAACGTGGGTACGCGCACGGTGCGTTCGTTCGCTCTTTCTGCCAAAAAACAACGGACGGAGAGCCAGTGTTTGTATTTCCACTACTATCTGTCTCTTCCCGTGTGCCCCCCCCCCCCTGTGTGTGTGTGTGAGTGTGCGTGTGATGGTTGTTGACCGAGAGACGAGAAAAAACTGCCGAGGCTGTTGCCCTGCGACCGCCGGGAGGAGACGAGAAAAAATCTCTCGGGGGTAGGGGCAAGAAGAAGGAAAGGGGGGAGGGGGGTGCTGCGACTTGGACGGCGGGAGCGCGGGGTTCTCGACGACAAAATACGAAACATTTCGAAATGTTTCCCAAGAGTACTGGTAACTTGTGAAAGGCCCAGGTGATACGAAGAAATTTATCAGGTGTACAGTGAGGTGGCGACGTATTGGCGCCTCGTCTAACCTAACCTCACCTCTCTTTTTCTCCTTTCCGTTTGAAAAAAGTCAGCAAACATTCTTTCGCCTTCAATTCAATTGATCTTTTCATTACCTTTCAGTTTTTCTCTTCGTTCTTCTTCTCACCCTACCTCCTGCTCCCATACTTTTTTGATCAATGACTGCCCCCCTGTGTTTACCACATTGCACTTTTCCATCTAAAAAACCTTGTGACCTCACAGGTGGCGGCGACCCGAATTTTGACAATTTTTCGCTAAAAAAGTGTGAGACGAGACATCTCATCTCACCTGATCGCAATCTCATCCCCTATCCTCGCAATCACGGCAAATCTTAGAAAAACCGGGAGAAATTTCGGGTGAGACAGTCTGGAGGCGAGAAGATCCCCGCGAGCGATCGAGCGTATTGAAACCCAAACCGTTCTGCAAAAGAGAGGTAAGAGGACCGAGATAAGATCGGCGTGAAAATCTCTGTCTAATACATATCCCCCTCCTTTATTGTAAGATATACGCCACACTATTCTAAAGAAGAACGCAGGTTTATCTGGTCGCACGCGCTTTGATCTAAAAGGACCAATGTTGCAAAGTTTGGTCACCATAATCCTCCCAACAAAAACAACATTACAAACAAAAGCAACATAAGAGATTGGGGGTTACGGTATCTCTTTCTCTCTCTTTTCCGCTTTGTCTGGACATGTGACCTATGAAAGCAACTGCCTGATCTTCGAAATTTCAGCGCATCACGTGTGTGATCTCTTTCAAAGACCTCATAGATAATTTCAATGTTTCAGCCAGCTGATTTTGTGCACGTCACATATCAGTTTGAACAAAAATCATAGAGCATCCAGCTTCTTAACTCCCAATTCATCCCCATTTTTATAGTCCTATTCTCATCCCCATTCCTGGTGCTTTCTTTTCCTTTCCTCCTCCCATCGATAATAAAAACAACGATAAAAGCGGAGTAAAAGTGCTGATAAACTATTTCCATTTGACTTATTGTTACTGTCTCCACACACCCTCCGCCCCAAACCGTCGAACGACACGACGCCTCCTTTTGTCCTTGACAGTTGGCTCGTCTCGCCGGGTCCTGCCCTCTCCTCCCCCTTCTTCTCCATCTGGTTCTGTGTGCGTGTGAGCGAGTATGTAAGTGAGGTGTGCTTGTGCGAATGTTGGCGCGAGTACGAGCACATTCTCTTCCAATTTGATAATAGACGAGGTCAAGGTATAGCAACACATGTTGCCAGTCAGATACACCCCGTTATCATCAGAACCCAACCCTCTCCTCCTCTTTCTAATCGACTATCGACGTACAAATGGTTTTATTTCTTTTTCTCTTCTCTTCCTGCCCTTTTTCTTCTTCTCGTCTTGCGAATATCTCTTATCTCTTCTCCCAAATGTTTTTTTTTCAACTGATTTTCCTTCTGCTGTCAATGTACAGTATATCTCACGTGACAAATTTCAGTTGGGCCCCGCCTGTTCCCATATTCACTGGCGTCTACTATTCACATCATAACGATGGCTCGTCAACCGCAACCAGAAGACGGAAGCTCGTCCCGCCAAGTGTCGGCACCGATCAACATCGAATACGGTAACGACCAGCCGTACCGTCACTACTGGAGAGAGGAGCAGTACCGCTGGCAGCAAAGAATCGAGGACGACGAGGATTTGGACGATATTCAGAGCGAAGACGAGACTGAGGACAACGAGGAGGAGATGTCGGAGGATCAGTTGCTGATGATGCACAACGGATTCTCGGGGGCCGTCGTCGAGCCGCCCGCCGAAAAGGAACGCCGCGTTGGTGACGTCACCCAAGATGCGATAACATTGGAGGAAAAAATCGCCGAGATGGATGACGATATCTTTGAACAGCTGTTGGCAGAAAACGAGCGCAAGTTGCGGCAACTGATCAGCTACGTCGAGAACGTCCATCTCGTACTTAACTGAGTCAGTCATCTGAGATACCAAGGTAAGGACAGAGCTGGCGTGGGATGGGAATGGTAAACATGTTCTCAGACTACTTACGAATGCCGCTGCTTGCATAATGAGGTTGTAGGCATAGGCTTAGGAATAGGACACTAAATGGGCTTAGTACTTGACCCCCCTCCTCTAGTCTTTAGTCCGTCACAGTCTCGTTCAAATAAGAGTAAAGAAATAGATATCTAAGTTTTGATCTTGACGTAAGCAACGGACAAGTTGAAAAGTTCACATTTTTTCAGTTCGCATTTTTCATCATGTCTACAACAACTTCCCATTGGTCTACTACATCTTCAACTTCATCAACTCCATCACTTTGATCGATCCATCTTTCCTCCTTCGCCGCCGCCGCCGCCACCGCTATTGTCCCCTTCTTCTCCCCCGTCACGTCCCCGTTTCGCTTCTCTTTTCACTGTATTTAGTGTCTATTCCAATTTCTGTGCAAATGTGTGCTGTTCCCCCTTATTTTGTCGGCCTCCAACCCTCTGTCATCGGTAACATCCTCTTTTCTTCACATTTTCCTGGCCACCACCCACGCATCCTTTCTTCTGTCCGTTCTGATGTGAATTTCGTTAGAAAAATAGTGTTGTATTCTCGGTTTTAGAAACAACTTTGTTCATTCTTCACATGATGATTGTTGGTTCAGGTGATGATAACAATAAACCGTGAGTAAACATGTACAGCTGTCACAAGGTCAGTGATAAGAAGTGGAGAGAAGTTCCATGGCAGTAGAAGAAGAAAAAGATGAAAAGTGTTCTGTGACACGTAAGAGTTCGTCGATCTGCAAGAGGAGAATGATGTCCTTTTCTATCTTTCCCTCCCCTTTCTGATGGTATTACTGATGATGGGATCAGAATTCAGTTCCTTGCCAGCCCCGGAACTTTAATTTTTCTTATCAGGAGCGACTGAACACGGGCGCCAGTACATGATCGAATTCAAAATGAAAGCGGCGCGTTTGGCGCCGCGGAGGGGGTGCAAACACCTCCGTCATAAGAGTAATTAGGCGATTTCATTTCCGTCTCAGGCTCCCTTCACTTATTTTGATCTACCGGTCTCCATCACGTGACCGATCATATTTCAAGTGGTTGTCTAAGTGAAAACGTTTGTCGCATTATTATCATTATCATCTACACGATTTACGTTACCCGTCTACTACCTGTCACTCGCTCGATGTCGTAAAAAGTGGCGTCAGTAAGATAGAGACCGTTATCAGCCAATCACACCCCCGGAGAAAGTGAAACCGAATCGACAGACTGATGATGTTCAACATTTAAGACAAAGACCGATTACCTAGGTAATTGACGGCAAAACGACACGCGTGTGTTACAAAGTTCAAGAAATGCCGATTTCAGTGATTCTAATCGGATGACAGAGACGGAAAAGGGAGAAGGCAAATGCAGACGGTTTGATGTACTTTTGAAATGCTGGAAAAGGTGATTTCTTATCGGAAAACTGCAAATTTGCAAAAGTCGGCCAGTATGACGTGCAGTTTTTAACGGAATCGGGAGTTTGAAGTCATTTCACATCACGGTAAGGTCAAACTCAAACATATTGTGTAAGCTTGAGGAAACTATCAGGATCTTGTCGAAAAAAGGTTTTTTTCAAACTACATATTGCGTAAAAACATTCAATGCTTGTTTCAAAGATTCAAATTTAAGCTAAAAATGTGTCTGTTGAAATACGTTTGCATTACAAACAAAAGTTATATTACAAGCACTTCTTTGTTTCTTCCGTTACCTCTTTTCAGATCACGTACTGCAAACTCATCGGCTAGCAGAATGTATTGTGTTGCACGCAACAGTCGAAGACAAATTCAATGCCACCGGCGGCCTGCATTCCTTTCCATTCATTTCCGTTTCTCATCAAACAAGTTACATTACCAGGCAACGACACCCAATTTTCCACGCCATTGAATCTACCAACATCTCTTGGGATCAGGATTTACTTGGATGAACATATTCGAATACTGTAGTTGAACATTAGTTGATTCTTTCTTTCGTTCTTTCATTCTCATCTTTGTTCCCAGTCTACTTCGGACTTTTTTCTTTACGATTACACCACCGCTCATTGCGTCCGTCACCTGTTCTAAACTATTCCGACGGATAACCTTTCGCTTTTTCTTCATCTTTTTTTTTCGTTTTCTCACCAGCGGCCGGAGATCATGACCACCAGATACATTTGCACTTTGTTAAAAACACCTTGTGCCATTGAAAGTACATTGGTTTTCATTATCGGCAGGGAAGGTTAGCCGGCATGTGAATGAGAGAAGGATACTAACAGATGATGTAGTGGAAGAAAGAAAAGTAGGAAGGCCACAATACATTTTATAAAGTGAAAGTCTAAATAATTATAAAACGAGAAGCTGTCATTTGCTTCTTTTGTGCTTCAGATAGTTTTGATTCAACACAACACTTCTTCTAGTATACTGCCATCAATGGTATTTCTATCGAAAGTACTCGTCTAGCGAATTTCCTCAGCTGAAAGCGTTCCGTTTTTGAACATAGAATCTGAACAGATAAATGTGCTCGATTTTCAGTAGTCACTTTCTAGGGCTCTTTTACCGAACGGGAAACAATTCGTGTTGGCAGTCACATGTCCATACACATAAAACGAGATCATAATAGGAGAGAAAATAGCACCCGGTCATCAAATACGAGTATAATTACTTAAAAATATAAAAATATTGGGAGAAGTAATGTTGAGGGGACATATACAATAAAAGTTCCGCGAGATTTTGCATTGAAGGCATCCGGGAACATGTCCTCTTCGTAGGCGGTGTGGCACTCGAACAAATAGTCAATGTACTCCTCTTCTATGGTGCAATCCTTGCGGACAACCTCATTGGCGATCTAAGTGAACGAAAACGAAAGACGGTCCTTGTCCGACTGCTCGTCGTCCATCTGAAATCAAAGAATATGTCTCCAGTCAATGTCCTAACTAGTATAGTTCTTATCTGTTTGGTGCTCATTCCAGCTATCAGGTATCCGAGCTCGGCGCTGATGTAGACGGCGCAGGCGGGCGGCACCATGATGAACTCGTATTTGTGGTAGATCATATGCGAGATCTGAAAAAACCACATCTCATATGGAAGTATCGCTGGGGCTGAGCAATGTCTAGACGGTTTTTGGCGTTTTTGTTGCGAAACAATTCGGTGTAAGAAAGAAAGCTGGCATGCAATGAGATTTGCGTAGTTGCATTGCGTAATGAGGAACGGAGAAAACGCGCACAAAAACCGAAGAAAACCGAGCAGCATGACTGACAAACAATACACTGTAAACGTGTTCGTCCGAGAGAAGTACACAGGAGTGCGGTAGAGCGTCTTTTGCATTCTCGTGTATCCAATTGAGACAAAACTAAAAGAACACAGCCCATAGAAGCATTGGAGACACTTTTTTAATTAATTCGTTTATTCTGTGCCCGCTACCAAGGGCGCCCTCCTCTTGCGGGGTTGGTTCCCTTCCTTTCCTATCCATCTTACCGCCATTCTTCTGGTGTTCAGTTATTTTACCGGTTTTTTTGCGATGAATAAATGAATTAATTAAAATGACTACTGAAAATCGAGCACAAATATCTGTTCAGATTCTATTTTCAAAAACGGAACGCTTACAGCTGGGGAAGTTCGCTAGACGAGTACTTTTGATAGGAATACCATTGACGTCAGTATACTAGGAGAAGTGTGAGCCACGAAACGCCTCCTCAACATGAAACGTTCAAAGTTCAATAAAACAAGACTGTGTACAGTAGCCATTGAAAATGTTCACAAATTTCAATCATTCAAACGCTAACATCATCTGTGTTTATTTTCCATACTTCCTGCCCACTCATTGCCAAACAAGAAGCAAAACTTTTAATGATCAGCATCCGAATGATTCACATGATCCAGTTCATGTAACAGTTTATCGGATGCGGTCAAACTTGGTTACAGTTGTACAAACAGAAAGTTGTCGCTTATAAAAGCAGCGAGGTCAATGGTAAAGAATATCCAACTGACCTTAGCATCATGAATACATTCGCTCTGACTTTCGCAATTTTCCTTTTCGTTACTGAAATTGAAATGTGCACTGACTCCGGATCGAAGTAAGTTGTCTGAAACTAAAATTTCCTAGAAGTTTGTACGCAACAGCTTTACAGTTGCGCCAGTTGGGTGGCCAATGGTTTTTGCACCTCCACATTCTACACTGACGCCCAGAAAGAGTTATATTGTGCGTCGTCCTGTGGACTGTGCTCATCGTCCTCTTCCTCTTCCTCTTCTGCAAGCACCACTGCTTCAACTTCTTCCTCGTCCTGCACAGATTCTAGCTCCAGTTGCGCTACCTGGGCAACCAACGGATTCTGCACATCTACTTTCTACACAACTGCTGTGAAAACTCAATATTGTGCTTCTACTTGCTCGCTGTGCGATTCTTCATCATCATCTTCTTCTTCATCTTCAACTTCATCATCTTCCGACACCACTTCCGCTTCTTCGACATCATCGGATTCTTCCTCTACCACCGCCTCATCTTCGGACACCACCACGTCTTCCGACTCTTCTAGCACTACCGCTTCCTCTTCAACCACAGCTTCTGACTCGTCTTCCACAACATCAGCTTCAGCTTCTTCTTCGTCTTCCGCTGCCGCCACAACTACTTCAGCTTCATCCAGTTGTGCTGATAACTCTTCTGCGTACGTCATCGTTATTACCACTTTTTTGCGCTTCCCATGGTAAAAGTAAACTTTTCAGATGCTCCTCCTGGTCTGCCAACGGCTACTGCACCAACAGCTTCTACACGGACGCTGAGCGTGAACAATATTGTGCCAAGACTTGCGGGCTTTGCTAATTTTCTGATTTTGATAACGGACGGTGTAGTACTTAGTGAAATGAAACTTCAAAGTGCAACTGGTTTCTTAGTTGACTATCTAGAGATTGCTCCAGGAATGCTGCCTCCCAGTCCAAGTTTTGGAGCTCAGACACTAATTACGCCTAAATGTCTGTCAGAGACAGAAGAATCGAAATAAGTGAAAACTGAGAAGAAATAAATTTATACTTACTTCAGCCGTAGCGAATCTGTATTTGATTTCGGGAGCAGCGCCACGTAAAACCGAAAAAAAACCCTTTTTTTTTGCCCATTTTTATGCCTGCCAGTCTAATCGACGACCACTCTGGTTCCTTGCCAAAAATGTTCAGCTATCGATAGCGAAAGTTACATGATTGCATAGAGCTCGGCGAGCAGCGAAAGAAAATGACTTCTTGCATAGCAATAATGTCGGATCAGAGGAAGAGAGAGTTCGGCTTCTTGCATAGCAATAATGTCGGATCAGGAGGAAGGAAAGAGAGGTGATATAATGAACGTTGTACTCGGTTTATATAGTGACAGTGAAACCCACTCGGCCACGCCCTCAACCGTGCTTCACCGCCACCACGCCCCTTTAAAAAATTTCAAATAGGGCATGGTACTTCCATAGTACATCCATTAAACATGTATCAGTTAGAACATGTGTCAGTTAAGCTGCGAGACCCGCTATCGAGACAGGTGTCATGTCACACACTTTGGCGAATCCAAAATGTCTTCGTTAATTGACGTACTGTTGAAAAAAAAAGGTTCGACATTCGAATCGGAGTTGGCAGCGAGCCAAGGACACGCCCCCAAACAGTTTTCACTGCAACTGCCGCACGATGTTTGGGGGGCGTGTCCTTGGCTCGCTGCCAACTCTGATTCGAATGTCGAACCTTTTCTTTTTCAACAGTAACGCTAGTCTTTAGTTATCACATTTATGATTACCTTTCGACTCAAGTTAATCTCTTCGTGCCCCCCACTTTCAGTCCCTTTCATCTTCCTTTATTTTCTTTCATTCCTAGAAGTTTCTTTAACGTCATCTTACCTGGTCACGTTTTCTGACAATCCCACCCTACAATTAAGCTAACCTTCTCCCACACATGACGACAATGATCTCATTGGCTCATGGACGTCATGTGATGAGACCTCCCCCCCCTCCAAAAAAATGTGGTTTCTGCTCCGGCATCTGGAGATGAGGAATACAATTCAAAGTAGTGATTAGAATGATTTCCCGGCCTCTGAATTTCCCCGAAAAGCCTGAAAAACAGAATAAATTAATTTTCTCTTCTTTGGGTGGACAATTAGTTGTTTATTAACAAAATGGGATAAGCAAGCGTAAGAAATCTGAAGGAGATTTGCAATAATGTCAGAACAAAAAGAAATATCCGAAGGGGATCTACTAGTTTTCATGAGTTCGGGGAAGAATCGCTGAGGAAGGGAAGATTAGAGGTAAGGTTAGATGAGGAATGAGTCAAGAGTTCACAGCAAGGGTGCAGGAACGTTGGGGAGATAGAGAGAGAGAGAGCCATCTTCGGTTGATTTAAACAGGAAAAGGAAAGGTGCACAGGTGTTATATCATTAGGACAAGATCACAAAATCACGAGGAGTTCTCTGAATGATCACGGAATAGGGAACACGACGGGAGAAATCTGCTAAGAACGGACAGGTATATAAAAAACAGAAAACAATGTGCCAAAATGACTTTGAAGCGCTGGTTGTGGATGTGGGATGACAAAAAGTGCTTGAAACTGATTTGAATCGGATGCTGGGTAAAGGAAGAGAAGACATAGGTGTACATAGATAGGAAAGAGCGGTGAAAATATTCTCGGGAGAGTTATCAAGACGACGGGATGCATTTTCATTAGAGGCGGGTCACGAAGTTGAGGAATTGGACGTCATCATCGGCATCCTTGCTGATAGCTCCCTCCTGCTGTGACAGAGCTCCCATCGGAAGATGACTGAAGTTCGGAAGCTGCGGGATCTGCGAGAATGGCATCATCGAGGCAGCAAGAAGCGGATGAGTCGGCATTGTTGGTTGGAACTGGTTCAGACCGACCGAGTTGCGGAGCGCCCAGTTGAGCGCAACGGCCTGCTGAACATTGGCCATATACATTTGATGAGCTTGTTGCGCTTGCAACATCTGCTGCATGTGCTGAAACTGCATCGCTTTTTGATGAGCTGCAGCAAGAGCTTGAGCCAATGCCAGCGGCGACTGCTGAGACGCCTGCAAAACATCATTCATGTCTCAAAATATTCCACTGGAATCAATTTTTCTTACCTGTGCTTGCTGAGCTGAGTACTTTTGATAGATGCGACGACGTTCCGGCTTCGGAATATGAGCAGTTGCCTCTTCGAAATCCGCGTGAACTCCTTTAACGTGCTTACGGAGGCTGGATGGATCCGTGTAGCGCTTGGTGCACTCCGGATAGATGCATGTAAAAGGCTTCTGTAAGGTAAGCTAACTTTTCCTGAGTTTTTAAAAGAGATGGACTTGATTACATCGCTATTGTGAACACGATTCTGATGCTTCGAGCAATCCGAAGCATTAGTGAACGTCTTCTCGCAGCTCGGAAAACGACAGTGGTACGGCTTCTCGCCAGTGTGAAGACGGCGATGCGTTTTCAAGTTTTCGAGACGACTGTACCTCTTATTGCAGTCGGGCCACTAATAACAAAAATAGTCAGATTCAAAAAAGAGCTGATCGTGGTGCTCACCTCGCACACATTCGGTTTCATACCGGTGTGACGACGCATGTGCGTCATCAGCAGGTATCGGGCTGAGCTACCGTGATGAACACATTCGGCCCAGCGACATATGTACGGCGGAAGCTCTGGTCCTCGGATCATCGCATCCACGTGTTTTTCGACGTGTTCGTAGAACAACTGAACACAAATTTTGGTTTACAACTAAATGATAATGCTAACTGAAATGATAATCGAAAAAAGCTCACATTTTCGTCGACGAAGCTCCTGTCACAAATGCCCCACTTGCAGTCATGGACCTTCGGATCGTTCGAAACGACTTCCTTCTTCACGACAATCTGCGGTCTCTTGTAGGTGCCTGGTGGACGACCAATGCGCTTACCCTAAACTCGAATATATTCTACTTATTACAGGCACATTGCTCATTACGTTGATGGTCAAGCGCACCGGCTTCACAGTCTGACCAACAGTGGTTTCACGAGGCTCTTTTTTGACAAGAGCAAGGAATGGCTTGACGTCCTTAACGTCATCCTCATGACGATGATGATGATATACATCCGAAGATGGCGGAGCAGACGTGGTCAATTTGGCCAAACCCAGCACAGAAGCCTTCTTCTTGTTGCTCGCGCAGAAACCGGATTTCGGTCTTCGGAGAAGACTCTCTTTGAGTACCGATCCGACAGTAGCTAGGAAAGTAAGCAATAATCGAGAAGGAAAACTATTGTCGTTTTGTATACGTGCGTGTGAACCTAGTCACATTCTGACCTCTCCCAATTGTGTCACATGCCCGTAGAGCGTCGATTACAACGTGAGTTTCTAACTTGTGCACATTTTGCAACCAACTCTTCTCAAATGTTGGAAATCCAATGTCTCCAGCTCTTACTTGAAGTACTTCTAAATGTGAAGGCTGGTTGCAACACGTCCACCAGTTTCAGAATTGCTACAATTACGTAACACTCAGGAAAAAAGGCGCCAATTCGGCGCAGACGGGAAGTGCGCCAAGAAAAGCATTGCTGACGCACATTTAGCTGGCGCATTTCTGTGTCGATATTCATTTTGAACGCGTTTGGCACCACATTGGTTTATGATTTCGATGGAGTTAGCGTCAGATTATCGAGATAAAGACATTCGTAAGTTGTCTTTGTTAAAACTGTGGAGAAGATTCAGTAAGATGAGCTTTTGCAACATCAATTCAAATTAGTACACTGAAAAAACAGTGAAATCAAGCATACCATAATATAATTTGCAGGTATGCACAACGTCTTACGGGATGCCACTCAACCTGATCATCGCGATGAAGCGCACCGGAGAATTCACGAGAATAAGGTATGATTTATATTGCTTTGTAAAAAGAAGCAATCCGAATGCATTGCTTGAAAATTCCAGGCTTCGTTCACATTGCAAGATTCCCGTCGGCAACCAAAACCGATTTCGAGAATAACGTGCTGCTCTTGGCTTTGTTGACGTCGTCGGACGGCGCCGTGTTTCAAAGACTATCTAGGTAATCTTTCGGTTCGCGGTAAGAAAGGCGCATCTCTTTCCTTGCGTGCATGTCACTTTACCCGGGCTATATGCACAAACAGTTTTCGGTGTGTAATCTCATTATCTGCGGGCTCAGTTTGTTGAAAAACGAAAGGGCCGGCCACATTTCCAGGGAAAAGGAACTGAATACTACTTTGGCGCTGAAAAACTCCAACCCATCACGAACAGAGCGCGATATGAAGTAGCCTATTCGACTGCGACTCATTTTTCAGACCCGAAGTGAAACGAGTACTGATGAGAATGGAACTGATCGACAGACATGCTCTACAAGACTGGAGGTTCTAATCTAATCCTCTTGTGTTTAGTTTACTCTTACGGAGGAGTGAAACCCGTCACATTTGTGCGAAAGTAAGATTATTAACCATGCATACAGCATCCTTTTTTATCCGAGTATCTTTTTCTTTCTCCTCATCGGTTTTCATAAAAATCCAAAGATTAATGTTCAATTGTTTTTTGATTCATTGTTGGTTATCAATAAACCGATATTTTCACGCAATCGACCCCAGTTTCTCTGCGAAAGGGCACAAAATCGGCGTCGACGCCTTTTTTCCTGAGCACTCGAAGAGACCAAACTACCGTAACCTACTACCACTACTACTTACCTTCCTCTTTCGGGAACAACTCCGGGCACAAAGTTCCGATTTTGAAGGAATCTGTAAAGACACCCAGTTTGCGAAGTAATCCTAATCGTATTCATTTAATCCCACTAACCGGTCGCCATTAACGGAAAAGTCCAGTTGAGCAGATTTCCGATGGCATTGCCTGCGCCAACACCGGTCGGGCTAGGAGTTGCGAGACCGACAGATGGCGAGTCCGCGCGAACGGACCATGCAGACATGGGGGTGGACGCCGCCAGAGATGCCAAGGAGAGCGGAGACGACGCAACCAAGGACTCCATGAACTCCATGGACTTTGGAATCGGACATTCGACGGACAGTTTCGTCAGAGAACTCATTTCTGATAAGCCCTTATCATAGTTTGTACCCGATGACAGAAGAGTTGAAAAAAACGAAAATAATAAAATAATAATAACGCGTTGTAAGAAGAGAGATAAAAGCGAGATCTAGACAAGCTACTGTAGAGGATTAAATGTCAAAAAGGGAAAAGGATTAGAAAATGATTAAAGTACATCATTCATATTAGTGGGAGGTTAGTGATTTGCTTGGCCACCCGGTCAAACGGACAAGTCACCTCAATCATTGTTCATTAAACGAAAAAGAGGGCAGAAATGAAATGAAGAGCAAACATAGAAGACGATGAAAAAGAAGAAGGAGAGGAAGGAGAAGAAGAAGAACCGCTCGAACCAAATGTATGTATTTGATGTATGTGGGCGCCACCCCGCTCGCCGCCTCTCATCTCATTCGGTGTCCTCTCGGTTTTGAGCAGAGCAAGAGTGATGAAAATTATGGGCAATTTTGCCGAGAAATGTCTCCCAAATAAATACTCTCAGTCGCTGCGGTTGACGTTTGTTGGGCACGCGGACAACAAGATAATCATACGATACAGACGGCACATGTTTTGCCGGTTTGGATCGCGTTTCAGAAAAGAGTATGATGAAAAATAAAGTCGATCTGGAGAAGAGAGGCAAGTCGGAGCAATGTGGGGCGTGGCGCCAGGAGCTCCGGGCTCTGCTCTTCGCTGAAAGGAGAAGGACGCTAGGAGCTTGTGCATTTATGGGCGGAGCTTAGCGGGATTCGTCAGAAACAGACTTCGTTTCGATATTTTTTTTTGCGCAGAGCAAGAATAACAAAATAGAAGAAGGCGAAGCCCAACAGAATGTGGGAAAACTGGTGACAACGTGTGGGAGTGGAATAAACTGGTCATAAAAAACCTTAGAGTAAAACCGGCAGAAGAACACTTCAGAAAAAGTTCTTAAGATTCCCACTTGATCCCGATCTGTTTTTACATTAGAATCAAGTTGCGAACTGAAATTTTCCGAGAAAAAAGTATCTTTAACCAAGATACTTTCTGGATGCCGCGTGTCCAAGAATCGGAAACCAGTGTTCTTCTATCTACTCATAAGCTTCTCAAAATGGGCCCTTCTTATGAATCTACCCTTTTTAAGATTAAGGAATCAATTGGCTACCCCTGGATTACACGGATTATGACAATCTTTCCGAAAATAAGCCAACATTTTAACCACCCACTGCTCTCGACAAATAGTCACGTCGGCGTCTAGACTCTTCTGAAGAGACCTAGAAAACCAAAATCAGGTGTGCTCACGCGTGTATCCAAAAAGTTTGGGAGAGTGAGAGTGTCATGTGCACTAATGAGCAGTACAACCCGTTGGTGAGTCATAAAATAATGATGTGAGCTCATGTGGAGTGAGCGGAAAGAAATTAAGAGAAGATGGGTGGCATGACCATGGCTCAGACTAATTCGTACCTAAATTTTCCGGTGCGTTGGTATTACGGTGGAAAGAATATGAACTGATAAGCTATGTGGTTTCGGACGACTAGAAGTCAGCCAATCCGGTGTTGCTTGGTGTACACTACCATAACCCGAGCAACTTTCCGCTTTCGATCAGAAAGTGGCAGTTGAGAAAACAAACTAACAGCTTTTTGAGATTCTCAGTAGGCAACATTTTTGGAAGACATGCATAAACAAACAAAATTGTAGCGTGAGAGAAACTGACGCCATGAACCCAAGAAATCAACTCTAATAGTTGGAGGTATAGCCAGACACCCTGAACCGACATAGGAATCATGTGTGGCCCTCCGTAATACAGACACCATGCGCCATTTGTGCAGGTACTCTCTTAATAACCACTAGTATCTGTCTTTTGACGTAGAATGCACTTTTTGCTCAGAAATAGAAATGTATCCGAAAGATGACATAGGATTTCATGACAAAACAGGAAATTGAAAATGAACTGCTGGTGGTCACCCTTTTAAAAGTACACCCATGATTTGGAGACGACGTGTGGCAAAGAATGAGTGAGCGATCCCAATGATTAAAGAACCGATCACTGATATTGTTTAGTAACGGGAATTGACAACGAAAAAATGGTTTAATGTGTCTTTTAATAGTGATAAGCGGGTCAAAGTGTCCGCCGTCAATGGAAACTACTGTGAGACCGCAATAAAGCACGTCAAAGCATACATGTTTGAGTTACTGTATCTTCTCCGAAAAAGGGCAGAAGGGCAGTCACCTTTTTCCAGGGCTGGGCAATTGGCCGGCCCGGGCTTTTCGTTGGCCGACCCTTGACCTGGACTTTTGAACCACTTGCAATATTCCGATCGGACCCAAACTTTGCAGGATTGTTGCACATGGGTTGAAGCATACTGGGACCAAGATTCAGACCGATCGGATCATCTGGTCCCGAGATATGTGGATCATTGGCCGAAATTGACCGGAAGCCCGGGCTTTTTGGAAAAAATCGGCCAATGATCCACATATCTCGGGATCTGACGATCCGATCGGGCTGAAACTTGGTCCCAATAGCCCTCAATCCAAGTCCAACGATCCTGCAAAGTTTGGGTCCGATCGGAATATTGCAAGTGGTTCAAAAGTCCAGGTAAATGGTCGGCCAACGAAAAGCCCGTGCCGGCCAATTGCCCAGCCCTGCCTTTTTCTATATTTTCATGGTAGAATACGCAAGAATGTCATGTGGTAGGGTAGAATTCATTCTAACGATATTATGTCCTTATCAAAATGAGCTCTGTGGCTCAGTAATTCTGAAGAATTCTGAAGAAGAAGAAGGCAGCCCGCACGCTGTGATACATACCGTAGTTGAAGAGAAACGCGCTTAGGCGGTTATGAGAAACTATTTGAAAGCCACCAACTATGCTGTAAAGTGGAATAGGACAATAGAACACGGCAGAACACTCAAACAGGAAAATAGCTCAACACCCTACCTACTTTTCCCACCTAATTTGAAGATTCCCCAGGCGACAGGACACACGCGCTGATAGTTCATGGAGACAATGGAATAAGTAGAAAACACCGAGCCGCCATCTCTTTTATGCATGCTTTATCAGTTCCTTGAGTTACGTTCTAGCCTGGTTTGTTTGAACTACCGTATGACAACAAAACTTTTGGGGGAGGGGCACGTGAAACACAAAAGGCACTTGCTCTATGCAGACAACGTTTTTTCGGCGAATTACACGGCCGCGTGCGTGACAAGTTTCAACTACCGTAAGCTATTTATGGAAGGGTAGTTTTTCGGAGGCTTTGTGAGGTGAATTGAAAGTGCCATGGAAGCAATCGCTCTAGTGAAAATGTATATTGCACTGTCTGAGATTTCTTTCGTTAAGCTTGCGTACAAGTAGTGTCGGTTCTAAAAGTTACGCGGGGGCCGCATTGGATCTCCTCTCTCCCCTTTTCCGTACGGGGAAAACCTCTGACGAAAAATTGGAAAAAGACGACACGGTAACATGAACACCGAAAACGCGTCGGTTGCCGTTATTCCAAACATAAAAGAACAGAAATTTGATGGTTTGACACACAAGCGCACAGGCAAAGGCCGACTGATAACTGAATTAGTGATATCAAGGGAGTCTAATAACTGTGAATTAGCATGCGAATGAGAGGCGCTTCGCTCGCTATAAGCGAATCGCTTCATTCCACCACCACCTTCAAATTTACTGATAACCACTGTTCGCTGCGGCGGCGCCGCCGCCGTGACGTGGAAGTGCATATTGAGAGCTATTTGTGTACATATCATATCACATGATACATTTTACCTTCTTTCTTGGAAATAACAGACGAAAATTGGAGTTGCACATATGCACAACAGCAGGCGGATATCAGAATCACGAGTTGCCGACGTCGGGTCGGACAGAATCCTTTTTTTATCGTCTCTTCTTTCCAGCACGGCGACCACTAGCCATGACGGAAACGGAGGAAATTGAACGGAAATTGGGGTGGGGAGGAAAGGGATTGTGTTTATTTATTGTTATTTTCAGTTTTATTACTTTTTAAATTGGTTTTATCAGCAAAAGGAAATGAAGAGCGAATTGAGAGATAAACGTGTTTTATGAATTCAGGGATGAGACAACGGAAAACCACGAGCATAAGGAAGATGATGATCAGATTCGTATCTTACTCGTGCAAATTAATTTTGAGCATTACTTTTCAGCTCTGAACAAAAATTGAATATCAGAGAAAATACATAGGTACCTAGACCGAGCATCAATCTAATACTTTTCCATAGATGGTCGAGCGAGTCCAGGAACTTATACTATATTATCAAAATCAGACGCTTTCAAAGAGAAGCTTCAGAAAATAGTCCAGATGAGAATGGGAAGCAAGGATTATCTGGTCTGGAAATATACGGATTCAGGGCCTGAAAGCCCGGCCTTTAGCAAAGTCAAAAAAAATTGAGTATCACTGAGTATCACGAGAGCTAGAGAAGTTTCAAGTCGATTTTTGAACGGTTCACACGATGGGTTACTTACTAACTCACGGTTCCAAAACCGCCAACTCTTATGAGTTTGGATCTCTCTCGGATGCTATGAACACATTTCGCAATACATTGAAACCAGAAACGAAACAAAATCAGAAAAAAGAACGAAAAGTTTATGACATCCTCATAAACGTTTATTTTAGCGGCACATAGCGTTGATTAAATTTCATGCGATGAAAAGGGTTTCAAATTAAATGTAACTTTGTCAGAATTTTTAGATCAAATAAATCACATCATCTTATTGCATTTTTTGCGTCACTCGCGGATATAGTGCAATTCTTCATGTGTTTCGTTTATGATGGGTGCGAAACGCAATTTTTTGGTAAGAGAAGTGTGTCCAATCTGACGGGTGGACGAGAATAGTTCAGAGACTATCACTTTTCTCGAACTGACGTCTTTTGAGCATTCAATGGAGATTATTCGTTTCTAGATGGAAATATCTTTAGACTTTTCCTGAAATCATGGATTCACAGATGAGCTTTTGTGAAGATCCGTTTCTGAATTCAAGAACACTTTCTAAACGCTCAGTGCAATTTGATATCCATTGTGTATCCATTTCGCTGGGTGGCATTGTTGCGTCGAATCTAAAAAACAGAAGATCTGGGCAGAAAAAAAATGTTGCTGCCTTATTCGAAACATTTGAAGGGAGTTTGAAGTTGTAATACTCTTTTACTTAGCGACTGGAGGGTTCGAAAAGGCCAGGGGCTGCAACATGGTCTCCGTGGCCCTAAGACCGGGGACTGCAAGGTTTGCATGGTACAAAAACTGCTTCGTAGCTTTGAATCTGGAGACCAGTAGTCATTTAAGGTCGTCACGTCCAAGAACAAGGTGGATCTCTTGCGTTTAAGTACTTATTTTTCAGAGGGGTCCGCAGGATTTGGATTGATCAACAGTTCTCAAAACGTCTCGCGATGCCGAAAAACTAAAAAAAAGATCTTAATAATTTCTAGAAAATTGTCTCTGAAGCCGTTATCAATCAGACTATTTCTCAACTTCTCTTTTGATTGTTACCATCACAACCGGGCCGATGTCTGAAGCTCTATAACTTGGTTCAATCTGGCCTCCCTAAGACGACCCTTTCAAAATTATTCTCAGTCTTCAGTCACTTCTTCTAATTGTGAGGCACTACCCAATTGCTTGCAAGGTGGCCAATGTTCATCTCGTTCCCATTTCTCCAATGTGTCTTCTTTTCTCCCACTGTTTCGCTCGGCCGTTCGCTATTTGATTCGAAGAGATTGACCGTCCACCCACAGCGCACGGACCAAACTTGACCAGTTCCCAAGACTCTGTCCGCACATTCCACACAAAAAAAAATTGGGGCCTAACTGCGTAAGTGTCCGGCAAGCGAGTGAGCAAGCATAACAACACAAATAAGCGGGACAGATCGATAGAACGCAACAACACGCCTTGAGACTTGTCATGTGACTTGGACTCGTGCCATGAGAAGGGAAACCGACGAAGAGAGAAAGGAAGAATGGATGGACTCTGAATGGCTAAACAAAAAGGAAACGAAGCTTTTTTAAAAATTTTTTTTATTAGTTTACCAATTTTTTAAAAATTAGGGTAATATTGGAGAAGCGAATTAATAGAAGTACCTGCTTAGGGGGAATATTTACATGGACTTACACTATGTGTTAAGATTCCGAGCCAAGGGAAGAGGATGGGGTGGATAGAGATCTTAAAGACATAAAAAAAGTGGGTGGGAGGTAGGAAGTGTCTGTGCCAGACAGAAATGTTAAGATTTAGGCCTTGGCGGCGGCTGGTTTAGCGGCAGCCTTCTTCGGCTTGGCAGCAACGGCCTTCTTCGGAGCAGCGGCCTTCTTCGGGGTGACTGGCTTCTTGGCTTTCTTGGCGACAGGCTTGGCGATCTTCTTTGGCGAGGCGGCCTTCTTGGTCTTCTTAGCACCAGCAACAGCAGCAGCTTTCTTCGGCTTGGCGGCGGCTTTTTTCGGTTTGACAGCAGCCTGTGGTCCGGTGATCTTTCTGGAGACGGCGATCTTCGGGGCTGGGGCACTCTTCTTGACGGCAGTAGTGGCTGGGGCGGTCTTCTCTGGCACCTTGAAGCGACCGTTGGCGCCGGATCCGGCGGCCTGAACGATAGCCTTGCTGACGACTCCGCGTTTAAGGGCCTGTCGAAGGTGGGAGTTGATCTGAAAGAAGAATGAAATTAATTTGTGTCTTTGAAAAATACGGATACTAGGGGACTACTAGAGGTAGTGTTTCTTACCTGGATCACATTGTCTCCGAGTTTGTAGTTCTGCGAGATGTACTTGAGGATAGCCTGCTTCGAAGCTCCCTTGCGATCCTTGAGTTGCTTGATGGCGGACTGGATCATCGAGATGTATGGCGGGTGCGACGATGGAGTCTTGGCCTTTGGAATCTTGGCGGCCTTCGGAGCCTTCGGGGCGTTGGTCTTCTTGGCAACCGGAGCGGCGGCGACAGCGGCGGGTGCCGGTGCAGCAACGACGGGGGCGACGACAGCGACGACGGAGTCAGACATAGCGCGGAGAAGGCGTTTGGTAATAATCTTGACTGTGAAAGGACACTTACAAAGCAATGGTGGAGGGGCCTAGCCGGTTCTCTTATGAACGCGCTCACTACCCCCCTGCGGGGACACCACCCACAACGCACACATGCGACCGAATGCGATGGCGACATGGGACAGAGTAGGCTTCAAAAGAACGGCTGTCAGTTGGCTCCATTTGTGAAATGCCAAACTTTATGAATATCTTCAGATAACCAGATAATTGAGCTACAACATATCCAAAACCCAAAGAAAATTGATCAAAATTGACCGAATTGTCGGTGTTCAAAGTTGAACGTATATTTTTGGCTCAAACCGAGCTTACTCATGCTGGATAAACTGGAATATCTATGATTTAATCAAGATTCATCTAGTATTGACTTATAGTCAGAGACTTTCTCTATTTAAACATGTATAATATGCTATAGGTTTAACGAGCCCTTCCCCCTGAAATTCCAGCTTTAATGAGATTCTAATTCTAATTCGCAACTTTAACGTCGATTATCTCCATATTTCATGTTGGAACCTGATACAATAATCATATAATTGAAAAGCTCAGATTTTTGGCTTTCTAAATCTGTAGTTCATATAGAATTTCAACCGTAGAGCGTGGAGTTACACCTCTTCTAAGCAAGCGTGTTCCGTCAACTCATCGATGTTGTTTTCGCATTTTCACTCGTTGTTCAAAGAACACGTTCATTCCGAACACTGAAAACTAGAACTAAAACTGAATTTTGACATTTTCAGATACCCCTGAGTCGTCCTGAACATGCCCGGATCGCATCGAAGGATTTTCTGGCCTGATAAAATGATGATAATACAATTAATAACCCCCTTGAGAATGCTCCTTTCTTTCTCTTTTTGCCCTTTATTTCTTGACTTGTTTACAAGCTTCTGTCAAACTTTTCCAGTTTTCTTTGGCTGAAATATTTCAGCGACTAATCTAGAAAAACGTTGTGAATTGTAAATCCGGAACGGTCATTTGTTTGCCAAAGCTTTTGAAAAAGGAAGCTGAGTCAATAGATTTCCAATGCAATGCCGGTGTTCGAGGACAGACATCTATTGTGTCGAATTCAAAGAATCCAGGATCGAAAACCATGGAAATGGGTATAGGCTCCATGAGGACACAAAGGGCGCACCTGAAAATGTAATTCTAGGCTCTACTCATTCTACACCTGTAGGATAATGTGCGGGAGAGGCTTGTTTTGCTTTGTTCCGTTTTGACGGGTCCCAATGATTCCCTAGAGAAGTTTTCAGAACATAGTTCGTGTCCAATTATGCTCCGCACGCAGTTTTCCACTCGATATCTGTTTGAAATAGTAGGCTGCGTGCCAATTTTCTGCCATGGCGCACCCGTATCGAGTGTTTCCTGTGCTGAACAACATATCCGCCATCTTGGCACCCTGCCAACACTCTTTTCCGTCCTCTACAGTCTCTAAGGCCACAATGCCTTTCTTTCTCCTGTTGCGTTGTTCTTATTGCGTTACGCCTGTGACGTAACAACTGTAAGAAGAGGAAAAGTAGAACCAGAAGACGTGGATGACATGATGGTTGCGACGGGTTTGAACGATATTTCAATTTTCCGCGGATGGCAGATGGCAAGAGTAGAGTACAGGATGATGTTGTTTCATGAATTGCAATGATATGTATCATGGGGTCGCAGCAAGAGTAAATGTTTCTAATTTTCCACAAATTTGGAATAAGCCTTATACATTCCCGTCTTAAATTTGCTGCACTAAATACAGATAATCAGAAATGGCCATATCCAAACTAATGTGTAGTTGAGTATTTGGTTGCAAAACGTCTCGGTTACATTACATCTTTCAGTTTCAACGCTGCTAGCTTCTAGCCTAAATTAGCCTCATCTGAAAGTAAAATGCGCCAGCCAACAAAAAATGTTTCCATTCAAATTATCTACTCCCAATTTTGTCGGCTTCCCATCGTCTTTCATGGCAATAGCATGCAATTATATCCAATTTTCCAATGAATAATTATCTTCTCAAGTCGTGCGACAGATCCGTAACCACCCGTCTTTGTTCCAACGCACCTGGGCCATTATGAAATTACTAGTGTCGATTTCTTCTAATTCTTTTTGAAAATAATGGAAATGTGATTCAACTATTGAAGTGTTTCACTTTTTACCCAAAAAGCGTTTTCCAAGTCTCTATCAGACAAATTTCCCGGACAAATCATATCATTTTACAAAACCGTCTTCAGATTCACAATAAGATCAAAAACCGTTGTGGGGAGAGATTTTAAAATGAGAATGGGGCGAACATTTAACAGAAACACACAACGAGACAAAAATAAACAAAATACTTCGAAATAGTCAATATAATTGGGATGCGTTAGTTAGAAGAATGAATAATATGAAAAACATTTAAAAAATTAATGAACATCAGCAGAGAAAGAAGTCAGTCTCAGATCAGAATCCAGTCACATCTTCCCGGCCAGTTGTTGTGGATGTTGGCAAACGCCTGTCGGGACTGTGCCAATCGTTCCGGGTCGGGCAACAATCCGTTCGGTTCGTGCAGAGCAGCGAGCTCCATAAAGATGGCCTTCTCCATCGTTGGCCAGTTGTTCTTCAGCGGCAGCCGACGAGCGTGTTGGAGCCAGATACGTGGGTCTGAAAATAGAGATGAGGGGCTCTAGATAAAGTCGAGAATACCAACCTCTATTGAGCATGCGACTGCATCTTGCGGCAGTCATGAAGAAGCAAGCCTTCTCGAAGAATGTTCCGTTCGTGGTCACGACTTCGAAGCAGTTCTTAAGGGTGAACAGTGCATCGGCGTATTTCTCGCGACACATCTGGAATATTTTGATATATTGAATGAAGATTTATTAGAAAAAGATCACTAAAAATTGAAAACTCACCAGCATCGTGGCGCGTCTTCTCTTAATCATTCCTCGAACATCCATCAAAGATGTGGCCACCGCCAGCTTCATTGCCTCCGCAAGTGACAAATCGCATTTGTCGTAGTCCTTGGTCGCCGTGTGATACGTGGCTAATTGCATGTGGACACGAATCTGACCACGGATATCCATGGTTTTGAAATCGAACAGCAGTTGCTTAGCCTCGACGATTCTTCCCATGCCCGCAAGCACCAGCGATTGCCTAAAAATTTAAACAATTTTGTAAACATTCTATTAAATTGGGGCTATCACTTGAGGTTGAACTCCAATTCCGAAACGGTTATCAGATTCGAGATAATGTGCTTGGATCCGGTGTAATCGTTTTTGAAAAAGCGCTCTTGGAATTTGACAATCGCGAAGCAAATGTGGACGTGACGGTAGCTCAGCCAACGCTTTTTTTCGTTGAACTTCGACTTCATCGTGCTCAGAATTGTTTTTGCCTTCGCCATTTCTCCCGCCGCAGCTAGAGAATACACCAAATTCGCCGAATTAACCGCCTGGAATTGTATGCGAAAATGAAACTGTGAAATAATTTATCACTTACGTAGGATTCAGTGTACGTGACTTCTGGGCGTTTCGAGGCGTAGGCGCATTGGACGATTTTACGAGAATGCTCGAGAGCTTGCTGGTACATGCCGTTACGGATCCTGAATAACAAATTAACAGCATTGGCTTTTTTTTTCTATAACTCACATGTTGCTGGTGATAATCGAGAATCCATACGCCTCAATTTTTCTTCCTCTGCTTTCGAAATCGTGGCTGAGCAAGCAATGAATTCCAAAATCGGCCAGTCTACGGAGCGGCCTGGAAAAAACGTTTTTTCCGCGGTGGAAACTCGAAAATGTTCTCTTACAGTCGGAATGTGCAGGCAGCAATTGATCGCAGCGTCATGAGCAGCTTTCCGAAGCAATCCAGTTCGGCGACAAACTCGAAATCCTCCTCGCTGTGCGAACAACACGGAGTTCCGGCCACTTCCAGGTGAAGACTGTAAAAATCAATATGTTCGTGGGCCTCGAGGTCCGAGAGAACTCACTTGTCGATGTGCTTCAGCGTTTTTCTCTGCACACGCGGATCTTCCTCTCTGTTTTCTTCGGTTTCTGTAAGAAATTAGAGAAATTATGCGAAAGACAACAAAGGTGGTTACCGTCCAACTTGTACTCGAGCAATGCGTTAACTCCCAGCGTTTCAAGAGTCTGCAGCTCGAAATTGGCAAGTTGATGGCACACAATATCACTTTTGAGCTGAGCCTGCTGGATACTCTCTCGAAGCAGTTGACGGGCAGTCTTGCTGAAAATAACATGGTTCGCAGATGTTACGCTCACACAAAACTCACTAATCACCGAATTTTTTGCTGACTCTGGCATGGAGAATCGGAGCGAAAAGGAGCGGGTCCTGATTGGTCACCGCCAGGCGGAATGAGCGAGCGACCTGCACCACATTTTCGTTGAGCTCGACCATCTGATGGTCGAAGAACTTCTTCAGCGCCTTGATGGCCATGTCAGCATCCTTCAGTTCGACGTAGGCGGCAGCTTCGAGCAACCACTGAAAAAACATCAAACTTTGACGAGTTATGTTTGTCTTATGTCTACCGCTTCGCTGATGTCCTTCCAGCGGTTGCCGACGATTCTCGCATATTTGATCACACTGCGATAGCTGAATGTGAATTCGGGCTCACGCTGAAAGTATAATATGTTTATACAGACAGTTAGGATAGAGGGAATCTTACATCCATGCAAATGATCGCGTGATTGACCCACTGTCTGGATCTCAGTGAGCAGTCAATGAATCGGTGCCAGTTCCTGAGTCCCTTCAGTCTGAAAAATCTTGTGAACATTGGGAAAAAACTAGGTGGAAGTTTTCTTACGACTCGGCCCGGTCTGGTATATGAGAAACACTGAAAGCTTATGAAAAGAAAACGCGCACAGCAACTTACGTGATGGTTCCCTTATTGATCCAATAACGCATGATGTCGTTGAGTTGGAGCATTTGCATGTGCGTCGTTTTCGCCCACTGAGCTTGGAGCTGAAAATTAAAAGATAGCCTTCACTTCCATTCGGCGTGACTCCGCAAAGAAACTGGGATCTGTTGGATGACTATGAATTTTTTGAACTACTAATACGTGCTTTTCTTCAGAGTTTACAGATTTCAGCGGTGTTTTATTTCTAGTCGGCACAACGGGGAATTTTCAGATTTTCGCAACTTGAGAGCCGGCCCGATCCCATCATACTCCTACTAGGGCCAGTTTTCTCTAATCCTGATGACTTAAAGGACCAGGGAACCCAAAAATTTTTTGATTAATTTGTGAAATGTTTTTGTGACTGTTTGAATTGTCTCTTATTGCCTCATACACTGGTGAAATTCTGCCTCTCAAAAATGCCAATGAACGAAACGGCATGCAGTTGAAGTTGTGGCCGTGGCCTAGCGCCAATGGCCGAAAAATATATAAAAATATATGCGCTTCTCGGCCATTTTATTTTTTCCGCTTTTTTACCGGTTTTTTTTCCAAAAATTCACGGTTTCTCCCATTTTGGCACTTCATATCGACTGAATGAAAACAATTTTTTAGCAGTGAAAAAATAAGTAAGTGCCGAACAAATGTCAATCAACTGAAAAATTGGAGAAAAAGTGAATTTTTTGAAAAAAAAACGGTAAAAAAGCGGAAAAAAATAAAATGGCCGAGAAGCGCATATATTTTTATATATTTTTCGGCCATTGGCGCTAGGCCACGGCCACAACTTCAACTGCATGCCGTTTCGTTCATTGGCATTTTTGAGAGGCAGCATTTCACCAGTGTATGAGGCAATAAGAGACAATTCAAACAGTCACAAAAACATTTCACAAAAAAATCAAAACTTTTTTGGGTTCCCTGGTCCTTTAATGGTAAATATCGCCGAGCACTGCCAATTTATCGAACAACTAACTCTTTTGATCCAGCGGTAGATGTAGGATTGGTTAGAGGTGAACGGAAGCTCCTTCCTCAGTTCTTCAGCCGGAATGTAGCAGGCTCTGCCGTGGCGGTTGGTAAAGAACTCGTCTTCCATCGCGAGGTTGATGTTGTTGTAGCCGGAGCCGATCTGCTCCATTCTGAAACCCATAATTTCTTATTTTTCCGTGAAAGGTCTCAACTGACGCGGCTAAGAAGTTTAAGGTTATGTTTCTGTTGAAAGCGAACGCGATTCTCATGAACCCGCGAAACTCCTTGTAGGTCATCTCCTCCTCCATGTTTGTCACGCCGTAGAACCATTGGAAAATACTGAAATCCACATTTAGGATAGGGGTTTACCGATTTTTTGTCTACATGGCCTTTTCCTCGGTATCGAACGGCGTTGTGCTCCTAACGTTTCTCGTTCCGAAGTGAGTTTGGAATAGGATACGGAGTAGGTAGAATGTAGCGACCTGAACGATTCCCACATGAAAATCACTGAAAATCGACAAAATAGACTCACTTTCGCGGGAGTAACGGGTTCTCCAGTCAGATTGTTCAAGACATGTCCAAAAATCACGTCCAAGTTGAGATTAGGTCTCCGGACCACTGGTCTGTTCTGCACTCGCTGAGGACGTTGCATACCTGTGAGAAAATTCGGTGAGAATGAACACAACGACAAGAAATAGTGAATTGAAAAAAGAAAATATGATTTGAATGGCGTGTCAAGGGAGCGCTGCTGACGCAATTTGCGCGCATACTCTATGCGCCTTAGCCGGTCGGTCTCGTTGCTGCCGCACTCGATGTCTGTGTCTCCGGTGTCCCTGCAGTCTCTCGCATGCTAGACACGTACCACAGTTAGCTGTCAGCCACAATCGCTCGGTTGCTGTGCGTGTGTGTTTGAGAATGCGATGGGTCATCGGATCGGCCGGCCTGCTGGCTAGCGGGCTGACTGCCCGACCAACGGAGAAGAGGAAGAGAAACGGTTGGGTTGGCTGGCCGCATTTGTGCTCTATCAGTAGGCACCAGTATTTAGTGTTGCATTGGAAAAGGATCCTGTCGAGACCACGATTATTTGCGAGGAAGTTTCTGAGAATATTTATTTCAAATCTAGAAGAAAAGCAGTTAATTTAATTTTAGCGCAACACTTTTGTACTGAAAAATGTTGGCTTTCTTCACTTCAACAATCGGGAGCTCATAACTTGGTTGAAACTGATCCGATTGACACCAAACTCAAACATTCCATGTTTCAAACCTTCCTTATGAAGTTCCATAAGTGTGCAATGTCAGCCTGGAGTTTGACGCTCAAGCCAGTCTGATCCTTGTTGGGTCTGGCTTCATTTTGGCCAAAAATCTGATATCACGTGCTAGATATTCGACATGCTTCAACAAAATTGACTTGAAAATGCTCAAAAAACTTGTCTCAAACAAGATTTGACTCATTTGAGATCATCGGAGCCCCCCGGCTCCACTCCCGAGCTCCACACAGAACATGAGGCTAAACCTGGGAGAGTGGCCCTAGGTGGCGTCGGCGTCAGTGCACATGCTTTCAAAAAGGCTTTTTGGACATCCTAAAGGTGCAAAGAACCCCATTCAAGATCATGTTTGTCAGTTTAAGAGGCTTCCAGAGTGTTTTCAGGGGTGGCCCTATACTTAGGAAACGCTTGCAGTTGCAACATTTTCAGATATTTCAGCACCATTCCCCAACTATCCTATACACTGCTCTCAAAATTGTTTTCCGGGGATTATTTGTGATGCTGATTTCGATTTTCAAGGTCTTGGAGTGGTATTTTGTTTGGGAAAGACGATATATTCAATTTTAGGGGTGGCCCTATACTTATGAAACGGACTGTAGATCTCTCCAACACTGTTAGGATTGAACTTTTCAAAGATTATTGTGGATGAGTGGTACGAAGGATGAAAAGAATGGCATTTTAGGTTTTTCGGATGTGGAAGGCTTTTGAGATAAATGGAGGCATCCTAAGTAGGCATGTGAAAATCAGATCAGAACGATGGAGAAAAATCGTTGTCCTAGATTGACTTGTAAAAATGCTTAATGATGAAATGAAAATGACTTTATTTGACTAAATTCACTACACGTAAAGAAAAATGTTGCGAAACAGGTTAGCAAAGTCCGCAAGTCTTGGCACAGTAGGCTTTGCGTTGAGTGTCAGTGTAGAAGCTGTTGGTACAGTATCCATTGGCAGCCCAGGAAGAGCACCTGTAATTTTCGTCGCATTTTCGACATAAACATTATCTTGAACTTACGCAGAAGCCGAGTCAGAGCACGAAGAAGATGAAGTTGTGCTGGATGAAGAGGAGGAAGAAGAGCACAAAGAGCAGGTACTGGCACAATATTGAGTCTTGATAGCAGTGGTGTAGAATGAAGACGTGCAGAAGCCGTTAGCCGCCCAGGAAGTACATCTGAAGGCAAAGATTGGCTGGATGAGAGGAAAGCAGCGACTTACGTGGAAACAGAATCGGCACAGGTAGCCGTGGTGGTGGCTGCAGTGGAAGAAGAAGATGAAGAAGAAGCAGAAGTGGTAGCTGAAGAAGAAGAAGAAGAGGACGATGACGAATCAGTGGTGGAAGAGGAGTCAGAAGAAGTGGTGGATTCCGTGTTGGCCGTCGTGGTGTCGGTACTGGCAGTGGTAGTGGCAGCAGTGGAAGTGGAAGCAGTCGTCGTAGCAGCAGAAGTAGATGAAGACGAAGATGAAGACGACGAAGAAGATGAACACAGTGAGCAGGTAGAAGCACAGTATTGAGTTTTGATGGCAGTTGTGTAGAAGGATGAAGTACAGAATCCGTTGGCAGCCCAGGAAGCGCATGTCGACACGGAATCAGTACACGACGAAGAGGAAGAAGCAGTGGTGGTGGAAGAAGACGAGGAAGATGAAGACGAGCAGAGACCACATGATTCTCCACAGTAATACAGAATTTGAGCGGATGTGTAAGCGCTGTTGGTACAGAAGCCATTAGCGACCCAGTTCTTACAGCTGAAAATCAAGTTACATGAAAGCAAAGTTTTCAGACAATAAACTCACTTTGAGCCGGCATCAGAGCACATTTCAGCTCCGGCAAAGAGAACAGCAAGGAGAAGGAAGTGGGTATTCATGATGGTCAAATGGATGCTCGCTATGATCTTTTCTCTGGCCACCCAGACACTTTTATAAATATCCATGTCCTGTTTGCACAACTGTTGCAAAAGTTTGACCCCGAAAAGGAATGGGGATGTCGCAAAGTGTTGAGAAGCTAATTGAGCTCGATCATGTGAATCATAGAGATGTTGATCATAATGGGGGGAAACTTTTCTATCTTTGAACTTTGTTTGGCTGCTCAACCGGAAATAGAAGCGGTCTGGACAAATGAACGTTAAAAACTGGATGCTTTTGAAAGATCCTGCTTAGTACCTACTTATTATTTCGTGAAGGGCACGTAGTTGAACCACCGGGGCGAAATTGTCTGCGAGTCGTTGATTTGAAACTTATTCGATTTTATTCGGTTATCTTACTAAATCCCAATCGGCTTCTGCGTATTCAAGAGTTATAATCAAGCTTTTTTTCTAAACGATTCGAAAATGATTCCACAGTCCATGATGTAATTCAACATTCTAAAGACATATCAACGTGTTATTAAGCGAGGTGATCTTTAGAATGACTCTTAACGCATAACGTTTGAATGTCTCGAATGTCCACTCGTTGACATCTGTAAGTATGTTTCATCGGAAGTTTAAGCCCAATGTTTATCCACTAACCTGATGAAAATGACATTGGCTCATAGTATCCTTTTTAGGACAACCTTCCGAGCCTTTTTCAGGGCTCTCTCAGACCATACCAGATAAGATTATTGTAAGGGACCAAGGTGTCCCGTAACCACAGGCAACCGGACCATACGCCAGGGCCCACTTTTCAAACGTGAGGGCTCGTCCCTCGCCCACCCCAACCCACCGATCCTTCCCCGGAAGCTCACACCATTCACTGGTCTCACCCACTGCAAACCGACCACATTCCAGAGCACCTCCGACATCCGGCTCGCCCACGATCCCGCCGCTTCACGTGATCCCCGCGCCGACATTCCAGCCGCCTCTGCTCGATCTCCGATATCACCGCGTCACTTCCGGACAGCTCCACATTCCAGCCGCCACTATATAATCCCCCATGCCCCGCCGACTTGGCGGTTCCCTGATTGTCCGATCCTGAATAAACCTGTTCCACTCGATCCGTGTCTTCTTGGCTAAAATCCATTGACCTTCGGACAGGAGGCCGGGGCTGGTTAGGCCAGCCTGCAGCACTTCCTACTGGTAGCAGCGAGCTTCGTGACCTCCGGGGTCACCCGTCCATCGACCTATTATTCAGCCCTCTACCTTGGCTGCACAGTTCCGGACGGCAGCGTTTAGTAAGGTCCGAGATGACGTAGGCGAAGGCGCACGAGAGATCAAAAGCTTGGTCCCGTTGTTTTATTTGTCCGGTCTGAGAGAGAGAGAGACCGTTACCATGCGACACCCCCAGACAAAGCGAGAGTCTGGGGGAGAGAGAGAGAGAATGCCAGGGGTCACAGGATCCGACCGTCGTCCTTTCCTCATTAGTAGCCATTCTCACCAGTTATCATCCCGATCAGTTGTTCCGTTCATATCTTGTTTATCCCTCACGTTTTATTACTCGTCACCTTATTCGATAGCCTCAGAAAGTTTCGTGACGTCATTCGTTTTAGTTCATCCAGCCCTGTTTCAACCGTCTTCGACCCCCGTCGGTCCCACAGCTCCCTATCCCGTTCGTTTCCCGTCGTTTTTGTATCCGTACGTTCCGTTGCAAGCACGTAGTGCTTCTTGGGCGTGTCGTTTTCCCCACAAACCAACAACTACCCATCCCAACATAGACCAGCCGCTGATACCGCCAAGGAGTGCATCCACCGAGAGAATCGACGATCTCGATCAGACCCTTCAACCAACCGTTGAGTCACCGCTCCCACCGCAACCGGCAAGAAAGCGTTCGAGAACCGCCTTCACCCCGCTCCCCCTCCGGTCGTAGTACAGCCACCTCGAGCCCGGGCTCCAGCCGAGCCTGCAAACACCCCCGCACGTTACAATCTGCGGCCGCGCCACCATTAGATAATTGCCCCATTACACTCATACCGTCCCCCGCGGAGCCATCTCAGGGCTCGACGACAACGTCATCGAACGACAAAGCACGCGCGTTGTAACAGCGCACGCCGGACGATCCAGCCCACGCCCCCGTCCCGCCCTCTCGCGGTGACCCAACCTCGTCATTCCATTCTGTTTACCAGACAAAAGCGCACCTCCTTGAGTTTTCTCTCAAAAAAAAAAATTCTAATCAGACGCCGCTTTTCCCCCAAAACTTTCGAAATTCTGCTACGACTTTCGAAATTCTGCTACGACCTTGAAGTGCGGGATGAAGATAGTGTCGTCCAGACCGACAATCCTCCGCACATTCTTTACTGTTACACAATAACAGTATAAAAGCCTCCGCATGGCACGCCTCCCCACCACTTTTTCTTATGTTGTCAGAGGGCATTCGTCCCCATTTTGTTTCTGTTGACCGGCCAGGACCGGTCACCTTTTCTTTTATTTTTCTCATGTCTTTATTTATTAATTGTTAAAGCTCTCAGATAAAGGTTTAATTACCCAAGTTTGAGGCTTTGTTGTGAGCTGGGACCCACTGGAAACCCGTTTACTTAGGCCACTTTCCAATCGAGAAACCGATTTCTGCAACTCAATTCTCCCGGCGGTGTCCCAGTGCAGCACCCTTGCTCACACAGGCCCGCGTCTTCGGTTCCGAACTCGATTACCTAATCACCATGCAGTCGCAAGACAACCCCATTGCCCAGGACAATCCAGGAGCAGACACTGGACCTGCTCCGGAGGAAATCATCTTCGCTCCACTAGCAACACATGACCCGATGCCCGAGGAACTCGACTACACCGAGGAGATCGTAGAGGACCTGGTCGTCAACGTCGACGAACAACCCCCGACCACAGAGGAGCTCATCCCGGAAGAAGAACTTCTACGCCCGGACGCCGAGCCGGTGGACGTCTCCACCACACAGACACCGGTCGCCCCACTCGTCGTGCAAGCAGCGGACAACGACCCGATGGCAGCGGAGCCGACGGTGAAATTCATTCCACCACATCCGTGGTACGAGTACTATTCGCACGGGACATCAGTCGCGGCCCTCAAAGACGACTACACCGACAACCCGCAGAAGCTGATGAGCGACGTCGAAGCCAATTTCTCGACAGAGGACGCCGCCCGATTTATTGGTGAGGTGGTCGACAACGGAGAGCTGGAACGGGACGACGGCGTCGCAGCGTTGATGAAAGGCGAGCCCATGGAGATCGGAACTCTTCCTCCAGGCCCCGGTGTACCCTACCGCATCATTCACGCCGTCGGGACCTCGCACACGGCAGCCGCGATCTTCTACGAGACGTTCACCGACCGCCCGGACGTCCGCAACGTCAAGATCACGGCCCGCTCCAGATGCCCACTCCAGCCAAACGGAGACATCGGCTCACCCAAACTGCTACTCGAAGGAGACATCGTCTGGATCACGGCCCTCTACCGGAACACCCGCTTCGAGGAGGAGCCGCAAACGGTCCAGTGGTCCAACACGGCTGACGCGAACGCAACAACGCCTTACACGGTTAAGTCCTTCATTCTGCTACCAAGACTCAGAGTTCGCGACGTGTTGTGCCACCCGACGGCAAAGACCACTACGACGCTGCATTGCATCGCTCAAGGAATCTTCTCGGAGATAAAAGTACCCGCGGCTGAGTTCCCGAAGCCAGTGTCCATGCGACCCATGATCGCCGACGTCATCTCGCCAGTGAAGACAAACAGCTTCCTCGGATCACTCACCATGAAGCTCCGCGCGAAGAAAAGCGTATCGAAGATCCCAGTACACGGACTCGCTCGCGGGACCCTACGAAACATCCGCGACCTCCCGGCTGAATCACAGAAAGTCACCCGAACCATCCTCTCGGCGCTCAACGATCCCGCTCCCAAAAACGAGGTCCTCCTCCGCCAGATGGGAGCCCTGGCAACCCACGCCGTCCAGATTCTCGTCAACGGCCCTGCGGACCTGCGCCCGTACACAACTCGGATCATCGACTCCAGACAGACCGGCCGAGGCACAATCCAGCTCACATTGGTTGCCAGATTCTTCGGAACCGCTCCCGACAAGGTCGCTTGGGGACAAGCGAAAGAGGTAGACCTCACGATGTCGGACAAGCTCGTCATCCCCGCAACATGCGGCATCCCGATTTTCAATCACTCGGAGTCAATGGAGCTGAAGGCGGTAGTCAATCGATTCAACAGCGACCGATTCGGAACGATCCTACTCCGGAGCGCGGACAACGTAATCATCATGCAGCAACAAGCGGAGGAGCCGAGCCACAACCCGGTCGTCACGGTCCTATTGGCCCAGGAACCAATGAACCACGAGGACGACAACTTCGCCGTCAACAAAGCGCTCTTCGGTTCGGAGCCACTCGAGCTTTTTACGCCGGGATCCCTCTCCAAACCCGACAACCTGACGGAGAGCCAGGCGAGGTACGTGAATACCATCTGCTTCTCAAAGACCAGAGGGCTCATCGCCGAGTGCGGCTTCGGAGGCGGCAAGAGTACCACAATGGTCATCACGGCACGGACACTCCCCGGCGACGCTTGCCAGCTACTCCTCGCCACGTCAAATGCAGCAATCGTCAACCTCTGCCAGGTCGCCGACAAGCACGGAATCTCCGGACTGGTGCGGATCATAACGGAGCGCCACAGAGACGAGCTCGACTTCAACCTCATCACCAAAGCCGATCTCCCAGTGCGTATTGTCGAGGCAGTCAAACCTGGACGACGCGCCCCCCGGATCCGAGTGGACTGAGAACGAGAAGACCCTGCTCATCCACGGGTTCCACCGCGGCCTGCTGAAGAAACTTCCGCGCACGGACAAATGGGTTCACTCGTTGAAGCAGCACACACCGAAGCGGCCGTCATTCAAGACCGTCGCCGTCGCCTACCTGCGCCAGCTGAACAAGAGAATCATGGCCGCCACGATCACATCGGCCCTCACGTTCTTCCACGAGCACGCACCGGACCTGGCAAAGCTCGTCAAGCTCGTGCAATGCGACGAGGCCTCACAAATCCCCGTCGCGACCTACCAGGCGATAACACTGGTGTTCCCCAACGCGGTCGTCACAATGGTTGGAGATCGCCGGCTACTACCACCACTGACGCCCAAAAACCAACAAGAAGCGAAACGGACTCGGAGTGATCTCACGCCTCGGCACGGACTCAGCCCTCAGCCACGCATCGGACGGAGACCGATTCCCCACGATCGCCTTCCGTGAAAGTTTCCGCTGCCCGAGAGACATCACCAACGTACTCTCGAAGAACTTCTACTCGGGAGAACTGCAGGCTATGCGATCCGCCAACGACCACGGCCAACATCTGCCACGAGAGCTCAGCAATCACACGTCACGCTCGTCAGTGCAATGGATCGAGATTCCTGCCAGGTCACACCGTCAGGCAGGTAGCAGCCTGGTCAACACGAAAGAGGCCGAGATCGTGACGAAGCACATCGACGCACTGTTCGCCTCGAACTACACCGGAACAGTCGCCGTCCTCTCCTTCTACGGAGCCCAGAAGCCGGTGATCGTGAAGGCGCTGTCCCATCATGAGGAACGGAGCGAGCTCTTCATTGGCACGGTCGACTGCAGCCAGGGCAGAGAATTCGACACCGTGTTCGTCCTGCTCACACGATCGGACGGACAATCATCGTTTATCGACGACCCGCGACGCGTGAACGTCGCACTCAGCCGCACCAAAGATTGGTGTTTCGTGGTTGCCAGCGCAGAGGTCATCGCCGGCACAACCTATTGGCGGCGTATTAAGGAGATGACCAGATAGGTAGTGGACCGAGCACACCTTCACGGTGCAAAACAGAGGAGGCAACAAGGGATCAGCAGCGCGGGCTTATCCTCTTCGGAGGGTAGCTGGCGCAGTTACGCTGTCTCCCAAATTGCTTCAAATTCTACCTTTTCGCCGGCCCGCTCCACTACCCACCGGCCCTCCGCCATTTTCACACCGGACCAGGGACGGTCCTATTCGAAAGGTGGGAGGTGTAAGGGACCAAGGTGTCCCGTAACCACAGGCAACCGGACCATACGCCAGGGCCCACTTTTTAAACGTGAGGGCTCGTCCCTCGCCCTCCCCAACCCACCGATCCTTCCCCGGAAGCTCACACCATCCACTGGTCTCACCCACTGCAAAATCCCCTATGCCCCGCCGACTTGGCGGTTCCCTAATTGTCCGATCCTGAATAAACCTGTTCCACTCGATCCGTGTCTTCTTGGCTAAAGTCCGTTGACCTTCGGACAGGAGGCCGGGGCTGGTTAGGCCAGCCTGCCCCCGGCACTTCCTATTTTATCCTTTTCAGGATAACCTTCTGAGCCTTTTTCAGGGCTCTCTCAGACCTTATCAGATAAGATTATCCTTTTCCGGACAACCTTCCGAGCCTTTTTCAGGGCTCTCTCAGATCATACCAGATAAGATAATCCTTTTCAGGACAACCTTCCGAGCCTTTTTCAGGGCTCTCTCAGATCATACCAGATAAGATAATCCTTTTCAGGACAACCTTCCGAGCCTTTTTCAGGGCTCTCTCAGATCATACCAGATAAGATAATCCTTTTCAGGACAACCTTCCGAGCCTTTTTCAGGGCTCTCTCAGATCATACCAGATAAGATAATCCTTTTCAGGACAACCTTCCGAGCCTTTTTCAGGGCTCTCTCAGATCATACCAGATAAGATAATCCTTTTCCGGACAACCTTCCGAGCCTTTTTCAGGGCTCTCTCAGACCTTATCAGATAAGGTAATCCTTTTCCGGACAACCTTCCGAGCCTTTTTCAGGGCTCTCTCAGACCTTATCAGATAAGATAATCCTTTTCAGGACAACCTTCCGAGCCTTTTTCAGGGCTCTCTCAAGACCGTACGAGACGGTGCTAATGTCTTGTTTCGACGACCTTTTATACCTTCGTGGTCGTGGCTTTCCGTCAGGGCAGATCCGACCTTGTGGGCGTGGCCAACTATTTGGGATCACCGTCAGGGCGGGGCGTAAGATCGTATTTTTGCGGATCCGTAAAAACGCAAATTTACGGTTTCAAGAAGACGTAAAATCCGTAAATTGCCTAATCTTGTTCTTACTAATCAAATCAGGCATTTCTGATTTTAGACAAATACATGTAGTACAAAAGTAATAGATTCGAGAAAAATCACTTTAATCACAAAAAAAGTTTAAAACCTCCGTAAACGTAAAATCCCAGCCCTGATCCCAAATAACAAATTGAGCAAATTTTGTTGCAAAAAAGGAAGAGTCAAGAAAGAGCCATATCTTTTGCTTATAACAACAAAAACCTGGCTGTGGAGATCTAGTTCGCAATCCTATTCGCTCTCGAAGTTTGGGATCGCTATAATACTGCATTTTAAGTTAAATTTAACACTGATTTATTGCTAAACGTCCTGGCTTCAAAATGTTGAGTTCCGAAAAGGCTGTGATCAGTTTCCAAAATCATCTGCTTCTCAATTTGTCACCTAATTATTACCTTGTACCCGCTGATTGTCTTAAGAATTCTCATCTCTGATCTGTCCACTGGTGCTGTCAACATCATTTTCTTAAGGAATACAATTTAAAATAGCCTCCGCATGCTCAGAGATCACCTTCTTGGCTCAGAAACAACCTGTGGCCTATGGCATTCATTTTACGCGGAGGGACGGGTGGAAGAAAAGAATAAGATCTCGAGAGAAAAAGAGGGAGGGAGGGAGAGAGATGAATCGGAGGGCAGTAGAGAAACAGACAAACGGATCGTCAGAAGGTATACAGTGCGGTGCAAGTTTATAAGGCCACCCCCGTTTGGCACTGCCACGTGGCGCTCGAAAATTTTTACGACTCGGCGACTTCAAAATCGGATTCAGGGCACAAAGTTACGTATGTTTGGTGATTTTCGTGTTGATACCTTGAAAACTGTCCGAACTATCTTGAAAAAACTGAAAATTTGCCTTTTGCAACCGTTGCAAGTTTATAAGGCCACCCCAGGGGATCGGGCTTTTTGCTAATCTGGTCAACCCCTATGAGCACAAAATAAGTTTTACAAATCTAAAAACACGTTTTAAAACTGTTTTTGTCATTCTGGCGGTTCACATCTTTTCGGAAGACATGCCACGGGGCACTTTCCCTACGGATTCCAAAAAAGTCTTAACACAGCCATTCAAAACGGTTGAATGGCCTAACCGAGGGTTCAGTTGTTGTCTAAAGTGATTCAAATCCATTTCGTGACTAGTCGAAACTCAAAAAAGAATTTTTGGAAGACCGGGCCGACATTGAAACTGAATGTGTGTGCCAAAATGTTCGCCATCCCTCCCGCCAATCTCAAATAACGGCATTGATTGAGACCAAATAAACTACGGGAGGGTTTCAGATGATTCTAGAGGACTTCAGATCAGTGCAACAAGTTTATCTGAATGCATTTTGTAAATATCCGATCGAGGAGAAAGCGTTCAAAACTATCAGGCTTCCTCCTCCGAAGTTCCTCTTCGAGAAGACGAGCCGGTCCTTTCGGAGGTCGTGCCAATAGAACTTGTATCCATCGGGACCGTCGAGGTTGAACTTTTTTTCATCGGAGAAGATCATCTGACAGAAATATCAAGTTTTGAAGTGAAAATTACCAGTTAACAGTACCTTTCCCCAATCGGTCGACGTGTTGGAACGAGCGAAGTCGAGTCGACGCAACTTGTGGCGATCGGTGAGGCACGGAGCAGGACGCATGACCTCCCGAACAATGTTAGCATCTTTCTTGAGGGCTCTCCAAACCGTCCACCTGCTTACTCCAAGATTCAGCTCCTGATTGATGTCGTTACATGACTTCAAAGAGTTGGAAGCAACACGAGCGACTGATCGTTTGGCGCGAGAATTGAGTTTCGGCTTTGTTCCACGCTTTTTCGATTGCTTGTTTGGATTGGGATTGTTGACAAAGTTGTCAATGCAAGTCTTGGAGCGCTTCGGATGACGAGAAAACTGCCGGTTGGACCATCCAGCCGTCTTGAATGACTGAATTGAGGCTTTTTCGGCATCCGTCAGTAAAATTCCACGTGACATGGCTCAGAGTAGACAAAACAAGTAGCAAAAGAAAATTAGGCTTCCTACAGTTTTTTTAAAGGCGCATGGAACATTTTGTGCTGACAGGTCTCGACCAGACTGGCTAAAAGCCTCATTTCCTGGGGTGGCCTTATAAACTTGCAACGGTTGCAAAAGGCAAATTTTCAGTTTTTTCAAGATAGTTTGGACAGTTTTCAAGGTATCATCACGAAAATCACCAAACATACGTAACTTTGTGCCCTGAATCCGATTTTGAAGTCGCCGGGTCGTAAAAATTTTCGAGCGCCACGTGGCAGTGCCAAACGGGGGTGGCCTTATAAACTTGCACCGCACTGTAGTTAGCGATAGAAAAACTCGTGAAGAGAGTACTTCTCATAAAAAATTGAAAAAAACACCGTTTAGCAATTTCAAAAAAGGAAAACACGAGAAGATATGAAAAGTCCTTCATGAAAAGTTACATGTTGCTTGTTGCTATTCAGTTTTTCTCTTTCGCAGTATTCAGCTTCGTCATCTCGATTCGTTGAACAATAAACTTATAATAAAGTCCACATTGCTCGTTGTGACATCTCAATTTTGTCACTGTGATCTTGCCCGGGCATTGAGACAACGGACTCAGCTTTCCTGGAATTAAAACTCGATTTAATTTCAGATAAAAAATGACAGATTTTCAATGTGTTGCATTTTGAAACGGGAATTATTTTACTGAGTCTTGATGTGAAGACTCTTCGATTATTCGTAGCGCACTTAACAACCACTTCAAAACAATTTCGAGAAAAAATTTAGACATAAATGTGCTCAAGACATAATGAGCATAAAACAGTTGCTATGGTTACTAGACATTTTTGAAAATGTTGTTACGTCTTGAAGACTTACCGACTTGCAAATGTGGCCAATGCCGTTTACCAGGTGGATCCACTCTTTGTGAAAATTTCAAAATGAATGCGTTATGCGTGTAATCATAAAGCGCTTCTTGAGCATAATCTCGGGCTGGCCATTGGTCCTGGGTGAACACGTCATCACACGACTTCCTTTTTCTGCTCATGCTCTGTTTCTCTCCGGTTGACACTGCTTTTTTCGATTTCTTTAGTTGATTTCTGAAACAGAGTCATGAACAGCAAAAATGCAGAAACTATGTATAAAAATTACCCATTCAGCTTCTGTTCGGATCGGAAATCTTGCCAAATACCTGAAAACAACGATTGTAAAAGAAAACAACAAATCGTGATGAAAAATATTGGAAGCTACTCCTCACGCAACGCCGTACCTGTTCATTAGTTGCACAACCATGCGGCATAGTGGTGGGAAACAAATATGCGAAGGGGAAAGGTGCACGGGGCAGAGGGGGAAGGGGATGGCAGAGGGGGGAGGGCGACGTGAACAAAACTCCTAACCATATACCTCTTCTGAGAGATGACTCATAATTCCTCAGAAAAGAGAGATTCTTGGATTGGGAACAGATTTTATGGAAATTAGACTGTTCCTAACAAAAAATCTCCTTAATTCTTGAACCCACAAAGATCTTTTATACATTTTGAGTTGATATAATGGTGCAACAATTTTTTGTCGGGGAAAGGATTGCTTAGACATTTCGAAAAAAGTGACTCTTGAGAACAACAACTAAAAATCCACACAACGCAGCTGAATTACAAAAATTTTGGATCGGTTCAGCAGAATATGAACTTTCTGTTTCAGAATGCACCTGGAACTTCAGAAGAGAACATTTGGTTGTGTGTTGAAGAACCAAACGCGAGGGAAAGTGATATGAGGAAAAAATAAGTCAAAAACATGTTTCAGATTATCAGTGTTGGTCGGAATGCTTGTAGTGAGCTGCTGCTGCTATTAGCCTTATTGAGTAATCTCATTTCGAGATATAATGAAAAAAGCCAGAGAGGCCCGATTTTTGCGGAAGGTGAGGGATTATGGCCCTCCTCTCAATATATCTCTAAGCCAGGTAATCCAATCAGGTTGAAACGTTGACTGAGAACGAATACTCCATAAGAAAACTGATGATCGTTCAAAAATATGGTCCGATTATAGTTGTAACAACCGGCCCAGTGTTGAGCGGAATTCCGTCTGCCGTCTTCCGTCTTCCGTGGTTTTTTTGTTCCGTCTTCCGTCTGCCGTCTTCCGGGAAAAATGATTTCTTCCGTCTTCCGTATAAAATTTTTTTTTACATCTGCCGTCTGCCGTCTTCCGGAATTTTTTCTTTTTACCGTAAAAGAGTAATAGCTTTTTTGAAGCCATTTACTAGCCCCAAAGAACGCGAATTTCCACGGGCACTGACCCAGATCCAAAATTTTTGTTGTTTAGTTATTTTTTTCAAAAAAAAAACCCGGAGAAAAAGGTTCTGCATTGACGATTTTCTGCCGTCTGCCGTCTTCCGGATTTCAAAATTCCATTGCCGCTCAACTCTGAACCGGCCCTTCACCAGCTCGGCAAGGCCCTGAAGGCTTGCTGTAGAAAAATTGCACACAGCCCAAAAATCCTTATTAAATGCATCCATTCGAGCGCCCAGGAATTTATCTGATTTTGTATCAAAAACAACATTTAGTTCGATTTGAAAAGTCACAATTCGAAAGTTGACTTTTATCCGCAGGAAAAAAGGAGAATGACGATGATTGTCACGAATCCAGCAGTGACTAGAAGACAGGCAAACTTTTGGCCAAGAGTAAGATTGTCAGACTGAAAAATCATCTCTTTCTACAAAACATGACCTTGAAGCAACTTACGAGCCATCTGTACAAGCGAGAAACATTTGACTGTTCCTTTCTTTCGACAATAGTGGTGTAGTCCAAATTAGTGAGTCTTTGAAGCATTCTGGAAACCGATAGACCAACTGACCAGGTTCAAAATTATTAGGAATCTGATGAGCGTTCCGGAAAACTTTTCGAAAGTGTGGGAATAGGAATAATTCTAGAAAACTGTGAGAAAGAGAATATGTGAACTTTCTGAAGCCAGTGCACCTCTACCACGACTTTTATTAGTTCTACAGCCTCAAAGCAGATGAACACTCAGATAACACCCAATGAAACAGAAAAACTACGCAATTCACATTCAAACAAGGAGGAGAAACTACCAGGACGTAATATTTTACGTTTTCTATGAAACTAACCATCAATTAAATAAAAACTTAATTTTCTTGGCTACTAGAAAAGGCACCTATGTTAGTAGTGAAGCCACAAATAAAAGAAAATCGATTGGTTGTTTGCAAACAAACATTAAATAATTTTTTTTTGATATTCTGATATTGCAAGTAGGAATGGGAATGTAATCAGCAAAGTTTTTGAATACTTGATCTTTAGTAATAAACGAATACAAAACGTTTTTTGGGGTTGAGTTGAGGGTGCAATAAAATGAACGTTTGATTAGTTCCGAGAAAGAATAGCCTTTTTGTTTGAAGAAAAATAAAGTGACACGAGAGTTGGAACTGAAATATGACTATGACTTTGCGTGGAATTTTGTAATCAAATTCTCAGAAAAAAAACCGCTCAATGAATCACTGATTCTCACCCTTTTCTAAAAATTGTGATGAAAAGTATTCCAGAGTCAGCTGTCTCGCCATGTTTTTCACATTCGAGGTCCCCCGAGATTTGCAGGTCTAATTAGAATATTGAAAACACACTGTACCCGATGAACACATTCATCAAATCACTGATTCTATTAAAGAATGAAACGTACATTATGTTGGAGGGAACTGAGGCGACCTTCTCGCGATCTGGAAACCTGTGAAAAAAATGTAATTTTTCTTAAGTTCCATTCCCATTCTCTTGTCTTAACATAGACTGTCTTTATTTCAGTTTGCAGTGTAACAATCTAGTTAAATGGAAAAGAGCAAACAATCAGTCACTGTCCTCGAGTTCCATGACTCTGTCGTCTTTCTGGCAAAACCAGATGAAGAAGATGGCCATAAAGGCAAACGCAGCGAATGCGTAGCAGAGAAGAATGGTGTACGCCCAGCGACGAGCGGTTCTCTCGGCGCGTTCCGAACGGAACGAATCCACAGACTGAAATACAAACTTTTGAATCCGGTCAAGCTACGACAACTAACCGTACTATCTTCCTCTCCAGATGAGACATCCGAACAATCGAGTTCTTTGTCGCCACACATGATGAAGATGGAGGGAACCTGGTTTCAAAGCAGTAAAATTGAAATGTGAGAAGCGGGAAATGGATGGGCTCAAAAAGGGCGGAGCGTGCTGAAGCTGGGCTCCTCTTCAGATTTATACTGCGAAAAAAGACAGACGGCTCACGTAATGCGAAGTGTCTCTATGGAGAAAGAGAAGAACGTGGATGAGACGGGAAGAGACAGACAGAAAATGTGCATTGATCATAATTTCGGAGAGATGATGAAGTGGCGTGGGAAGGAAGTAGAAAGAAGTAGGAATTATGTTCCGTCTGAAAAGTGAGGAGAAAATTGGGCATACCGAACTGAACACGTGATAATTGATGGCCGGAGGTGGCAAGAGTGAGTAATCTGCGCTGAAAACTTGAACTTTGGGCCAGGACGTCGAAGTGATCCCGTATTACATCAGTTCCCAAAACCATCTTTGTTCCTACATACATTTCTATTCCAATTCGCTATATCCCCTATGAATCCACGTTACAACGGGGCCTTTATTACTCCCCCGTCAAAACAAGACGGTTGCTATGCCTAGCTCTTCTTGGCTGAGCACTCTTCACACTTTACAATTAAGTTCACAACATTACGATTTTATTCCCAAGCCGGCCTGTTAACAACAATAGCGAACAACCAATATGCGCATTGTCGCAAAAATTATAGTGAGAAAACAGAAAAAAAGAGTGAAATCACGATCGAGGAGTGGAAACACGAAGAAAGCGTTGAAAAAGTGGATGAAGCAAGATTCGATGACCACTATGATGGAGACAAAGCACTCAGTCTGACGCGTGTGAAACAGTTATATATAAGTTCCTCTAACTGACCTCTTTATCGGCTGCCATTCCAAAATTTTGCAGGAGAAGAATAGTAGTAGTGACTTTGCACAAATCAATCGGCATCGTTGTTCAGAACAAAAAAGATGGAAAGAAACGGAAATCCAATCAGATCTTGAAGAAATTTCAAAATGCCGAAATGAAATGCTGGTGTTCCAATAAAATGAAATGAAAAAAGGTGGGGGGAAACTCATTGTTTGATGTAATTGTAAATGATGTAGAGCGCCATCAAGACGTGCGCACACATGAGAAAATGAAAAACTAGGCGATTTCGACGACCCGCGCCATGACGGGTACGTTTTTCCACGAAATAGGTGACGAGGAGAATGAGGAGCAGTGAGAGGAACAGAGCCTGCGAATTGGAAAATATTGGACGTGGTTTCATTTCAGCAGAAGTGATACTTACTAGTGGATGTTCATGAGTAACAGCCCATCCATTGGGTCCTGGATTGTATTTAGGTTCTATTTTGGGCATTGTGAACGTTGGATTATAGCCGTAGTTTTGCATTTTGATTTAGAAGCAACACAATTTTTGATGCTGACATGAGTGAAATAATGAGGCAGCATAGTGTTCTCTCTCTGAAAATCTGAATTCTCTTGGGGTCAAAATTTCTGGTGTCACAATAGAAAGCAGTCGCAGAGAAGAAGACGATCAGATGTTACCTGATAGAGTCGGACGGAATTCGAGGCAATACCGTCCACAAGCGGGGACGGAATAGGAAAAAAATTGAATAACTTGTTTGGTTTGGCAGCACACTCAATATCTCACCAAGAAGACGGCGCCACAAGCTGCTCTCACCCCATCATTTTCTCCGTTTTCTCCTCATCCCATGGAAAAGAGGTTTTTGGCATGAGCTTCTTTTTTTCGATATTGGTCACCCGCGCAGACAAGTAAAACCAATTCTGATGGGCTAATAATGGGTTCCCTGTTGAGGTGTTGAGGGACGAGCGTGGTCATTGGTAAGGGATGGATACGCACCAGTATGGCAATGGGGAAAGGGTTAGTAAAATGAACTGCAGTGACGTATCTCAGTCAGTTCACTCGTTCCCATGAAACCTTTTCTGCTTTTCTTCGACAATTTTCTTTGAAATAAGAGTTAGCGGAAAAATGTGTCTCTAAAAACCTAGCATAAAACGATACTAGAAAGAAATGCTTACTACATATTTGAAATGAAATGAAAGCGCGTCTGCAATTATTGAGTCAATTGCGAATAAATATAACTTTCTGGAGTTTGGAAGAAAATCACATTTGCAAGTTCCAAGGGTGCATAGAGAGTCGGATTAAATTACAGAAATGTCAAGTTCAGTTTTTGTGCCCTCCTCTTCCGTCAAAACGTCTTTCCAGCCGTACTCTACGCCTCTGAAATCTGGTACGCCGCGAAGGAGCTGAATGAGAAAATGCGGAGAGCGATGGTCGAAGATTTGAGGAACGGGAAGAGAAACCGAGTAAGGCCGGAGAAAAGATGGATTGAAGACGTCTCTACAAGTCTGAAAAACTTTATCGACAAGCGGCAACGTGATCGCCGGCAGAAGACGAGCCGGAAGACTCGTTCCAAAAAATGACGTGGTCCCCGAAAAGATAGTATTCCAAGTAACTACACTTTATGCTGACCGAGTCACATTGGTTTTAAAACTCCATGCTTTTTAGCGTCATAACAAAAAATGAAGTAAATATTCCGAAGAATCGCACAAGTCATTGAGAGAATAGCAAGTAGGCGAGTCACAGAGACATGGATGATCGGCGTCTGACCCCATATGTTCAAGAAGTGAATGAAAAGCAAGTTGATGGCAACAAGAAGAGTTACGTATTGCTCATTCTGAATACATCGTTTTAATTTCATTAATAGTTTGGGTTGTCCACTTACTTCATAACGAGGATTCATGACAAAGGCTTGCACTTTAGTCATTTCAGATGGGGAAGTGCAAAAGTAGGACCAATTACTGAATGCTTCCACTGACATTGTAATCTTAAAATAGACCTTATTATGAACCAACAATGAAGCTGTCAAAAAAGTTCTAAAAAATACACGAACACGTGTTGTAGCATCTACTAGTATGCGCCATAATTTAAAAAGAAAAGAGCGTTCTGATCTATAACCATAATCACACTCGATTTGAGTTTATGGAGGTTGGAAAACTCTGACAGCGCAAAACGTTTTCGAAACGTATCTTTCCTACTAGAACTTTTGAATATATCAGGTTACAAATAAACATAAACATTTAAATAAACATAAACGACGACATTTTCATCTGCAGAAAGAGATATTGTGATAGGATAATAATGATGGATCGTGATGATTAAAACACAGGTACAGAAAAGATTGGGATTGGGGTTTTAAGCTAGGAAAATAAGTTTCCTGAGCGTAAATCAACGGATAAAACACTTGCTGATAAGAAGAAAAACTAAAATTAAGAAATGCAGAGTTAAAATTGGCGTATGAGGTTGAAGATGGTGCCCGGGGAGGAAGAGAAGGCAAACTGAAATAGTCTCCATCATTTCATGCTTCTGAAAAACGCAAAGAAAGCTCAACTCACCTGAGCTGTTTCATATCTACTTCGTATTCTTCTCCTCGTCCAAAATCTCCAGCTCGACCGACGAGAGAGTGCGAGCAAACGGCGGGTGCATCTGAAAAAAGGTCTCTTATACAGCGATTGAACGGCTTATTTCTATTATTGGACATTATTAGGGCTATCCATTTAGGGTTTAAAAAAGTAAACTAACCACTTTCTCGGCCTTCGAAGTCCCTCCCTTCTTCTTTTTCTCGTTAGCAGCCTGAAAAATGTAAATTCTTTACAATGCATAGTTACTACTCCACAACATTTCTGTGGGGCAAGTTTGTATGACAGCAGGGCCAGCGTCCAGCCTTTTTTAATTTCACACTTTCCAACTGACCTTAGTAGCGTGGGCGAACAGACGCAGGAGCTCCGGCAGGTACGAGGCGCGCTCCGATTGCTTTTTCTTGTTGTTTCCCCCGCGTTTCTTCGACTTCTTCATCTCCTGATCCTGATTGTTCATCGCCTAGAAGTACAATACATTGAATGTTGTTAAAATTGGAAGCACAAACCGCGCTCTGGCCTGTGCCCAATTTGTCGAGCCATTCCTGCGGCGGCATCGGCACTTGCTCCGGCAACGGGCTTTGGTAGTGCGCCAGAGACTGAAAATTGACAGTCATGCATTACGTTTCGAAGCGGTTGAAGGGTTACCTCTCCGAACGGGACAGGAAGGACTAACTCTCCCAACGGGGATGGCAGGTGAACCTTTATGGCGTGATCCTGTAAAGCGTTATTTTGATTTGAAAATATGTATGTGTTTTTCAAATTTTGCAGACATAGCCTAGACGCACGAAAAGCCACCTAAACACCATCCACAATGCAACTTCATAAATTCATGCCCTGCTGAATCCTCCTAGTTATAGGACGAGCGATGACCCAGCCCTGCTGCAAATAAAAGCTACCCTTCTACATACTTCTGCAACATTTTTGTGACAAAAAACAAATCTCGTGGCAGCTCAAAAAATTTCAAAAAATTCAGACTAACCTTGGCACCTTGAACAAGCAGAAGCGGATTCTGCAACACGAGCGGAACGAACACTAGATACAGCTCCTTGCTCTCCTCACTTCCCGCTTCCTTCTCGTTTTTCGTCTTATGTTTGTACTGATCCTCGCTCTTCTGTTTCTAGAGGAACGATGCATATAATGGAAATCAGAATTTTTGGAAAACAAACCGGGTTCTGGCCCGTGCCCAATGTGTCGAGCCATTCCTGCGGTGGCATCGGCACTTGCTCCGGCAACGGGCTCGAGTACTGCGGCTTGATCTGAAAATTGGCGGTCATGTATCGTATCTCAGAGCGATGGAACATTTACCGCTACAAACGAGGATGGCAGTGGGAACATCTTTTCGCGATTCTGAAAGAAAATCAATTGATTATTAAAAGTAATCGTAGAAAAAAAAGGTGCGCGGTTTACAAAAGGAAGACGATAAAAAATAGAGAGAACAAGAAGATCATGGGAAGAAAAGAAGCGGTAAGAATGGAAGACGACAAGAAAATCTGAAAAAAATTAGCAAAACACATTCTAATAGTAATGTTAATGTCACTGTAATAATTTCAAATTCGGAAATGAGCAAGGGAGAGAAGAAACATAAATGGGAGATCGACGTTTCGTCAGAAAGCCGTTCCTTTTTTCGTGAAGTGCACAAGGGGATGAGTCAGAACAGATATTTCGGTGGTGAGGCAGCTAGTAGATTCGCGGCGAGTTGGAATAAAAACATACGAGTCGTATCGATTGGTCTCATGACTCATGTCCGGACAGACCGTCTAGCTTCTCTTTTCTCCTCGTCCGAGATGACGATGAAAGAAAAAAACAAAACATTACCAGTCAGTTTTGTCTTCGCATTGAGTTACGTTTGGAGTTACCCTCGAACAATTGATCATTTCTTATTGGATAGGCTGGCCGGGAGCTCGCTGACTAATTAGTCAAAAGTGTCGTTCGGCGGGAACGGGAGGTAGTACCGATACTTTCCTTTTCCTGTCGGTCCCTCGGGGTCTAGGACGCCACAGTTTCGGCAATTCGCTCTCGGCCTGATAAGTCGAGCTCGGGAGGGCAAACCCTCAACCAACCAGAAAGTCAACACAGAAAAATTGGACCGATCTACATGTCCGGCAAAAAAAAATCGCCCGGAACCGATTCCCACCCGGAAGTTTGCCTGGCTGGGCTGCCGAGAGAATCACCCATGACGGGAATACCAAGAAAGGGAAGATGATCGGATTGGGCACGTGGAATTTGAAAAAAATAGTAATGTTAATGTCACTGAAATAATGTCAAATTCGGAAATGAGCAAGGGAGAGAAGAAACATAAATGGGAGATCGACGTTTCGTCAGAAAGTCGTTTCTTCTTTCGTGAGGTGCACAATGGAATGAGTCAGAACAGATATTTCGGTGGTGAGGCAGCTAGTGGATTCGCGACGAGTTGGAATAAAAACATACGAGTCGCATCGACTCTCCTCATGACTCACGATTGGACAGACCGTCTACTTTCTCTTTTCTCCTCCCCCAAGATGATGATGAAAGAAGAAAACAAAACATTACCAGTCAGTCTTGTCTTCGCATTGAGCTACGTTTGGATTTACCCCAGAACAATTGATCATTTCGGAGTTTCCCTGTAATATTCTTAATACAATAATTTTGTTAGGTACAAGATGTCATCAGACAGCAAAGACAAGGAAAAGCAGCAAGTGAAGCTGATGATCATGGAGGACATGCACGGAGAATCGAATCTGGCAAACGTGAGTTAGTTCTAACAAATTTGGAAGGATAATTCCGTAAGAGTAAAACAGCACGCACTATTTGCGTGAGTTTGGCCATTGAAATCTTCTGATATATCGTTTTTTCGAAGCGTTTTTCCTTTCCCTACAAACAATTATAAACCCTCTACTTTTAGATCATCTCCGAAATCGCTATGATCCCTTCCGAGGGTGCTCGTCCTTTTGATGACGTCTCTCAGATTTGTGATAATTGGTTTGAGCAATTGAGTAAGATGGAGTGGAATGAAGTAGGTGAACAAAAGCATTTCAGAAAGCATATCAGCATTTACAGACAAATCAGAGAATTCACAACCGCCGTGTTCAAAGAGTTTTCCATCAAATCGCTGGGTTGACGCCTTATCAAAACGTTGCTGACGAAATTTTGGATCAAGGAGAATCTTCTTCGTCGCACAAAGTCGACGAGGTCAGTGCGAGAGCGGCAGAGCTGTCGTTGTTGGATAGGAAAGAACCGACTGCTGACAGCACAGATGAAATGGAGAGCCAGAAGTACAAGAACAATAAGGATGAAACGAAAGAGCAGGAGGAAGAGCTGGGTGCAGTTCAGGCTGTCAACATAATCGGCGACGCCGCCCGCAAAAAGAATACGTTCATCTCTCTGTTGGATGAGAATCCGATGGCTGGCAACTTTGATGGAATGAAGAACAAGAAGGAGCAAGGAGACATTAAGGATACAAAACAGGAGATGGAGCTAAGAGGAGTTCATGCTGCACAAAAAATTGGAGGACCTTCGTACAGGAAGGATCTGGTAGCGTTGTATAAGAAAGCGCCCAGCGTCAGTAAGTTTTCCAAGTTCTTGGCCAGTGCGAATAACGGAATTGATAGAAACGAAGACACGAAGGACAAAAAAAGGGAGCAGGAGGTATACTTACCTGGTGTGCAAAAAAATTTTGAACTTTTGCAGGAAGACTACACTGTCAATAAGAAATCGGTTGTTGGATCACCGGAATCGGATGTTGAAGAAGAGATCGAGCCGGCTCCGGTTGACCAGCAATCGAGAAAGTCTCAGCGACTTCAAGTGAAGGAGCAAGCTCAGGAATCAATAGAGTACAAAAATCCTTTTTTCCCGTATTGTGAGGCGGACAAGCAAAGACCTACGAAAAAACGTTCTCGACGATTGAACATGGACAGAAGCACTAAGAAGGCAAAGAAGGCAGAAGAGGAAGAAGTGAGCAACAATGAGGTATCTTTTTGATCAAAATGTGTTGTCACACGAATATTTTCACATTTGCAGGGAAATCAGAACGATCCGACACTTCGAGTTGGTCAGTCTCTCGTGGCTGTCGAGAACACGGTTGCGTATGTGTCTGAGACGGAAGACGAAAGTGATGAGGAAGAACAATAAAGCAATAACGCTGAGCTCCAAAAAGAAGCACAACATTGTAAGTTCACAAACTCTTTTCTCCCAGCCCATCTGTAAAACTGATTTTTAAAGAATCTTGTCATTCCTATTATTCCTATCTACATATAATTATGAAACCACGCGTTTCTTGTAATCGGGTGCTACTGTTTGTGTTCCGCCAACCCCGTCCCACGCGAAACGTGTAAAATCATTTCATAAGTCAAAATTGTATCACGTTTTCTAAAACTGTACTTATCTTCCCCACATTTTCATAGATTTTCAATCTTGGTTCTTCTTAATTTCAATTTCAACTCTTAACATCTTATGCTATTCTTGTACTATTGTAGTATTGCATGCAATTTGTGGCTGAGCACTCTCCTTACAATATACTGATAAAATAAGTTGCCTGAACATCCAAAAAGTACTAAGTGATCATCTTTTTTGAGGATTTCTTCTATTTCGAATTTTTAAGATGCTGAACTATTTACAATGTCCGCCCGTTTCGTAGAAATAATAAAAAGTTACTTCCCAATAAAACCGAAACACACTTTTGCAAGATTCCATTAGATTTCTGAATGTCATCAGTCTTTCCGAATGTTGATGTGGTTGTTTTGAAGTATTGTGAAGCATCCAGAGCTCGTCGGAAATCTAAAATTACGCGTTAAAACACAGACAACAAGTATAAGCATAGGAAACGGTCTAACAACCATTCACACAACGCACATAGTATTAAATTTAACACATTGGAAACTTTATTGGAACAAGTATACAAGATGGAGACGTTTTTTCCCCTTTAGTCGATTCGCGGCTTCTTCGTGGACGTGCCAATCTCAGGATCTCGCGGCGATTGCAGAGAAGTCGACGGGGCCGACATCCAAGAAGACGACGTGGACGAGGATGGCATCGACGTTGAGAATAGCTTGATGCCGGCCATGCTGCTCGACGGATTCCATTTCCACTCAATCTTGTTGGTAGAAGCCGAGGAAGAGGCAGTGTTCTGAACGAAAATTCACTGAAATTATTGATGTAAAATTTTGATAATTTCATCTACAACTGAAAACGTATTCGCGCCCGTCAAATTTCCATAATTTGCACCGAATTAATGTGAAGTGGGCTGAGTGGCCATTCCTAACTCTTTGCAACACCAGTATCAAAATATTCAACTAACCGCATTGATATTTTCCGGATTAGCAGATGGACCGTCCTGCGGCTTTGCGGAAAGCGTCTGAAAGAACATACAATTCCCTAGATGCACATGATTTTCCTCACCATCGGGTAGTACTGCGCTGTTTTGTTGCGGCCCGTATCAATGACGGGAACGTGCGGCTTTGAGCGGACGTTCATGGGCTCCAAAAAAGTGTAGCGAGAACTCATGTTCTTGGAGACTGTGTCTTTTTTTGTCGTTTTCTGAAAAGCAGGTCGATTAGTGGAGATTATGTGTAGTATACCGAGGGCATGTTGGAATTGTGATTGTGGTTTTTGACCTGAAAATGAGCGGTAAATCTGAATGGGTTAATAAAAAATATCAAGATAGATACAAATGCTGGTAATCCAAGACCAGTTTCACATCATCAAAGGGAGAAAGGGGATATTGCTTCAACACACATTTCATTGTAAATCAAGGACACAAAACCAGGTTGAAAAGGGATAATTCCAGATTCCGCACAGAATCAGCAACTCAGGTCTTGGTTTGGGAAATCCCATACAAATGTCCAACCTCGTCCAGCATTTTGCCTGCAACAAGTATCCAGGAGACTTGATTGACTGCACTGCATTGAATATAGTTGCATCTGAAAAAAGTACTTTAAGAAATGCAAAAATTTTTTAGATGTTACCTTTTGAAGCAGTTGATTGAAAAATAACGATTGTTGAATGCAAGGACCAGGAGAAGATTGGATGAAATATAGAAACGGTTGAGAAAACCAGATTTCAGAAAAAACTTTGAGAAAACATGCTAATTACAGAGGAACATGTTCATTCAACAAAAAAGAACGTAGGCGAGACGCAAGAGGCCAGTGGTGATAGTCGCGACGGCTCCGATGCGCATCAGCCAGTTGAGGAGCCTATTGTCAGTTCTGTTAACCGCCATCACCAATCCGAAGCCCAGTGGAATCAAGATGTCGGTCTGTAAAAAAACAATTAATTGAATTAAGATGAACGTTATCCGAGTACCTGGTCACGGATACCGAGGAAATCGTTTTGGAACGAATTCATGCGATATCTTGGAATGCAAAAGTCCGGGTTTGGATCGTACTGCTGCTCCATTTGCTACTGAAAACATGATAGTTAGTAAAACAATCCTTTGCGACGTGAAAAAGCAGGTAAGCAAATGAAGTGAAAAAGCAGGTAAGCAAGTGACCGAACACTTGTAATAAGCGAAAAGAAAGCAACAGAAAAACTGAGTTATCGTATGAATAAGTTTTTTGTGCTGCAAAAACTAAAATTCAAGTACAGAAATATTAGAAAAGCACAAGCTCATCCGTCTAAAAATAAGAAACCGGAAAAGGAATAGGAACGGTACAAACTCATGGGTCAAACGTTCTCATACAGTGTTTGTAACCAAAACTCTTTCACAACTCTACTAAAAACTATTTGATGCGATTTAGCGAATTTCAGTACTACTCAATGTGAGGGTTCTGAATTTTGAAACGGTATATACAAAAATATGATGAAGGAAGTAGGTTTGACGTTAACATTTTTGGTGCTCAAATTTCCATTCAAAATGGATGCTGTATCTTTGATAATTTGAATAAACATGACTGAAACACAGGCCAGAACATGGGATGGACGGGTAAGACGTTAGTCAAAAGTAGTCCACGAAGCAGCGCCAACGAGAATGGTTAGACCGATGAAAAGCGAGACAAAAGCTTTTGCAACCATAGCACACTGCAAGAAAACCAGCAGAAAGTACAAAAACTAATGCTCAAACTCACGTATCCCTTCGGTTCGTTGTCAACCGGCTCTGCACGTGGTGGGTTGACGTAGTCGGCAATGTCGACTTCGAATTGAACGGAATTGGTCGAGCTAATCGTCTGAAATTGAGAATTTTATGTATTTCAAGTACTTATTCTTCTTACCGAGGTGCTGACGAACGGAGACTCGAGCAGATCAATTTTGCAGTTGCTGGCGGCGCTAGTCATCGTCGAACCTGTTTGAGGTATATCGATTAGCAAACGAACAGTAAAAGTAGATATCAGGTTTAGAAAACCTGTGGAAAAATCATCGCAGAAGATATTATCAGTAAACGTAACAGTTCATCGAAACCAAGGTGCAAAACAGAAGAATAAAAATAATTCGTTTCATCATTTAGTTTTTTCATTCTTGTTGGCATTCATCCTCTCATGAAAGTCACTACCTGAAAAGGTTTCAGTTCTACAATATCGTACAATATCTCACTTACTTTTTTCTTCTTCTTCTTGAGCGAGATGTGACAAGGGTCGTCCAATGGATCGTGCAGTCTCTTCATGTTATTGCTGATGAGATCACCTCTGGCCGCGACTCCAATCTGAAAAAAACATTAAATGTAAAGTGTTCTGTACATCTTACAGTTTGTTGATTTGTCAGATCTCTTGTTACAATTCTTTTTTTGTATTCACATAGCCTCGAAGTTTCTGTTACTCACCTCATGCTCCGCGAGTGTGTGTTGCAGCTTGTTCTGACGCAGGAGGTACTCTGAAAACGTTGATGTCTATGTATAACTGCACCGAAAACTATTTTTTAGGTTTTGTAAATTGAACAAAGATCTATTGAAATTGTTTTCTCCTATTTGTACGTATACTACAAGATGAGTTCTAACCGAATGAGGGACAAATACAATCTTATTAATCTGTCAATTTCGTAGGAGTACATTTCTGAACACTGTACCCAAAACAAGCTAACCTCTGACGAAACCCGGCACTTGTGGCTTATCCTTTTCTTCCTTCTCCTCCTCGTCATCCGCCTCTTCGCCCATGTCCACGTCCATCTGTCTGAAATAATGAAATGATTATCGTGAGCTGGAAGAAATCGCAAATTTACTCGGCAGGATTGTCCTTCATTGTTGATTGAGTCCAGTAACACTGAAGTTTTAATGAAAACCACAACGTTTGAATGAAGGACATGCCAGATAGAATCATGGTTAAAAACCAGTGTAAACAGCAAAGAGTAATAGACAAAAGGAGGTGGGAAATGTAGAGAAAACATTCATTGCTTCAATTTCTAGTTTTGTAGGAGCATAATGGATAAAAGGTGAAGTAGGGGGGGGGGGGTCAAGATAGTACTATTGTTGATTTTTAAAAGAAAGATTCACATTGCCTTGCTCTTGTTGTTTCCTTTGGCAGCGGACAGTTTGGAAATTTTGGTACAAGCTGAGGAGATCTGGAAAGAATCTTATTCCATTCCCCATTTGTACAATCACGGCAGAGCACATCCCACATTCTTTAACATCACATTTATAGTCGTGAATGGCACCCACACACAATTTCGTCCACGTGGTGACGGTGTGTGACGTTGATAGGCCCCGGGACTCACGAGTTTGACGCAATCGTCTATTGTTTTAGAGTTGAAATCGTTAGTGGAAGAGTTGGGAGATTTCTGAATTGGAAAAAAATTCAAGATAAACTATTGCAGTTCCAATTTCAGTGTGTAAATCTTCAATATTTCGAGCTTACTTGTTCAGATGGAGAAATCACGGAAGAGTAGGAGAGAGCAGAGGAAGCGGCGTTCATCACAGTCCTGAAAATTGAAGATGTAGAGGACCGGACATTTCGCCTGGATTACACGATCGGATCTCAACTTTTCTACGTTATCTATTCTAATCCATTAGTTCTTCAGATTGAAAAACGGTTGAAATGTTGAACTAAACATTCCAATTAAGATAATATCGATAAATTGTGGACTGATAGTATAATAGCCAAAACAAGACCGGAGAGCGATGGATAGAAAAGAAGAAAATTGAAAGACAGGGAGGAGCCAGGGTTCGTGGATTTGGGCTACAAAATGACACTCACGCCCTTCTTTCTGTGTGCCCCAAATGTTAAGGAAAAGTGGATAAATACACACCGCATGTCTCGCAACGCAGGTATGTCGCCGTAAAGGAGAATCGTTTGCCCTTCGAACCTTTGAACACGACGACAACCTTTTTACCATTTTCGTGGTAGTTCACAAAGTCCAAAAAATTCTCCTGAAAAAAAAATGTCTATCATAATGAGTTAATCGAACTTTACCCCTTCCAACGGTCCAATTTCAGATATTGGCTGGCTTTTGGACTGAAAAAAACAAAATAAAAATTCTATCATAAGAAAAAAGTAAGCTTTACCGTTCCGAGACTCCAGTTGTTATTGATATACCTATTAATCAGAGCATCATAGGTATCGTCGCTCTGAAAGAGAGAGAGAATTCAAAATTGATATCAAGAACAGTGTCGTTTTGGGTCACCCACCAAACTTTGAAAACTGGTGCGGACGACAGTGAAACACTGAAGCTGAAAATTGCTTCAATGGTTATAGTTAGAAAATGAAGCAACATACTTTTCTTGTGTTCGTCTCCAGACTGAACAAAAATCCTTTCGAAAGATCGATTTGTTCGCCGGTCTCGTCATAGAATTTGCAGGTAATGATTTTTTTCATTTTCATCAGATCCATTTTTGCTAGGCTTAGAGTTTCTTAAGCAAGTTGATGAGAAGGAAAAATCAAATGAACAAAACGAAATGTGCATGCTATGAAATACAGAAGGAGCTGGGAACTCGTGTGACTGACGCGAAACAAGCAGCACATAAAAACATATTTTATAGTTGATGATATTGAATTATATTACTAAAGTGAAAGAACAATCACCATTGGATATAATAGAAATACCGAAATCCGTTGATAAGAGACATGGAACTTAGGCATCACACTTTCCCTTGCCGACACCCGAACGAACGATGACTGCTTTGACATCACCTGTCTCTTCCTTTCCAATTCCAAGTCCCTGCTCCCAGTTGGAGAAGGTGCTAGTCTCAGCAGCTTCCTCCAGCGTCTGGAATAAACTATTGCTTGTTTGGTGGCTTATTCAGAAACATGCGGCGGCAATCGCGCTTCAAATTTATACTACTCAGGTAAGTAGCAAGGGCTCAACGCGTAGCAGAGTTGAGCGGAAATGGAATTTTGAAATCCGGAAGACGGAAGACGGAATTCCGCTCAACACTGGCGTGTAGCAAGCACGGAATCGGCGTCGTTACAGCAATTTGCCGCAAAAAACGGCACGGATGCCGATTGTTGCGGCAACTTGACGAAAATTACCTGAGTACTATTGAAATCGCAGTATTTACCTCCCAACCCCACTCACCATCTCCACAGCGTCTTTCTCGATGTAGCTCAGCCAGACGTCGACCACTTCGTCCTCCTCGACTTTGCCCATGCCCTTGATGACTTTCAGGCAGTACTGAAGGAAGTGTTTGATGATTTCGAAAAAAAAATTGCAGATTACAGTTTTGATGCGGCTCCACAGGACTTCGGTCATTTTTGTAGAGCGATCTGAAAATGAGAAATTGGGTTGATAGTAAGAGGCTTGCACATTTCTACGTGAAACTTGATAGAAGCAATAGAAAAACCGCTCAACGCTGATAAGAACTTCAAAAAGTAGTGGGAATGTCTGACTTCAAAAACTTGCTCCATCTGCTCCAATCTCCCTCCGCTACATTCGTCTTTCTGTCAAGAATTTCAGATTCCCTCGTATGTGGATTCTAGATGTAGACTACAATAAGAAGCGAGGATGGATACACTTGAGGCGTATCTATACAACAAAAGAAAATATCGCATGACTAATATTTTGTGACGTGGAAGAAAATCATTCCGACTACAATATTCTTCAAAAGGACTCACTTGAGCTTTGCGCAGGTGTCCGCAGCTTTGAACAGCAGTTGAAGCTGAACAACGAGGCGATCTCTGAAGATATAGTCGAGTTAAAATGACATTTTGGTAACAACTAATATTAAAGAAGATGAGACGTTAGAAGATGATTCCGCAAAGGTTTTTAACGCTTTTGAGGTACTTTTCTAGTGTTCGGTCTGAGAAGTTCTATGTATTAAAGGCTGCGCTCATTAGTACAGATTTGATATTTGTATGATTAAAATCAGAGTTGCCACGGGCCGGGCCGGGCCAAAATTTTCAAAACTCCGGCCCGGCCCGGCACTGTCGGCCCGGTTCAAAAAGCGGGAATCCAAATTTTGAATTTTTTGATCCCCGCAAAAAAAAATCGAAAAAATAGATTTCCCCCAAAAATTTGAATTCGCGCCTTTTGAGCCGGGCCGACCGGACCGGGACAAGTAAATTTTCGGCCCGGCCCGTAATTTTGCAAGTCTGATTAAAATAAAGGTGATGAAAGCGCGAACACCTCGAGAACAGGGCAAAAAAGAAACGAACGGGTGAGGAAGACATGTTGGACTGCAAGACGGCCATCCGCCCCTTCCCCTGTGTTGACGGGCGTCCCCCGCTGAATCATCTCGCCCGATTTTGAAATCCGATGATTTGCGGGTACGGGCAAAACTGCTAAATACGAAAAGCAATCAGTAGTACTTGCTGTTGACCACTGACTCGTTAGTTACTAGTGGAAAGAAAAGTCCAATTTGCTACATCGGATGACGTCATAGTTGGTAATGAGTGGACACCTGATATGCGTGATCCGAGTTTAAAAGTGCAAAGATTGGATAACGGACGTGAGGTGACACGCGCAAAGCAGAAGAAATCTTGCGTGCTGTCGCGTGGTATTAGCAGACGGTTGTCGACAGTAACTGCCAAGCCACTCCCCTCCGGTTTAACTGAAAAAACGCGTTTTGTGATAATTTCGATGATTTTCTATCCGATTTCGACAAATTATCAGTATTTGTAAGCGTGTTTCTCTTTTTGAAGCGGAGGGAGGGGCGTGGCCTAGTGACTACGGTCGACCAGAGAGAAAACATACATTGAAGAATGTGCAAGTATTGAAGAAGGTAGCATTTGACCGGACTGCGAATATCTCTACTAATGAGAAAGAAAATTTTGCGGAAGGAAGAGGTGGATAATTCAGATATCAACGAAACAACATGAACACATTTTCAGGTGTCTGTGTGTGAGGCGGCTAATCCCACGGGGGCCTAATTTGGAGTAATCAACAGAGAAGAGATGAAGAAAGAGCAGGCACCTCATGAGTACGTTGAAAAGCAACGGAGTGGGGAATGCGTGAGGGAAATGGTAGAGGAGGGCGCGACGGCAATCGCACCTCTGCCCCTCTTCCTTTTTTCTCCTTGCCCTCTGTTCATTCCACGATCGTTTATGGACTATTAGAAATTTCAGAGTGGAAATCGCACACAATGAATAGAACAAATTGAAGTTCAGGCTATCCTGGTCCGCGCCGGGCTCAAAACAGAAATGTTGCAGACAGGCGGTGAGGGACAAGCCATAAAACCGTCCCGTTCTCTAAAAGTGATAAATAGTGAATGTGTTTAGTAGCTTACAGTAGGTTATTGTATATATAGTACACCTGTCCTCCAGTATTATCCACAAACTCCCACTGCCGATCCCAAGCCTCCATTCTTTTTAACACTACAGAGTGTCTGAAGAGCGATGACTATTACTTGAAAAGCTGACATTGCTGATTCATTTTTCCAGTCAGCTGACTTGGATGCTCTCAAACGGGTGCGATACATAACGAGTAGAGAAACAGACACCGAAATGGGAGGAGGAGCCTGCTCGCTCAGTCGCTCGGCCCCCTTTTTCTCTCACTTTCAGTTTGCTCGATAATCTCGAGATGTGCCGGTTTTTCTGTTGTTTCGCCTTTGCTTTTGTGCTTATGAGCTCGACCTGTACTTGTTTTTTGCAGAGAGATGCCCAATTTCCCGAAATTCTCGTCCTCACAAGTTGGCACGCTGCCCGTAGGATCTTTCTTGTCCTCCGAGCAAAAGAAAAGAAATGTTGAAATGCTCAAGAAAAGGAGCCAACGAGTCCTTGGAATTTCATTTCTGCTCATCGGGCTACTGACAGTCGGAATGGGAGCAGCCGTCCACAAAAGAGAAGATTCATTCGTCAAACATGCGGGAATATCTATGGAAGCCGTGCTGGTTTTTCTGGAGGGTGTGCATGCCCTGGCTACTGTCAACATGGATCGTAAATGGTATGCGAAGAATCAACAGAAGGACATTGGAAAATGGCACCGAATTGTGAGCGTGTTTCGCTCTTTGGTTTTCCTCTGCCACCTGATCGTGCTCATCGTCATTACGGCGCTTCAACAAGCTACTGAAGAGCATACTTACTTCTGGATCAGCTGCTCGATTTACGGACTAATCACTCTCCTGATTTTGCTGTTCATTGGAGGTTCGTTATTTCATTTTCATTAATGTAAATAATATACTCGTGATTTCAGCGCAGCACAAAATTCTTAGCAGCTACCACCTCCAACTTCATCCGCTTCTCCGCGAAGAAGGCAACAAACAGCAGCATCCCGGCAACATCACTTTATTCTAATCGCTAAACTTTTATCGATATGACGATCTGATCTTTTCGTTTTTTGCCTTCTCCTTCCTAATTCTCTCAACCCGTTCCCATGATCTTCTGTTTTCAACATTACGACCGCGTAAACAAAAGTTGTTGCACTAATAAAGGTAATCAGAGACTGAACAAAATGAAGAGCGTGCTCAGGATGCTGCGGGTTTCCATAGTGAATTCTACACCTTGAGTCATTCGGTGCAAATGTGAGCTAATTAGTCGGAAAATACATTTGATTCTAAATGCGGAGTTTGTAGGAAAAGATTTAAAGTAGAGATGCACGCGAGCACCTCGAGAACAGGGCAGGAAAGAAGCGAACGGGCGAGGAAGGCATGTTGGACTGCGAGACGGCCATCGCTTCTCCCGCCTCCCCTCTCACAGAGTCTGTTTTTGTCTGTTCCCTCCGCTGATCCCATGGTCCGTCTGCTTTAAGGTCGTTCGTAAAAACCTTCTAACTTGTGACAGAGAAGCGCAAACGATACTGTGCATTGAAAGTGAACAGATTGAAACAGATGGTGCTCTACTTCCGCGGACCATCCGCCAATACCCTTGTGTTGACGGGCTTCCTCCGCTGAATTGTCTTGCTTAGTTTTACAATCAGATGATTGACAGTTATCCAGAAAGCTGCTAAATACGAAAAGCAATCCGTTAGTTACTAGTGGAAAGAAAAGTCCAATTTGCTAAATCGGATGACGTCATAGTGAGTAATGTGATGATGAGAGGGGACCTGATATGTGTGATCCTAATTTAAGAGTGAAAAGATTGGATAACGGACGCGAGGTGAAAGAAAATGCGGAAACGGTAAGTAAGAAACACTTGTGCGCACACTGCCAATCATACAAGCATTGTCTATGATTCAAAGCGCTTCTCAAGATAACAACGAAACAATACAATGAGTAGATTTTCAGGTGTTTGTGTGGGAGGCAACCAATACCAGAGGGCCGAATTCGAATAATCATCAGAAAAGAAACAGCGAAAGAGAAGACATCTCGTGTACGTTGAAGGGGAGCGGAGTGAGGAATGGGTGAGGGAAATGGTAGAGGAGGGCGCAACGACCATTTCCTCTCCACTCCCGCCCCTTTTTCTCTCTGCCCTCTGTTGGTTCCATGATCTTAGTTTTTGAGCGTCCAGAACTTTCCAAAAAATATCTAATTTTCAAAAACAAGTGGTTGTCAATTTCATCAATAGCTCAAAATTGAGAAACAGCCCGCGTTTCAAAAGAAATAGCGCCCTTTTTTAGAAGAAAACGTGCGCGCTGACTGCAAGTGCAACCCAGATGAAAAATTGAAGTGTTCGGACGGCACAGGTCGCCGAGAATGAGACTTGATACCATGGGGGACTTAATTCTAATACATTGCCACGGAAGGGAGCGCCTCCCAGCGGAAGGTAGTTATTTCCGTGCGGGTAAAATAGGCACAGAAACGCAAGAACATGGAGTTCTATGCCCGGACCCACTTGGCGCGGGCGCCCCGCCTCCAATCGTATATTGGTTGAAAAAAAACGAAGTGAGGGTGAAGAAAGAGAGAGAGAGAGAGATAGAGAGATAGAGAGAGAGAGAGAGAGAGAGAGAAAGAGAGAAAGAAAGAGAAGAAGAGAGAAAAATAAAGAGAGAGGGAGAATGTCCCGTAGTAAACTGGAGACAACTCCGAAACAAACGGGAGAAGAGAATTTCTATCCAGAGCCGAATTTATGATTAAGAGAACACCTCGTTGGCAGGGCAGGAATGGAAGAAATGGGCGAGGAAAGCAAGTGGTAGAGGACAGCGAGACGGCCATCGCTCCTTCCTTCTCTCCCTCTCAATTTTTTGTCTGTCACCTCCACTGATCCCATGATCCGTCTGCTTCAAGGTCGTTCGAAAAAAACCTTCTAACTTGTGACAGAGAAGCGCAAACAATACTGTGCATAGAAAGTGCCGAAACTACTTCTTCCGGGGACCGTCCCCGTCATCCTTTGTGTTGTCGGGTGTGCCCCGCTCAGCCATCTTGCTCAATTATACCATTAGATGGTTGACAGTTATGCAAAAGGCTGCTAGAAAACGATAAAGTGGAAGAACTCACGAACAAGATTCGTCCGGGCAAGACGCTAAAGTGAATAACAAATTCGTGGGAAAATGCGACTTTGTGTCTGTGCAAGATGTTCAGCGTGGCTGTATGTGTGTGTGTGTGTCAGGAGGAATACAGTCGCAAAACAATTAAATGTTTTAGAATAACCGAAAAAATCAGAAGATTCGAGGGAGAGAAGAAGCGGGACGGTTAATTTAATTATTCCATCTGCTTTTTCACAGGCTTTGTTTGATTCGAAGTAATTGAGGGAGGAGAAAAAGTTGGTGCCTACGGATCACTTAAAGAATCCGAAGACTTCTTTTATACAAAAACTGGCAGAAATTCTGGTCACCGAGCACGTGACACGACAAACAAATGACAACAACCGCCCGACTGACTGCTCCCATAAAATGTAAATGGGGAGTACAGGCGTTCTTTTCCCCCTCTATTCTTCAACACATCTCTGCCTAACTTTCACACAGTAAATGCTCAATTCAAATTATTGTGGGAAGCGGAGGACAAGCGTATTCGCACTCTCCCTTCGACGACTGAAGTAGCAAAAAGGAGGGACGGAAGGCAGCTGGTATGAGAGAAGAGGCTTTTTACTATAACTGCCGCTTCCTGTCCTGGCCAGGTGCCATCAGGGACTAGAAAAAAAGAATTTCATACAAGTCGAAAATGCGTATATTATGAGGAAATTTTCGAAATCGTTCGCCTTTCCAGAAAAACATTCAAAATGTTTAGCTTTGCGAATGACCTTGAGTCAGCACAGTGCGCTTTTTGAAAAGAGTGGAATAATTGCGACGCAGACGGGTGTGTGAGTGAGAGAGTGTGTCTCGGTGAGAGAGAAAAAGCTATGTTTTGATTTTGGGTAGAGTACGGTAGTCTGCGTCGCAAAGTGTTTTTGAAGGGAAGAGGAGAAGGGCGAAGGTTGAAGGGGACCATCTTGCGAGTTTGGAAAATGGTGTCCAATCAAGTTTGATGATTTCATCGTTCTGAGAGTTTGGAATGGACTATGTGTTCTGTAGTTATTCAGGGTACATACATGAACATCTGAAAGGCCGTAAAAGTCTTCCTGCTCATACCGTAGTGTGGAAAGTAAAGAAAAACGATATCTGCATGACTGAATCGAGTTAACGTGATTTATTACTGGCTGTGAAGCGCGAGCCAAAAGTAACATATTCAGGAGAAAATGTTCGGGTTTGCTGGATGTTTCACGGGGACATCTTGCTGATGGCGTCACTCTGATCGACGTCGGACTTTTCCTCAGTTGCCACGTACATGCCATTTTCACGAACACGATTGATTGCAGAGATTGAGTTCTTCATGCACTCAGTGAGGGCTCCAATCAGCTCGTGTAGATCACGGTTAAGAGGAACCACGACGTTTTGTTTCTTCTCCGCTGATTTCTTGCCCTGGAAACAGAACGTTTTGATCTAGAACTGACGAACCGTATATACCTTGGTTAGCACGCTAAGTTCCAGTTTCATCTCCTCGTCCCTTTGCAAACTCTCCCGAAGCAAGCGAAGAAGCTCCTTGCGATGATCACCCATTATTTCGAGAGAAAAATTGTCTGAAAATTGAACTTTTAAAAGAAAAGAAAGGAAAGAGAGAGAGAGGAAATGAAATTTCGTCGATATCAAGTTGCTCGTGCAAGAAAAACGCGGCAGATGTTTGTGCCTGCCTCCGTTCCACCCGCCGCCCGTCCTCTGCCGCTATTGGCCGCCGTGTTCCTCTAAGTAAACACTACCGTGAGGAAATTCAAAAATGTCGGCGACGCTCAAAAGGAATCAAATGGGTAACACGTCACTGTTAGAAAGTGCACTTTCTGAGAATAAAGTTGACGAAAAGAAGTGAAAGTTGAGCGTTGTTTGAATAATTCTTTTTTTTAACATTTCAAAAGAACGGGGACTTTGGTTTTTGTGCTGGATGAAATCTGGGTATTTTGGATATCTTTACTACAAGCATATTTTTTGCAAGCGACAAGAGAATGAAATAAAAACAAAGTGTAAGGGTGACTGAAGACAATTTTTGACACTTCAAGATCATCCGAAATCATTTTCTTAGGAAAACATCTTAAGAGAACAGCATGATGTCACCGTCTGAAGAGAAACGTATTCAGCAAATTTTGGGAGTATTCGAAGATTGTGGTCAAACTTGAAAGAACGTGTCGGGAGACAAACTCCATTCCTTATCTCTTCGCGACTTCGTTGCTTCGCCCAAAACCCAATCAAAACATTACACAACAATGTGGTTCAGTCGCATTTGTCACTGAAAAAGAGATTGGAGAATTTGAACTGCAAAACGTTTATTTTTCTCTCACAGGAGCGTGAAACCTCTTCAAAAACTCTGTTTGGGAAAATTCGCCCAAACTGCGAACATCTGAGAGACTGGAGAATAACTGAACTATGCCTAACACGAAAAATTTAGAGTGCTCAGGATTGTTTTACATTAGATACAGTTAGAATTTTGCGTTGAGAAAAAAACATGAAGAAGGAGGAGTGTTCTTTGGCGGAAGTCAAACTGTTCGATGCAATGCGAAAACTCTGAAAACATTTCAGGTTTCGGTACAGGTCAAAACAAATTCATCCGACTCACCTTCAGAATACTATTATTTTTCAGGAGATTGAGGATTGCACTTGTTACACACAAAGAAATCAGGCATGTTCTTCATGGATTGACGGGCACAGCGCATGTGAACCCAGTTGTGACACTGTCTGCACATCAGTGTGCCACATCCGCTTCTTTTGCTGCACATCGGGCACTTGTACACTTTCTGAAAGAAACACGTATTTCTTTTTGAACGTGCTAGAACTGGTTGACCTGTTTGGCTCGAACAGAAATCGCGGTTCTTGGCACGCCTTGATCAATCGGATTCTTCCTGGCTGGTTTTTTTTGAAGACGTAGATTGTGCCTCGAGCGATCCGGCTTTTTATCAACTGTTTTCTTCTGAAAATACTATTCTTTGTGTTTCAAACTCAGCATTTTATCAAGTTAACTCACTATTTTCTCCTCATCGTGAGTTCTAGGGTCATCAATTTCTTGAACCTCGTTGGTCCTAACAAGGTTCGTTGGTTTATCATTGTTTTCGACCTGCTTCGTCTGCGATAAACCCATTATTTTTCTGAAACATGGTAAACATCAGTTTGGTCAAAGATTTTAACGAGTCAGGGCAAAATGAGTTTGAAATTGACAGTGATTTTGGAAGAATAGTTCACACAGTTAATTGAGTGAGAAAAGAGACGTGGAAAGCATAGATTTATATTGTTAAAGACGTTGGCAATGCAAAAAAATACCTCGTAAATCGACACGGCCGCGAATTTTCTTAGTCGCGGCCACGGCCACGCTCTTTAAAAACAACCCAAAATATGTGGCTGGACAGCGGCAGCGTCGTTTAACGGAGTGGTAGAGTGTCCCGGTCTCATTGCGTGTGATGGGCAACACACCAGACTAGCCGATGTGAGAAGGGGGAGAGGGAAAGCAAGAAATTATATTCGGAAATTTAGTGCAGAAATCGAGACGCGTAACGTAATATCAATCAGCTATTCACTATTAATGTTTTAAGGAAGCATGGCCGGTGCGGTGAAAAATCTAATAGACAGCCTGCCTGAAAAGGTGGTAGAGTTGTGGAAAAATGGATGTCAGTGTTGCGATCTATGTAATAATTTTCAAATTTTTGAAAAGTTTGAACCAATTTTGAGCCTGTCAGGCCCGGCCCGTTGCAAGTTTGAAAAAAATCCGTTCGAACTTTGAGGGAATAAAATCGCCCTGATTTTTCATATGGCTTGCGTGTGCTCTGCCACATCGTCTGTGTCTTCGATATGTCCCAATGTACACTCTTCTCGTTTGCGCCGGTTTTTCAAGGCACAGAAAAAAAACGTGAAGAACTGCGAAAATTGGAGAACAATCATTCTAGGAGTGATAGGCAAAGAGAATAAACTAGTGGCCATTTCACGTGGAGGGTTGAAATGACCAGTGAAGGACCACTTGTTGTAACTAACTTTAATAGCAAATAGTAGAGTGTAGAAAGACATCAGTCATGAGAGAAAGAGAAGGAGTATTTCTAATTGCGTGGACACCCCGCGAAATTAGGAAATGTGGCCGAATGCGTGAGAAGAAATAGGAGATGAAGAATTGAGGCGAGGACGAGGGCAGAATGAAAAATGAGAAGGGAAAATCGAGTGAAGAGGAGCAATAGACTATTAATAAAGCGTTCCTTCTTGTTTGTAGCCAATCCGTCTTCGTCTCCTACTACCGCATCGCTCCTTTTCTCCGTTTCGTGACACAGACCAGAACGACACATGGATTGATGCAGTGGTAGAAGTAGAAGACAAAAATGATATAAAATTGAACAGAAAACGGAATAGAATGAATGATCTTTCCATCTCTATCAAAACAGTAAACGGAAGAAGCTCTTGCATTGCAGGTCAGAACCACGTCACGACATGCTGCTTTAATGCATCGGGATAGTTCAGCCGTCCGCTTTTTTCTTCATAACAAACATCTGCTTCTGAAAAGATTCTAGTCTTTTGTACGGCATCCACAAAAAAATGTTCAAGTACGTCTGCGGAAGAGTTGAAGATCTCCACTCAACTGCACTTACAAGGTTTCCCTTTAAATAATTTTTATCAGGGGAAAACCGTGAACATTAAAAAGAACGGCATGCAATAAATTCACTGTGGCTTAAAATAAGATGAGAGGAAAAAAATGAGAGAGGAAAGAAACTAAATCAGAAGAAAGAAGAAGGAGAAGAAGAAGAAAAAGAGAACACATTTCGAAAATGAAAATTCTGAGAATACAAAAACGGGAAAGAAGGAAAATCTATGACAGCAGAAAGATTGATCGTGAATGAAGAGTATCACAAGAGGGAAAACGGAATTATAGGAGAAAGATAAGCGTCAAGAAACAACAATTTTTTTCTACTGTCTTCGGTCTTTGAGCATGCAATATTTCCTGTTGAGCCTTCTGCAGAAATTGCAAGTCTGAAAATAAAACCGGAAAATAATTTGTTCTATTGTACTGTCTGATTGAAATTCTACACCGAAAAATTGTTTTGCGCTAACCACAAAAAATTTACCTGCTCCATAGTGTTCTCGATAACCTTCAACTCGTATGATTCTTCCGGCACACCAACTTGCGCTCTTGTGCTATCGCAATCTTCCTCCTCCGTTTTCTCTTCATCGATTCTGTTTTCCTCCGCATCCGTTTCCTTCTTCTGCTGTTTCTTTTTGAGGAGGCATGCAGAGATTCCGGCAAGCACGGCGATCACAATGAATCCAATAGCAGCAAAGACGAAAATGTTTGAGTGGTCGGATTGCACTGGAGAAGCTTCGAGGGGAAGATCCGAAAGGCAATTACCAACCAGTTGGATAGTTGCTCGTGTCACAAAGTAAGCCGATCCCATGTCGCGGACAAAACTAGCCTTAGTTCTCTTCTTCTTCTCCAGGATCATCTTTGAGGACAACTCGTCCAAAGCCGACCTGTTGCACGCTTTCTCCGCTATCGTGCTCTCGCTGAAGGTGATGAGCGTTTTGTTCTGCTCCTCGGCAACAGTTTCGATAGTCAGTGAGTTTATCGAAACATCCAACGCTTTGGAGAGGTCAGCGAGGAAATTCGCTCGGCTGCCAGAATGCGTTGCAAGATACTTCGCGTTGGGATGATCGAGGACCAAATGAACGAAATGGTTAGTTGGCTTGGACTCGCGAACCATGACTCGAAACTTGACGAGGGCTTTGACACCATTCGTATCCTGAGCGATGAGGCCGAATTCAAACATGCCACTTTTCATCGGAACACCGGTTATGTTTCTTTTTCCTCGCAGGATCAACAAGTTCTCGGACTTGTCGTGATAGTAGAGGGTGAGATTCTTGTTGTAGAATGTTGTGGAGTCTTGGAAGACGGAGGCAGGAATAGCGATTTGACACAGTCGTCCTCTGAAACAAGATTCAAAGATATATCGCAAAAGAAAACTGCAATAATGTCAAGGTAAGCTGCCTCTGCCGGTCTTAGAATTAAATAATAACTCACTTGTCGCAATAAAAGTCGGAAAGGCGCTCCGTCAGTTTAGGATTGACATCCTGAGCAGAAGGAAGGGTAGTTGTAGTCATGTATGATGAGGTAGTTGTTGTTTGCGGAGATTTTGACAGTTTGGAGGACAGCGTGGACTTGTAATACCCGGAAGAGAGCATTACATGATTGTGCGTGATGTTGAGTTCAAGGAACTCCGTCATCATGTCAGTTGCTTTGTCGATATCCGTTCCGCAGGCGACTGCCCACGTCGCAACCACATTTCCCACTCCATCTTCTTGGATGATGACGTCCAGGTTTCTCGATTCGCCAATATACTCTGGCGAAAACACTCGGAGAGACGGAACGTTATCGATAATCTCGGCAAGCTGACGGTGGATGCCAACTTTGTTCGCAACCTGGAAACGTTAATTGGTCTTTCGATACTTTCTCATGTTTCATTACCGTTGGAGCATGTGGGTAGTATACATCTAGCCAAAAGGTGTTTCTCTCCCCGCATGGGTTCTCGAATTTTTCGACAACTTCCACATGAAATACTTTGGATTGATTGTTGGATTTCGAGCCGATCTGCAACTTTTTAAAATCAAAACTCTATATTTTCTCATTATCATGCAATTTCCCCCTCTCTCCTTCTATACTCCTTCTCGCTTTTCTTTTTAATCAAAATGACTCCGATGACTCACCATGACGAGGTGATGTCCAATATCGATTTCGGACGGAATTCCTTGAAGGACATTGTCGTGGACAATCAACCAGGAAGGAATATGGTTTTTATTCCACCCCGTGATGCCGGTGATGTTAGGAAGAGGCTGCTCAAACAGTGATCCGACAGAGACTTGAAGGGCGGGTGTTGAAACTTGGTGTTTGGGTAGAGATGGTACATTGGTGGGCGCGGAAAAGATGTCAGAAAAAGAGCAGGTCGCCATTATAAAGGCAAACAGCCATAAATCCAAGTTTCGAGGCATTCTGAAACAATTGGCAGTAGAAGAGGATAATTTTGAATAGTATGAAACGTGAAATGGAGGATAGCATCGAAAAGAGACAAAAATGAGCAACAGCTGTGTAAAATAAACGCAAATTTTTTTCCAAGGCAAAGTGCAAGAAGAAGAACGTCACTTTTCGATGTCTGGAAACAACATAGAAAAACAGTGGATTGAGCGCTTCGAATTGATTGAACTCTTTGAAATCGACTGACGAAATCCAAAATATCACATGGCAAAAAATTTGTGAGAGTGAAAGTTTGTTGGAACAAATTTGCTCTGGTTTAGAATAAAGAAAAGGAAGAGTGTCTAATAAGAAAAGAATAATATCTACTGGAGACACACTCAGTCGTGTGAGAGAACGGTTGAAATAGTTGGTTTAGTAAAAATGAGTCATCCGCGATGTTTTGTTTTTCTCTCTCTGTCTTTCTCTCTTGGTGACTGTCCCCTCTCCACCGATTACGTAATTTGTCGTTTTCGACAGAGAGCCTGGGGAGGTACTTGTGGAAAGAACCTTCGTCAGAAAACCCAACACGAGCCCAACAATTCCTCTGTCGGAAATAACTGATCTACTAGCAACTGGTTACCCCCGCTAAGATCCTTGCGGCCTAGTTTCTCAGGCTTGGTGTGAACCGAACCTTCAGAAAAGAACTTCACCGAATCGCAACGTTATTCCCAGTCATCACCTTTTTCTGAAAGAATGTTTAATAACAAAGGAATAATTTTTAAAACATTCTGTCGAAATGAGAAAGTGTGAATCGTTTTGAACAACAAGGTCAAAAATCACAATTTTCTCTCGGAGAAATGAATCCATCTACCGCTTTTGTGGGATCAGCAGGAGAGTAAGGTGATAGAATGGTTGAAATAGTTGGTTGAGTAAAAATGAGTCATCCTCGATGTTTTGTTTTTCTCTCTCTGTCATTCTCTCTTGATGACTGTCCCCTTTCCACGAATTACGTTATTGGTCGTTTTCAACTTTTTGCACACACCTTTCAGAAAGTCTGGAGTACGTTTTAGAAAGTCTGGAGAGCATTGATTCCGGTCCACTAAGACGAACTGCCTGTCAGGCTAGAAACCGGAGTGAGACAGGGCGACAGCTCGTCTCTCTTTCCATCTAAATGACTAGACGACTGCAAAAAGGAGTCGTCATCGACAGAAGAACCCTCAGGCGTTTAGAATTTACAGACGACGAAGTAGTCCTGAATCCTAGTCCAGCCGACATTGAAAAACCTGAAAGTGAGAGGAGTTTGGCCCTGAAGACGCGCATAGACACGCTGACAAGAGATGCTGATATGTTCCAATAGCTGTATTTCACCAGTTTTTATCTAATTGGGTCTTCCGGAAAACCCAAAAAAGGACTGTTCAAGTGTGATGCAATGGCGATGTCGAGCCTACGGGCGGAGTGTCGTTGCGCGCACTGTTTAGCATCCAGTTATTTCCACTGATTTTTCAGGCATTCCGCTCACAAAGGACCGGAAAAGGTCACAAATACCGGTTGGGAATGAAAATACACTCAACAGCGCCGGAGTCGCTCTTTTTCGCTTTCTCGACCGGAAAGTTTCCCTGCTCCATCTGCTTTCTCATCCATCACTAACCGAACCGCTCACTCTTTCCAGTTTCGGCTTTTTTTTTCGACACAGACGGATCAGAGAGAATCGTGTTCACTTTTTCCATCTTAACGGCACTGCACTGTCCTTCTCTTTCTCGCTTTCACCCCGTCTTCCCTTCTGTTTGCATCATTTTCAGACTATTTCAACACGAATTCATGTCACCAAGTCGGAAGGATTACATTTTTACCTTTCTCAACAGCAACGGACACTCTAGAATCTAAGAGAATCGTTCTGTTCGCGACAGTCACCGACGCCACCTCGCCGTTTTCGTCTCATCCGGCAGACAGAAAATCTCCCAGTCTCTTCCGCATCTCGTTTTTCCATTTCTTTCCGTCTACCTGGCCCTCAAAGACGTTTCCAAAGTCAGTTGATCATCTGCATCCGGTGATCATGTTCAACATATTAAAAAAATAGTTATTTCTCGGCAGTCCACTGCGTCTATCGGGAAGACTTCTAATCATGTCTTCCCACTCTCCGTGGATGGCGGGCAGCTCTCCAACTTCCGCTCCTCTTCTCTCCTTTTCCAGCTTTTTCTCCTGTTCTCAGACACTCCCAAAGCACAATTCAAACTGTCTAAAAAATGGAAAAAAGGTATGCAAGGGGAAAACATGCACAAATTGGAGCACTTTGTGTTTATGTCCAAAATTTTCTCGTCACTTCGAAACCCTCAGAGGCAAAACGTCTCATGGCGTGATTCCCGTGCTTGCTGATGAGGTCGGTGATCGGATCCTGGCACGGCCGGGGAACTCGGAAGCGAGCCGGAAAGAGATTATTATCTTGGAGTGACATAATGCCACTTTTTGACTCCAATCAGTACTCGATGGCCGGTTCACGTCTTGTGGGAGTTCTGATGGGGCTGTGCATCGCATTTGAACCGTCGGTTTCTTAACATAGCGCGTTTGCCTCGAAATGCTCCGAATTTCTCAATTTCTCGAAAACTTTAGGTTTTTTGAAGTTAGAGAGGTAAGCATACATGTTCAGATTTGTGCACTGCATTGACGGGTCGCCTTGGTTCTCGACCACCCAATTTCTTTTCGTTTTTTGCCTGGTCTGATGGCTCTGACAGCTGACCCTTTTCTTTTTTCCTTGCCAAGGCCGTCTCCCCGGCACGCTCACCGCTCTCGCAATTGGTTCCCGTCTGAGCCTATTCCCTTTCTGCACTATCTCGCCCGTCACAACCCCGTCACTGCCACTCACATTGTTTGGCTGCGTATCATCGATCGGCGAATCGGAAAATTTTGCCAGCATTTGGACACTATTTTCGTTGTTCTTGCCATTTCTTGTTACCGTTGTTTGCTAGAATTGGAAAATTAGCTTCAGATCTATCAAAGTCTGTTCGTTTTGCCTATGATTTTGGTTGAAATTCGCATTTTTTAAAGATTTTTCTTAACAGAAAGACCAAAGCGGAGTGGAAAACGAGGCGAAAGCAAAACAATCGAGACAGGAAATGAAATCTGCGGGTAGCAACACCAAAATATTACATAAGGTTAGTGATAGAATCAATAGGAAACATAGCCTTTGATGTTGTACTTTTCAAATGAAAAATGATACGTTTTTCAGTTTTACCGCTGTCCACAGCGACTTGAAGCACCGAGCAATGTGGAAAAGCTGAGAAATTGTCTTGAATTTATTGGTATCGACTGAAAGTCGACTGGGTAAGCCTGAGAGAACCGAGCCAATGCCAAAAAGAAGATAAAAATCAAATAAAAATCTGAACATGTGTGCTTACCTCTCTAACTTCAAAAAACCTAAACGTTTTCCAGAAATTGAGAAATTCGGAGCATTTCGAGGCAAACGCGCTATGAAGAGAAACCGACGGTTCAAATGCGATGCACAGAACTCCCACAAGACGATCCGAACTACGCGGAGGTAAGTCACTTAAATTTAAAGGGAACATCCTGTAAGCTTAACTAGAGAATGGGACCCGACTAACTTCACTTTTTTTGCAGAAACTCAACAAACATGCCTCCGAAGGTTTCGGAGTGTCGAGAAGATTTTGGGCATAAACACCAAGTGCTGCAATTTGTGCATGTTTCCCCCTTGCATCCACTTTATCTTTCTTCCATCCCCTCACTTATATATTTTTCACCCACCTTTGTGACTCTGTTCGCACGACCAAGGAATGAACCTTGGTAACAACTTTTTCTATCTCGGCAGCAGCATCTCGTTCGAACCAAACAGCAAAGAAGTCCAAAGACGGATTGGTTCGGCATGGGGAGCGAAACACACACACTCACAATCTGACGAGGATTGAAATAGAGAAATGGTTGGCAGAGACGCCGAATCAGTCTTCAACAATCACCCAATATTCTACGAAATGGTTGTAAGTGCGCTGGAAAGAGTGCGACTAATGTTGGAACAGACCACCGCAAAGACTGCATCATCTTCATCAACGGTAAGGAATCAAATCAGCAGATCCAATTGAAAAGCGCCGGTGAAGATAGGCAATTAGCACCTAATCCTACAGAAATTTGATTCCAAAGAGTAGCATGTTTTGCAGACTGTATGGAAAACATCGTTCATCGACAATCACTCGCGGAAGTGCCAAAAGAATTCGATTCTACCCGAACAACCTCAAAAAGGGCAAAAATGACTGTGATAATTCATCTGCTGCCGCCGGTATCAATCATCTGGTCCATTTATTGGAATATATATTAAAACGCACAGCAAAATCAAGAGAATCTGAAGAGAAGAAAGACTGACCCGTAGAAGAAGAGGAATTTCGTGTTTCTAACCGATGCACCACTTTATCTGTTGAAGTGATCGTTCCCTTTTCCTATGAGGAACAACGCCGCAAAATCCCGAGTACCGGAAATGACGGAATAAAAGGAGGAAGAAACAGAAGTGTGTGTGTGTGCTGATTTATAAGGAAAAATGATCCACCACCGCGGCGGTGTTCACGGCTGCGACAGCTAAAAACAACGGACCCCAAGTAAAATGTAGGTATCGAAATTACATGCTCTATTCTGAAACTAGCATAATCTAACTATTTTACAGAATCCAGGCAACATGGATATAAGCAACACAAAACGGATTTGAGCGGTAGACGCTAACTACATTCAAATATTGGTGAGTATTTGAATAAAAAAGCTTTCATAACTCATAGCACGGATATGAGATTGATTTTGCTACAAAAACCTCGTTTTTTGCAAACATTTCGGTTTCGCAATGAAATTGGACGCTCATTATACAGATATGAATAGGCAGAACTGCTGTTTTGACATTAGAACCTCCTTTTTCAGACTGGTTGCGTGTGTCGAATGATCTCTCTTGGTCATTGGAACTTCGTTCGTCACCCTGTTCAGTTTCGTGACTCTAAGCATGGCTCGCTCCACTCTTCTCTGTGCCACATCCAGTTTCCTCACCTGGTCAGCCTTTATAGCCCTGGTTTCACAACCGTTGAGGAAGACTCTTCGTTTGAGATGTGGAGGAGCTCGACGGTCTGTGAGGAACTGTCGGTGTTGGGCAAAAGCTCCCCATGCCGAGCCAATCCGTCTATGGACTTCTTTGCTGTTCGGTTCGAACGAGATGTTGCTGCCGAGATAGACAAAGTTGCCAACAAGGTTGATTCCTTGGTCGTCGATCTCCAGGTTGTCTGTGGATGTTTCTGGGACGTTAGTCATAACCACCGTTTTCTCTCTGTTTATTATCAAACCAACTTTTCAACTGCTTTCCACAGGTTCATCAATTATCCTCTACATTGTTGCTTTATCATAGGCAACAAGGGCCTAAAACTTATTCATGCTTTAATAAACATGTGTCTTTCTATTTGTTGTTTCTCTCTACTTTCTCTCCCGTAAAGGTTCTCTGACCGTCGATTTTTCCACAAAGTCCGAATTTTGTTTTAATTGCGCAAACTATTTCCAGATGAATCACCTAGACATGAAAACGATTGTCGTTTTGGACCGAAACGGAAAATTTGCCGAAAAATGTCATGACACGTTTGAATTGATAACTGGAGACGGAGCGAGGCAGAGAAGATGGCCGATGGAAAAGTCGTTCTGGACCTGGTGCCTGGAAGGAGTTTTCGAGATGCACAGAATTCTGTCAGACGTGTACCCGACCGAAAGTCCCCCGCTTCGATTTGCCGTAGCCGAGAATCCGCCGAGAATGTTGGAAAACGAATGGAAAGACGAATTGCCAACAACAGAAGAGCTACAAAACCTGATGTTCTCCGTAAAGCTTCCTGCATACAAGCACACGGAGATCAGTTTGATAGGAGGACTTGCAGTTGCCATCGAAGCGCTTGCGACGGAGACTCAAAAACAGAAAGACGAGAATTATGATAGAAAATACTCGGAGCGTAAGTCAAGTTTAAGCTTCCCTTTAAATTTATGAACTTTTCAGCGAAACCAACGGTTGTGAATCCGAATCCACCCGACAGAGCCATCAACAACGCAAATCTAATAGTATACACTCGATTGCGGACAGAAGAAGAAGTGGAAAGGCTGAAAATAGAAGTGGGGAACTTGCTGAGAACGCGCAACAATATTGCAAATGGACCGAATGGAGTGCGGTAAGCTTTTGTTGAAAAATATAAATATATAGAAATAATACAGGGTCAAAGAAGTAACCTGAAGAGGATTTTCAAAGTTTTTTGACACGGCGCTCTCTTATTTTTCGATACTCTTGCTTCTTCCACGTTCATCTTTCAGATACTGCGCAATCACCTCGCTCCGTCTGTTCATTGTCAACTTTTACGCGACCGGCGAAAGATGTTTCATCAAAACGCATCCACTGAAGCCGCACCCCCTCATCCCAATTCTCAAAACATGGGTTATCTCTCGAAAGGCAGCCGACATGCCCGACGCCATTCACTCGGTTTTGTTCTCCGCATTCGACCTCGGATCCACAACAGTCACGAAGATTCCGATGAAAACTAGCGACGCATCAATTTCGTACGACGTGGAACTCTTTCACTCGGCTAAAGTACACGCGTTGCTGAAAGAAACGAAACTGATTGACGTAAGTTCGAAAGATTATACTGAAAATATTTGGTTTTTCGTTTCAGGAGCACAGTAAGAATGCTCATTCGGAAGATGGTGTCACTTATGATACAATACGGCTCGGATGGTTGACTGCTCCAAAAACAAAGTGGACATTGGTGAGTATTTCATTCACGTCATTCCCGTTTTTGAGTTTTGTAAATAATATGTTTAGCTTTAATTTTCAGTTCCCCAACTACGGAGAAGCCGTCCCATTCACGACTGTCCTCGCCTACTCTGCTCCATTGGCGTGTTTGACTCAGTTTGTGCTTAGCGGAAAATTTGTGATGCTGGATTTGGAAGTTTGTCAATGTTCCGGACGTTTTTGACACATCTGCTTTTTTAGAAAACATTTGGTCATGAACACAACATGCCCGACAAACTGGTCTCACATCTTTTGAGTTCAAATAAAGGACGAGTCTTCATCCAGGAAGTTGATTTTACGAAAGGAGGTAACAAAATTGTGTGATAGCAGTTTGAAGTGTCTAAATGGCCTATTTTTCAGTCAAAAATATACGCCGGAAACTGCGCCATCCAAAAAAGCTGCGTCGTCCGAAAGTGCCAGTGAACAAGAGTCAATTCAACAGTTTGTTCCAGCAAATGGAGCTGGCAATGGTTGCAAAGGACCGGTTGACGGATGAATTAAGTGCGGAAGAACAAAAAGAACGGTGCATGCTCGAGCACTCGAATTTGGAGCGGCGATTTCAACGTATTTCTAGAAACATTCCCATGTTTGAAAAGGACACATTCATCTTCAAAGATCTCATCCGCAAGCAACTTGAGAACCTGATTGTGACGTTCACAAAAGTGAAAATAACAGACGAGGAGTTCGGACAATGCAAGGCGGAAATCAGAAAGCTTCAGCAATTGAAGATCAATGGAGATTTCCTGATTCCAGCGGACTCCGACATTGGTCCATGTTCAGTTAAAGATTTGTCCGACCCCACGGAGCAGCTGAAAGTGACAGTTGTGGAGCTGGCCACGCACATGATCAGGTACAAGAAATTTTCGGACGCACATGAGAAGCTGTACAACTCCTTTGCGATGGCTCTGCAAGTGGACAAACTAATGAGTGGAAGTTCAGGGCAGAAGTGAGTCAGATTCAGATGAACCTAAGACAATAGTGCTTATATTTTCAGAGACATTCTCAATTTTCCAGTCCTTGGAAAACTAGGCAAAAGGAAGATCCAGGAGGGCGAATCCCCGTTGAGCGAATTCTTGAGGAAGAGAAAAATTGACACGTCTGTTGAAATGGGCGGCGATGAGCCGAAAAATTCTGAAGACGAGGAGAGAGTAATTGAAGCTCCGCAAGGTACGGAGAAAGTCAAAGAAGCAGCCAAAAATAAAAACAATCCATTTTCAGAAATCAAGTTCAGCCTTTTTGAAATGATGTGTAAGAAAGCGGAAAAACAGGAGAACAAGATCAGAAGAGAGTTTGTTGGAAGAGAGAAGTATGGCAACAAGGCAAAGCTGTACACCCAGCTACTCGACAGACCGATTATTGACCGTGGCGACAGATCCTCTAGTCCAGCTCCGTCTAATGATCGAACCGACAGATTTCGAAGAATGGAACGCGGGGAGTCTGGAACACCGCCGCCCATTCGAAAGCTGTATAAGTAATATCATAATGTACATATGAGTAATGTATAAGTTTTCGAGTTTCATTTTATGTTTCACTTCCCTCATTTATGCACACATCGAGCCTGGCCTCCCCACCGCTCGTTTTTCATGTTTCCTAATATCCCGCTTTGTTTCTTAACAATTTTGGATAAAAAATTGTTCAAAGAAAAAGTCGAAGTGACTCAAGTACTTGCCTCAAAAGAGGCAGTTATAGTGGGAGTTCTATGATGTTTGGGAAAGCGGTAACTGATTTTTTTCATTTTAGACGCAAAGTGTCTCTAACACCTTTCAGAATGCCCCACTGAACCATCATCACAGCCGACCTGGAATACTCTTAGAGGCTCAAAAGAAGCAGTTTAGTGGGACTTTCCTGTACTGTAAAGTTTGAGCTGGAAGGTGAAACGGATGCAAGATTCTGAATTTCCAACTACGGCTCCGCGAGCCCATTCGGAGCAACAATGAGCTCACTTCCCAATTACGTTTTAGTAGATTGTTATCTTTACGCGGTTTACACCAAAGTCGGGATTTTCTCGCTTTTCTGACGAACTGTACTAATCTGTGCCATCAAATTGCTATTCTTACCCCCTGCGTGCAGAAATCGCCACGTTAGTACTAGTTTGCTATTCTGCTCATCTCGAAAAAAGTCATTTCACCAATTCTTTGTCGAAAAAATTAGTTTTCACTCATTTGCGAAGTGAGCACCTTTCTTCTATCAAAGTATACTTTAAAGTTTACGCGCCGATGCGTTTGCTTCTGTTTTGAGAACTTTCAATTCCCGGTTTTTCAGAAGCAACGAACATTTTCCATAGTTCTCCGCATCTCACAAGTGCGCCCTTTATAGAGATTGATTGAGACCGGTCTCCAATCTTTTATAAACTTTATAACTTTTGCTGCAGTTCTGCATATTTTGTTTATCTTCACCCGACCTATCCAGTTTCCCATTCTATTCTTGCAATTTTTGAGTTCATGCTGTCCACAACTAAATGCCACAGTTGACGTTCACCGGATTTCACAAATTTCCTACTCCGACAAAAAAGAAACAAAAGCCATTCCATTTCAATTTCCTGATTTTGATTGACACGCAGTTTCAGCTCACGCGCTCGTCGCCAAATCATCAGTGTCAGTACTCTGGTCCGTTGGGAGCTTATTAGTGGAGAGTAGAATTCGGAAAAAGTAAGACTATTTCCATTTTTGTTTTAAACTTTTATGCAGTTCAATTTTTTCAGCTCAAATACTAATTTTCCAGATGTCGAGCGACGAAGAAGAAGAATACGATTTCACGTGCAATAACTTGAATTTAGAAGGCCTACTCGCAGATTATAGTGAGTCTAACAGCCCCATTGAAGCGGTGGCTCATCAACCAGTCGATTTCTTTGCACATAACATGGAGGAAGAGGAGAAGCAGAAGAATCTTCAGTTCTCGCTAGTAAATAGGGATTTTGGAGAGTTTGGTGTTCATCAGGAGTCAGACGAAACTCAAAATTTAGGTAAGAATACATATCGCTCGTTAGGTGTACAGAATGTTATTTTTTCAGAGAAATCGGAGCAGCTAGAAAACAATCTCCTGGGAGATCGAGAGCAAAATAATTTCCGTTTCGAAAACGACGATCAAACATCTATCGCAAGTAAGTTCAAATGAGGGAAGACATAATGATTATATATTTGGTTCAGAAACGCTCTCTCAGGAAAAAGAGGATTCGACTACTCACAGCTCCTTTGGGTTTTTCATCAGTTCAATTAAACGCAAAATGGAAATTCTCAGTGAACATGATGAATCGCCACAAAAGAAAAGTAAGCTACAGTTGTTGTATCGCAACTCTCAATAGCAACACATATTCCAGAATTTCAAGATCTTTCTGAAACTGATTCAACGCTGGGCTTCAACAAAAATGAATCAAACGACTGTGCATTCAATCGAGAATACCAAGATCAAGAATTTCCACAACATTTTCTTGAAATGTCTGCTGGAAATCAGAATTCTAGCGATAAAGAAGTTTCTTTGGATGGTCCGGAAGGAGATTTGGACTACGGCCGCTTGGAAAGTTGGGAAAATGTGACTGAAGTGGATGTGAATGAGCCCATTGATCTCAGTTTCCTGGAGGAAGGACTTGTCATCGAGGGAACCGCTACATTGCCATTCACTGATGAAGAACTCAACGCACTAATTGGAAAGGACAATCAGCATACGCAGCATGACAGCAGAGATGGGCTGAATGATGATGACGACAACGACGATGATTTTGATCGAATTTTTTGAAAACTTTTTCCTACGTTGTGCCGACTCCCAGGTACATTTATTGCTTTTTAAGTTTTGAGATCTACCTTTGTTTATTTTGTGAAACCACCTGTGAAGTCATATTTTTTATGTCCTTTGTAAGATTTTTATTTTTCATCTCATTGTTTAAGCCAGCCTCATAACCAAAAATTGAAACATTCAACCGAGAATCCTTCAAAATGCCACAAATTACAACTGTTCCCAAGTTCATTATTCTCGATTTAATGCACACTTGCTCTTGTCTTCATTAATTTCGCACCGGCCGGCCTCTTGCGGGGCAGGTTCTCTTCTTTAGTTACACATTTCTAC